AGAAGTGATGATGATAGTAAACAAAACATATCGCAAGACATGCAGCAGGAAACTGATAATTCAGGGACTTTTTCACTTACAACGGAGAAAAGTAAACAAAGATTAACTGACGTTCAAGGTCCGAACGAAGATTCAAAGTCGGATGAGTTATTTCACACTAGCGAGAATCTAGATAACCGCGACCAAGAAACAAACAAGTCGTGTGAACAAAACAATAATTATAAGTCCGACGACGATCGACCCCGACTACCTTCGCTTAGTAGCTATAAAAAGGGCAAAGGAAATCCATCTGATATCACTAGTAAAGGCAAAACATTAATAAAGGACATGCCATCTTCTCTAAAAACATTTCATTCTGATAAACCGCAGGCATCTCAAGATCAAATCAAGGACTTTCGTAGTGTTTTACGAAAGAGGAATGAACAAACCAAGCAGTCCTTCGATAATAAAAAGCCAATTACCTCCAGTGATAGAGTTAGTGACGGAATAAAACGGTTTTCAAACCTAAAATCTAGCTTAAAATCGGTAACTCCTAAACCAGATTATAAATCTGACATAAAGGAAGACGTTGCTGTCGGCCTAGCAATTCAGCACGATAAGTTAAAAGGCGTAAGTCAAGCCGATAAGGTAGATGATACTATGGAAGGAAAGAATCCGCAAATTAATGTGGAAAGCAACAAAGATAATAATTCTAAAGATCTACCATCGGCTAAAAGATTATCAATGACAGGTGATCAAAGTACCATCAATGAAGAAGTCAAGGGTAATTTAGATGAAAATAAGGGAATTGAAAACGTAACTAATTCGCATCGTATTGTTGCTGATGGTCCAGATTCTAAGCAGAAAGAAAGTAATTTTGCTTCTCCATCTCTGATTAATAAGACAGCCTCAGTAAGGAATAGTTCAACTGACGCCGAATTAAAACATCCTCAAACGACTGATTTGAATGAACCTCAATCAAGCCAGATTGAAAGGGATGCCATTTCTAAAAGTAACAGATTTAAGAAACCAAACTCGATTTTTCAGCAAGCGGTGAATTTCATTGAAAGTACTGATTCCCATCCCATTTCAAAAGTTCGTAATGACCTAAAACAGACCGCAGGATCAGTTCCAACTAATTCGAATGTAGCGTTGATGCGAAATCAATTTCTAGCAACCATTGATAATGGTAATAACTCGAAATCAAGCGATAAAAGAACTCTTTCAAAAGATTTAAATCAAGAAAACTCAAATCCTTGCAAAAGTACTTTTAAAGAAAGGACTAACCAAGTAATGTTACGTATAAATAGCCGACATGAAAAACATTCAGAAGACAGATCAAGCATAGATGAAAAGACATCCGGCAAAGATGATGATGAATCAAAATTCAAGACAGATAATGAATACAGCAGCCATAAGCAGAACGTTAAATCAAGAAGTCAATCTGCCAGGGCAGCATTTTTTGGTAGTAGCATTAAAAAAGACGATAAAAGTAATACTAGTTCTAGGTTTAATAAGGATGGAGACAAAAAGAATCAATCCAAGTCACCGTTCGAAAAAATTAGCCGGTTTAAAAGTGTCAATTCTGATCAAAATGGTTCACCTAAATACGAAAAATTCACGAAAGACGATTCACCCGCCGTTCAAGATAAAAAGGGTGATTTGATTCAAATACAATCAGCTAAGAAATCGTTCTTCGCAAGTAACGAATCGAATGGTAGAGAAGATCAGAGTACCAGTTCTGGAATAAGAGTACAAGGGAAATTTCGCGAAAGTTTGAAGAACGAGCTTCCGCGAAAAATAATCACTGATCGGATCGATTCGACAGTGCAAAAAACCTACAATCAACAACTGCGGAAAGAATCTTCAGTTAAAGAATGCTATACAGAACACGTTCTGAGCTCTCAATCATCTTATCGTCATGATCTTAGGAAAGATTATGTCGATCAGGAATCCAGGAATAATAAGGGAAAAAGCTGGAGTCACGCTGACGCTAGCAATACGAATGAAATGAGCACTAACAAGGAAACTATCTCCGAAATGAGAAATAATCGTGGAAATGAAGAAAGCTTAATAGTTCAATTACGTAATAATGAAACTAAAGCTGATACGATGGATAATTCGAATGATAGCCTTGATAATGTATATTCTGGCAGCCGAAAACTAGTAAATTGTAATACAGAAAATATCAAGAACCAAGGGAATCAGCCAGACAATGATCAAGTACTGAAACAGCAGCAAATAGAAAAGACAAAAGCTAAAATAAAGGCACCTTCCGATCAGCCTGATAATGAAAATGTACAACGACGGGAAAAGAACCAGTATCGATTTCGCCCAAATATTACTACAACTTTACCGCCGGATAAGCGACGAGAGACATTCATTCAATTTTCAGAAGAGCCTTCTTCGCCAAAAGCTATTAGAGCTATTAGTGTTTTAGAACCAATTCAGAACGTATCTTCGTCATTCAAGGAAGAGTCAGATAATAATAAAAGAAAGGAGATAAACAGCGTGAACGTTAAAGACTTGGCAAGTACTCCGAGTAGCCCTACTGGAACTCCTAGAAATGCTAATCCGTCAACATCGCTTGGACCAGATAAGGGGAACGACACGATGAAGGAGGCGTTAGTATTTGCGTAGCATTTAATAATATTCCATAATAGTACAATTAAATTACTAATCGTAGACGTATCAATTTAAAAGCATGAAAAACATACAGTATAGTATCTTAAAATTCTTCACCCTTCTATGACTTCATTACCAGCAGTTGTAAGGTTCCAACATCCGATAAAGGTGCCGAAACGAGAAAGGCAGTAGTCCCTGCAGCAGGCTATATTAGAAAATTTGAGATTAAAAAGCCGGTTGGGCGAAATGTTGTGAATGATCCTAAGTCTAAGAGACCAAAACCGTTTGTAACTACCGCACCAAAATTAACTTCACAACCTGAAAAGAAGCAAAAAAAGAGCGGATTAAAAGATCTCTTTAAAAAGGCAACTAAAACCGAAACTGCGAAAAAGCCTACTGAGTACTCGAATCAATTGAATTTTTAATTTTTAATAAGTTAATAATCAAGTTGAAATCTATTGTTATCGTCTTAAAGCCATAATACACATTTTCTTTCATAAACTATTTTGGAAATGCAGATCAACAGCTGCTCCAAAACCAGCCGCTAAGCAGACTCCCAAGACAGAAGGTTCTGTTTCCGCTATTCTTTTGCAGTGGTGCAAGCTGCATACGAAAGGATATGAATACAAGGTATGTAAGTGATGCCAAATACGTAAAGTAGTTTTCCATGTACATTATGCGATCTGTACCGTACAGCATTTGTATACGTATACCCGTGTTTACAGTTATGGCAAGGCGGCTGACCAACGCTTATATCACAAAGCATCTCCCAATAGTAAACTAGTTTTAGATATTTATATTGAATATCTTTATAAATTGTATCCTTTATTAGGATATTATGGTAAAGGACTTAAGTCGTAGTTGGGCTGATGGTCTAGCGTTTTGCGCCTTACTAAATAACTTAATAGGACATGACACTATTCCTATGGATGATCTCGACACTACGACGAAAGAGAAAAACTTTACCCTGGCATTCGAAGCATTCGAGTAAGTAATTCGCCGCTTATAATGTAGATCACCTGTAGGATTTTATTTCTTCTATTCTAGCATTACATGTCCTATCTTTTGTGTTTATACGTTATGTCGTCAATTTTCACAATTATAGCAAGGTTGGTATTGCGCCATTACTCGATGTAGAAGACATGCTTATTATGTATCCTAGACCTGATCAACGATGTGTTATGACTTACTTATTAACCATTTACAGCCGTTACAAAGACTGTTAAAAAATCTTTATCGTCGAAGGAAAAATCCACGAGAATTAAAAAAAGGAAAAGTGATCGTCTTAGCTATTTCAGTTATTTACTCAGAGACTATTCGAGTATCCCTAATTTGATGTATCTGTACCGCTTATTAGTTCTGCATGTACTGTACTATTATTGCGGTTCATTAGCTAGCGAAAGGACATCGGTAAACATATTCCTAATCATCAGTAACAGGTACTCCGAAATACTGTAGAATCATCAGTTTAGATATACGAGTATTAACAGTAAGCAACTGTGACATTTAAACATTGATTTGTAAAGCTTCTATGGTTATAGATTTGTTATTGTGGACAATGGTAATTAATGACGATCTTGCTATTTCCTGTTTAATTATATATAATTATTTCAGAACCAGGAAATTTAAAAAATTTGAAAACTACTAGTTTAACACTTAGTTACTTTCGGAAGCTGTAAAAAATTTAAAATTTGTCACTTTTACGTCTAGACCGCAGGAAGCATCGTATGTTTTTGTATTATTATTTTTATTTACCGAATTTTTTATTTGCAACACTGCGTAATAAGGTACTTCACAATTTTTATCTAATTGAAATCGTATTGATGCAGTGATGATGCCTTAAGGCATACATATCGTAATTACGCAATATTTTCTTGACTATTGCATTTACCACAAACTATGTAGCAGGTTACAAATACCATAAATTCTTTCATTTAGTAGCAAATAGTTTCCGGTTTATATTTAGCTGAATCGCATAGACTTAAATATTAAAATTGAATAGATCGCTTATTCTTCGATTGTCATCAAATATGTTGTTTCTCAATGTCATAAAGCTAACCCAACTATGTGGTTATACAGTATATTATTGTATGATAGGATTGTCATAATTATTATCTATGATTATATCTAAATTCTGCGTTTATAAAGTTTCAATAAAAATGGAATTTACATGCTATCCAAATTAATCCATTATAATAACTTTCAGCCGTATGGGTTAGAGAAAGAACTTAAAACTGCATACCGTAATACTAGTATCTATAATATAAAAATAATATAAAATAAACAGCAATTTTTAATAAAGTAGCATCTTCCGTTCCATCTCATCCACTTTCTTTAAATTACGGGCCACAGGATCAATCTTTTTGATTACTTTCTTGAATACACTTTCTGTAATTTTGCTTCTCCTCTTTATTTTTTAAATTATTAACAGTCCAATTGCCAAGTGAAGTATTTGCATAAAAATCCATCGGATAATTGTTTTGCCACTCTATGGTCTTAAATAATACAGAAGCCTAATAATAATGAGATATAAGAATACCTGATAATGTTAGAGCCAAATAATGAGAAAGTAGTCTAATCATCAGTAGGTATAAATGAAACTTTTCATCCTTGCTAGATCTATACGGCAAGAATTAATAGCTGGTGAAAACTGCTAAATGAACAGCATATGATAACCTCATATGGAGTTAGAAGAGGCTTCTTAAATGCTGTTCCCCAATCAATGGATAATCTTGGACAAGCTACCTGTATCCACCTTAAGGATGTATTAATGCATTATTAATGATCAGGTGATCGCTTTTAGTTAATTTACTATAAGTATACATATGTGGTTACGTACACATCCACATTTTGAAATAACTGCAACTTATCAGGAAATATTTCTGACATGAAAACTGTTATATATTCCAACCCTAGGTATGTAATACGAGCTTGCAAGTTCTATGTATAAAACAAACAATAGTATCTGTAAATAAACATAACACACATCAAATATGGTTTAATTAAGGTTAACGATAATGAATGAACTTGAGTCTGATCATAAGAACAGGTTTAAACCATAAGAAATAGTGCAACAATACTTAAATTTCTATAAATAGACCTGCAAAATTTTGATGCTGCCTTGTCTGCCTAGTGTTCCAAGGATTAGTCCAATCTTCCTAGCGTGGACACTACTAGATATTGCCTTATACCTAATATCTTTCATTAACTGGATATTATAGTATTCTCGAGAGAATGCTTTGGAATAAGGATCATACCTTTAAACATGAACCGTAGCTTTAACACAGTTTGATATTGTACTGTTTTGGTTGACCTCTAGCTTAATATAATCTAATCTTTATCAAGAATTGATACTAATTAAAGTGTAACTACTATCTATATTCACCTGTAAGTAGGTAAATCGGGGTTTGCAATCATTATAGCTTCTAAATGAAATCTGCCATCCCCTATGTAGCTGATAAAGAATTGAATTCTGAAAAAATTTCAATACTAGAATTTTCCTAAAGTAAGTTCAAACTCTTTACATGACAACATCGACATCTGTTAGCTTTGGAGCTGTACATCCAAGGATTTCGCCAGGGGACAGAGGCTTGCATTGAGGAACGGAAACATTGTAATCATGTGATAGTTCCTGTTTTACTCCCTCCATTAGTAAATATCAAAAAACATAAGACATTAGTATATATATAATACAATCATTTATACGAGCTTACTAATCCGTCTAACATTCGATATTATTACCTGCAATGCTGCCACAAACTGTATAGTGCTCACCAGTGCTATGTTTAATTCTTTCGATACGTTGTGCTTGATAGTTTCGATTAATCGCACTGTATCTATTTTGATATCTACAAATACATACAGCATTTTGATTCCACCGGTACGATCAACAGGAACTATAGTTCATTAATGAAATAAGAAACAAGAGCCTTTATTCAACGGCGTAACTTAAAGCAAGTTGTCCCACACAAATCATTTTATTTCTGTATCGTCAATTGGTATTCAAAAACTTTTTCAAATTTATGCTATTTGACTACCAAGAATATATATAACATTCTCTGCCAAATGATTGGATAACTTATAAACGCGTAAAGGGTTTGCAACTCAATACAACTCCAGAATTTCTCTTACCAAGGCAACTATGTCCATAATGGATCATCAGATCTGCTCCTAAGGCACGCGCGGTATAGTCATCGACACAACACGCCCCATAAGTAACTTCACCCATGATTATGACTTCTGCATCAGTAAATCTGGAATCAAAGTTGTAAGTTTTACATATAGTACAGTCGAACCTTGCAACTATATGTACGTGTCAGTCAACTGCAATCTGTAACAAGGTTGGACATATATACTGCCAAAGTCATCTTAGAATATAACACTACTATAGAATGTGTGCCTCAAAACTAACCTTTCGATTATATCAGCAATGAGGCAAGAAAACATTAAAAGCCCTTCAGGGAACTGCAAGGCAACTATTACAAGAATTATTAGATTAGATATCAACAAAGTATCATGTAAATAGGCATTTTATACTATTTACAAATAATAAAAGCAAAACACTGCAGAATTATCGGATGCTACGTATTTACCCCGCTTAGATTTTGTGAACTTAATTCTCCAGACTGTTTTGTATACCTCAAAATTGTAATTTTTAGGCAGCTAGGTTTTAATGAGAATTAAACAGAGAGATACACCTTAAACAATTTAATCACTTACGCTTTACATATATAATTTTCTATTTTATTTAATATTTACTCTTGTTACTCATTACAGTAATACATTGCGTGATAACTATTACCCATTTCTGAAAATGTTAAAATACTGCAGAGTGATCTACTACGCATAAGCTCGCTATTAGAGTTATGTACCAAAAGTAAATTTACCAGCCAAATAAATACTGTGCTTTTACTATACACGTAATAAAATTTCTTTTTTAGTAGTCCCTGATTAAATATACGTAATACAGCCTCAAAGTTTTTTATGAATTTTAGCCTTCGCTATAGTATCTAGAATTTAAAACAGACCTGACATATCGCATTTTGCAATTGTCTGTCGCCAAGTATTTCCTCCGGTATCTGATGAGCAACGCGTTGACCACCATCCCTCCTTTTAGAAACTAACAATTTTATAAGTAAACTAACTTATTTGTTGCCTGTAAATTAACTTCACAAGTAATGATATATACTGTAAATCTGTAACAGTTTTGACATGATCACCTTCAGAACGAAATCTTACTTATACGCGGGACTTGACATCTCACGTAATAAACATAAAATAAATTAATTAATTTAATTCTATTTTAAATTCTTTGGATTAGAACAGCTGTGTTTAGTATAATACGCTATGTTTACCATATACAGTACAGTATGTACTATGCAGCAATACTGTACAGTATAATGCTCAGCCAGAATAGCTCATTAAAAGTCGATATACAGTATTGTAAGCTTCCAACTTTTGCTAGTTTTATTGTGCTCGCTATTTAAAAGCTGTTGTGTTTTCGTTTTCGATATACGATAATACCAACACGGAACATAAAGTTGATTAGTGTACACACGCAGTGATGAGTTAAAGTTAATTATAATTTTACGACTAGTTCTTTGCCTTACACTAACAGCAACTGCAGTGTGAATGCAATCAGGTGCAACGAACTGTCATTAGCAATAAAATACGCGTAACTAACCAGCACCGGTGGCACCTGATGACGACTTTGCTCCCACAAATCGCTTTCGTGGTTTACTACCAGATACCATATTTGCTTCAGTAGTGCTATTATTGTGCGCCATAAAAGGATCACCTTTGTCAAAATATTACTGTAATATCAATGTTATACTGCGGTACTGTATAATACCTTCCGTATTTACCAATGAGAATAAATGCTTAGATGTTTAACTATAATACAATATAACACAAAGAAGTAAATTCGCTTCTGGAACTGCGTAAAGATTTCTCTGCAAAACCTAAAAGAAAACCTCAAATCTACGATAGTCTGTAATAATCCTGACTGCAGTATACTGTACTGTACAGTGTACAGTACAGTACTGTACATTACACTATACAGTACTGTACTCTACAGTACTGTACTGTAATGAAGTCTGTACTGAACACTGTACAGTACAGTACAAAATTTAGGATGGACTACTGTACTAAAATACTGTACTGTACAGTACATTGTACTGGTGTTTTAATACTGTACACGGTGGTGTACAGTACTGTACACTGTACAGTAGTGTACGGTACTGTGTAATATATTCTGTTGTTGTTCTGATGCGCTCATTTATATAGCGATCTCTGAGCCTGTTGACAGGTAAATAGTATAGCGTAAACAGCTTAGATCTTGTACTGTACATTACTGTAGTAGTGTAGTCCATTACTGTAGTCTGTACTGTAGTATGTTAACAACTATATTACTAGGTTTGACAAGTCCGAATTTTAGTCTATCCCGTCGGGACAGAAACGCTGCTCACAGTAAGCTGCATTTATCGCTTGGTTACTGCGTTATTTTTATATTATCCTCCATTACTCCTGTTATCGTTTCAAACTTGTATAGATTACCGTAAAATATATGATTAAAAGGTGCTTTCAGCAAATAATGACCTCTACGCGAAAGCCGTTACACCGAAAAGCTCGACAGTCAATTTATCCGAAATCAGATATTCAACGATTTCCTGTACCAGATGATAAAGTCGATTGGGCGGTTGAATGGCTGGAATACAGTCCTATAGATTTCACATCTTCTAGTGTCTTAGCAATGCCTCCCTGGGCAGATGTCGAGATAAGGTTGTAGCTCATGTAAATTTCTATGATTCTAGTTTATATCTCTATTTTATCGCTGTTAAGAAGGAGTTTTTTACTCCTCAAGCTTAAGCTATTCCCTGAAACGAGATTAACACAGTATTCGTTTTTTTTTTAAAATACGAGCATGGAATAACGTACTGTAAGTCATGCACCGTAGTGCACGAAATCCTCACACTTGTAATCGCTCTAAAGTCTCACAATTTGTTTTAAGCAATTCCAATTTCATTTCTTTGATGAGGAGACTCATGTATTTCCAGTTTTAGTCCACGGTTAATTGCAACAAGAAAGCAAAATACATCTCAATCTAATACACTCATGCTTAATACAGTACTACAGTATGATATAAAAATATTCAAACACATAATCCTTGGAAGACTAGTATTACAACAGTATTACTATGCTATATAAGTTATGGTCAAAACCCGAAATTTATCTACCATAGCTAAATTGTGCATCAATAAACACAATAAGCACAGTTACTCAGCGTTGCCTTCAAAAATTAGAGGCTCAGTCAAAACAGCCTCATTTTGCGCTTCAGAATAGTTGCAAAATTATAGCAGCTATAAATAATTAGTTGCCATCTACAGTAGGTCGATTCACTATTTTTCTCTCTTGTGCTAGTACAGTATTTCACAACGTACTCAAAGCCATTATTTTAAAAGTTAAAAAAAACGTACTATACAGTAGAGTACTCAGTGTACAGTACACGGCTTATAGCGGTAGTATACCGCTTATTAAACGTTTAATACAAGTAAACGCGCAGTATGGAATAGCTACATGCACGTAAGGTATCTGGCTAAAATTATTGCAATTACTTATTGCATTTTTTCAAAGTTAAAAAATAAATAACAAAGTATACACGGCATGTACAGTATATTATCGGGATCTATCTGAAGGAACGTTTATTAATTAAATGTAAACGCGATTGAATAACTATATAAGGTATCTGCCTAAAGTTGTTCCAATTATATAACTATTGTAGACCTACTAATTCAGAAAATTTTCTCAAGTTTAATTCAATTGATGGTAATGTGGATAGAAAAAGTGGCTTTGGAGATTATTCTTTAATTGACGGAATACCGAGGTAAGGCATGTCAGCTCAGATTGCTTATTGCATTTATATCCTAATCATAGAAGTACTTTTATATCTCTATGATCTTTATATAGTGTTACTTGTGTACCATGCTAGTTAAGGAGTTACAAATACTATCACAGAAACTTGCTTATAAATCTAATCATTTATTAGAAATTTTATTGAGCTACCATGTCATCGTTGTTATATATAAGAACAAACTAACAAATAAAATATAGGCATCAAATAATACAATCACTTGTATATCCTCCATTTAAAAGAAATCCTATAGGCAGAACCGGTATTAGAGGGCGTGGAGTTTTGGGGAGATGGGGACCAAATCATGCGGCAGACCCCATCACTACTAGGTCAGATGCGTTATCGTTTATGACTTGATAAAACAGAATATTATGTGAAGTGCAACATATGTAATATAGGACATAATACCTGCCTATAAGATAATCTACCATGATATGGTATCTTATGAAGAAGTTATAATACCCACGTATACAAACTGTATTGCCTATCCACATGTCGTTTCATTTCCATTGGTATTACTGTACTGTAGCTACAATATTAATTTAACTATTCGAAATATATTACTGCTACAGATGGAAGCGCGATGACGATGGTAATGTGGTTTCTTATAATGATAATCCCGTGTTAGAATTTGTTGCGATCAAAAGGCAAGATAATGGTCAATGGGCTTTACCTGGTGTAAGTGTGTAAAAGATAAGATTAACATACCCATAAAATTCAATTACCGGTATAATTATAATTATAGCACGTTTCTAATGAAGTAATTTACTAAAGTTGTTGCAATTGGTATTCAATGAAAATCTACAATTTTTACTAATTGAAATACTGTATGACTTATATTTAACGCCTAAACAGAATGAGTAAGGAATACTACAACAACAGATGATTTTGATATAAACTCGAAGAAATTCTTTGTAGGATTAAATTAAGATCCATTTTTACGAAATTAAATTTTGATATTTACCATATTCAGTATAAAGTTTAAAATATATCCTGTACATTAATACTAGATGTCATTCAATAGTGAGACTTGCTCTAAACAGTAATGATCATATACTATATCATGCGTTTCACTATATTTGTAAGTGTCTGTTCATATCCATACGAAACATTTAGTGTAACCTTGGAAAATCATTTCTCATTTCGATGGGTTCGTAGATTAGTTAACAAACGATACGATTAAGTAAACAACATAGAGAGAAAAGCATAGAATTTTTATGAGGATTACTCACATTCTGACATCTGAGGTCACTACTGGAATAGGCATGTTGAATAAATGATTTTTTTATACTGGGTCAAATGTCATTTAGGGCATGGTCGAAGCTGGAGATACTGTGACAGTAACATTAAAAAAGGAATTTGGAGAGGAAGCAATGAACAGTTTGGAAGCATCTGAAGTCGAAAAGAAAGAAATTGAAAAAATGCTTCATCAATTATTTAGCAGTGGCGGTAAACAGGTACGAAATCAATTTGCTAACAGTAAACTACTTATTTTTTGTTTAAATATCTACAAAAATACTATAAACTATTCACGTACTTTCTTTCACAGATATATAAAGGCTACGTGGACGATCCACGTAATACCGATAATGCTTGGATGGAAACTACGGTGGTGAATTTCCACGACGATAGTGATTCTGCTTTCAGTCACTTTAAATTAAAAGCGGGAGACGACGCTGGAGACGTAGCATGGCTGGAAGTCGACCATAAACTTGACCTCTACGCCAACCATAATGATTTTATAATGGCAGTAGCAAGATTGCATGGGGCATACTACTAATTATCACGGAATTCATTCTAAGCCGCTCCGGATAACATTTTCAGTTAATGTACAGTATTCAAGATACGTAGAATCAATAGTAAATATTATGTTACAAGTTATCTTGTACAGAATCATTTTTTATAAGTACATATGAGTATTTAGTTAATTTAAAGTTCGGTGGCTACTCCGCAGGCTGAAAACTGGCCAATATATCGGTTGTGTCGGTCAGTCGTAATTACAAAATCAATTTACAGTAATCGTTAATTTTAATAACAATTATATGAAATATCGCTTCTTTCTATTGTTGTATGCAGTACCCACGGTAAGACCTATATCTATTGGTTTAACGTTTAGTTTTCTAAAGTTATTAGCGTGAATCGACTGGGTATTAGTGGGTAATAATCTATAGTAGTACTTGTATTCTATAAATTTTTGTTTCTAAAATCGATATATAAAAGTTTGCCGATATGAGACAGTACGGGACCGCACTATCGTATATAGTATACATGATACATATGTAGCGCACATATATAATAATTTTAACTTATTATTTCGAATAATAAGACCTGTAGCGTTTGCTTTCTATAATTACCTTGTATACGAGTATGTTACGGAACGTTACTAACGTTTTTATTGTTCAAGCGTAATCGTATATGTATATATTTACTCCTGTCAATAACATACGTATGCGTTATTCTGTTATTTGAATTTTTGTAACGATCATCAATGAATGTATCCGTATCGTATGAATAACGTGGCACTTGCTGTTACAGTACACAAAGTAATGAGGTTTGCTGACGACTGCTACATTTAGTAATGGCTAGACTGTTTAATCAAAATTATCGATTTGTGATCACTACTCATTCTAATCATCGCCATTCTAGTGATGCAGACTGTTGTGTGTAATAATAATAATAATGATAATTGTAATAATACTATACTGCAGACTGCAACAATAATAATATTAATTAAATGCAATGAGACACCGCATACCGTACGTCCATACGAGACTATGTGTCTGCGATGACGATAGTCTTGACTAACTATGAATAAAGATATAACACAGAGTCACAGACCATTCAGCAGTGGAGCTCCGGATCCGCGTTTAAAAGCTTTTCTTGACTATGTACAATTGGTATACAACTATTATTCAGTGCCTTCACAGCACGTATCTTCGTCCGTTTTTTTGTATTTGCACAATCATACTTTGTTATGACTTGACATAGCATACATAACCGTCAAGTACTGTGATACTAGTTCAATAAGTTGTGCCAGCTAGGTAAATGTACAAAGTAAGATCATGGACCTTTAACTTTTCTTCTAGTAGTCCATGAAAAGGTACAGGCATAGTCACTACATAAAAGGAGACTGTCTCGCTTACGAGCATTACTATTCCCGTCTTCATTTTACGAAGCAGCGCGGTAATACTAAAAGGTATACCTAAGTCCAATATATAAGGTTTGGAAATACAATTTTCGAAGGCCACAGCAGAATGGTGGCTTGATTTAGCATTTTGAAAACGAGGCAATGCTGATTGAAATGTGAAGAATATATATCTACTGCAGTATATGATTGTGAAATTTGGGTGCTTTTATAGCAGTAATACTCAGAACTTAATGTCAATTTTGGCAAATCCTTTTCACTGTATCTCTAATAGAAAACTAGCAAAATCGTGGGCGATACGGATAGAAGGACAACTTAAACGATTTTTACAAATGATGTACAGTGTACAGTACCTCACTACCAGGATTCTACTTCTGGTCATTAAATTCTGATTGATAGGCTCAGATAAGTTCGATAGGGTTAAATGAAAATTCGGCAAACAGTAATTCACAGTTTACTGCAGAAATGATCTATAACAATCTTTAATCGAAAGACATAACCGGGTACTATACAGTACAGTGCTGTACTATGCAGCAAGGAATCAAGATACTGTGCAGTGGTACTCGTACTTTTAGTCGGATAACTATTCGCCCGGAATCGAGACGATTACTGAGTATCGAAGCTCTAGAAAAAGTCAAGTAAGTCTTTCAACTCTACCCTTGAACTAGCAGCTACCACATACATTAAAATTTGATGCAAATTTTGAGATACTTAATTTAGCTAAATTCGTAGTCGTTACTAATATTTGTAAACGTATACATACTGTTTACACACCCTCCTTTGCAAAATAATAGATTGGCAAAACGCGTACTAAACAGAAATAACAAGAAATCTTCTATAATTTTAATAGATGGTCTTAACGTTATAAAGGAAGCTTTTAACGCGGGTTTGCAATTACATACCTTTTTTTATTCTAATGATAACATATTCGATGAGCACTTTTCTGAGTATATCTTTGACATATCTGATGAGTGTCTCTGCAAGATTCCTAAATGGTATTTAAATTCCATGACTTCCGTGCAAACGAATCGTGGGGTAGCTGCTTTATTTTTTAAGCCTAAAACATCTTCTTTCGATGAAATATCAATGGCTAGTGATAAAGAACTCTTACCGGTAACACTAATCTGCGATAACGTTAGAGATCCTGGAAATCTTGGCAATATCATTCGAAGTGCTGCCGCCGCTAACTGCAGTTCAGTTATTTTAACTCATGGCTGTGCCGATCCTTGGCAGCCAAAAGTTATGAGATCAGCCTCTGGCAGTCAATTTCAGCTTCCTATCTATTACGACATCACTTGGGGTCAAATCAGTTGTTCTAAGGCATTAAAATCCATGAACTTTTATCTAGCTGAATGTATGCGAGACCAATACCAATACTTACAAAATACTCGTTCCACTTCTCATATTTCAAATGAAAAAAAATTAGTTCCTTATTACGACATTGATTGGACACACAAGTCAGGAGCTTTATTGGCTATTGGAAACGAAGCGCATGGCTTTAAACTCAATACTACCGCATCTGTGACTGAATGTTGTGATATTACACAACGTATAACAATTCCTCTCTGTCATCGGATTCAGAGCTTAAATGTCGCTACTGCAGCAAGTATAATATTGTTCGAAGCTTCTCGGCAGATGGATGCGAAAAGGCACTATCTAAAATCTTGTTAATTTAACACCTCATTTAGACATGCTATACATCTGTAAGCTTATACGTTGCAAGATTCCTTTTAAGAATCAATTCCTGCGCTATGACTGCATACGCTATGCAGTAGTAACAATCATTAAATTCCAATTGGTTTCGGACATTGATTAATATAACTAGGAGTCCAAAGTAATGTCTGCTGATTGTCTAGGTCGGATAGCATTTTGCGTCCTGGTCCAGATTTGGACTTTTCTGACATTACTAACAAAGTTTTAAGTGCCTTTGCATGTAATATGATGTGACCATTAGATTGATTTCGGTCATACACGTTTTTCTTAGTTAAAGATATGTTAACATAACTGTATACGGAGAATATCACAAACTATGATCTATTTTTTGTCCTTGAGAGCACGAATAACTCAAACAACTCATACTTTAGTACCTCTTAAGGGGGAGATATTACAGTGATAAGATGTTGCCTATGTTGTAAATAGTAATTGATTGTAGCAAACTAGTAAGTCTCATACAGTGCAATGTAATAATTTTTTTAATCGAAACTAGGTACGATAAGTATACTTAGTTTTGAAGATATACGGTATTTAAATGTACTTACTATTAAAACAGTTACTATGCGAGTACATCAAAGAAGCTTTTAATAAAATTCTTGCAAAATTGAATGCTACATAATACGCTCGTAGTAATCACTTAATTAACCAAAATCCTATAGACGGGCTTATATATAGTATGTATTATTAATTAATTATGAATTTACTTATTATATGTTTCTAGTGATAAGAAGTCTTTTACCAATGGTAATCACTAATATGGGAGATAGAAATAAAGAAATAGACGAAATGCTATTATATTTTAAGATAATGCGATGTTCTATCCTTATCTGATATTGTGCTACTTAATTTCATTTATTAATAGATCTTTTAGATAGAATATAATTGATAAAATTAATTGTCAAGCTATCTGAATTATCGTACTGTTATAAGGGGCTGAATTTAAGTATGTTAGCTAGCTTAAGAATTTCTTAGCAAGCACCCATTTTACAATTGGACTGATATAGCTTTATCCCGTGTTAATTTTACAAATCACTCTTTCGTGAACCGATTCAGATTTATTTTAGGCTTTTCTGGTGGCTATCATTAAAAGAAGTATTACGCTATTAAAAATCTATTTATACATCTTATAAACTTGTTTACATGCGGTCAAACATGCTTCGTAGCGTATCTGGTTCGATCTTTTTCTCAAACATTTATTTAGATTTATTATAATTATGATAATCGTAAATGAAACCAATAAATTAACATCCTGTAGCTATTATTAGATTTATGTATCTAATGATTTCTCATCATGTTATTCAGAAAAGAACAGCGATAAAAATAATAGCAGGACGTTAATTTAGAAATTGTCATTAAAATAAGATTGATCTCATTACCCGCTGGTGACATTTCTTTTGTTCTTAGTTTAATTTAATATTAGAGAACCCTTTGTTTTAGATTTTTAGATGATAGCATAGATATTTTATTACATTCACTATTTTAAATTTCTATTGATTAGGAACCATGGGGTGATTCATTATAGTACCGTGTAAATATACACTACAAACTCTGCGACTATAATATAATCAACTGGAAATCACAGAAAAATAAATTTCTTAGATTTTTTGTTATGGCATTCTTTGAAGTCTTTTAAATTTATTTGGACTTTGAATACGTTTTCTTAATTGTAGCAAGAGTCATAGATGGAAAAAGATATATACTGTATTTGTGGATAATAAAAAAATGCAATAGATTGACATTCAATATGAAATATACGGTTGTGGTATAGAAGTAATGTGAAACTATTTCTACACTCATTCACGTATCAATAATAGCATCTCAATTTAAATACTGATGAGACTACATATTATAGTACAGTCACTATATCAAGATATCTAATATTATATGATGACTACTGAAGTGTTAAATTTAAGACCGTTATCGATTTTATTGAAGACGACTATAACATGGTATTAAAATTACATATAAATAAGAAGTTTCAAAAGGTACAAATAAATCACGTTATACACTGATTATGCACTTCATCAATCGCCTGCAATGATATTTGCATACACTATATACACGATATAACCATTTATGAATAGCATATATCTGCTGCAGCACGAGATCATTCGCGGTATCCTGTATCTCTAGATTCTTATAACGATATTATCCCACTTCTTTCCAACTTTATTTTAAAATTTTATTGAAAGAAGCCGAATGACAGCTATATTTTAAAATATGTCACGTGAACAATGCTATCACAAAACAGCTTTGCAACAAGATAACGTAATGTACGATCAATAAGTCAATTCATTGAACCACGTATCAAGGAACGATATCTGCACTATCAGAAACACTTTTGCTCTACTAGCAGACTACACAAAGACTTGGACGTCTCGTATTTTACGTTAAACACTAAGTCTGAGAATCGACTTTATTACGCGATATACTGCATTTATATACTCTTCCTCAATAGTTCATGAGTCATAGTTAGTACGATTAACTTTGGAATCATTTACTGAATTAGATATTAATTTTAGCTACTGCTCCCTTAATGCAGACAACAGTATTTATGAACATAGACATCTGATTACTAATACAGAATAGTCAGATTACGACATGTCCTATCATAGAACATTTCCATGATAATTTACAATCTACCATAAGTAAGTTATAATCACAATGATTCGAACTGTAAGTAGATGATTTGCATTCCCTATTATAACTATTAATTTCAGTATGTGTATATGTGTCACTGTCATAAAAAGTCAGTGATATATTAAAACACAGTATATCCAAATTAGAAGTTAACTAAATAAGGATAGGCTAACAGAATTATCCTAACATAGATATTTCTAATCTAATACAGTATATAACACTGTCACAAATGCCTAAAGAATTTTCTTTTAATCTGAAATTAGTGGCCATTCTCATTATTATCTATGTCTTCGTCAATACATAAATTAAATTATTTTAATATCAGTTGCCTAATTATAATAGCTCATTAGACCGTAACGACTACTCTTTTCAACTTAATATTCCTTGTCAAAGTAAAGAAAATGCTAATAAAAGCCTGATAACATAAAATACTCACTATAATAGGTATCGAAACAATCTGCAATAATTTATTCTTGTCCCTGTTTTCATGGATGCAGGTGTGCTTATACGTATTGCCTAATTGTCTTTATATCTACAAATAATATCGTAGAGTCTTTTCCTTATATAGATATTTTAGAATAGAAGTAAAATAAACGTATAGATTTTCTTGTATAATCAGACATGCATCTACTTTTTAACGAAGTTATTTCGCTTAAATTAACTGATATATTGTACTATACGTATATATAGGCAGAGGACAACATAAAGAAAAGTCAAAAAATACCTCAGTTAAGTCAGCGGTGTTAGTTATATTCCTCAAAACTTATCACTGAAGATAACCATATCTAGCAATTAGATATGGTTTACGAAATAGAAGAGGATAGTCGATCCGCTATTTCACAGGAAATTACCAGAAGCAGTAAAAAGTTTTTTCGGGATGACTTCTTAACACGACGTGGAAGACGTGAATATTTAATGAAAATGTTACTTCTAGTAACTGTTCCAATTATGGGAGTTATTGCTGAATCGATGATCCGCTTAGTTAATTCCATAAGTGAGGAAACAGCAAGTTATAAAACAAAGGAGCAAATGAATTTAACTGAGAGTTCAGGTAAGTTTTGAAGCTTTAATTGGAAAGCACTGAAACTGAAAATCTCAATAATAATTGATAATGGATTATTTGATCCATCACAGTCGCATCGATGCATGCCTATAAGTTTAATACCATTTATTCTATATAGGTGTAACTGTTTAGTTTTGTTACTAACGCTACCTGAAATTATTATTTAGTTTATTAAGATAATTGGTATCTAGTTGATTATATCTATAACAAGTCAGTCATTTCGAACTAATAGGAGTTAAGTGTATTAGAATGACTAATAAAAATATTAATAGTTTAAAAATGATCTTAACGTTACCTTAATATCTAATAACAACTGATATAATGATTTCAAAGGATTTTGTTTCTCGTTTGACAAATTACTTAAAATATCTTATAAATAACTGATTGCACTTTTAACTCCTTGATGGAAAAGCATTTCTAAAATACAAACGTTTTCTGTTCCGCCAGCATAAATCTAACTCCGAAACAGACAAAATTTTAGTCTTCATTCACTGTACGAATACCTACCTAAATTGTTCATCGCGGAATTTCCACTATCATAAATCTTTGAAAAGTTTATTATATTCTATCCTGGATGTATAGTAATAATGTATACTATAGTACCTTTATTATTAATATAGTTCCTAAAATCTGTTTTATAAAATCATAGAGAAATTGAACTAAGTAAAAGTGACTTAAATGCAAACCTGTAGGCAATTATTGTGAAGGCAGATTTTGTTGACTTAAAATTAACTGGATGTGCATATCTCTTTCGTTAACTATTAATTGTTAGAGTATCGTAATTTTCAATGTAGCCATATATAGTATAAAGTATATTCCCCTTACGGGCATAATATTCTCAAAAAGGTACTAATTTGACTAAAATCTACGCACTAAAACTTACGTTGCTGGTTGAACCCTTAATTTCTCATATTTTTCATGCCTAAATTGAGCTAACTTGGATTAACCGATAATTACTTCTAGTAACACTACAATTTTACAAATTTTAGTGTAATAAACTTCAGTTGTTTCTCCTTTAAAGTTAAATTCATAGATTCTAAACTATCTGCAATAATTCCTTTTTAATTATATTTTATACAAAAAAATACTTAGTTAACACACACAGCAATAAGACTTCGTAGTATCATGTGCGTAAATATATTCAGTGAATAATTATCGACCAACACAGAATTACTTACAATGCATTCAAATTTGTTCAATAAATAATAGTTATTCGTATCCAGGTTGAAACTTTTAAAATTTAGAAATCCACGATAATTCGCAAATCAATATCAAACAAATTTAAAACAAAAGTCTAGTGAAAAGAGCCATCCCAAAATTTCATTTGTATTTACAATCAATTATATACAGTACATTTATAGTTGTATCAGATAATTTGTTTTAGCTTCCCAATTTATATCTGATCTCATAATAACTAAACCCATACAAAAGGTACGGTACCGTAAAAATTTTCTATATAGAAATCAACTGAACAAAAAACATTAATTTCATTCTTGCTGTAGCTATGATATTATACAATTAATTTAAACAGTATAACTACAATTTCTTAAATTTACTTGACAATGTAAAACTTTAGAATCAAAAACTTTCAAATTTTATTCCATCAAAATTAACCGGACAGGATTATCACTAAGGATGTTTAAATTTTTATCAGAGTAATAATGTATTCAGTGATACACCAAAATGTCCATAGATTTATAATGTTTCGATATTAATAATACAGGACATTAACGCTTTACACAGCGAAATGTGATGCTTAGACTATTCAGAATAGTAATAATTACGTTATAAGCACTTACAAACCGCATTAAACCTATTCCAGTAAAAAAATAAAGCAGTAAATATTAAGATGTCAAATTTTATTTTCCATCTAGACTAATATTTAAGTAGCAATTCATGAGAGAATATAGTCTGTGTTCCTATATTATTGTTTAATGGTAATTTTAACAATAAGATAAAAAATTCTACGTGATAAAAATATCTTTAATAAGAGATTTAAAGATTTAGTTTAAATGTTGATATCAAAGATTGGTCATCATTTACTAGTCACAGTTATAAGCGACAATTTTTATTTTTGGGGGATTCTATAAGCATCATTTAGTAATCAACATTTGATTTAAAAGCGCTATAATTCTAATTGTATGATTCGCCTATTTTTCAAAACATAAAATCCGCTGCATTTCAGCAATGGCTAGTAACTTGCTATTGTAATTAAATTTAAAGAATGGTTATCTATCATTTAACTAAAGTTTCATATTATAAATGTCGTCATTGACTTTCAAATATTCTGACTACAACGGTAATAACTAGTAGAATTGACATTCCCCCAAATACTTATTTTAAAAATATATCTAGCTGTCAATTTATATCAAAGAATGCTACCAATTGAGTTTACCACAAATTCATAGTATTAAGCAAATATTGCAAAAGCATAAATTATAATTAATAGATCGTAATTGGTACTCAAAAAAGATAGATTTTTAAATGATTATATGAATACGCAGAAACAGTAGTGAAGGCTTCATAAAGCCGATTTAAGGTTGTATCTATTCTTTTAATGAATATAATTAATATTCCATATATGAAAACACACCTTTCGTCCAATTTAAATCGTTCCCAATACTATGCATATAAGCTAAGATTTATGTGTATCGCCTTTTAGACAGGTTAATCGTAATTGCAATTAAATTATCTGTTAAATGTAGCTCAACTCATTCATAGCCTGCAAAATGAAAGAGGACAAAGAATATTAGGAATTGGAAATATTACAACTCTGGAAAGTATTTTAAAAGCTTACAATAGCACAGATTCTTGGATAGATAAATTACAGATATGGCCACTGCCCAATACAATTATCGTACCAAATTTTTTACTTACTAGATCACAACTTCTCACTCACATACAAAATCATCGAAAAACCAGCAATAAAATAATCACAACTTCATCTGCTATACGAAAATTCATTTTGGACGAAATTTATTTTTACGAAAGCATTATCAAACCGTTGATCGAGTATCTATTAAAATTAGCTCCAGCATCGAGAAATTCTAATGTTTGGAAATTATATGTTGGATTTAAAATGTTAGCTTCAAGTAAAGAAGAAGCATCAATAGTTCGAGAATTAGGAGTACTACATTATTACTTAGGTTATTTCACGGAAACGGACTTGAAACAATATATTAAAGCCGATTCACTAAATTCGGCTTTCTTAAAAACGTCTAAGATTTTTGCTTCTCAAATTAATGATTATCTTAATTCTGCGTTAGAATCTTATCCCTCTTTATTAATAACACTGAACAAGATGAAAGCAGAAATTGTAAGTAACAAAACAATCCATAATCGAAATCCGCTTATGTGGTGGTTTCAATTGAACACTGCTTATATTAATATTGAAAATACAGTGCATAAAAGACTCTCAACATCAATACAAGGCTATCTTGAAAAAGACATTCGCCTGGAGAATACTGATGTTATTATCGCTATTTGTCTCCTCTTTCTAATTTTTTGTATTTGTCCGCTGTTATTTAAACTTATGATAAATTTGGTCCGATCAATTGAAAGATTTGCCGAGGATGTGGTCCAGAAAACTGATCTGCTGAAATTTGAACGTGAACGAGCTAACTCACTTCTATACAGGATGCTACCGAGAACAGTGGCAAAAGAACTTAAGCAAACTGACTCTGCTACTGCAGAGTATTTTGATCAAGTTACCATTTTTTTTAGTGACATTGTTGGTTTTACTCAACTATCCTCGCGCAGTACACCCTTACAAGTTATTGAATTACTAAACGCTCTCTATCTAAATTTTGATAACACTACGGAGCTTTATAATGTTTATAAAGTTGAAACTATTGGAGATGCTTACATGGTTGCATCAGGTGTGCCGTTACGAAATGGACGGAAACACGTGTTCGAGATAGCCAAAATGGCAATTCATTTAAGGAAAGACATCGAACAGTTCGGCGTGCCTCATATGCCGAGTTACAGATTGCAACTAAGGATTGGTATTCATTCAGGCATGTCAATAAAATATGTATTTAGCTATTAGATATCTATACGAGTAAGTATATTAATAATATAGTGAAGGTTTGCATTTCCTACGTGTTAGATTGTTCTTATTATAAGTAGTAAAGTGTTCAAATTACAATCAATCTTATGTAACTTGCAAATTCATTCAAAAATCTAAATCACTAAACTCAGAAGCCTTCAGTGTAAATCTAGTAATGTAATTCAACGACAGATAATGCAAAAATGATACACGGAGATCTTGATTATGTCTACATTCCAACACGATATACGGGATGATGTAAATATTATTCGCATTATCTATTTGACACCAACGTAAGTTGGTCAGTATCAACTATTTATATAGTACAATATCTTGTAATTAGTATTCAGAAAGAATTTCACCTATTGAATTAATAGATAAGACACTCTTTATGTTTTTAATCTTCGAAGTATCGACTTAAAAATATAATTTCAACTCTAATACCTATTGGTAATAATTAGGACCGTGCATGGCCGGTGTAGTAGGAACAAAGATGCCAAGGTACTGTCTCTTTGGAGATGCAGTTAATACAGCAGCTAGACTAGAAACCACTGGAGCTCGTAAGTGACAAATAGACTAGTGCCGATGTCACTATAAAAATTTATTCGCTTATTACGCAGTACTGTAGTTCAATAAATAAGAAGCATTATAATAAGTCTCATAATTTGAGTACCATGTATTGGTCCAGAACAATGCGACTTTAGAGATAACTCAGCACAGTTGCATTATCTGCCATTGTTGCATTGTATTAATTAAATTTAAAACTTATCCTTCCTGCAGCTAATCAAATTCACATTAGTAAGGAATCGTATGAATTACTAACGATCTTTGGTGGTTTTGAAGTCGAGTATCGTGGAACTGTGGAACTCAAGGTATATAATATAATGTTATTCTTAATTGGTCTATTATGGCCCAAAATAATAATTGTTTTCACTTTGATTATTATCAACGATTTACAACACTTATGATAAAGCTATACTTATCCATACACTTAACTTGCATCAATGCGTGCCGTGTAACGAAGATATAGTGTACTGTAATTGATAGTATGCTTTTTAACATGCTACTGTAGTGCTAAGATATTGCCTACTGTAACTACTTAATTTCTTTGATTATATGACAAAATATATTTAATATTAAACATGAACTAAAATTTTCGTATTATATTAATTCCAACATATAAGTTTCAATAAGTTTCTGGCAGCAACTAAGAAGCTAGTGTAACGTATCTTACTAAATTTAAATTATCTTTAATAGGGTAAGGGAACCATGGAAACTTATTGGCTTATTGGGCGTCTTAGTCCTGATCAGATAGACTCTCTGCCAAATACTGTACAATGGAAAGATACAGATATAGCAAATATATAAAAAACACGAGCATGGTGTATGATCATATTAACAATCCGGTATTGTTGTATCAATATCAGATACTTAATATTGTCAAATATCGATTAAATCCCTAGCCTACTTTATGCCGATACTGAAATTGTTCATTAACGTTTGCGGGATACTATCTGTAAATTTAAGTGAGCAGTTACTAACCAATATGTCCATATCAGACCTGAATATACGTATGGTATAACATTATAGACGCGCATAGTACCGTACCAGCTGATCATATATAAAATCATTGCGTCCTATACGCTCAGTCTTCGTAATATTTATGTTTTTTTCACTATATATAAATTACAAGCGCTGTATTATGTATGCAGGCGCTAGCATTAGGGAATCCAAGCCACATTTAATTAAACGTTCTGACGTGAGTTCCCATCACGGTCCATAAGTATTTAATATCTACTAAGATTCGAGCATGTCATAAGGATTCTTATTGAATTTCTATAAATCTTAATTATAAAAAATTGCAGATAATATCGTACGATCGTATAATATAACCTGCTTTAACTTTAATACACTCACTGTTTAGCAATCGTTTATTGCAACAATAAGTACAGCTTAAGAATTTATAACTTTTTTTGTCATAACTAGTATAAATTGAATTAACGAAGATATAGAATCCTAGTTAGAAAACTTAGATAAACCGAGCAAATAAAACGTGATGGTGAATATGTACGAACGCTAAAATGCTGTGCGTAATATGTAATCAAGTAGAATTATCTGGGATGCAAACATGTTCACTGGTAGATGTAGCAGTTTAATGGCGGCAAAACAACCGTAACTAATCAAGGCTATTAGCATAAAATATTTATAATACTGATGTTTCTAATACCTTGCTGTATAGCATACAGTGCATATTAATACCCTGTAAATACGTATATGATAAATAAATACCAGAATTATCGATCTGTAGTAGAGTGTTAAGGTTAGGAACTATTACAGCAAAATACGTATATCAGCAGAGATTTAACCTAATCTGTTTACACTCTTAATAAATCTCCTCTCGCGGAGAAAAGTACAAGTGTGGGTAACGATAATACACTGAATGAGACAAGGAGTACCGCTTAGTACAATAAGTTCAGCATGTACGAAAAATCTCGTAATGCAATGAATCACAATATCTAGAGTATATTTGTAGGAATATCACACGCTCCCGATATTACAATTTTTTTAATATATGATATGATATGATATAATATAATAGACTAGTCGAAGACTCTCACGTAATACATATTTCTTTACAATACTGTATTATTAAGATAATCTGATCGAGACTATAGCGCACTACATTGACTGATTCATCAGCCACCAAATCTAGAGTATATTTGTAGGAATATCACACGCTCCCGATATTACAATTTTTTTAATATATGATATGATATAATATAATAGACTAGTCGAACATTCTGACGCAATACATGTTTCTTTACAATACTGTATTATTAAGATAATCTGATCGAGACTATAGCGCACTATATTGACTGACTGATTCGTCAGCCACCAAATCTGTTCGCTTCCAAGTGAGGCGGGCTCGTGATTACTAATTTCGCCTACTGTAATATTACAGAGATTACAAAATAATTTTTATCCATAGATAATTCCGTACATCTCAACGGGTTCTTATCATTAGAAGTTCAATATTATTAATACTACAGTAAAATTCCTTTAATGGAAGAACATGCTGGCAACTTTGTTGCACAACATAGGCCAAACACTTCTCTAAAAGAGAGTTGCTAATATTAAAAGTATCACCCTCACGCCTTCAATTAATTATAATTATCGACTGGGCTTTACACGTAAGAGTACATCATTTTATTATCGATAGTTTTCTTTCGAGTTTACATACAAGAGATTCATACCAAAGTTCGCGTATATTAACTGTAGCATATTATAGCATGTTATATTTTACAATTTGGCGCCAAGGGTGTAAATAATAAATACTACCAAAGAATACATACAAACATTCATACAGGTTTAATATTTACGATATTTCTTATCTTGGAACTGAGAGTAGACTTATGTGATTGTATGAGTACTTTTAACTGAGTAGTTACTGGCACAGCGAACGCAGAGTCAATCGAACAAGCCAATACTATTCCGCATTGCATAAAGTTTTAGATTTAATTTAACCTTACATTTAACTCATGTAATTCTTCGCGCTTTTCATTCTCTTGTTCAAGTAAACTTTCCAGGTTAGATTGTAGGCGAATTTTTAGAAAAATGTTGGGGACTTCGTCAATCTTGCGCCTCTCTTTTATAATTTTCGCTTGCAATCTTATAAGTGCTTCCTCAACTGTCGCTATTTTGTTGGCAATGTCAGCCCTTTCATTAGCACTTATACTGTTATTAGTGGAATCTATGTGTTCTCTACTATTTGCTTCAGAAGGGTTATTTTTAGTTTCCACTTTATTATCTTCTTCTATTTCATCATCACTCATATGTAACATCGCTGCAACGTCATCACATTTATCTTTCATAATCTCTGTGTCATTGACATCATTTATTTCATCGACGTAGGGGCTCCCTGTCGTAGATATAACATTGGTAACCACAGACGTAGGTCCAGTTGAGTCAAGGCCATCCAGCTCAGAAATTTCACTTCTCCCATCATCAATTTTTTCTTCGACCTTTACAACTTCATACGAAACTTTCACTGCAGCTACATCTTCTTTAAACAATCTGCGTAATTCCCTTTCAACTTCAATAGAGTGAGCATATTTCTTTTTTGCAGTTTTACGAAATCTTCTTTTTCGAACATTTTTTAAAGGTGGTGAAATGCCATGAATAATAGCATATTTCTTGAGCTCCTTCCTATTTAAAATTTTTCCTCCTTTAGTCATTGAACTAACATCTATAATGTCCTCGTCGCTACTAGCATCTTCTTTACATATTAGTAATTGACTAACATCAGCTGATTTGTAAAAAGTTTTTCTGTCAACTGTCTTTTGACTTTCAATTATGCACGGCAAATCGTACATTTTACCATATAATTTATCATGACCATACTCGATGACCGCACGGCGGCAATCATCAGAAAAATCTATTGATAATGGCTTCCTCTTGTAAGAATTGGCATTAATGCTATCTCTAACTTCTTTAGCGACCTCAGGTGGCAATCGTACTAGGAATTGATGCTCATATTGCGCGTCTTCCCCACGCCATCGGCTCATCCTTCATGAATTTGCTGTACTATATGCTATATAGGAAACTTGAAATATAGATAGTGCGTAATACTGTGCAGTACAGTACAGTGATACAAATAACTAACAAATAAATAAATGCACTGATAACTATAATTTCTAATTTCTAATTTCTAAAATAAAATTGATCGATCTTATGTTTTGTATATACTGTATAATACGAGCACAGTACAGTACCGTACAGTATGTATGTTACCGTCCGCAGAATAGAATTTTTGCATACTGTACTGTACTGTAGTCTTCTGATTGCGGTAGGGTTCAGTAAAGTAACGGGAGGCATACTGTACTGTACTGTACTGTATCAACAGTAGATAATACTGTATTACGAGTCGGTACCGTAACGCAAAGCACGTTTAATGCTACGGTAAAACTGTACAGTGTACAGTTCAGTGGAGTACTGTACAGTTTACCCTTTGTAATACTGTAGTACTGTACTGTACTGTACAGTACAGCACTAGTGCTGTACAGTAGTAGGGAAAGAGGCTACAGTACTGTACACTGTACAGTACAGTATCCCTGTCCCAAACTACTGTACAGTACAGTTGTCCATACTCTACTGTACAGTACTGTACAGTGTACTGTACAGCACTGTACTGTAGAAAACATGATACTGTACTGTACGTTTGAAACAAATCCCGCCTCTAATTAGGTAAAAAGGTACTGTACTGTATACTGAAAAACATGCTGGGAGGCAAGGCCAGCGTTGTTGATAATATAATGTTTAATGTTTAATGTAGTGCTGGTCATTTTAACTGAAACGTATATCTGAAACGATACACTGTTACTGTAGAGGTAGAGGTCTCCACCGTCTGATCCACTGTACTGTACAGCACAATACGTAATGACACTGTACTGTACTGTACTGTACTGTATGCACACTTACTGTACATAGTGTACTGTACTGTACACCATAGTTTTTTCTCAGTGACAGTACTGTACAGTACAGTTCTTCATAGATTTTGTGTGTTCTAACATAAGTTTGTAAAAAATTGAAATAAATAAATATAATCATCGACAATTACTATCGTAATGCCTCGTGGATTTCTACGGCTGGAAACTCGTAGTCGAGCTAAAGAAGATGTAAAGAGAATATTAACCGCAATTGACAAAGTCAGGAAATGGTAAGCTTTCTTTCCCCATGGCTATTACAGTAATCGTTACTAGCGTGCCCGTGGAATATTTCCGAAAATGCTGGAATGCTATTCTATAAATGCCGCTCTTTGTTCATTCATTAATTGATAAAATAAGATTTAGATTTATCAGTTAGATTTATTTAGGATTACTTATTTTAAATCGTATTATTAACTTATTATAGGGAAAAGAAATGGGTTGATGTTAAGGGATGCTCTCTTAAGACATATAAATGGGTCCCTAGTAAGCATTGTAGATAAGAAGACGTGTCGACAAGGGAAAACACAGTACAGTACACTATACACGTTTATAGCTATTCGACTTTCAAATACAGTATTCGTATGATAAAATAAAATTAATAATAAATAATGATGTAATGATATAAGTATTATAGTACAGTATGTTTAAGAGTCTAGACAGTACAAATACGCAAAGTATCACTAGTCGGATGTTATTCAAATAATGATAACTTTGTAGATAGTATAATAAATATATTTCACTGTTAATTAGCATAGCTTTATCACGATTTTATTATTATAATTTGTACGAGTAATGAATCCTATCAGTCATTACCTAAAATAATTTTTGAATATTTTCTTAATAGTTACTGAACCCAAACCGAACCAGGTACAGTACAAACCCTTGTTTTGTAATATTAATTTAATGATATTTCACAAATGATCTAATGGTTATTTATACAAGTGCGTAATAATATATTTTGTACTTAGTTGAGCACAGACTTGGTTTTATACTGTACAGTAATGTATTTACTTTCGAATCCATTTCTTGGAATCGTTATACGAGCATTGTGAATATTGATGCTCTTTCTACAACTGAATTGTAGATTAACTTAACTACTAACAGTAAACTATTTCCATATACTCGTATGTTAACAGACAACTTTAAACAAGGATGAAGCTCTGGCTGTTGGAGACAAAAGAGACAGATTTGATGATGAAGTTTCAGGTAAAATCGATGCGCAACTGTTAATAGATTGTCTTAAGGTTCTACTATATTTCGTACGCTGAATAGCCTAAACGTCTACATTGCTTTACTAGATAAAAGGATTTTAAACCGTGTATATTCTAATTCTTACAGATATAAATAGTAGTTCAATTTCACTGAATTACAATGATAGTTTCGTAGTTGAAGGCAATGAAGGAAGTATTCAAGCTGATGACCAAGAGCCTACGCCAAAGAAAATCTGCCCAAGTCAAGGTGGCATATTTAAACTGTTTTGACTCAATACTTAGACTATATATTATTGTTCATTTATATTCCGTAGCTTTACCTTCTTTCATATTTTTTGATGATAATCAATATATCTTCTACTATATAGATGTCAGTAAGAGTCAAGTCTCCTTTACGATTGGTTCCGATGGTGAAAGCAATGATTGTAAGTACGAATTGGTTCCATAATATGATAAAAGAGTTACAAGATATTTTTAATCATTTTACCAGCGGACAGTGAAAATACTACAAATTTATTCGTATTGGAAAATAAAGAAGAGTCCGCCAGTGTTCCCGCATCAGATAATGAAAATACTAAGGAATGGAAGTTTTCAGAAGACAAAAACATGTCGATGTTAGATATTACCATAACATTGTGTTAAGCTATTGAAAGCAATAGAACTTAAAATATCGTGATTTAGTTACGTAATTATACTGTAAATATATCTAAAAGTATTTTTTAAGTAATTAACTAACTTAATCTTTATCGTGGTATAACTTTGATAATCAACTTGGAAATTAAAACAATCAAAATAGATCGAACGCGAGTGATTGTTGTTTACAAGAAGCCTCCGCTGATGCCGATAAGTCTGAGAAAGAAGGTAATGACGTTGTCGTAAGTGTTAAAAATAAAATTGACAATAATCAAACTGTCGCTTCCATAATTTATAGTTCGTATGAATCTTCTGTCTTGATTTAGATGTAAATCGTATTATACCAGCAGAATCCGATTTAGATACTTCATATAAAGATATACCTGATCCCTCATGTAAGGACGATGCAGCAAAGATGTTAGAAAGTAAATCGTTATGAAGAAACGATGAGTCACGATACGTACAGTGCTAGCGAAACATCTGACAATGAGAAAAATATAAAGAATTCCTCTACACGGAATTTGGTACTGGTCACAGACTTACAGTGCTAATCTATTGACACTGAAAGTTTGGTAGAAAAAGTTTAATTATGTCATTCATCTCGCTGACTTCTACATATTATAATCGATGGCGTGGTTTTGACATCCTATTCCAGAACTAACGCTCGTAGTTTAGTCGTACTTGTTCTTAATTAGAATTGTTGATCGAATTGTAAATACCTAATTTTTACGAATTATTTCAAGTATATTAATAGAAAAATAAAGTTATCTGATCTACAAATGAAAACATGTAGTTCGCGAGTTAATAGAGTTTAATGTAGAAACTACGGTATTAACAGGAACTAAACCTACTGGGTAGTAAGTTTAGTAAATAGCACTGGTGATAGCACTTACTACAGTACTTGTAAAGCCTTGCATAACAACTAGAATAACAATAATATAAGTTCTTGGTGCTGTAGATTGTAAAGGGCATAAAAAATTTTCCTCATGTGTTAACTGTGACGTAGCGTTTGTGACATATTTTAAAATTTAGGTGAATATGTCATCAAAATCAGAAAGGCTACATAAATTAACTTGTATTACTATATAACAGGAAATTACAATTTTACTCTCATAAATGTTTTTTTGGAATATAGGAATTATGCATTAGTACTGGAGGCGCGATCAGTGTGGATTCATGTCATTGAATGAATCAAATGCTACATCCAACTAAACTTGTCTGAGTGAATTAATTATAAGTCAAAATATTAGATTCTTATCAAAAATACAATCATGTGTAAAAGTGATCTGCTATTCAGGCATGGGCATTCCATAGACCTACGAAAAGCGAGCACTCATAAATTGAGAAAAACTTTGTATATTACTGAGACGGTATACGTAAATAGTATTGTTTGTTTTTATAGCCGTGTGTGTCCTAGTGATGTCAGTTATCCAATATTAGATAACAAACTTTGTTATCTACTATCTACTACCAGCCTACATGTTCTCATCGCGATGATAACAGTTATACTATCGTGAGAATCACGTTGAGACACTATCTGACAGCTTTAGGCCATGAACTATTAAGGATAATATAGTGCTGCACAGTACTTCTCGGACCAGAAGACACTTCGTTGCACACAATGAGTACTGTAGTACAGTGTGCATCGTCTCGAAAGTATCCTGATAGGAACTGCGCTTGATATTATAATGATAATATCAAAGAAAAATCTGATCTTTGATATATCTAGAGCGAGCATTGCAGGCAGTCTAATAATATACGAGTATACAGGACGTACAGTATAATTAATTAGAGTCTGTATCTCTGCAGTAAAGTACAACTGACCTAAAATGTGGTAGCACTAGGCATCCGACGATTTTTAGCTTATTAAATTTGAAAAGCAATCTGACCCAGAAGTTGATAATACTAAAATGTGATTAATTTAGATTCTCACAGTTAATAAATTAAGCTATTGAATTTAAATTGTTATTGGATTATTATACCGTATTGCCTATTTATATACAGTATATATCATGCTAATTCGTGGTCATGAAAAATCTGAGTTTATCCAGGTAAATGTAATATATCTTAGCTATTGTGAATTTGAACGTTCTTTTTTATTGTATCTAATTAGATACAATAAAAAAACGTTCCAATAAACTTTAAATTTAATGCTTAATTACTGTACTATACAAGAAAAATAATATTAAATTTTAAATTTTTTCATGCTAGCTATTATAGCTATAGTTAATTAGCAGGCATTTACAGGGTATTAGGAGCTCCTATCATAAATCTGAACCCTGCGTAAAAACACCGACCTGCAGTTTAATTTATCAACTGTGAGAATCTAAATTAATTACATTTTAGTATTATCAACTTCTGGGTCAGGTTACTTTTCAAGTTTAATAGCTAAAAAACTTCGAATGCCTAGCGCTGCCGCATTTCAGGTCAGTCAGTGACGCTAAAAAACTGAAACATTCAGCCTCGTCCGTCTGTCTGAGAAAGAGATGGGCAATTGGGCATTGGAAGAGCTGGACAATATATCCTGACACGTCTGTATACGGTACACTGTACAGTACAGTACACTATCAATATCATGCAGTTAATTAATTAATTATATACAGTATAATACAGTGCCGTATACTGTATGCGTATCTAATAATGGAATAAAGAAAGCTCAAAATCAACTTGTAGCGAAAATTACCATACTGTACATCATGGGCTTTAAATTTTAGTTATTTACCAACTGCTCAGCTCTGTGCTTTCGTTTCTAAAGGGTTACGAAACCATGATGAATCGAAAATCGAAATTTATTGATCAACTAGCAAGTGAACTAATGTTAGGCAGGTTATTAATGTTGACAGAAGAACACAACATTGATCATGCAAGTTCATTGCCTGTTATAGAAATATCTTCTGCTTTGGAAGCACCGCGAGATTCGGTTGGTATTTTATTTTAGTTTAGATTAGATGATTTTCATTATAAAATGCACAGTTTAGCATCGTAATTATGATTCCTAAATTGCGCTATCTCTGATGCAGCAACTACTCTATATCTGCTTCGTACATACATCGTTTTAACCTCATTATGGCTTAATGTTAGTAACGGTCTCTTATTATGTAATTAGCTTCGGATTTGCTAAATTATTCTGTTGCATTGCTCTTCCTATACTTTGGAACAATGCACAGATAACTGACTGAACATGGCAACCAGTGAGTAGTATAGGTTATCACTTACAGCATATCAGATATTCTCACTTCGCTAGTATCTGAATATCAAATTGGATTCTAACACAGACCTGTTCCTTGGGCATAATCAATTTCATTTTTAATTCATTCTCATTATACGTGTATACTTCCTATCAATAGCTTATTACCTCACCCATATTTTGATAGATAAAAATGGTATTTATTTGTGAATTATTGTTTATAGCAGTTTTTAGCCGAATGGAGACAAATGAATCGTACATCCTTGCAATATAAGAATGCTAAAGAGACTGCGTTAAGATGCAAATTAAATGATAAGGAAAAATTCCAATCAAGTTCTTGCATTGGGTTCGAGAGTAATCAGATTGCTAGAAGAAATTCAGCTAAAGAGATTGAAACACGAGTGTACAGGTCAGCACGACTCGCTCACAGAACAATAAGTAATATAATTTAACGTTTTGCTATATTTGCCCATTTGAGTTTTTATAGAAACTGACCACTGATACAGTTGCTATAAATCCGATCTTATTCTCAAGAAGCCATAAAATATAATTTACATTCGAATACATGGCCAGAGACTCCTTCAGTCGAACAATTCTTTGTTGTAATAAATATAAAAAATTAATATCATAAATGCACCACGTAATATTTAACAGTAACATCGCCATCGTCGTGATTAAACTCAATCACTAAACCCACACTAAGTCGTTGCCGACAAGAGATGCCAATCTGTATTAACTTCATTTAGCATGAAATATCGTTGCGGTAGTATCAATATTTCTTCGTGTGTTATAGCGTCTGTTGATTACACAGTAAAGTATAAACGAAAACTTAAATTTCGGCTTTCCTTCCTATTCTATTTTTGTTGTCACTCGTTGTTTCTGCATGCCAAGCAATACATAGGACATAATCGAGAATTCTAATTGATCTTTTTCGTTCTTAATGACCGAAGTAGTGGCTATATTGCAGCTAATGGCAAGAAAAATACAGAGTTTGTTATTACTATGTAGTGCAGCCCCAAAAAATAACTTAGATTACGATCCAAGATTGTACGAGAATAGTTTGAATTATACGTTAGATTGTAAGATTGTAGCAAGTGTGTATTTGTAGAAGACGTTTACAATACATATTGTAGCGATTATAATTATAGCGAAATGTTTATATTAGGATCTAAGATAATAAATTGCCTCAAGTATATTAGTACTGTGAGGTTTGTATTGGGACGCTTTAATTAGAAGCGCGTTAGTAAATTTAGATATGATCTTGTAACTTAATTGGTAAGATATGATTGTATTTGAAGAAAAACCATTGGGTAACGAATTGTATATAAATCGTGAATTTTACTATAATAATTTAGATAGTCTAGAGATAGTCTGATTGCAGCTAGATAGTCCTTGGTAGTTGCAAGACGAACCTAATATCATGTAATAAAGTAAAGTTTACAAGAAACTGTAGTTCTTGTTGTATTTTTGAGAAGATACTTTATCACATACTGACATAGCTTAGCCTTCTTGATAGTGCATATATACGTATAGCAAATAAATACCTGATAGTACGTATTGCTCACGTACAATCTTGTTATCTAAATTAAATTATAATTTACTTATATCTTTCAACTCCTTTACAGACATCCTATTGTAATTCATGTATACGACGATGCAAACCAGAGTAAGAAAACTAAATTACTTTTCGCAATTATAATTAGAGTTTTACATTTACAAAGTTGAGTTATCATCATTTGTTTATTTTAATAGTAATTTTAATAACAATATATAGTAACCAAGGACTTCATTTGCCCTCGCGAATTACTGGTTAAGGAAATGCAGTACTTTGCTGAGTGCCTACCGCATGATATATCTTCCCCAGATGATATCGATATTTCAGTTCACTGCGATATCAAAATATTCCGTTGGTTAATGGAGTACGTAAAGAGTAACGATAAGGATGCTAACAGCGATCAATCAAAAATCACAGAGAAACCCAAATTAGGTATATTTTTATAAGCTAATTTGCGTCACACTGTACAGTATATATTGTGTTAAAGTGTATGTAAGTGTTAGCTACTATAATGTCTTAGAAATAAATTTAACTCTTAATCAATCTTTCAATAAGTACAGTACAGATAGCATGTAATTTGGATGCAGTGGTCACCCTACTGCACGCTCATGCATTTACTTTGGTGATGTATTTAAATTGCAGAATTTTTTGCGGTAGTACTAACTTTAACTTTTCATAGCAAGAAAAAACGTTATCCCGATTATAATATCAGCTGATTACTTAAAAATGAACAAACTCGTAAGCACGCTTACCTCTAGTTATTAAAAATTTCTTAACATCAATAGAATTAAGCTTATATTATTAATGCTGCGCAACTTCTGTGTTTTTACAATTATGTATGAATGATGTATCGATCAAAACTGTTATACTTCTTACGGTATTATAGGTAGATGAGTGCCTACTATATTTCCGCTGTAATATATCGGAGATTCTTGCGTCTTCTAACCCTAAGTGTTTAAATGACGGTCTGTTAAAGAAGTTAGTATTAGACAGTAAATTTTCCGGAATATAATCAATAGTAATAACTTCGTAGATAGAATATTATGGAGATTACTAACTGCAGTAAGTTAAAATACGTTCTAGCATCTTACTAGTCTTATAAGATTTTTATTTGTGTGCTTTCGATATATTCTAGGCTTGTAAAACTTTTGACTGTCGATGAAATAGCAATGATTAAGGATCCTAAAGATAAAATTACAACGTTCGTGGTTTATGTTTGTAAAATTATCACGGCAATTATCCTTCTTGAAACCTGCGAAGTTGCTTCATTCATCTTTGATCTTATTATGTTTCGCATTTATATTAACCTTACTTAAACTTCCTTGTATTTTACAAGAAATTTGATCATATTAATTAAAATTTTTATAGAAAACTATATCAAAAAAAGCTCGAAGAATTATTTTACTCTGAGAATGCTGGACAAGGCAATGGCACTACCTTGTTTCGGTTAATTATAATACTCTTGGGTTCTAAATACCTCGCTTTTGATAACAATAATTAATTTTGTGTCCGACTTATCGTATCTTTTCGTCAAGATGCTCAAATTGTGATCGTATTATCACTATGGAAATGCAGCCTTTCATAAAATGCTCAGTAGAAACGTAAGATTTAAGACAAACTTTTAAGGAATACTCTTCAATACATTTATATAGCGTTCATTAATTACTTTTTGGTATCGATTTTTTCTGTTTTAGTACCCATATAGCGAGAAATGGAGACTTAGTTTATCTACATAACAGGTATCAGTCCGGTGTCTTTCATGATGTCGTAGTGCGTACAGGTTTTATCTTTTAATTTTATACATATTAACAATAGTAAGTTTTATAAGGATAACAACACTTTTAAATACAAATAAAGCAATGTAAAGAAACGAATATGAAATATATGCCATAATTCTTATTTTGCTAGAATACATTTTACAATATAGTACGATAATTAACATGTATACGAGTACTACAGTTATTAACTATGGCGCCATTATCGATGCTCATAGAGATCGTCAATGGAATATAAACGTTTTCATAAAAGAACAATATTCAGAACTAAAATGTTGGAAGAAACTATATTGGAGGTAGGAGGACCACGATAATAATATCGCGGAATCAAATCACCAGTTTTACTGTTTATTATTACTATCTATCTTACGAATGTAAGGTGATTAAAAACTATATTCACCTCAGATTTTGGAGTCAAATCAATTACCTACGTTGCATAAACTGTAACGAATTGTTTCCCTGTTCTGACTTATCATGTTGCAACGCCAAAGGCAACGATAACAACAGCGGAAAAATTGCAGTCAGTAAAAAAATGGCTGTATTTGATCCATGTAAAATCGTTCAGGTTAGTTATATAGATATTAAAATCTATTCTGTAAGTACTGAGAAGCCCAAACCAATTAGCCGCTTCATTTATTAATTTAAGTAATGGGCGTAAATATCTATGACTTTTAGTCTACTACAAAAACCAATTCATAGCCTCCGTTCTTCAGATTATCCTAGTCATTCTGACTGTTTCTCGTATTTGATAAACAAGTGTACGGGTCCGTTTGCTCATCTTAGTTACTTAATTAAGAAATGATGTAACTGAAGTACAGTAAATTTTACATTTTTATCCAATAGCCGATGGTTTCAACTGGCTAAATACGATAAAATATTAATAGCTTTTGCGATTTAAACTTTAATTTACTGTCCAAACTGGTATTGATTTCATATTGGCAGCTATTTTACGCTGCTATGCTAGCACAAAACCTCACTAGCATTAGTATTATTACATTATTTACTTGAATGGCTGGCATTGTACATGTTTGTATTTAGATATGTTTATTGTATTACCAGTCAGTTAAAATTTTTCGATGAAGTTCTTTACACTATTCAATTTGACTTGCATCGAAAAATTTCTGATTCATTTCTTTCGGATTACCTATCTTTATAAATACTAGAAGGACTAATCGAATACTATCTTACTTTCTAGTCAAATACAAGACAAGAACATGTTTATTCGCCCACCAATACAGATAATAATAACCTTTTCATGGCTAAGATATGGCAAACCCTTATTAATCACAAGGATGATATCTGCTGTATGAATACCACTTCAACAAAGTACTTAATTTGTTAATAAGAGATTTACTTACATTCACCTTAATAGTTGATATTATAGTGAAATCGAACAATATTCGTTTGGATAATCTAGATTAAATGCGACAGAAGAATAACGAACTAAATTAAAACCCATCATTTAGTAATCTAGCAAAAATTTGAGCGTGAATCGTATATACTGTATATTCCATAGGAGCAGACAGTTGAAATCTAATCCATTTGCTGCAGAAGATTTGTTCAATCAAGGATTAAAGGTATTCGTGTGATCATAAATCAAATATATAAAGTTCTTAAGACTTTTGGTTATAATTATCAGACATTATTGGACTTGTTTTCATCTAATTAGAATTCTGTTTACAAAATTGATTAATTTACTTATTTAAACAAAATTTTGTATTGTTGATAATTTCAGCGGTCTAAAAATGAACATACATCCAATACAAATCGCACCGAAAGAAAGCCTAATACTTTGCAAAATGTAAACTAGCGATATCTTGTGAATTAGAGTAGATTATTAATAAAATCAAGCAGAAAATTGTATGAAATATCGATAATACCATTTATTGTATTTCTAGGTTAATCTCCAAGTCAAAAAGACTGTCTTGATAAATACCGATGATTTTAGTATTAGCTCATGTGAGGAAGATGACAGTGAAAATGGTTAGTATGCAAATGAATCAATAAATTATTAATGACTCTAAAGTAATGTACAGTACTATAGACCTTAAAATAATTGTAATATTATCCATGACTTAATTGCGTTAATGTAACTTAATACCTTCATGCCAGCGACATTTATTAAAATATACTTCCAAATAGTTTAGAATACATCTGAATATATTTATAATTATTTGACAGACGAATTGCATGTGATAAACTGAAGTTTTACTAGAAATCGTAGTTCTTGGTATATATTTTGAGGCCGCGTTCTTCTCATTTCTTTCCTTAGACACTCCGATATCGTGGAAGATTTTAAAAGAGACTAGTATAAGCCTATCAAAGCAGGAATTAACAAAACATGGGTAGGATTGATAATTACATTAATTAATGTAATTAAGATCGCTCTACCAACTACGCTGTGTTATTACAGTAACTATATAGATTACGATATAAGATACCAATGTTAATATTTAAAGGTATTTCTGAAAAGAAATTGTTACGATTCTTGTTTAAGTTTTTGAGTACACTCGTGTATTACGTATTTACCATTGTACTAGAGCATAGTAAATTCATTTCAACTTCAGCGGTAACTGGAACATCGGTCCTTCAGTATGCTTGTCTACTGTTAACCGTATCCAGTAAATACTATATATCACAAACAGTAAGAGTAATAAAAACTGGTTGTAATGTACCGTAGCTAAAGTTGTTAATCTAAAATTAAACTGTAATAACTCTCCTGTATATAAAACTTCGTAATGTTAGGGTTTCTGCACAACATTTAAATCTATGGGATAACGATAGAAATGATAGATGGAATGAAGATATGCAAAGAGAAGAAGGTTAGCATAAGCCGCAGGAGGAAGCCTTAATACAATATAATTTTTTCTGATAGAAATTTAATCTTGCTAGGTTATGCTAATACCAATTTACTTATTGTAATCAACTAATCTATAAGCAATTGCGTTTAGACCAAGATAGATTAAGAAATATTATTCATTGCCTATCATCAAGTTATCATTCAGAAAGTGAGGACGTTAAGCTAGATAACAAGGAGGCTAGTATAATATTCTACGTGAATTACTCTCAACTATTTTCTTTCTAATAACGAAAACTTTCTATAATTTCAAATCTGTTACAGAGTCAAACTGGTTTGTATTATATGATAGAAAAGAAGTTTAAAGCGGAAATTGAAAATATCGCTTTAACTTCGCTTCCAATGGTTCAAAATTCAACAGCGAACAATAGCATTAATAATAACTTGAGGCCGAGGTAAATTAAAATCATAAAATAGGTCTTAAATGTTACAGTAGTACCTGTTTAGATAGGTATTAAAATGCTATTGTATCGCCGTAGTCTGTTTTCCTAAATTATTAGAATTTCATATTCTGGGTATTTTTGTAGTTCCAGATTACGTCAAAAATCATCAATCGGAAAATAATTACGAGAATTTATATCAACTTGATTAATATTCCGAAATTGTACAGGAAAGCAACAGCTTAACTCACTCATAGTTTCGCCATGAAATGCGTCGTTTTCCTAACGAATTTGTTACATGTATGCTAATTCCCTTGCAAGATATTACACATGATATAAAGTAAAGAGTTGTGGTTTCTCCTTTTATTTAAATATATATGTATATACTGATTTTCTATAGTTTGTGACAAACACGAATCACTACTAAATTTCGTTTAGCGAAAGCGGTTTATATTTACTTTTGCTTTTTATTCGCTATTAGATAAAGATAACTTTATCATTATATACTAGTGAAACCCGTGGAAATTCGGCAGAATATACTACGAACTTAAATTAATAGAGTATATTGTAACTCAATTTGTCACGTCACAGTAACTTGAACGAACCCGCACAAATTACTTGAATTAGGTTTCTATGGAAACTGGATAAACATATGACACCATAGAAAGATTAATAATAATCACTTATCGTATACAGGTATGAAATTCGTTGATATTAAAATATATTGGTTAGAATATTGTAGAATCAGAAAGAAATGAAAGAAATATGAATATATTTTAAGTAATACAGTTATGGAAGAATAATTACGCAAGTTATACATCATTAAAGAAATTGGTATAGCAAGTGCAAAGTAGGCATAATATTACCTATTTATTGTTGCAGTTTCATGAGATAGTTGCACATTGCTTCAGCTATTATTTGATTCATTACTATGTAATTTTAGTACACAAAGAAACTATGTTCTACAGCAATAACGTACACTTTTATATCCCAAATTTAGTCCTATATTATATTCGATAACACTTAAAGCACTCAAGTACACACAATATGTTGAGCTAAAGCTACACTAAGCTTTTTCCTTATCGATCATCTCCATTTAACGATTTAATCTTAATGTTGATATTTAAAGTGACAGCGTGATACATGTACAATCGCATTAATATGATTTAATGTTATACGAGTATAACTTGAATTATTCTTGTGATAAATCTATTCAGTGCTTTTGTATATCCAATGAAAATAAAACAGTAACAAAGGAATATGTATACGCCTTTACGTGAAGTGTTATAAATTGATCTCGCCAATTATGATCTAGAGTAGTGTTAATTACAGCGATTTTAGACCTTGGCCATACACTACGAGGCAATTTACACTTATTAAACAGATAATTCAGAGGTCATAAGTAACATATTGACTCTTCCAATAATTAAACAGATAGCTAGCTTGAGATAGAAGAAGCTTTATTAAAGATGCCTGCCAGAAATTAAGCAAAGCTATCTAATTTATCAACGTACGAAAGAGAAGAAGCATATGCACATCTCTTATACATTTCAAGTAATACGTGTAAACATGTTTATCAAATAGAACATAGTAGTCAACGTATAATATCCAGAAGTAACATCGTAACAACACACTAAGACCTTGTTATTCACTGCAATATCATAGTAGGCCATGCTTCAATAGTATTGTTGTGTGTAAAATAATAATGATGGCAATTGTAATAGTACTGTGCCGCAGAGTGCAGCAATAATAATCTTCACATTAAAAGCTTCACTGCGCGAGACTATAAGTTGATAACCCCGTGCCTATGAGTGATGATTCTTGATTAACAGCTAATAAAGATATAGCAAGTATGATAAAATGTACACCTTGATGCCGTACTGCACTGTACATTGTCAGTATGCGATACCGTGTACCAAAATTTTGTAGGACGGCTGCATAGGAGTACATTAACCTACTTATGTCGATTAAGTATACCTCTAGGAATCTAGAATGATTATTAATTAATTAATTTTAATATATAATATATCGCACAAAAAGTCTGTATATTCATTCATGTTTACTGTCTAAAAGCCACTAATATCAAATTGATAGCCTTAACATTTATCGGCAATATTAGTGCAAACTCCTTTGAAAATCGCTACCTGTATATAATCTCTCAGTCTTAGTTTGATTAGACGGAATTTAAGGGTGATATTTTGAGTATCTAGTATTTAGTACTAGCTTAATTAAGATAGGCGATGATTAGATTTTGTTTATAACCTAGCCGTTATCATCTAATGAGCTAACGCAAGTTATCAGATATACAGCGCTGTACATCTACATTGATAGAATAGCTATCTATTTAAGGATATCTTTCGAAAAGTTGTCACTACGGCAGTTTTTAATATTTTATTGTATGTCCATAATCCACTTTCAAAAACTACTGAATAATAATGTTCACATTGACACATACTGAATATAAGTTAATGTATAATAAATATTTTATATACGCGTATCATATTAAAAATTTTCTTGATATAATTCTAAAATATAAAGAGAACTAGTTATATGTCCATTCTTACCGAATCTACAGCATTTAATATTTATATACAATATAGCTATATCTTTATTTCTTAAATTAAAAATTAGTAAGATTCAGTAATTCAAATTCTTAACTTCGAGTATTACAGAGTAGATATTACACCAGAAAAATAATAAGAAAAAGGTTCGAAAATCTAAACCATACTTCGAACTGTATATGAGTAAAAATTTGAAATTATCATGCTATTAATCTTTCAGAAATTTTTATGATGATAAAATTGCTCTAGACTAATGTATATATATATATATATTATATACGACAAGCCTTAAAATTAGGCAACTTATTCAGGTTTAATCGGCTTGTCTTGATACATTCTTATTTGACCATCTAATTCTTTCAATTCTTGACTTAATTTTTCATTAAAATGGTATATTTGTTCTATAATGGCAATATTAAAATAATCGAGAAAATGACGTACTTAGTAGACATGATTAATTTAATGGTAAAAAATATACTTCAGAAGGAAGGAATATTTTTTCTTTTCATTAACTGCTTGACTACGTACGGTAATTATTGTAACGAACTGTAAATCGATATCGAAAGTCAGTACCAAGAAGACTAATAATATTGCATATATTTGATATAAAATAACGGTGAGTAGCAAACTCGATACGATATAAATGCAGTACACTGGTATACAATATACTTTAAATTAATTGTGTGGACTCACGGTAACTTTTTCATTCTAACGTGCGCCGACAATCACAAAAAGTAAAATTACTATAACCATGACAGTACAGTATAATATTTTATCCCCGTTTGTAGAACGGGTATAGTGCTAGCTATATAAAAAGTTGATATGTGTACAGTCTCAATACAAAATGCAAGTGGCAAAGTAGAACTAGATTCAAATCCAATCGTGAACCAAACGTGGAAACTTAATGACAAAGTTTGTACTACAATGTGTATGGCTTTTCTGACATACAAATTAAGATCAGTGCTCAATGGCTAAGCCACGACAGTACTATATACTTCGCCAAGAAGCAGATATCTACATATATGATTGAATCAAATACATATCATCATAGTTGGTCTCACAGATAATTAAATCAATACCGAAAGCTTTGAGTAGGCTCACCTGGATGCATCGTAGATGTAACAGTTGTTGATAATCCAGGCTGTCTAACAAAAAATCGATTTTCTACTGTTCTATGAAGTTGTTTTGTAATCTGATTAAATCGATACATCCCATAATAACCCTCTTCTTGTTTATCTTGACTTTTACTAAAATGTTTTAGATAACAGATTGTATTAATAGTTTAGTAATACATGTAGAAAGGAAAAATCTGGGGTATGCATTTACATTCGTAAAAAGTTGCACTGTGGTATTAATAATACTACTAATAATAAAGCATACGCTAAATTTTAAGCCCTCTTCCATATATTTTGTACTATATATTAAACGTGTCGATTCCAGTATCGAAATAAAACAAATTTAAAATTTTTTATTATAAGACACTTGTGCTGCTTACTACAGTGACTGTGGAACTTGCTTCTTGGGTATTTGACTCTTCTTAATCTCCCATTGCTCAACTGAACCGTGCTTGAATGCTTTCTTTGGTTCTATGATCATACGTATATTATAATATAAAAGTGAATATGTTAAGTTAAGAAGCCTTTATAGGCAAGTAAAACCTGCATAAAATATTTAAATATTACTTTCATTACATAATTTTCTAGATCAAGTTTGCTTAAAATTAATTTACTTTTATGTTTGTAAGGATTGACTATGTCGCGAATGTAAGAGAGATCGTATAACTTCATGGCTTCAGGAGAATTTCCGTTATTAATGGCGTGATTTTGATTAGCTGATGACGATACTAATGTCTTAACAAGAGCAGGATTAGATGACATGATTTTTCCTTCAACATCGTGTTGCCTTTGCTGAAGGGGCCGATCATTGCCCTCTACACTTTTCCACTGGTGATCATTTGATATAAGCTTCTGTCTCGGAAACGTTGCAGCGTAAGAAGAGGATGTTTGTGAAAATGCTCCATCTCGTGGAATGTTATGATCCTGAGTAACAGATGCTTCAACGGTTTTCAGTATTAAATTAGAAGGTTCCATCGATTGAGGTACACGCGAATCAATAATGTGTCCACGGTCACTTATTGCCAATTTTTCCATTGATGAATCAATAGAATTCTCAAGTTTAGAATCTGGATGTTGAAATTCCTTTAATTTTTTCTTATGATCTAAATGTAGCTGGTTATCCGAAAAATGAGTGGTACTGTGGTATGACTTTTTATTGTGTTCGTTATCATCACCCACATTGTTTAAAGATGACATTCTATTAGTAATTTGAGGTAAGGGAGAACCTTTATCAATAGATTCGTTAACTAGCTTATCACCGTCGTATTTGTCTCTATGATCAGGTGAGTGACCTGGGGTATTTGATAAAATCCTATAGTAGAAATTTTTTACAAGGATATAAACACACCATTAACTTTAAGTTAAATTGACGAATGATACTATGTTTAGCCTATAAGGTAGGTATATCATTAAATTGCAACTCCAAATGGATCATCGAAGTAATACGCGCATTTATGATAATATCCAATATCGTAATAATTCTATCTGCCAATCCTATCACTTGTGCAGTCTATTACTTAATTATCATGGTATCATTTGAAGTTCATACCCTTGAAGAATCCTCAATTTCTCTATCATAGAGTTCTTTTCTTCCAGAATATTTTTTTTTTCTTTCTGTTCTTTTCTAATTTCCTCTCTTAGCTTCATGATTTGTTCTTTATTCTTGCTATCATTTTCTATTAAAGCTTTCTTATCATCCAGCAGTACTCGATTTTCCTCCCTTAAATCCAAAATGTCTTCTCTATCCGTTGAATTTCAACAGCATATTAGTTACTTCTACTAATGTATTGAATAACGCTATCAAAGTCTATAAATTTGTGTATGTAATTAATGCGTAGTCGCGTAGACATGATATAACTACTGTAATTGGGCATATATCCATATATACGCGTATACATATATAAAATTAATATGTAGTGATACCGTACTGTACCCTAACATGGCATTATGCAGATTAATATTTTTAGAGATAGTATGTATCAGATATGTATTCTTCATACAGCAATGAGCTGGATAGTACTTTGGTACTTAACCTATTTCAATAAAGTTGAGCTCATACATAATAACCACTACTGAATGTTAAATATTCAAACAATTTCCTTACAATACTTTTACGGGCTACAAGTATAATATTCACCTCAACTTCTGGTTTTCAGCCAAGAGTTCTTGTAGAATATGAGCCATCTTCCGATCCCTAAATTAAACATAGCAAGCGCTATAAAATTCTGAAATAGCCAATGCAAATGAAATAGTAATCTTCATTCAAATCTATAAGATTTCATTCTTAGCTTAAATTAATATCAATAACAAACTCTCTATCTGACGTTAAGAAACTATCCATCTATAACATTCAAACAAGTATGCCATCAATCCTACCGGTTGTAAGATTGTCTCCCTTGCTCAAGTTTGTGGTATTTTTCAACATCTGGTGCTATTTTCAAAACTCGATTTTGTTAATTGATTTATTCATTAAAACAAATGATATATTTATGAACGAGTAAAGGTAAGCTCTAAGTGGATCTCATATTTTTTAACTATGGTATCAGTATAGGATAATTAGTAATTAATCCATGACAGAATTAAATATTAGATACATGTAATATTTAATGCTGCGCACTCCGAAACAATGAGAACATTACATACTGCCAATTCTGCTAAACCTACCGTCTATTCAAATCGCTTAGCGAAACAATTCTACGGCTAGTAAATGATTACGCCCTTAGTAGTTCCACTTTTCTCTTTTAGAGAAAGCTTCAATACACTATTTTAATAATATTCATTCTTATTCGTAAACTACATGTAAAAAATCTTATTATGAAAAATCTATCGTAAAATGGTAATTTGCAAACATTTTGCTTTAATTATTGATACTAGAATATACTAAAAAGAACAAAATACCTTCTATACTTAAATATATATCTAGGAATCTGCTTCAATTTAGATAATCTATTTAGTTTAAGGTAAAACCGTAAAAATCGTACGGCGATGTGTTACCAGATGACGCTATGTAATGGGTTATAAATATTAAAATTAACTCCGATTTTGATACGCACCATTAATATTAGAACAGTCCTGAATAAGCAGTTGAGCTTTTGCTTGCAATGATGTTTTATTCAATGGTATATTTTCGTATGATTCTTCTAAATTATATAATTACGAATTGGAAGTCTTAGAATATGCTGGAATACTAAATTTTTTACTACTTTATGTGATAAAACTTTTAATTCGCTAACGAAGTAGATTATTTGAGTGACCTTGAGATTCCGGCGATATATCCAAGTGTGCCGCACGTCTTGGAGTCTCCATGGTTTCTTTCCCAGCAGCTACTACGGTAATTATGATTATGATAGATATTATTAAAATCTTAGCGAGAATAATGCACTTAGATAATGCTAAACATTTTAAGTATTAATCCTAAAACTGAGCTCACTGCTATTCCTGGACCCATGCCAATTATTTTTATTGGAAGATAATAACTGACTTTTGATCGCTTGAACTGTAACATTTTCGGAATCAAGTTCTTCCACTTTAAAAAGACTTGAGTTAGTCTTAATGAGTAAATTTGTTGTAGTTTCACAAATAAATGTTATAATGTTTTAGTCGACACCTTAGAAATACCTCTACTTACCGTTAGAAGCACTTTGATGATATATCTTTCTGCCTTCCGTGACTAGAAGATTTTGTTGTTTGCTTTCAGTATCGCTACCTGTATTATTATGATAACTAACTGACGTCAATATTTCATCATAATTTCAAAGATTGTAATTCAATAAAGCATGTCTTAAAATTTTTATGTTTACTTACCATATTTATTCGTAATATTCTGTCTCAGCTGTGATACAGTTTCATGGGACGGTGCTGTTTGATTTACTGTTATATTTTTATTAATTTATTGCATAATATAGTAATAGTAACGACTTAATAATATAGAAACTTTAATTTCATTTACAAACCATCTTTACAGTATCTATTACTCACTATAGTCGTTGGAGAGCATCGGCTGCCTTAACGAAGTTTCGCTTTGTAATTTGGTTTGTTTATTTAGAATATTTTCTTGTCTGTACTCTGAGAAATAGTTATTAATTATAATTGTTTTTTAAATATTTCCTAAAGATTTATAAGAGTTAGAAACTATCGCTCCAGCTAGACATTCATACGAGTATACCAACCATTGCCGTTAAGGTAATTTTGTTGATCGGATTGGCGTTCTGTGTGTGATTTGTCATAATCCGAATATTCCTTTTCCGGCATAATATCTGCGAATGTGATATTTAAATCTTTTAGTGTACAGAACATTCTGGGTCCCTATACATCTGCTAATAGTACACTAACAAATAAAGAGTTCGAACTAAGCTTTAAATGAAATGACTCAGTGTGAGGGAAATAACTCAGTTTACAATCACCTTTTTATTACAAGTCTTCGACATTTACAGGATTACGTATCATGTATCGGAAGACTGCAACTTATATTAATATGGTATGTACTTTAATAGCTCTATTAATTCTGTTGATCTCTACATATTTTTGAATGCTGCAGTTTTATACTTTGCTGGCTATTATTTATCAGTGATACTATGGCTCTTACGTACAGCTAATGTTGTCTAACATATCATTAAAAAATAGTAAGATAGATTTTACATACTTTTATTATATGTGTGGGTATTTTCTTCAAGCTGAGCTTCACCAAGTACTATTTTTTGATGTGCCGATTGTTGAGCTTCTGAATTAATATCTACATCAATTTTATGATAAAAAACTTTAAACAGAAGATTTATGATCAAATTCTACTATTTAGCAATTGCTAGCAGGATTTACTTTTATTGTTCTGATTTTTGCTTTGGTCATATTGAGGTTCTTTATGAGATAAATGATCCAATACTTGTCGGGTTTCTTCTCGAATATCTGTAACATTATACTTACTTAGTAAGAAGTGTTTTAAAATCATCAAAAACTAACGTAAGCTTTATATTTGACTCGTTCTTGGTTAGATTATATACGGTATTTTTGTTGCTGTTAAGAAACTAGATATCGTGCATTACGAGATACATGGCGTGATGATTAATTAATTTTTGGGTAATATTTGAGGTAATTACATCGGTATAACCATTACATCATGCCATGACGTAAGACATTTTTAGATTACTGATGAACCTTACTTACTATTGAAATATAACTTACTTTTATCATCCTGCTCATTGAATTCATTACGTTTATCTGAAAGCTGATGGGTTTTACGTTGCTTATTTTCTATTAATAATATTAAATTTTGATTTGATTTGCATTAGTGAAAAGTTATTAATAATTCGAATTTACATCTAAAACATACCAGCAATATGGGTATCATTACATTGCGTTAACGTCACAACTTGATCTTACAAAGGTGATGTTAATCGTTCACGGTCTGTTATAAATTAGTCTATAGTGATTCATGTACATCAATGATAATTATTATGTATATAAGAAAGTCTTAACGATAAGCAGTAGCTATTCGTACCACATCCAATGTGTTAAAATGAGATTATGTAGTGAATTACTAAGACAAGAGTACAATGTGATGCAGCATCACGCTGTAGCTTAGCATGATGTGTGGCTTATGTAGTGTTAACTATTCTTGATGAAGGCGAAGACAAGATGCTTAGGAGTAGATAGCGTTTATTTACAGCTAGAGATATGACTCCTTGTTTAGTGTAATTATCTAAATTTTGTAATTTTTACTAAATATGAGTACATAAAAGAGGCAATATTTAAGACTGTGAAAGCTATGTACGAAGGAGGAGAGTAAGCGAAGAGATATTGTTTAGATCTGATTTTGTTACTCGTTGATAATTTCAGTTTTATAACTAATAAATTAAACGTATAGCCAGATCTAAAATCTGTTTTAGTATTAATTGCTACATCCCAACAAAGGATAATAAGCAATAGCAATGCAATCTACGTGATAGACTTTGACTGTCTGTGTCAGACTGTCATGGATAGGAAATGGAAGTTATGGGGTCAGGACTGTGTCGGAGGAACTGGGTGAAATTCTAAACTGGAAAGCTAGTATGATTTAGATAGCAGCACATGATATAAATTCTTGTAATTGTTCCTATTTTTTTTTTAGGGTGCTAAAACGACACAATAACGATTCGTAGTAAAACAAGGGAGATGTTTACGGGTATAAAGTGCTAGATATACCATGGACCCTTAAAAGGACTTCTAAATCGTTTGTATGAAATTTGACGATGTGCAGTAATTTACGTCTGTCAGCATCAGTTAGTTGATATCTCTAAAATTTTAATACTATCAAATTACTATCGCATTTAAAACATTTTTTAAATATTATAGGTATCTCCCATTTAAGTAATTCACGGCAACTCGTGTCTCATCCAGGAGATCTAGAAGTCCATGTCTATGTGTATTTATACCTTATTCAGCCGCAGTCTAATCTTAAGAATGTGTCTTGTACAATAAGTATTATAGCTATTGCAATGCTACCCAACGAATCAATGTACAGTAGGTAACTAGTTAGATCATATAACAGCCTCCTTAGATAGTGTTTAATGGCAATAGTCTTAAATAAAGGCAGAATTAGTAAGCTTACTAGGCGGAGTATATCTGTATCTATTGTCCCTTCGTTAATGACTAAGTAGAGAACATAACGATAATTATAATTATATAATTATAATCACTAGGAAGTTCGTATGTTCTCACCGGAATTTTCTAAAGGATCTTGTCGGTGAAATTTGTCTTGAGAAGTAAATTGTTTAGTCTTCTCTTTATCATGTTCTATGCCAACCAGAATAATAAAAAAAAAAGGTACAATTGAGTATCTTCATCCTTAAAATTATACAAAAAAATGTTTATCTTGCTAAGTTTACGTTTAAGGTTATTCCTTTCGTATGTAGAAGGATTTTGAGACTTTAATTGGATTTCAGCCTCTTTAGATAAGGAAGTCACTTTATGTATGCTTTCAAGTTTCTTATCTAAATTAAAGCTATCATTTTGTCGAATATCATTTTGTGCTTTCATTCCTTGATTTGATTCATGGATGAATGGACGTGACTGCAAATTACTTGGACGATCATTTTTTTTGGCTTTCCTTTTAACCTTTTTTCTTTTAATAACCTTATTCCCTTCCTGTGCATTGATAGCGTGGTTATCCTGAGATTCCGATATTGTCTTGGATTTCGTTATATTTTCTACGTGCGAATTTTGTAAAATTTGATGGTGCGGTCTTGGGTGAGCACTGTTTTCTGCTTCTAAAATATCACGACATGCTTGCACGTCATCATCAGATGCAGGCGATATATGAGTATTTCTTGGAGGTTGATAGTCATGGAAAGATTCAAGTATTGGACTTGTCGCTTTTGCGGATACGATTTTGCTATTAATTTGATCTCTGATTTGATCATTACGTATTTTATAATGGTAATGATTTGAAGTACCTTGCTCTGACATGGTACCTATAGCTTGATACTCCTTTGCGTCATGATAACTATCGCTCTGCTGCCTTCTTAACGATACATTTTCTATCCTGAGTTTTTTTAATTGCTGCTTTAACGCTACTATATACTCGTCTTTTGGATCCTGTAATGTTTACACAATTATTTTATGAAAACAAAGAATTTTATTTCCTTAGCAATTGCTAGATAAATTAACTTATTATTTAGAAGAACACCATAAATAGTTATGATGGATTCCGTAACGGAATGAACGAAAATTAATAGTTTTATAATATAGGTATAATAACTGTGGGTAATGATTTATCGTGTTTCTGAATGATTGAAAATTTTTATTGATTTTCACAATACTTCTAGAATTTCATGAAATTATTGTAGTAAACTTCTATTAGACTGCTTGCAATATGATTTATCTTATTCAATGGTTAATAATCTTCTTCATATGCTAAATAGATCTCTAATACAAATCCTATCTATTTATAGGAATAGCAATTTTATACATACCATGTGCACTTTAGGAAAATTTTTAATTTTCTTTGTTCGGTTGGCATATCGTAAAGAATTTAAAGTTTCGCTAACGTATTGTGAAGAAGGTGCTATACACGCAATCTATTTGAAACATAGGATAGAATCATAATGAAACAATTGAACTCATTATAGGTGTAATCAATTCTGTTAATGTATCACATTCGTTAACTATAAGATCAATAATATTATTTAATATACCGATCCATCAAAAGTTCATATACTAATAAATGATGTAACAATTTAAGAGCTGGAATAAACGTAAATAGTATTGCATGTCAATTAAAGGTAAATCAAGATACCCAGTGTGTAGATGTACAGTATATCATTCCGAAACATAACCATATCAAAAAAGTTTTTAATTGGTAGAATATAGTCTGTGAAATTATATTCGCATACTAAGATTTATGATAACCCTTACCATTAGCGTTATCCCATTGCCACCAAGACTGTCCGATAACAGTTTGGTTAATTTACTTTCTCTATATGGAATATGACCATGCCGCTTGTTAACGTCACTCAATGCCGATATACAATTACCTAAGCAGATAATTTCATTATAGCAATGTATAGCAGATCATTTCATATTTCAAACGGTATAGATGAGAAATTTGAAACATTATACTGTAATAACCTAGAGTTAATAGGCTTTTATTAATATTTCCCGCTTCTGCTAAATTTTCTCCTTTATGATTTTCTGCTACCTTTTCACTACCTGTATACAATAAAGAGTAATTTCTAAAACGATTGCGTTACAAATTGAGAAATTTATCTTTTAAAGATAGCTTCATATTTCAATTTACAGCTTAATTTCACGAATATACTGTTCACTCATATTACAACTAAAAAAAAAATAAATGTCTAGATATAATATTCTAATAAATTAGCTAAGATTAGAAAATGTTCAGTAAATATGTATTCGCATACGTTATTAACAATGCCAAATTACCTGCCAAGTCTACAAAAAACAATTTTCCATGCTTCGTTAAACATGGCTCATCAAGATCTTCAGAACTGACCTTGGGTAATAATGACATTAATGAAAAAAGTCGAAATTAATTACAAAATCATCTTTTATTCTTCTGAATTTAATCGTTCCAGAAATCTCAAACTAATTCGATCATATTGCTGATCACTTACGACTTCGCTATCAATATAAATTGTTAGAATTGCATGACTGCGACTTGATCGATCATTAATTGCATTGGATCCGATTTGACGATGTCTTATACCTGTTTACAAGGTCACAAATAAAATAAAATAAAATAAATAAAAATTCGAGTGAAGATTTAGTATTAACTATAAATTTTGTGTCTGCATCATTACACGAGTCTCCTAAACATTCTCCCTACAGATTACACCTTAGATAATGAAAACTTTACCTTCCTCAAGGACTGCTATTAAATCATCAACTGATTCACATTCTAAAACAAACGCATTTTCTATGTAAAACCCACTATCAGCAGACCAACGAACTTGAAGGGATTCAACAGTTGTCGAAGGATTAAGTAAGTCTTGCACCTGCCAAATAAATATAGATACAAAAATTTAGATGAGAATTATCGTTATGAGTAAATTAAATACGAATTTTAAAATTATAGTGACAAATAGTCAACTTTAAATCAATCCTGATTGAAACTAACTTGCTCATTATAAATTTCTACATATGATGCTCGGACTTGATACTGAATTGATGGGTTCTTATCTATTTTCCCGTAAATATACTGAAATGCTCTGAAGGATAAATAGGGTTGGATATATTGCCTTTATGTCAACTCGTTGGGTGCTGTAACATTTAATCAGGTTAACATCGGATATCATACAATATCATATTATCCGCTCACCGCTGTATTAATCCTTGTGATTCAACTTCTAATAATAAGTCATTCTATTATAAGTAAAGATAAAATTTTAGGTTAAGAATTTTATGAGGATATTGTCACAAAATAGAAAATAAATTTCACTGTGATAGTAATAGCACCGTTATTAATAAAGAAATGAAATAGCCCAACACTATCGCAATATCATTCTACGTAAGATGTTTGAGTAAGCTTTTGCTAACTATAATACTGTATATCAAAGTACATATATACTTGTAAAAATAATATGATTACAGAATCACAGTAAATAGTAACTGCATTAATGTTTGTAACTATCATCTATACCCCGGTAACTGGTCCAGTCATGGTAAAAGTTTTACCAGAGCCCGTCTGACCAAATGCGAAGGCGGTACATGAATATCTATGCACACGTAATCCAGTTAAGAATTAAGGAGCTTGTAAATTCAATACGCTCATTAACAAAATGCTAACAATTCATATTTCGAACATTAAAATTGTATTAAAACGTGAAGATATCAGATAATGAGTATTACCAACCCGTCTAAAGCTTTATTAAGTAGCTGGCAAATTCCACATTGCTGGAAGAACTATATAAAGTTAATAAATTTATTACAGCGGTTAAAAAGTTATTCATCAGTGCACTATAAATCAGCTATTTGGTTCATACTTCTTCTTGTAAAACATCTGCACGAAAGACTTTACTGAACGTAAATTGTTTATTATCTTTGTTCGTTTCAAGCTAAAACAGAATTATTCTAGATTAACTTTATAATATTAGCTAGTAGAATGCATGTTCAACTTTAAAGATATAATATCGACAGTAAGAAGCGGTCAGATAGATCTGTAGTTATTTAATGCAACTCTATTATGGATTTGGTAACAGATTGTCCTTGATAACGCACAACTATAGTATCATTTGTTGCTTGAGTAACTTCTTTGGCTCCGTTTTCAATTTCGCTTTTCATCATAGGGCGGACCCTAAAATCCGAAATAATAAAGAATTGTATGACAAGTTTGCTATTTATTATCATCTTTCTGATCGGGTCTTTTGGCTTTGTATGTGAATTATGAGGAATCTGAAAAATCGTATCATTATTATTCATAGTGCGTACAGTCAAATTTAATTGTTGTGATATGATTTAATTTATGGGATTACTAGGTAAAGACTCGTTACACTAAAAATACTAAATGCGTGCATAATTAGGCCATTAAGCGGGCAAATATTAAGTGAACTATGTAATAGAGGTAAACAAAAACTTACTGTATCAGTGTTTCCAATATGATACTGGTAGTCCAGTACCTTAGATAGACATTTTTTGATAGTGCAGTAATGTAAAGCTTACTATTGAAATTTATAGAAAAATTTTCGTATTTATATTTCATAGCGAACACTTCAGGTCCTCTATCTGAATGAAATTGCAATAGGAGTCGTACTTATATTATAAAAAGGGAGTATGTCATCTTATAATGAAATAGAAGTAAATACGCATATATTAGCTTATTATATTTAGATAAAATTGTAGCTCGAATTATATTTTGTATCATGAAGTAAGAGTATCTGTGTATTGTTATGCGTGCATGATTGCATGGAAATAAATATATCCTCGTATGTTGTATGCTGCCATTAACGATATACAAAAACATCTATCTGTTCTACATGAATCAAGAATTAAGTACCTGACATATAGTAATCAGCTAAATATATATATGTGTATTATCTCTGCATAACTAGCTATATAGCTAACTAGAGTATAAGTTAAAGTTTGCAAAGTAGAAAGGAGATAGAGCCTAGTTGCTAAATTATGAATCTATAAATTATATTTAGAACCAACTAAACATATGCGTTGTACTGTCTGATTTAATGTTCATAGCAAAATTTAAGTACAGAACATTAACGAACGATGCTAACCGAACCACGACTTCAATATGACTTGCATTCCCTTCAACGTCATCGTTTGCATCTTCATTCCTATTTTGAAATAATATTTGTAATTGTGCTAATTCGTAGAGTAAAACTGATTGAAATAAGAGCAATTATAATGGTGTAAGTTCGATGCATAATAGGCCAAAGCATTTTTACTTACCATTTTCCGTTAGCTTGACCATGATTTAGTACTATTGAATTTGAGGAAGATCTACTTTTATCAGTGATTGAATCTACTCTTACTACATGCTCAGGTTTATGAGCGCTATTGAATTCCGTGTGATTAAAATCTTTACTTGTGTCTCGTATGGTAGACATAATTCTCCTCGAAACAGGCTTATTATTAACAGGAAATTCGACATCAATCTGGTTCACAAATATTCAGTCAGTAATTGAACTTCTTGTGGATTATACAGTTGCAATTTTTTACACATTATATTATATAAATCTATGTTACTTAATCTATCTATAGATATCATAAATTACAGCACTCTAGCGGCCCACTGAGATATACGCGTAATTTTTAATTAATATACTTAATTATTAAGAGTGGTGCAATGCCGTGATATTGTATTTGCGATCATTGAAAGAATTCCACTAGGGTAGTTACTATCTCACTAGAGTTATCATCTATTGTATCTAAGGAGGCATTTAAAAAGTTATCATATATCAATTTTGATAGGAAAATTGACCTATACCTATTCATTCCGCTCAAACTTTTATTTTTAGCGTTAGATATTGAATTACTTATCGATATTTCAAACCGATCGAATGCAGTATTGGTACTATTCTAGATTGTTTAGATTCAGGTTAAGTACTGTACTTTTTTAGTTATTTTTAAACGACTTTAACTGCATGGTTTAAACAAGTCTAACAATATTACCTTCGTGTTGTATATATTTATCTTTAAGTTAACTGACATGGCTACACTTTAATATTTACCTTATAAGCTGCTGCAGAATAATATTTTGATTCGTTCTTTTGTAATTTACAATAAATACAAGTATATACTAACTTGCAGTATCATTAAGATCTGAGCTAATAGTGGAAAGAGCTAGATGAAGCCTATGCTATGCTTAAAGCGATCATAATACTGCTGTTCATGAACATAGCTATGATGATATTATCGAATGAAAATAAGCTTCTACGTACTACTCAAAAATACACTATAATCAATATAGTGCATACATATGCATACGAATATATCAGATATGTTATGATACATACACATATAGATACAGTAGATGTATAATATAACAAGAGTAAATCGAGGAGCTTCCATAACAACGACCCTAACCCTAACATAGCAACAGCGTCACATGACGAGAGACTGCTGTAATATACTGATAAGTGATAACTACAGTAGGCAATATGCTATTAAAACATTTTTATTACTTTCTTAGAGTTAAATTCACGGCGATTGTGATTGCTGTAACAATTTTTTCCGTTACTAATAGCACCGTAATCAAATCTGATTGAAGCGATCGTATGTAAGCTATTAGAAATTTACACCATAGTATACTTACTATACTGTACTATATTCGTATTATAAAAGCCCCTGCAAAAAAATACAGGGATGGCATGAGTAAATAGAGTAAAGTATCATGGTTATGATGGAAATAGCTAAAGGATATTCGAAAGTTCATGCAAGTAATGTAATTATCTGTGGGTTATGATATGTCAGGATGCAATGGATAATTGTTTGGTGCCAACAATTATAAAACTCTCACTAACTGTACTTGTGAGATTGTAATACAAATAACGTTATGAGTGATAGTCCGTCAGCAACGCAATGGGTTACAAACAATTGATTTTATTGAAATTGGATTTGAATCTTGAATTATGAGCAAACTCTTATTTACCTTCTCACTATAGAACTTCTATGGACTAGGAATCAGTAATAGGGATTGATTAAAAATGTCATCAAATCGCAGAGACAATTTCGAAAAATTTCATGCATAAAATTTAGTGGCCTAAAATTTTCGCTTGATTTAGAAATGTTGAACATAAGCTTCAGAGACTCAGAAAAGGATAGAAATTCCATTATATTTAGTTAATTTTTTGTCCAAGCTTATGAAAGTGAGGAATTATAATAGATATTATATGTTATATTATTATACTAAGTAATGAACAAGTAGTGCAGTGATATTTGTACTACACTCTGTCTATGTTAAAAAATACGATTGATTACCTTATGTAAAATGTATCACTAGGAAGCAAAACTAAAATATTTAAAATTCTTATGTCTATAGCTAGTTGAACCCGTTCACTTCCAAGCGAGCTTCTACGATATTACAACCCTGCACTGAATCCAAAATCTCCAATGTTTTTACGTTATCTCTTTATTTATGTATGTATGTATCTGATAGTCTCCGCTGTAACATAACTATTCACTCATAGCAATACCTGCTCACTCTTTGAAACTGGGAGACTATGTTACATCCATACTGGGTCTATAAAAGTAGTAAAACCAAATCTTTTTCTATTTCAATTGTTAAGATCATGTAAATGAATGTATTCGTCAATGCTTAGGGTTATCGCGACCATTAAGATAGTTTCCTGGTATGCTATTGTTTAAGTAGTGTAATTATAAATCGTATTCGAAGTATACTTCCGGTCTCGAAGGTAATGGTTACAGAAAAATACGTATCAGATCTATAATAAAAGCAATACAATAGCTAATTAGGCGTCAACTTGCTTGCGTTAGTTATTCATTGCAAGAACATGCTATACATTCGCCTGTTAATGCAGGATTGAACATGTATCAGCAGAATGCCAGCTTCTACATTTATTGGGAACGAATTAGCGACGTCGAGTCATATTATAGACGTTTACAATTAGCTAATGATCAGTTTGTATCGGTATTAAAGAAACTACCGTGTCGCGTTTAAAGCAGACTTTTACGATCGGTAAATGTTCGTATACGTATCACCATATCTAAACAGTAAATGTCACGCTATCTAACCTAATGCTCCTAAAATAAAACCGGCAATTTACGAAATCATGCTGTACGTGCTGTACTTGTGTGCATCCCAATACTGTACTGTACCTACTTACTGTAGTACTGTAGTATGGATTAATGTAGCCAAATTATAGGCGGCACGTTTGAAATTCCAATTAGAACTACGGTACTGTACATTATCATCACTTTTACTCGGTAACTGTCGACGATCAATAAGGCGCCTTCGATCACTTTGTTTATGCTGTAATTTACCTGAAACTGAGCATGCTATCAATACAATCTAGCGGCTCTTCTTTTAGCTTGGTTTTTTAAAAAGCCATGTATTATGTACTGTATGTAAGAATACAATAACCTGTTGTACTGCACCCCTAATGTGTTGCGATAAGATAAGGTAATGAATTACTAAGATAGGTATACAGTAATGCGGTATTACGGCTATACTATTTAAATGCAGTAAATCCTAAATAAAAAGTGATTTCTAGTAAGCCTACTAGGCGAAGTGTATCAAAGTCCCTTGTGCCAACTTATCGAGTTTAATAATATAGCATAATTTACCGCAGCTATCCGAAATAGTTATTAATCATTAAGAGTATCTAGATTTACAAACTATGAGGGAAATGACTTGTCAATTGACAGAACCTTTATAGGGTTACGAGTACAGTGTACGTGCGATGGTATCAAAAATATTCAGAGAAATCTTCGATTTTTCCATCGGTTTGAACTAACTGCAAAAATATCAATGTAACAAATAGTAGGATACTGCCGTGTACGTATATAATATTCTGTAATCAAGTTTCAATGTTGGACGCAATCGATTATATTAAATTACGGTTAATGCCTGCAATTTATTATCAGTATCTATCATTACTATAAATCTAATTAATTCTTTCACATGAATTTGCATATTGCTAATTTCATAGTTAATTATTAATAAACTTTGTCTTTAATATACCGGCATCGGAAATTGCCTACAATGTTACAATGTTAACACAGTCTTAAACAATGGACACGATTAAATCAAAAAAGTCCTTGACAGACTGTCAATTTCAGATATTGATAAATGTTATACTGTAAATGTTAAATATCTCATAACTGTATAGTGTAACTGTACCGCACATTATGGCCTACTAAATTACAAGAGTGATTAATTGTTTTCGATGACAAAATTTCGTCAAAAAATTAAAATTTTTAATTTGCTGAAATCTCTTTGTAGAATTTATATGTACGTATACATCTACGTATGAAATTCACCGAGTTTAGGCTTAATTTAATGTATATGCTATACAAATTTATTTTCCGATTTTGCTATCGAAAATAATACTATATATAATTATATATAATCACACTAATGTACATCTAGTACTCCATGACTGTACTGTCTTCCTCTGATTTTGCAGTTCGATACGGTACACTGAATTAAGGATTACAGCACTCTTAATCACCGGAAAAGTACAAAGTGAAGTTAATTTCAGTCTGGTAAAAAAAAATAATACAATACAGTATATTGTTGTAGTCTGTAACTCCAGAATTTGTCCGGTTTATTTTCGAACATCAAAAATTATCACTTCCAGTACAATATTACTCAGTAGGATCCCTTTTGCTGAACTGTCCTGTACTGTACACTTGTACAGTACAGTACAGTACTTCAATTAAGCCGATCGACAAAAGATCAAAGTAATGTACTGTACTGTACAGTATTGTTACAGTATCGTATTACTGTACTGTACTGTACACTGTACGTACTGTACAGTACAGCAGTACAGTACTACAGTATGGGGCAGACGGATGACGATTACAGTACTGTACAGTACAATGTACTGTACAGCGACCATACTGTACAGCACAGTACAGTACTGTACAGTATAAATCAATCAGATTTACCAAATTAGATGTAGTACTGTATTTGAGATCTGCATTTAGCCTTTCTTGTTCAATACTTGCTTACTGGACCTATATTACTTGAATACGATAAATTGAATACAGCATGGAGGTAGGTAACAGTAAACAGTTACACGGTACAACACGAAGACTGTCTGGCGTACGGTATGTCGATACCACAATGATTATTGCAAATTTTGACATTTATATTTCTCTATACTACAGACAACTGAAAAATTATGGGGAGGAAGATTCACAGGAAGCACAGATCCAGTAATGGAAAGCTTCAATGCCTGTATTGAAATAGACAAACGACTTTGTTTTGCTGACATAAAGGTAATGTGAAGTCTTATATAACTCTTGACAGACAGTATTACTGTACTTTAACTCTTATCGTACTTACTCTTTATTTTCTTAGCAGTTAGCATATAATAAATTGGTCACTATTCGAATTCAGACTTCAGACTATGACTACTCGTATACTGTAGAATTAAATGAAAATACGCGTATAGTAATAACCATTGATTACTAATTTAATTTAGTTACAGTAATTCCATAATTTTATAAACTTTACAGGGCAGTATTGCCTATGCTAAAGGTCTGACAAAATTAGATTTACTAACGGAGGAGGAATGCGATATACTCTTGAAAGGTTTAAAACAGGTAAATTTTAAAATACGGTTACTTTAAATTAGTAAGTGATTCGATAGACGTATGCAGTGTATCAGTGATGATCCAGTATTTAGTGGTTCGAATTTACAAAATATTAGATTCAAGAAGAATGGAAAAACGGTCGATTCGAAATTAAGAAAAACGATGAAGATATTCATACTGCTAATGAGCGGAGACTTAAGGTAAAGTCTTCGTAACAACTTAAAAGTATCAAATCTGCATAGTGTTTGATTATCATCTAGCTCACTATGAAAGTAGCCTTTAATTAATCTAGCTGTTGTACTGTGTAGAGCGATTACCTACTGTATATATGTAGGCCATGTTTCACGAGCAGTTTTGCATTTAGCGTTGTTTATCAGAAAATCATTTTCGTGACAGGAACTTGTAGGTGCAACGGCCGGAAAATTACATACAGGTCGCAGTCGTAATGATCAGGTATTGTGTATTCACTTATTAACGGAGACGTTATGTCGATCTTAAATTCACTAATATCTTATGTTTGTGCGGATATGTTTTATAGTTTTGTTTTGGTAAAGTGTTATTGATATTAGGCTAAAATTGATATTACTGTCTGTGCTTGGCTTTTTAGGTTGCAACTGACGTAAGGTATATTTTTCACTTATAGTCAGTCACTTCTTTACGGATAACGTTGGAACTCGATACATTAGAGTATTTAGCGATTGATATAGAAATTAGCAGCTGCTATCATAATCTTTTAGTAATTAGAAGAACCAAATATACCGACGTTAAATCTGCCTATTTTTATCCTAAGGCTTTGGCTAAAGAGTGCACTTGATGAACTGAAAAGTTTGCTTCTAGATGTGATTCATGCTCTTATTAATCGTGCAGATAGGTAAATCATTTATTAAAAAATCACCCTAATTATAATAATATTATCTATGACCGTTACCTTAGCGCCATCTTAGAATTTAAGTGGTGTGAACTTGTAACTATTTAGAGAGATTGGAATTATCATGCCGGGATATACACACTTACAGGTAAGAAAATTTTCGAGATTTAATACGATAAACCCTTCACTACAAAGTAATCTCTTCCGCGCGTCATTTTAGAGAGCTCAACCTATACAGTGGAGTCACTGGCTATTGAGGTTCAAATTTTTATATTTTTATATATACAGTAATGCTCTTTTTGAAAAGTTATCTATTTGACTTAACAGTCATTCATGGGCTTTGCGACGTGATTCTGAAAGGCTTAAAGAATTAGTTAAAAGAGTGGATATCCTTCCTCTTGGCAGGTATATTAATGCCATAGCTATTTCTATATTTTGATATATTTTATTGTATCGAAGATGTAGAGATTTGAATCTATCATTACGCTCATTATTAAGTAATATCAAGTTCATAAAGATTGATTCTTATTAATAATTAATTGCAGCGGTGCACTGGCTGGTAATGCCTTTGGAATTGATCGAAAATTTTTAGCTTCAGGTATATAAATTATTTACGCTCACCAGAGATATCTGCTATCCTAAATTGTTACAATCCTTATATAATGTAGAACTCGGTTTCTCTGACATCTCCGGTAATAGTTTGGATGCAACATCCGATAGAGATTTTATAGGTTAGACGCAATTGCTTTAACAATCAGTTCCTTTTAAGTCTGCAGGAGATAATTTTAAGTGAGGTTTCTTTCTGTACAATGAAATTATTTCAGCTGAATTCTTATTTTGGGCTACTATTGTCATGACCCATATTAGGTACAAGTACTTGATTTTTATGAATACGTAAAATTTATCACTGTGTACAACATGTGATGATCTTTACATTTATAATAAATTCTGTTGTCTTAGCTTTCGGCAGTATTTTGCTCTGTAATACGTACTCTGTATTTAATGGACTTATTTAACAATTATAGTAAAATTTCAGAAGATTTAATTCTATACAGCACCAAAGAATTCGATTTCCTCAAATTTGCTGATGCTTACAGGTACTCTTTTTGAAAATTAATTCTATTCACTGGAGATATCTCGCTATATCTGCATTGTTCTCATATCGTTAACAATACTGCTATGTTAGTACTGGTAGTAGCCTAATGCCTCAAAAAAAAAATTCGGATAGCGCAGAACTAATACGGGGAAAAACCGGAAAAGTATTCGGAAATGTAACTAATTGCTTCTAAATCTTGATTATTGATGTAAATACCAGCAAGAATATTCTATAGTTTTACTTTTACTGGAGTAAAATTAAAATGATATCGCAGTACTCTGATTTAGTTTCAACTTTTTATGATAGTGTTGTGCCCTTTTGATGGTTTTAAAGGTAATAACTCACTTACCAGCTAAGTGCTAAAAAAGTTAAAAGAAGATTATTAATTTAGATTCGTATCTCTTAAAGTATGGTAACTCTACCACCGATATTCAAAATTCTAATTAAATTACTTTGTTATCTCTTGCATTCCGTCGCTGAAGGGATTACCTAGCACCTATAATAAAGACTTGCAGGTATATTATTCTAAGAATAGTTATGGAAACGTATTGTATGATATATAGCAGATTGACTGAGTTCAATCATCTATTATAGTTCGGTCAAAATTATTAATAGTTTTATTAATGCTATCAGGAAGACAAAGCCCCGATGTTTGATACTTTTGATACTCTGAATGGTGCCCTAAAAATTATACATGGAATTTTTTCGACTCTAACTGTACGATAATTTGTGAAATAGTAATTAATGTAAATGTATCAGTCTTAAATTTACTGTAGATATTTAAAATTTTAATTCTAAAATTTTTTTGTAGCTGGACAAATCAAATTACTATCTTTAACCGTTGAATCCTTTGTCCCACAATAATCTCACTGAATAGAATTAAAATTGATATTTAATTACTTGACTAAAAGAGTCCTTTTATGGCCGAAAAATTAAAACTAGATCAATGAGAAAAAAATGGAAGCTGCTCTTAGCGTGGAGATGCTAGCAACTGATTTAGCTTATTATCTGGTTAAAAAGGGAGTAAGTGAACTTCAACTCTGCCTTGATGCTAAATTCAATGGCTTTAATAATACTATATTTCAATTAGATTCCTTTTCGAGAAGCCCACTCTATGGCAGGCCAAGCAGTTCAGATTGCAGAGAGAAGAGGATGCGGATTGAATCAAATAGATTTAGAATCGCTGCAAGAAATCAGGTAGGCTGTCCTAAGGTTTCGATGCATCAGTTGTTTATGATGATACATCTTGAGGCTTTAGACTGTCTAACATGTTTTTAACATTTCATAGTAAAATGTTTACTAAAGATGTAGTTCAAGTTTGGAATTATCGCAACAGCGTTGAACAATATACCAGCATTGGTGGTACGAGTACGAAATCCATTTTAGATCAAATAGATGTAATGAAACAATGGATTGTGAAGCAGACAGATGAAACTGGTTCATCATAAAGTTTTAAGATATGTGCATGATATTAGATAGGCTTTCAGCGACTAACGCATCGTAATCCTGACATAGACATGGATACGAAACATTTTTATTACTCTTGTCAGCACTCGCATCTTTAGTACGTCATACGTCATACTAAAATTACTACCTATAACATGAAATTGGAGGAAATATACTTAAATTTCGAGATCTGTCTTAAGTTATACTAACAGCTAGTAATTCTTTTAAGAGTAAAGTTCAAGGTACAGGCAAACAATAAATACGCGTAAGAGTTAATTTAATCCGATTAAATTGATCTTCTTTCAAAAACTGAATGAAATTTTCAATTCGCTAATAAAACAATAATTAAAATGAATATACCAGTAATGCATAATAAGAAATTGCCATAAGTAAACAAATAACTAATCCTAGCTCTTGGCCACTAGAGCTGATAGGACCGTAAATTCTCCTTAATAAGTACGAATATTACATTTGCATCAGTAGTATTTACATATAATTGATGGTTTCTCAATCGCTGCATACGTAACACTCTCAAGAAAGTTGTTACGTTAATTCCCATCATAAATTATTTTTAAACAGTAACAACTACTGACATTTAGTAACTACACTGACTCAAAACAGGCTCTCAAATACGACAATGCAAGATTTCAGAATTATAATCTGATGCTTTAGACATTTTTAAGTTCAATAATGGAATAACATACGTAGACTAAATCATTTCCTTTATGCTAAAGTAAGCGAGTATCACATACTTTTCTTTAAGTTGATTACATTAAGTTAACTTCACTTAAGGCTGCATAAGATCAATTCTCTCTCCATAATAGTCAATGATTAACAGATTTTTCATATTTCTGGCTAGCTCGTTAACAACTGAATCTTTTACCTATCAAAAATCAGTCATGTTAGCTGAATCGAAAAGCTGAATCGAAAAGCTGATTTTAAGATAGCCAGCCGCACTGCACTATTATACTTACGGAATTACAGCATGTTAAATTTAAAAACTTAAGATACTTCCAAAAAGAAGGAGCATCAACTAAGTTGTTACAGGTAATTTGATGCAATCCAATTAGTATTACTGAAACCAATAATCTGAAAATCGTCGCGAAGTAAAAGGGCGGTATTTAGTTTCAGGTAGTAGAACAGAAAATAAATACGAAAACTTCAGATAGATTTAACTCATATAAATTAAGCCACTTTGAAAATAACGCGCTATTTCATTGTATAGCACTATAGAAATCAATTATTGCATACCTGCACATCCTTAAGAGATAATCAACACCTGTATCACTAATATTCCAACACCATGACAAATTCAATTCTTTTAGTTGAGGACAGCTGAGACATTTAGAATAAAGTGAAAAGTTCTATCGAATCAGTCATGATGTACACCTACAGTATCATAAAGTATCGCCTCAAAGCTAGTAATTAAAATTGTTGTAACGCGCGAATCACGATTGTATTATTACAGTATTTTGATTGATAACTTACTTTGCTGCTATAGAATGTAATCCATTATTATCTAATTGGCTGCACTCAGTTAAGTCTAGCAATGTAATGTGACACGACCAGTGAATGTTACGGGTAAGTATTACGTAATTGAATAAGTCATTTAATGCATCATTTGTAAAATTATGACCCTTCTTCAATCGCAAAGATCTTAAATCTTTCAGTGCCTATGTATAAAAAGTTTATTATACAGTATTACGTCGAGGTACAGTTTAAATTATAAAAAAGACCCCATTATAATATTTAAGATTAATTTCTGTTTATCATTGTCATGATTATTAACTTGTAATGGAATTATCAGCAGTCGTAATATATATACAACGAACTGTAGATATTTATGTCTCTAGCCCTTAAGAAATAATAGATAAATATGCACGATATTAAGGTATGCATTAACCAATTAATTTACTGTATTCCATTGGCTTACTATAAGCGATATCTTAAGCTTATATTTACGCAATAAACAATGCATTCTTCTCGCTTACCCTAAGGTGGTAAAGAGCAGCACTTGTCATCTGATCACAAAAAGAAATATCTAATTTATGTAGCAATTTACAATGAGAAATAAATTCTAAAGCGAAATCTGAGAGATTAGCGCCATCTATACAAACAGATTTTATTCGATCTTTGCATAATGCGATGAAATATATGACAGCTGACTGGTTGAATTCAATGCCATCCAAATTAACGATTTCCAAGTAACTATAACCTATAGAATAAAAAGTATCTTCGTTCACGATAGTTGCATAATCATTATAGCCTTCCAATTTACTACTTGCAAATTAATCATATACGTAATCAATTAGTATAATTAGTTAATGACATCGGTAATCAAGATTATATAAATAAAAACTTGTAAATTTATGAGTTCAAAAATAACTTCCATAGTTAAATGGTTAAATAGAGTATAGTGCGCCTATGTTGAGACTACTTCTATAAAAGCAGACTGAGCAATGAATAGTGAACGCGATAAAGCTAAAAAGCACATGAAAAGAACTGAGTCTAGATAATATATTTCTAAAAAAACGTCCATCATGTGTGATAATTAATTATTAAACATTTCAATTACCGTTTCCTAGCAGGTATAAACTTTCATCTGTCAATCTAGTGCAATGAGACAGATTGATTGACCTAAGTTTCAGCTTTGACATAACCTGTACGGCACGATCTTTAATGTTTGAACCTTCTAAATTTATATCAATAAGATTTGGACAGCAATCAACTAAACTTACAATTGCCTGACAGGTGATAGCTACACAAAAAGAACAATCAATCTTATATAATGTAGGGCAGAAGCGGACAATTGAAACAAGGTTATCGTCTTTAAAACAATCGTAACATGGTAGTTTAAGGGAATAGGCAGTCCGAAAATAGTGACATGCAGTCTTGATAGCTTGATAAGTCATTGAATGACTATAATTCGATAAGTTAATATGTTTCCATAGACAGGGATCTCGTGATAGCGAGTGCCAATGCCTACAAACGCAACCGATTATCTGGCATAATTCTCCATGAGAAAAATAAGTAAAAATGGACAGGAGCACGTCATCAGGTAAGTCTTGTAGTACAGTCTTCGATACAAATGTTAACTGACTCATAACAGTTTATTATCCTCTTATACTGTACTATACAGTGAGTCAAATACTGTCTTTGACATTCTGATAAACTTAATTACTATAATATAATATTTTACCTAACACTGCACTACCACATTTTAAAATCTTACTCGGTTGTATAGATAACTATAAAACTATAATCGTAATTATAATAATTAATCTAATCTAACGGTACATTTACGTTATCGTGAACTATCCCGAACGAAATATCTACTACTATGCCATCTGCTGTAAAAAGTAAAATAATATGGTAAACAAGGATTACCACACGATTGCAACTGTACAGTGTACAGTACAGTATTGTAGTACTGTACGCTGTACAGTACAGTACAGTACAGTACAACTGAGGGTTCGTTTATGGAATCTGCAGCCCCTGGCTGGCCTAACAGTACCGTACAGTACAGTATGTCATGTTTTGGGTTATTTCTCACAGTCTAGTGAATACAGTATCGATTTCGGGGTGAGACATAGCATTTTCACAGACCTTTCCTGTACTGTACAAACGAACTGCTTCAGTACAGTACAGTACAATATTACTGTAGACTGCTTGCTGTCAAGTATCAACTGTACCTGAGAAGCTAGAGATCAAAAGAATACTAGAATTTTTATTATTTTTATTACTTTCTTTCAATTTTAATTTTACAGTTGATTATATTGACGTTGACGATCACCCTTCATTCATGGCTAAAAGTCAAGAAACAAGCCACTCTAACCTACAAAAGGCAGAAATTTCGTTTTCAGAAATTGATTTAGAAGTAAATCCTCAATATAAGGTGCTATAATATAGTCTGTACTATACAAATCATTCTTTTAACTCGCCTGCTTGATTTATGCGTTTACGCATGCAATATCTACGCGTATCCGTTCTATGATAGCTGGTAAAGGTTGTCTTATGTGAAAGACTGCAACCATAGATTACTAATTAGCTAATCCATGCTTCAGCACAAAAATACAGATTAATTAGCGGCCCCTGTTTTAACGTGTTACACTTTATAATTATAATTATCGTCCACTCACTGATTGTCTACACACGATTGGCTTGATTCATAATGATAAACTGAGACGACAGCCCAGCCGATACGGAATACGTATTCTTATGATCACTATGGCTGTAACATTAGTACAGTATTTGTACTGTAGGAGATTGCTATTTATTTAAGATATCGTTCTGGGATACAGGTATCAGATCCGACCCATCAGAATTTATATGGCAATTTTATTACGGGATTTGACGTCACCACTGAGGTTAGTCTATGGTGGTGATACATAAATTTGTTAGGTGTATGTGTCTTATCTCCATGTGCAACATTTTGCATATCTATAGTATTAGCCATACCTTCGGCTTCGGCAATTTTATAGTTAAAGTTCTCTTCTTTAGTCTTACTCTCGCTTACCACTAGTATGATGGTTGGCAGTTGTCTTATGTAAGATAGAAGATAGGAATACACCAAATAATTAAGTCAGATTCTAAGGAATGTTAAGACTAACCATTCCATTTTGACGTCAGGAGGAAGATCATAAAAGAAAACAACGAGCTCTAAGATTTGGTCTACGATATCAGAATTTAGTTGAGGCTGACCAAACCGAGAAAATTAAGCAGGAAGACTTAGAACAAAAAAAGAATGAAAGGTTTCTGCGATTCGGTCCTACTGATTCACAGAACAGAATAAATAAAGAAGATGCGGAAATCGAAAGCTGCAGCGAATTAGAATTGCCAAGGTAACATACGCATATTTAGCTATGATTAATTCATATCTTATATTCGTATGTCAGTTTCTCAATAGTTTCATTGGATAAAAGATACAAAATGGTAATTATTTATGTTTTATAATTGTACCTTTACCCTAAATGCTAATATAGTAGTTATATTTCAATTTACGCTTTAAGCTGCCACCGTTTATTACCGATAATTTTGTTATTAGTTATAAAATCGAAGGCGATATCCGACTGAACGCTCTACATCTTCACGGAACCGACGAAATGAGCACTAAAGATGTTATCCGCTATTTCGAAAAATTTCCCCCGGGTAGTATTGAATGGATTAACGATTCTTCTTGTAAGTAAGCACAGAAGTTTTGGTGAACTGAGAGCTGTATTAACGAATTACATATTAAGCAACAAGAGCGAATAAAATCACGAAATAAAGCTAATCTAATCGATTTAGAAGGCCATTGTACCATAAAATATTACATATCGTTATGCTGCTATCGAAATCCTACAGCTTGCAAGCGTCATGGACGCCTAGATACACAATAATAAAGATTTACCGTATTAATTATTATGTAATTATTATAAAGGCAATGTTATTTGGGATGATGAAAATACAGCCAAGCGAGCATTTAGTGCTAGAAGTCAAGAAATCTCGCTTAAACAATCGATTGTCATTCGAGATCATCGTAATATAGCTACTTCTACCGGTGACTTGGTTTTTTATTCATTAGTATTCGTGATTTGTGAAATGTCGCAATTTGGTACTGAAAATAATCTTTAATACTCTTTTGACCTGTATTTATTTTGTTGCTATACCATTGAATGCGTTTCTAGATGATAAGCTACAGTGGAGGTTTGGAGAACCTTGTTCAAAAGCGAAGTTATTACTTATTCGTTACGCTACAATAAGTAAATAACGCAATTATTTTGAAAGTTATTTCAATATTGCTGTTGTTGTTATTCTTACATTAACTCGTCACAAACTTCAATCCAGATGATAAAAAAATCAAAGGTATCGCAAAGTATAGCAACTACTACTTAAAATACGGCAATCCAAACCAACACGGTAATAAAACTTTTTACAGTAGAACGACTAACTAATTTATTCAATTTATATTGCATTTTACAGTTGCATACTTCAGAATTTAATAGTAATTTATTTCCTCGCTGTTCATAGGAAGTAGAAAGGGTATCGTTACCCAATCAAGGTGAAAGGATATTACACTCTCTCGATCAATTTATAGTATCGATGGGCGAATCATAACTTTTAAATATCTATAGGAAACGAAGAAATCAGAAAGGACAAGAGAAATTATGTTCGCCAGATATCGCTATTGATAAGGATGAAATGGATGTTGTTGACTCTGGCCAAGACTGTAAGGATAATCCTGATATCAAGGAAAATGATGAAGCCATGGAAGTAGATGAACCCAGAATAAAACGGATGCGAATGAGAGCTGATGAAGAAGATGAAAATAAACTAAAAAGAACGGATCTGCGATTACTTCTGAAGAATCGGCGTAAAAATGAAACATATCTCGCGCTAAATAATCGGTCATCTTTGACTGTCGAGATCATAAATGATGAATAATCGATAACTGCGAGTATCTGAACGCTATCGGCACGTGCCTTGTAAAAAGGATAAGCTCAGTTCTAAATTGATTTTATTAGTAAAGATACGAGGTAGCAGAAGCAGGAAAATATATTTTTACTTATCGATACTTCTGTACAATTTTACGCCCAAGACATTGTCGTCATCCACCTCATTATAGAAATTCTATGCTCTGAAAATCTACCAAAATCTTTTCTAGTTTCTAGTTCTACGTTAATGCTTAACTAATTAACATTTATAATTCAAACTATATTAATCTATAGACTTCGACAAATGAAAAAATTATTAATTTTCTATTGGATGAGAAATGTCATGCTTCCAGTATGTAAGAGGTGTTGAGCTGCGGACACCTGCATAGCTTTTATTAGGAGTATGTGTGTAACTTTCAAATATTTTATGCCTTTTCACATGATACCTTCAAATATGCAGGTAGTCTGAATATTTATTTCATAATCGAGGTCGTAACATATGAGCAATGCCTTAGTTTTTTACCTACTGCTACAATCTGCTGTTGCTACTGTATAATATTGAATTACGTTCTAAATGATAAAAACTACCTTCTTGTTGTACGGAATCTCTAAAAGTCAGACAGGCAATTCCTAGATTGTTACCCGATTAACACTAGTTGATACCCCTGGAAAGTTTTATATTTTCGTAATTACTGCTGTTAAGCATTAAGCACTGTAGCAAAATGAAGTAAGGTATCCTTATGAATAAAAAATCTATGGTATTTGGGTTGCTCATTAGAGAATCCTTGCATTTTTAACTTATTATCATCATAGAATTTTTTTAAATTTGCATATTTTACTAGCATATCTTATACCCTAGTTTTGCTAGATACTGGAATGTGTTCTAGGTTCTGCTGTATCAATATTAGATGACGAATTTTTCACTGTAATATCCACTTAATCAACGTATATTTTCTTATTTTGATTAATTAAATTTCATTTGGATAAGCATCGAGCAGTTTTAAATGAAATTCAGTTCTTTCTTACCTGACCTCATGTCACACTGACCATAATTGTGATATTGTTGTTCCTAAGAATTAACCCATTTCCCATACTACTGTAAATAAGTTCTTTTGACTAACGGCTTCCCGAAATTTGCTTTAATTGTATCTCTATTGAAAAGCGAATCGAGTATATTCCCATATAGCATTAATCGATAGTATACTGTTACTGTATGTCATTCAAGTTGATGCAGCTAACTTAAAAAATCATTTAACCTCTTTCATTAACATTCTTAAAGCAAGAGACTCTGATGTTACTGCAGCACTACGGTATATAGAGCCAAGAGTAATGAATATAGTAAGCTAAATTATTAAACGATGTGGGAAAATTAGGAAGCCTCCAAAAGATGCAAAGTTTGGCTTACAGTAACCGCAATGAAGGCATTGAAGATGCAATTTTCTTAATGCCAACTAATGAAGATTTATCAATCTAAATCATTTTTATTTGATTTGCATAAGCATAGCCGAGCCAACAGTAATATGATCAAACAAAATTTAAATTTGAAAGCAATAGCATAGCAACAAGCTAATCGCTAGTCAGTTTAGCACAAGTCAACATAAATTATCCTTTTTGTCAATATAAAGGCTTGTCTTAAAAAGATAAATTTCCCGCATTTTTATTTAGATAGAGACTACGCTACGAACACAAATAGGTTGAAGTATTAATAATCATACAACAGTTTCAATAGAATAATACTTTGAGACATTTTTACTATTTCTCTGATCGTTAGCTTTATAATTTTTGGTGTCTGAATCTGCCCTATACCGGCTCCTTGTTATGTTTCTAAAAGATTCTAAGGTTGAACCATCAAATTTATTAGTAATGCCGCTGTTAGGTAAGCTAAAACGACTTCGACTTGCAACAATTCTACCACGACCCACTGCTGGCCTCGACGATGATACGGATGCTAAATCCATTAGATGTTGCGCGTAGCCATCAATGATAAACTGGTAAATAATAAAATTATTCAAAGTTAACATACAAACACTAGATAGCAGCAACAGTATCAATAGCTTCAATCTGTAAATCAATAATACGTGAAAACAGTTAATTAATTAATCAAAGATAAGCATTAAAATCTTCTACTTACTTGTACACTATATTTCTTCTTGGCTTTCTTACTGACAATATAGATTTGATGTGGCGCTAATCCAATTTCCTTATATGTGGCAATATCTTTAGGTGAACCATAAGCAACATGAATCGTGATTTTAACCTATGCAAAAGCATTCATACAGTTAAAGTTCAATATCTTATCATTCTCTAAGGTAATAAGATTATTATAGTATTAGCCGAATCATGATAAATCATACCTCCATAGTCAAATACTTCAAGAATGATAGTTTATATTTCGTACGATCGGGTGATATTCCATCAGAAAAAGAAACGATACCAAACGGGAAATTATGAGCTGTTAGCCAGGCCATGATCCTATTCTTTTGCATTTCTGGTCTTCCTGTAACATAAACTATGAGATATCCTAGATCTTGCCAATGCCTGTTTATATTGTGAATCTTCATTAATATCATTAAAATAAATGGTATTAAAATATATACGTGCATTGTATATGCACAACTATTGTTTATCATTCATGGTAATGTGAGATAGCGTAAAAATGGAATAAACTTTTTATCGAAGGCAGTTACAATTTAAAAGATCAGTAATGTTATTAATTGAGTGATTACTAAAGTTTTTAGAGGTAAGATTTCGAGGAGAACATGTAGGAGATCTAATATTTACTGATGTTTCAAACATATGTGAGTAGCCTTAATTTATAGCTAGCATACGCAGAATAAACTGCCAAAAATAAATTAATTTCTAGCAGACTACAGCAGATGCATCTGTCAATATTCGCTAACGCTACAATTCCTTCTTATTTAAATACATTAAATAAAACTATGGTATTGCTACGAAATTTTGAATACTATATAAATTCAGATTACATTTACACTAATTCTCCATCAAATCTACGCTAGCTTAGCGCAGTAATTTGTTAACTATCGTAGTAATTAGTATATACTAATAAATTATAAATTATTTTTCTCACCGAACAACATCGACGGCACCAGGTTTCAACTTTGGATCTTTACCACGAAGTGAAACACTTGCAGTGAACGACCCGTCAATGCTAAAGACTACCACTTCAGTTTCGGGTGGAATAACAAATAAGGTGCTATCTGCCACGGTATGATCACCTCTTTGATAATGGATATTAATGGAATAGGAATTGATTAGTTGAAAAAAATTGCTTAAGTGTATTAATATTGGTATCTCATAAATTAATATCATACCTTACCACTGCTTTAACAGGAAATGTACCTAATCCTAACTGTTGTTCCATCGGTAAAGTATATTTTATTTTACCTTGATTACCAGTAATAACCGTATCATAAAACTCCCAATTTCCTTTGACTTTGATATAAATATCCACCTAACAAAGTTTTTAGTGAATCGACCCGCTATTTTAAAACATTGAATTATATCTGATGCTAGCTGCTAAATGTAATATTATCATACTGTAAATTTACTTTTTCTCCTGTTAGCGAAACCACGTCCAAAGGTCCGTAAACAAATTTACTAACTATATACTGTGGTTTACTCTCCAAAACTACTATGTCCGAGCCTCGATGATTGGCAGTTACATTCTTAAATTTGGATGAAAATATTAAATGCATGTCTGAGTAAAATGATATTATATATGTTTTATTCTATAACAAGCTCACCATCACTTTAACATTAGACCTCTTTTTTAGCCACTTTTCGGTTGGATAAGAAGGCGTAAACGAAAATGATTCCGCTCTATGGTCACTTCTTCGCAGGCTTTCAATTCCATTACCATGTAATATCTATAAAAAATGGACCATATTGTTTGACCAATATAAACTTTAACTATGCTAAAAATTGATTTCATATTCCCTTTGTAGATACTAAGGATCGAGCTTGCATTTTATTTTATAATTTGATAGAATTAGTAATAATAAATGCTGGCGCTAACTTGACGAATAATCATAGCCACAGCATCGTAGGATTCCCAATAACTTGAATGTAACATGTGAGGAATTGCTGCCTCTGGAAACCCGAATAACGATTTTGGGCAATCAAGAGCGTAGTCTAGGCGTTTATTTCCCCACCACCTAGTTAAAACTGATTTTCAAAAATTGATTTCACTTAGTAGCTATAATCTAATTGGGGCTATTACGTCCGTAAGCGAATAATTATTGTTCTCACTTACTATTGGAGAGAATATCAAAAGATGAAGGTTCATCTGAACGTTTTGGTATTTCACTATGACGATAATCCTGATTTAATATTGACGCACCTTTTTCAGAAGTCATCTCAGACTGCATAACAGGTGATTGGTTATTTATCGATTGATTAACAGTAGGGGGCCAAAATAGTTGAGAATTATCAAAAACAGCATCCTTAAAATAATGTAACTTTCCGTTGCCTAAAGGATATTGTTGAAAACGAACTACACTGATAGATGGTATATTAGAAAACTGTCCTAACAGTACAGGTTCCAATCGTTCAGCAATAGGATCTATTGGATAAAATAGATTATAAACTTGATCACAAGGAGGGCGTCGCAATAGAGTACAGCCAGGAACTAATCAAAACATATAATCAAAGTTAGTGAACTGCATGAACAATGTAGACGAAAAGTATTATAAAAGGACAAGTAATAATACATTTACTTAAATTGTGCGTAATACATATAATACAAATTAAAACTCGAATACCGTTATCGGTCATTGAACGTTGCTTTAATATCCGCATAATCAAGATCATGGCAATTGGTGAACCAAGCATAAAGAAGTCAGCAACATCGAAACTGAAATAAACTTCGCCACATTGACTGGAATAACTCGTTCTTGATATGGAACTTCGAGAACTACCAATTTTACCCGGTATCTTTGTTATTTCACCATCGCTATTTAATGCGTAACTGCACTCTCCCGACTGGTTACTAGACCCAAGATGATTATTTGAATAACCAGATTGAAAGTACCAATCATGTCTTGGTAAACCACTATCACTGTTATATCTCATTCTGTGTTTCGAAGCATAACTTGCATCACAAGAGATTTCCATTTGGCTAAAACTGGACGATACTTTTGATGGACTTGAGCATGTAGATTCAATGGTAACGGTAGGTATAACCGATGGTGTTCTAGGGCTGGTATCCGTCGATGATACTTGAGAAGGATTAGCATTATTAATTAAAGCGTCATAGGCGATGATTGCTCCCATAGAATCACACACCATGCATACCTAAAATTTAATCCGTATTAATTCACTATCCAATTTAGAGATTTACGGTATTAAATCGTTATAACAGTTGATAACATAATACTATATTGGCAATTCATAATCATAACTGAAGCAAGAGCAAGACAGATAGGAATGGATAGAAGATATAGAAAATCGTGTGATCACAGCCTAATTTCTGTATCAGCTTCATTATAATATATGGATAAAAGATAGGCGATTTACAGGTATTAGAAGATGTAAATAAGGCAATATCGAAGTCTCAAAGATCTTAGATGTGATGGAGGGTTCGAAGAGTCAGATAATGTGGTTTTAGTTACCATGCAAAGAATTGCACAAGGAGCTTAAGCAAAGAGGATACTTTATTGTAGATAGTAGTTAGGTTCAGAGTGATAATTACGGTAGGTCAGCGTGGTAGCTGCCGTGAGTAAAGTGTGAATACTAACTGTGACCAATAATGCAACTTAACAAATAAGGTAGAAAACGGCGGTATTTATAGCTATGGCATTAGAACACATGCAGAGAACGTGATTGTAGGATTAGATACAACATATGCCATAACAGGTTATAGAATAGCAGATGATTGTAGAAAATAGTGAGGACTGTAATAACTAAATGTAGTAAGCCATATTTGAATGTAGAGCGAACAGACTGTAGATATATCTAAATATAAGATCAATACAACATGTCTATATTTAAGAGTAGAATATAGTTACAGTATATTCTGAATACACTACATTAGAATTATTATCATTAAAATGATCTTAGATGATAGTAATTACAAGTACCAAGACAACTACATATAATTATTAGAAAAAACTAAAATCAATGCTGAAGGAGAATCTTAATTGGCTGAAATAAGATAGTCCAATACGTGCGTATTATGGCATTTTAGTTACCAAACCGATTAATTCGTCGGTACTTTCTTGTTAAATTGAACTTTGATTTTTTTATAACTTAGCTTCTACAAATAAATCTAAGTCAACATTATATTTTATGTATATATGTAAGCTTGTAACCACTTTACTTATCGTGTACTATCATTATTATCTATGATTTTGTCATAAATATTATTTTTACTGTATAAATTATTGAACGTATTTGATATTCAAATGCTAGCTAATTAAAATCCGTATGAGATATACTATATTATACAAATTTAATTTACAAGTATATTAGTGTGCTTAAGAAAGTGTTCATAAGTCCATAACAATAAGTTAATATTGGATATTATCATAAAATACCGCCTCAAATGAGTAACAAATACCTTATTCCTATTCAATTTTTGAGATAAACACAGTATTACAGCCTTTTACAACTGATGCACTACTTAGCTAAAGAATGATTTATAACAATGAACCTACCTTCCCATGAAATCCTCTACCTTCATTCGAGTTAATAAAATCTTGGTATACACTATTTGCTTGATTTACTAATGCTGGTATGGCGTTATTATATTCAGATGAATTCACAGCTAATACTGGAATGGCACTCAGTGGAGCAAAATCTTCATTATTAAAGCGTATATCATGGAATCAGAATAAACGATCACAATTTAGCTTGATGTATCTCAATCAATGAAATACGCAAAGAGTTATTCTATTCTTAACTATGAAACATAAATTCAATAGCATCCGAAGAAATAAGAATATTCTAAGATGAGCGTTCCTAATAGAATAGGGTAACAGATTTATAAGGATCATAAAGGTGGTCACTCTCGCGATAATTTTTAAAATAGCTAAAAATTCGATGGTACCAGCGAGGTAAAGATGATTTTATAAATACACTCTAAAAAATTGAGGAAGGAATAGTCATACTAACCTTTTTCTAAAAATAATAAGCCACTTCCGCTAAAATTCACGGCTGCAGCATTCGCTTCTGAAGGTTTACGCATCCGATTGCAGAGGGTTTCTGTAGCAGCTAGCATTGAAAGAGCTGAAGCACATATTGGTGGGCACGGAACTAGCCTAGTGGCAATACTATCTTCAGCAAATGGATAATGGGATCTAATTATTGAATTAAACGTAACTTCAAACGTTTGATAATCGGACTGTTGTGAACCGTAATCTAGTCTAGAATCCAATAAGCACCCTGAACCATAAAAAGAAAAATTTATAATTATTTAACACTTTCATTAAGTACACTCTCAATTAGTCATACAATTTCACCGTTACCCTTTATGTTATCGCCGTAAGGGCAATTTTACAATTCCAATAAGGCTACAGTTTGTCAAAAAATGAGCTATACTTTATTACCTCCGTGAATTACCAATACAAGTGTCTTATAAAGACATGATGTTGGCCCTTCAGAAGAGAAACTTGACGAAGATGTAGTATTCGAAGCAGTATAATCATTGCCTTGCGATCGTCTGTTATAATATAATGAAAATCAGATTAGGAAATGTAAATTAGTTTATATCTCAAGTTGCCATCCACGTAACATGTTTTAATAAGTAAATGCTATCTAAATTTAGTAAATATCGATTTACTATTAATTATATTAATTTCATCGATCCTACTTTATTACATCGGTGATTCAAATATGTAATTTACTTGATAGACTTAGCACTTATAGATTTGTTTGGGGAATAAAATTCTTGGGCGATGGTTTCTTGACTTGAGTCACGAGTAAATGATCCAGTAGTATCTTCTTCATCTGATTCAATCGATGCTAAAGAGATTAAACTTTTCATTTGGGATAGTCTAATCTCATCCATAGCATCGTGATCGGCAATATTATCTAGTAAAATAGTATTTTATATAATAAGGAACAGTAAAGTTAATTTACCGTGTTAATACTACTGTACTGTTACTAATCATTAGCGTTACGGTACCTTGCGCATCAAAATATTCTTCTTCAGAGTCATCTGTATCTTGCATAATATTATTTAATCGCCAATCCTTAAGAACCTGCACAGTAGCAGCTAGAGTACTGTTAGTCTCATATCGGATAGATTGACGACTAACGGGTAAATATGGACTACTCTGTCCTTCTTCACCTAGTGTTCTTGCTAAAATCAAATAGTTATAATTATCTATTTAGCTACTAATAGTTATGATACCAGTATTTTAATCATTTTCATTTTATTCACTTCATTACTATCCTTAACAATTGCAATGGTAAGGATCTAATCTCTTTTGCAAAAACGATATTAAAGATATTTATATCACTCCGAATTAAACGGTACATCATGTCAGACTAACCTGCAGTGGTTCCTAGGGCTGCTATACTGGATCTCGTTGGAATATTCCCCAAGACATTCTCTTCATCTGCAGGAATTAACGTATTTTTGCCGTTAATCTCTTCATCAGCTTTATTTGTTGAGATATTTTTACTTTTCGGTGTACTATTACTTGGAGGAGGCTGATTTTGGTAGAATATATCTGCTTTAGTGGTCGTGACTTCTGTAGATCCTGGCTGGTACAGGTTTTTTAAGTCGTTTTTACCTTTAACCGATGTTAAAGGATGTTGATCTCGATCGTTGATGTCTAGCTGTGCCTGATCGCTTAAATTTGGTGATTGTCCAATTAATTTACTAGATAATAATAGCTTAGTTTCTTCTTCTAGCTTTCTAATATCCTGAATAGTTAAGCCAAACCATTCATCTTGCCAACACCAAGCTTGGCGATGTGCTCGAACTAAGGTTTTACGAATTGCAATGTTGTGTATAAACCATTCGATTTTAGTCTGCATGCCCCAGTAACGAAACTCAACTCGGCATAATTTGTACGCACACATAACTGATGATGAACAGGCCTTTCCAGCATATTGTGGCTCATAACTCTGTAGCCAATCTTCTTTAAGCGGTCCGCGACCTGTTTTAGTCGATTGATATAACTTAGGATCTTCTTCTGCCTTATATTCACTATTAGGTACTTTATCACAAACCACATTAACATGATCTGTTAATAGAATGATTAGTTCAATAAAATAATTGCATTCACACTAATAGTTAATAATAAAGCAAGACATAGTTTGTAGTAGTAATTTATCACTTATAACGTATTAGTTACGAATATTCTATTTGCACTATAACTAATCTTTACTAGTACTTTTCACTTAACTACGTAAAATAGCCAATTTACCGGTAGCATAAAGCAGTTTAAGCGATCAAAATAATCAAATGACAAATTATTTATGCAATATACCACATATTTATATCTACATATTTAGGATTATTGAGGTATAATTATTAACAGCATTATACATTATATTAAATTATGCAGCCAAGCGCATTCACATGCATAAATAATGTTTCTGTAGTCTCTCTTCTGCTATTAAGGTTTTCGAAATATTCTACTTAATACGCGTCATATCATACTATGGCATACCTATGATTCTAGCTCTCAGTTCAGTTTCTGATAATTTAAATACGTTGTCCTTCAATCAAAAAAATAGCATTTTACTTGTTTTGTAAATTTTTTGCTTGTCCAACTGAGCATCTTGTGATATATTTCTTGTTCTCTTTTTTAGTGATGCATTATTGTACCAAGAGCTAATATTGTATCACGATAATTACAAGTACAGATATCGTATGCAACCGTATTTTCGTAGAATTTTTTGATTATTATAATCAGGTATTGTATACACGTATTACGTATATGAAAGTTGCCACTAATTATATTATAATAACGGGTTTCAAGTCGGTAGACGAGTTCTTTAGATAAATAACATATGTGCATACAGCTGAGATATTCTATACGTCTTAATGGCATGGCGTTAATACTATCTGTTTTAATATGCATATATTTAAAGCTGGGCTTTATTTACAAGGGATATTTGAGTCTTATCATCTAGAGGACAGTATATAAAGATATACTCTTCACGAGTAGGAAATAAAATGCTCAAGATCATTCATATTTACACTTGCGCAATGAAATTAAAATCTAGCTGAAGTTAGAATATAACAATTTTTCTGTAAACATGCAAATTGACCAAACTGGAATTGTTACTGACTGATCTATTCAGTAGTATATGAACAATCACGCATATTACTAAATTTCTTTAAATTAAGATCCTAATTGTTACTGCTGATGAGAATGTATTACATTCAAGTTATCAAAAGGATTTGCGTTACTATCTAACCAGATGCCTTACATTTTAGAATCAGCAACCTAATAAAACTAGACTATTTTATAGAATTTATTAAAATAAGGTTACCCAGTGTCTCGATAGACTTTATTCATATTAATATAAAACTATGTCCGTATTTCTGCTAATTGTTCGCATGGATTCAAAAATAACTGGGTCAGTAGAACTGTAAAACTTTCTTAAGATTAAATAATGATAAACGTAGGTACTGCATATTCTACACCCCTTCAAAATACCGTACAAAGAATATTATCAGTCTAGTAGACATATATGTATTTGGTATCTGAAATTGCTATATGAATTTATCTGATGTCATAGCTAATATTTAAATAAATCGGGTCTTACTATCTCACATTATCTTACAATGAATATCGCTTATGTATAATGATTATCAATGCAAGGGAAACTAATATTCTCGGTGATATCTAATAAGTTGATATGAAAGATGGTCATAATTTGAATATAAATATAAGAAATTGTTTATGACATCCAGTAATAGAAAGGCTATTCATACTATCGCTAAATGGATACTAACCTAGTACGCTTACAAAACTCAACATCTCATTTAGATGAAACTTTTAGACATTTTCAAGCTATAGAATATCAGAAAACTTAGAGTTTTGTTTAAGTTATGATTCTACCTGTGTACCATGATCATCGGTATAAATAGTTTCAATGTCCAAAATCAGTTTTTCAACAAAAGGGCATTTGTATCGTGTCCTAGTATAAGGATATGCGTTCCAAGCTTCTTCTTCAACGTTTAAAGCTGACTTCGGTAGTATAGCCTTCAGCCAAGCAGGCAAATGGCTTCCAATGTGATAAATTTTCTTTGTATATTGTCCATTTTCATATGGACGATTTTCAATAATTTCAACACCGTCGCTTTTATCCTTACTTTCTAATCTACTTTTTTTCTTTTATGAAAATGTAATACCACAAAGGAAAATGTTAATTATAATCTAATTGGTTCAAGAGATAACAGATCACAGTATAAGCTTGTTGCACTTCTATATTTATCGAAAATAATTTAGTATTGCCTTTATAAGTTGTAAAACCTGGAATTATTGGGAAAGCTACAAATAAAATTTTGGTTTTAGGTATTACTAATCACATCAGAATCAAGATCAGTTTTAATCAAAATTCTTTTACTTATTCGTAGAATAGATTAATAATAAGCCATAATTAAGCCTTAGTAAAAGTATCAGGAAATCATCCAAGGCATAAATTATTTGAAAATTGTAATTAACATGATGGTACATTTCATTTTCGTTTACTAACATTTTAAAATAATAATTAATGCAAGTATTAATTGTTATAATGACCTTCTTTCTCGTATATTGCTTTTTCATACAAGTATTTCGATAATTGTGATACTAAGATGATTAAAATTTTATAAGATTAAATCGAATTAAACTACTGTTTAATGGCGTATGAAGCATTGTTGTAAAGTTTTTTAATTTTTTATTTTTGTTTAGAAAAATGGTGAAATCATCCCCAAAATAACTATGGAATTTATAGATTAAACCATTTATTTTTTGCCAAATTGTTAATCCAGTTTTCACCGAGCCTTAGCAGAAGATGATAAACTGCTACTAGTTCCAGATCTTACTGAAACTAGCCTTAAAATAGACCAAAAAATTTACTGGAGTGGTAAAAGGAAATTATGGAGTTATTTTAAATACCATACTTCCATCCAGGATACACTAGCTACTGTGAATCAATGAGCAGATACCAGTGCTTTATGTAACATTATGATCTTATATAGAAGATGCCTAGTATAGTAATATCCTAATATACGAATACTTATCATATACCGTTTAAGTACTGTATTGTATTACATTCATAATGTACGACATCATGACCACATATAGACGACATGCTATACATATAAAGACATTATCTCAATCCCATCTAAAACCTATAAATACCTTTGTACGCTAACTCGTTAGTCAGTTCCTACATTCCTGCTATCTCAAATACCTTATCTATAACAACCATATCATTGTTAGCCTGTAACTTGTATCTCAATAAAATCCTTTATACCTTCTATCATCGTCTACCTTAAAATACTTTACGCTACTTAAAGAAGATAATATTACACTTTATAGTAATATTTACGCTTTCATAATATCTTATTTGTAACTAACCGATTTTATCACCAGCTGTATTTATGTATTGCCACTAAAAAATTATGTTATACGATATGCGAATTATATGTTTAATTGGCTTAAAAAACAATTTTTACTATGCCAAGTTATTACATAGATAGGATATACGAACATTTGAACCCTAGGAATTAATGAATTGACGAATTCTATTAATAGTATAATTTTATTCAGGCTTCATTTCCCGAGGTATTCGCGATATGAGAGGGTATGTTTTTATGGCTATCAGTGAATTTGTTATAATGATGTGTTAAAGATGAACATTTTATCTTTTTATAAATTCCGTTATTTTAATATAAATTCGAAGTCTGCTATCGAAAACTTATTAAGAAAAAATAAAACTAAAATTCTCCATAGCAGTATCTTTATATATTTATAAGAAGTAGCGTTGTAAAAATGAGTTACAATAGTTCATCTACCTAGCTATAAGTGCATTATATATTGATTTTTATTATAATAACTACAACACATTTTGCAGAAATTAGTTCAGCTATTTTCATTTCACTTTTTATCTTGATTTTTTATATCAAAATAATATTAAATGAAAATTAAGTAATTTCATGACAGCTTTCAACGATTATTTTTAATCTTATTTAACGGTAAATTAACATCGTCTCTATTAGGAAAGTCAATACGACATGCTATTTCTTGTTTATTATAGGATATCGCCTCTTTTGGATTTTATCGTGTAGTTTACTGGTATATTTTTGTCGTGCCAGGGCTATTCATCTAAAACTTACAAAGGATAGATACAAGACCCTGTTCCATTCTGTTAATAGGATTAAGTACGACGGTACTGTAACAACGATGAACATAATGCTTTCATAAAAATAAAATAAACAAAACTTTATTTGAATATAGAAAAGAAATCATTCGACATCACGTCAATCTTTAAGCTATTGTTTATATGATTATGACGGCATATTTCGGCTTAAGGTAGGCATGTTTTCTTATTTTTATCGATCTTTAGAATTAATTGATTTTTGAATGATTATTTCCTTTTATTTTGGTAACATTATAATCTAAATTTTCATGTTTTATGGTGGTTATGGTATGGTATTGCACGCAGTTTATTCATATTGTCCTTAAAATTGAACGCTATCTAAGCTTGACTAAATGCTAAGTGTAAGTTCTACTACGTATTTTTTCTGCTCCAGTACTCTTATTCGATCAAAATTTTACTAACCTACACACTTAATCATTACATTTCTTTGTAATCAGCGTTTATTTTTCAGGTCAAGGTATGAATTTTAACTTTCTTAATCTTCGTAATGATAATTCACTATTCTGTGACTTAGATAAAATTTTTACCGTTTGTTTTACATATAACAAATTAGGTTTAATATTATTATAATATGATATATGCATAAATGTGGATGAATACGATACAAGCTTTGGCGGAGTAAAAAATGTTGATCTCTTTTAGCAAGTGTATATATATATCAATAATTTTTCAGTAATGCGATTGAACAGGCTTGATAATGAAAGGTAGGTTAGTATATGAGTCGTAACTGAAATAAGGGTAAAGTTACAAATAGAAAATTATAATAAAGGTTTAAGAGTATTTGCATTTTATAATTGCTAGTAATCCTGCCGCCGTGTTCTCATAAAATTCCAAATAGCTACATCTTTTTTAATATGAACACAATCTGCTTTCATTAATGCTAATCAATTGATTACAGTGACTCATATCAAACTGGCTGCTCTCCTAGTATACACCTATTTCAACGGGTTAAATGCTAATCATAAGTTTAATTGTTAAGCAGTTACTCATAATACTTCGTAAACCTATTAAAAGGTAACAGGTTCGTTTAGGAAGAGAGTATGATAGGTAAATGACGCTCATAAAAGCAAGATCCGTGCTTGTATCTTCATAAATTCCGTACCGTATTACTGTACATCTACATTAAATATCTTCAGTGTCAGCAATGCGCGATGGAATACAGGCGTATTATATTTTTTAATTTGTTGATGATAAAAGCTTTTTTGGAATTAAATATTTTAGATGTATGGGTTGGAAAATTTTTTAAAAATGCTACGCAATCATATTTGTAGTAACTTCATTTTGTAAATCTGCTAATACGGGTACCTATACAGAATCAAGAACTAGTAAGGTACCTTAAGGTAAATGAAATGTCAGAAAGAGCAACGTAATAACATATCTTTTATATAGCGAGACACAGATCTGTATTTAGTTCATTCTTTATCTCCTCTGACAGTCACTGATCTACAATAAACATATCTTAATTTATTACCCTTTTAATCTGATTAGTACTGGAAAATGATATGCAATACGATGAAGAATGATTATTCCTAATTTTATACACTTCTTTTTAATTGTTTAATTAGACCCTAATCAATTCCGAAACTACTAATTCCAGAAACGTGGTTTAAATTCTGTAATTATTAAATTAACCTAGTTGATAAGTTAAATTTCGAGTACTGTGATATCTTACGTAAGATTCATTCAATAAGGAATAGAAAATTTTGCGGCAGTCATAATAGTTGCTAACGTGTGCTAAAGCTTGGGAAACATGCTATGGTAAATTTTTGTGTTGACAGAATATTGTCATAGGAGTGGATACAAAACTAGATAGAATCAATAATGGATCTTAAAGTAGACTAATTCTTGTACGATTTAGCTTGATTTCCTCTGTAATAAGATTATTAATTCCTGTATTATCTCAAAATCTTAGTTGTCCTACTATTTTCTACATTATAGTACCTAGTTGTTACGTCATTTACTAATAGAATTAATCTTTGTACCTGACTGATAAATAAGTCGTATAGAAGTTAAACGTCGATCCATACATTTTTGGCTACAAAATTAGCACCGTTAAAAAGATTTAACAGGATTCCATCTGTAGTTTCATAAAATTTTTCATTTATTTGTTATAGTTATTATAACCATGAAATAAATAAATTCGCTAAGGCGAAGGTATTAGCATTAATTGAATAATGAAATATCAGAACGAGAAGTAGGGCCTCTGGGAATTTTAATCTCGAAACATTTAAAATCACTGAACGTGTAAATGAAACTGATATCTCGCTTTAGGACGACTCCTTTACTTTTATTAGCCTACGTGTGTATTAATTACGTTCATGATTGAAGAGAAATTAAATAAAACTAAACAGTTGTTGCAATCCTTAACTTAAGATTATACAGTATACTAAGAGATAAACAAGGCTATGATATTTACCTGAATCATATAAAGTTGGGCTGTACGATATTCCTCGACACTAAGCGGCAAAGGAATTCTATATTCTTTGATCAGCATCGTTGACAAATCGATTATAATAAAAGCGCTGAATACAAACTTTTAAATTATATTAACTATACGGAATATTTCTTTTCTCTTTGTTCTCTTCGCAAAATCGCTATTTAGGAGTCAAAACTATTACCGTATCGACCAAGTAAAGAAAAACTGCATTGAAAATTTAGGATTTTAGTAAACGTTGATTATGATTCTGATTGGCTGAGTAGAATCCATAGATGGAAATTAAAGAAAATCAGGATGAAAATGCAATCAAACATCCAAGAGTAATATACGATCGAAAATTCTTTGATGAAAAATAGGCGTAAGGTTAGATGCATTCGTCGTATTTACCGTTAAGCTTGTGAAAATAACCCGATTAACAGTTAAATCTTGAGGCAGACGCCATTTATATCTAGCAAATTCATTCTGAAGCAACGTAAAGTAGCATGAAATTATACGCAACTGGAAGAGGACATGATATAAATTGATTGATAATGAATGATAGGTTCAATTAGAGTGTAGTGTCTGATCCGTCAAGGTAATTTCGTTACAGGAGACCGTTAATGATACAAAACGTATCAAGCATAAATACTTTGTGCTTTTAGAAAGATTGGTACGTAGCAATATGTTATGATTATGGATAGATCAAATTGAAGAAAATGCTTGAATATGGTTTGATAGTAGGAATTGTTATCATTCTCTTTTGGAAGTTAATGCACTTAAGGCATATGTGAAATCGATTCCACTGGTAAATAAATAGTTATTATACTTTTGGTGTACAGGTATTGCTATAGTAAATTTTGACAATACTCAATAATAATAGGAAATTGACATTAATTGTTTAGATTGCTTCTCTTATCAGTCGTAATATACACATATCATAATTAGAAGAATGTGGATTGGTGGAAGATGAATGAGAACGAAATGATTGTTGCTGGATGACCAATAGAACACCGAGCTATTTAACTAGGGCAGTTTTATTATAATGCGCGTATACGTATATCAAGAACAAAATTTTCTACTTTACTTAAGTACTATACGTTATACGTTATTGGATCATCATACAAATTGTAGTATGTGTGCAGTATAAGTCACTAAGTAAAAAGTTTCTATCACGATTTCGTTGCTAGTACAGAGAATGCTACCTTCATCTTTAATTCCTGAATTAAGAAATCTTTCTTTGTGTTGGCAAACGCTATTATTTAAATAATATACCGTAAGTATCTACAGAAGCTATGAATAATGGCCGTTTATTTAATTCTTGATATCACTTTAAATCGGTACGGCATAAAATATTTTCCTAATTAGTTCAGATATTTCATTTCATCTCTATCGTATTATATCTATTCTGCAAATAGTTTGCGAACATAACTATTAAATATTCATACGAACAGATTTATTGTATCTTTAAGTAATGCATATAGATCAGGTTATTATGAAGTGATACCAGCTATAAATTATTGTATTTCAGTTTATTAAACCGTATAAGGTCGGTTCCGCGCCTATAAATAATGTATATTAATTATATATGTAAGTATTTATTAAGATATTCATGTGAAGGAGTTACACGAGTATACTGGTAACTCCTAGTAATTGCCCAGTAACAATAGTCAGTATGGATTTTTATGTTTTATTCTACGAGTACAAGTTTATCATGCAATATGAAAAGTATGGTATCTTTTACATTGTGTGACTAAGTACAAATTTGCCTTGTATGAGATATTTAATGGTAAAATTAATATTATAGAAAAATAGTTTAAATAAATTAACTACATATAAAAGGAAGAACATCTCTTGGCATTATGATGAACTATGAAAATACATGATGATCCAGTAAAAGGAGGATCATAATCCTATCACAATTTCCCTTGATAATGTGCATCATACAGTCCAGTAACTGATCAAGATTAGTACTATGCAGGCATGGTACTACTGGTAACGTTTAAAATTGCTTCTTTGATAGTATTTAAGTCAAACCTATATAAGGGCAGGTGGCCGGGTATAGTATGGGTAATTTAATTCGAATGCGCGAATCACTGCAAGAACTGTAGTAATAGCTCAAGAACATGTGTAAGTTTATAACTACTGTTACTGGCCATGTAGAAAATATAAATGGCCTCTCATGCCAAAACTAGCACTAATGCCCTGACTGAAACTAAGCCCTAAACCCTCCCCGACTTCGTACCTAACCCTAACGGAACGCAAGTCATCCTCGGACTTTATAGTAGACGAAAAAACACGCTGCATTGGGTCATTTAAAGAAAAATAAAGGAAAATTGAAGGAAACTGCATATATTATCAGTGTATAAAAGAGAGCCAACGATAATGGTTACGGAGTAGTTATTATATCAATTATAATAATATAAGCTGGATGTTATAGGAGGGTGTGGTTATAGTAGTGCCAATGCTTAAATAAATTCGCACTTTAGATACAGTAGATTCTGCTTATATTTTTCTATTCTTGTATTTGCAATACGTAAGAAGGACTACTAGGACATCCAAATATTCTACTAATGCTTGGTAAGAGCAGTTATTAAAGGGGAAGTCGGCATCTGCGATATTTTTTAGATCAAAGTCTGACGTTAATAGTGTTCTTATAGAATTTGCTAGTTTCAATCTACACCCAAGCTTCTCGTGCGAAATTAGAAGGACTAGCTAGTGAGGTTAAACACGTTTATTTTGGTTTAGTATTCAAATTCGAAGTCAAAATATGATTGATCGAACTGGTGAACTCTTACATAGCCATCTTCTCCTCCACTGCTATAGCTGCATTAGAAAGAAAAATAAAGAATTTTTGAAATCATATAAATTCAGCTACCATACATTAACCGCGTGTGATTTAAATTACATCGAATAGGTTTGCTAACATTAAATATAACTACTTTTCATGTTGAGTTTCAAATTACTCAAAAGCATTAATTTGTTATTAAAATTTGACAACATACAGAACTTGAGGCTATTATAATTATTTGATTACTACCTTTTTCCATCAGGGTGAAATCTAACGCTATTGATAGGACCAAAATGACCTTTTACTCGGCCTATTTCCTCCTCAAAGACTACATGATAAAAGCGGGCGTCGAATTTACCAGCCTGCGCTGCAGTTGTAGTTACGTCAATAGCTTCTTGACCACCTCCAAGAACCACCTATACAACGTAATGAAATAGGTTATGTCGCGATCTTTGGATTCCGTAACTTGCAGTAACGTTTCCTTACGTGATCTTTCAATGATGACAGAGCAGCCGAATTTACAGGGCGTTCAGTTTTGTAAGTTTTTAGCAAGGTCAGATCATCAGCATCAAATAGCTATCATGAAGAAATTCAAATCACAATTAGAAATAAAGTAATGATCCTATGCTCCTTAAATTCCATTGATGTCAGAGTTAAAATAATATAGCAAACCTACCTTAGCGGTACTGTCCTTCGAAGCAGTAACAAACATGGATTGATCTTTGTACATATTTATATCAGAAATTGCTTTTCTGTGCTCCGTGACACTGTGCAACTTTTCGCCAGTCTAGTGCCAAGTAAAAGAATGATAATATAATAAATTGGATTTATGCTATTATTTGTTATGATAATAAATCGTAGATTAAGTGATAACTATTTAACTATTTAAAAATTAGAGTTTTCGGGCGAGCTTACGGTGGCATCAAATTGAGAGACCTCGCCATTTTCATGACCAACAATTAAGTACCGGTCTAATTTACCCCAGACAGCTGTTGTTATCTTGGCATTATCTTTTGAGATTGGAATTCTCAGGTAAGGTTCACCGTCGTCTTAGATTTAGAATTGAATAAAAAATGTAATATTATACGCAGAACAGATGTCAGAAGTATCTTTCATTAATATTTTAAACAGTAATAATATTACTTATTTGAGTGGGGTCATCTAAACCAAAGAGTAATATTTCAGATTCATAACCGCGCTGCTGATCAGTGGTTATTAGAAGAGCTCGTCCACTGTACGAAAAGCCGCAAGATCTAACGGCTGCCCTGGTGTCAATTCTATGCAACTGTTTGCCAGTTTCACAATCCCAAATTATATATGAGTTATCACCAGAGCCCGTTACGACTTTTGTTGAGTCCCCTACAATCAATTCTTATTAAGGAAGATTAACCAATGTGTTATATAATACGCTTGTAGAAAACATACTATATTCAACAGCTTGAGTATGAAACTATAGCAGATCCTTTGTAGGTGGTGGAATATTTGCTTCGAATTTGTTGCAAATTATTCATAGTACAAATTACACAGAAGGATACAATTACTGTTTATACACCAAACTACACCACTGTGTCCATCGTACGTTCCTAATCTTTCCCCGTTATCAGAATACCAGACTGATGGAGAATGGTCTTTCCCTGCGGAGAATAAGAGATCTCCTTCTCTATTATATCTAATTTGAGTAATAGCACGTTCGTGCCCATGAAGGAGAATCGGTCTCTAAAATGAAGATGCAATTTATATTAGTGTGGACTCTTTCAAGTATAATTACGAATTCGAACTTTTAAGCATAATTTCAGTCAACTCTAGCTGGTGGTGTAGCACTGTAACTAAGAAGTATTAAACATTTATTCTATTGGTTCAACTTACCATGTTCTTATCGAAAAGTTATCTGCACGTGTCTACTCTTTGAAATTACGCACTGCTCATTAACTGATTTAAGAAAGAGCTTTGAAGATTGTCGACTAGCGGTTAGCGAAGAGTAACCCTTGGATTTTGCGGAGCACAGTACTGTACACTACAGTACAGTATAGTACAGTACAGTAAATTGCAAGGAGTAACCGGGGCAGATAAGTACTGTACAGTGCACATTCCCGATGATAAAGAGCGTGTTGCGCAATGTTAAGTACAGTACGTAAACACTACAGAACGGAACGACTACAGTACAGTATACCGTATGAACTATTGAAGGTCTGATTTAAACAACTTTTGCTATTCTCGTATAGTCTACTGTACACTGTACAGTACAGTACTGTAAGCGAAAATTGTGCTGAGCTTACAGTACAATGTTCAACTTAGTGTACAGTACAGTACAGTACTGTACTGTACAGTACATCATGCTCAGTACTGTGTACAGTACTGTACAATCATTTTTTAATCCTACAGTACCTGCCGTACAGTGTACAGTATTCTGCAGACCAGACTAAGTACTGTACAGTAGACCATATCGAAAAATAGCTTTGCTAAGATTTTCAAAATGCATCATCACTACAGTTTAGACTATCCTCAAATGGACTAAATGGCCTAAATTTAAACGAAATTTTATTATTCCCCAGTGGCCTATCGTCATTTTAAGTAAGCATCGGAAGCCATCTTGTTTTGATAACAGAACTACTTCTGAGCAAACTCAATCGCTCCATTCAACACGCGAAATACGATACAGTACAATGTACTGAGACTTTACTATATCGTACTGTACAGTACTGTACGGTAATTACAAGGTACAGTACAGTACAGTACAGTACTGTACAGCACAGTACATAGCCTCTAGTAATAGACTGAACAGTAACAGTACCATGAGATTGTGAGTACAACATGGCCAGCAAACCGAAGTGGACGGCGGTGGATTATGCAAAACGTGTAGCGATTTTTTTTAATTTCTTACTTGTTATTTGTGGTCTAAGTATGCTGATTTTTGGAGCATGGATTAATGCTACCAATAGTGAATTTCATATCTATACTGGCGATGGAGGATACATTTCTACTTCAGTTTTACTAATAATAGGAGGACTAGTGATCGCCGTTTTAGGTGCTATCGGCTGTGGTGCGTCTTATCGTGGAAGCTGCCGTTTAATTCTGGTATATTTTGGCATTTTAAGCACGCTATTTCTAATTGAGGTTATTATTGGATGTGTTATCTATGGTCAGCACGACAGTATGATGCTTGCTGCTCAAAACGGCCTAAATCTGACGATAACATCTCAGTATGGATTTAATCAGCCGGTAACTAATTCCATAGATAGACTTCAACAGCGAAGAAAGTGTTGTGGTACCAAATCTTGGATGGATTGGCGCTACTCACTATGGCGTAAGAATGAGTCACTGCATGATAGAAACTTCGTTCCAGAAAGTTGCTGTATAACAGTATCTCGCAGTTGTGTTGTTACGACAAGTCCATCGAACATCTACTATAAGGGCTGTGGGACAGCACTGTCGGAGTTTGTTGATGAAAATGTGTATGTAATCGGTGGTGTTTGTTTCGCATTGGGTTTTATCCAAGCTATTGGAATTATTCTGACGTTCTATTATTATCTAAAGTTGAGAGAAGCCTAACCTAAATCTAATAATAAATTTACTCCTGTTATGCCATGTAATGTTTAACTCTATGCCATTTACGTTGTTTCTACATCTGGAGTAAATGTTATAATTTAATTAGAACATTGCCCCACTGTCAAGTTGAAATGCTCAGTTATGAAAAGCCGCTCAGTTTTCTACTAATATTGCGTACCTTTTGTTTAATCGGTATGAATCTTGTTTGTCACGACAAACAAGATTACCGATTAAACTATCGAGAACTTAAGTCCAGTAACAGACCATAGCAATATTGTTGCGGTAAAGAATAGATTGTCTACATAGATGGATGAAAAATTAGTTTAAGTGATAAACCTAAGCGATGCTGGTGCTGTAGCGTAAAGAGATTACTATTACTGTAAATTGGTATATACAGTATTATAATAATAATTAATTGATTAATTATATATATACCCGTATAATCATATGTACCTGTATAAATTGCTGATTTAAGTATCATATAGCGCTAATGGTTCCATTAATATATACTTAGAGCGTCAAACTAACATTTATACATTATTTATAAGATATACCGAATTTATGAAAGGGGAATCTCGTGATATTGTTACGTTTGTAATTATATAATTACTGCAATACCAGGTCTATAATCATCTCATGCCCGTATACCATTAATCAAGTAAAATGATTTAACAAATTCAGCTCTCGAACTTTGAGCTTTATCTCTTGGAATTAAATAAGCGTCTGTTTCATTCCAACCTAATTTTAAGTAAAAGTATTTAAGTAGCTACTGTATTATATATAGTAAAATCACTAAAGAAATGAATTTACAGGCTATACATATATCTATACAGTATACATTTATATTACTCTAGTATTAAAATGAATAAGTAATCAAGTTTTAACTTGCGCTGAAGCCAAATGCTATTTACTGTATTGATGGTATGCCCGTACTATATATAGTACTTGTAAATTTGTTAGACCGAAGTACTGCTAAAAGTATATCCAGACTGTACAAAAAGACTTATACAATACTACTGCTTGTACAATACAAAATAGCTATGTTAGGACTATAGGGAAGAACCTCTGTGGTTAGGACTTCCAGACTTATACTACTGCTTGCACTGAGATTCGAAAAAGCTAAGATTAATTAATTCAAAGTCCATGACACAGAATAGCTATGTTAGGACCATAAGTACCTCTATGGATAGGACTTCCAAGTATTAGGAAGGCTTACTGTAGATTCTGCAGACACCCTACGGGTATAAAGGTCGGGACTTTTTTAGGGAGGGAAGGAGAGTTGCAGATTAATAATTTTCAACTTACTAAATGCAATCTTGAACGCAGACTGCTATCGGCGCGATCGGTACGACTCAACTCAGGAGTAGGACTGACTCGTGCACTTTCTTTCTGGTTCGGATAGGATTATCCTTACCAGTCCATCACTAGAAGAAACTAAACCCTTGGATTAATAATTTTCAACTTACTAACTGCAATTGTAGATTAATAATTTTCAACTTACTAAATGTAATCTTGAATGTAGACTAGCTATCACTGGAAGAAACCAAACCCTTGGGCGCAGTAAAATGACATGACAGTCTTGCAATAGTGTACACTATGCCATGCTTAATATAAGAGTTCGTACTTATACTATTACCTGCTAGTATGTACATTTTTGTACATATACGTTAGACCCTTCAGATTTTAACTTGATATTCAGAATCCATGAACATTAAGTTAAAATCTGAAGTGTCTAATGTACTTACCAGTGTTAGACAATCATGTACAGGAAGCCATGATAAGGACGTACGGCGTACATGATGAGGGACGCCTACAGATAAAATTTCACCCCACAAAGTCAAAAAGTTGGTGTTAAACTACGATTGCAACACAAACGACTAACGATTACTACGAGATTGATCACCAATAAATTTCTCAATCGTCCCATTGATGAAGCTAAGCACTAAAGTAGTTAATTAAGCCTCTGAGCGTTTACAAACCTGAAGCAACTAAGTACTAGATCATCTCTATGATTAGTATTTTAAGTCTTACATAAAAGCAGACAATGGTTGTGTACGGTAAGTTTATTTCTAAGCAACCACGAATGTTCTCTTCAACACCTAAACCGAATTTCATATTTATAGAAACTTGTGAAACCCGTGGAATGCACTACGTACTATCTTAAGTTAATAATTAATTATTATAATAGTGTACATCCAAAATGTTTCAAACACGACTCCACTTGATCATAGTCAAAAGTAGTTACATAATTACTTAAATACCGGATTGGACTGTGCCGAGACTTAATCGTAAATCATTCCAAATCAGATTTAATACCATGATTCGATAATTTTAATGATATAAGAAAGGTTTTTTCTTAAATATCTCTATGGCTACAACATTGGTTATGACTGCTAGCCTTTTTATTACAGTACGTTTCTTGCAATTTATTTTCTATCAGTTCTACAGTAGTAGTATACTGTATACAGTACTGTACAAGTCAAACTCTGTACTGATAATATAATTTCATACTACTGTACTGTACAGCATTTTTATTTATTTTTATAAAATTATTTTTAAAATAATTACATTTTCGAGGTGTGCATTAATTTCTTGAGGTACAGTATTATAAACATATTTTACGGGAGATGATACTGTACAGTATAAGCGATATTTGTACTACGTTCAGTATATGTGCAAATACAGTATACTGTAGACTTACTCACTTTTCGTTAACGTTAGAGTCAGATCAGCATACAGTATAGATTTAGATTTAATTTAATACTGTACAGTTACACTAAGAACATTGTGTAGTGTACAGTATAGTACATACTGTAGAGTGTCTCTAGTGTACTGTACAGCACTGTACGGGCACATTGTATGTACTGTACTGTACTCTAATATACTGTACAGTACCGTACAGTACTGTACAGTACAGTATCGCTGGCTGGAGTCCGTTGAACTATGAGTACTGGTATACAGTACTGTAGTATCGATAAATATTGTATGTTGTTCCACTTGTTACGAGTCGTTACAACTGAACCCCTGAACTTAGAAAAAAAAAGAAAATTCAAAATGGGAGATCGAATTTATCCAGAAGATGTTGAAGGTAGCGATTCCTATGCTTATGAATCGGACGAAGGTTAGTTTAAAATCCATACCACTGTAGCTTCGTCGAATTGCTTTCACATCATGTAATATATGGATCAATGTCAATAATGTACGCGTACTTGTAGTAGTTAATCCGCGACTTGTAAGAAATGGAATTTAGTGCTGTTATATCTGCAACATGCTGTAGAGTATTCAATTTTTTATTATTACTGTTAATTATAATTATAATTTATTTAAAACATATCTTTATGATACACATCCATTTTAGTTTATCCGACTTAATTATTTCGACTTTACATTATCGTGTATCTTTTTTTTTCTTTTTCTTTTGCTAATCACTACTTTTGTTCCATGCGAAAGGGTTATAATAAGTGCAAAATACTTGCACCTCGCTTCAACTTTTTGACTAAAATTTTAACAGTATATATCATTAACTCAAAAATGCACCTAAATTCTGGGATTACACTGTTTCTGACGGACCACCAACACCCAGCTTAGGGTTACAATGTTAGAACCACTAATGCAGTAGATAGCAATTTGCATCGGCCACCAACTTTAGTGTAGTAAAGCTGTGGTGTTACAGTGATATTTGAATGAATACCTGTATTCATCATGTCCTCACTTCCGAGTGATTTAACGTAAATGCCTGTATAATCATAGATTTGGTTTTGACTAAACATAGCTCGAATTCTTCAGATACTGAAGATGCTAGTGAAACTGATCAAGCAAAAATGGAAGAAGATTTCGCTGAATTAAAGGAAATGTAAGCCTTCTGTGAGATAAATCGGGGTCTAAACTTTTAAGCCTGTGTACTGTGTAGTATGCATTCTCGTATCATCCTCAGGCAATACAGGGTTATAAATATCTCTAAATTTAAATAGCATGTACAAAGAAAAATTAAAGAGCCTTAAAGAAGAGCTACAGCAGATTCGTGATGGTATGTAGCGACAATACTTTATTATAGCTTGTTAAAACAGCACGTATAAACGAATTTTAGGTATCTCATCGTAGAGAAGTGATTGAATAGTATCGTGCTGCTTACAGCTGATTTTGGTACTGGTTATGTACGGTCGAGTCCGCTTCATATTCTAGAATATAAAATACCATACTGTACTCCTATTGACAACTTGTAGTTAATGTATAGAATCTCTAAATTATCTCTGTTTTAAATTAAGACGTTATAAAGCTTTACTTCGATGTTACAACGATTTCGTCAATATCTCATCGCTGTCTTAAGGTGTCCATCCGGAATATTTGAAAAGATTGAGAGAATTAGAACGAATGAGAGATGAAAGAACGTTTTTCGCGAGTAAGAATATATAACATTCGTATCATAGTATGTGGTAATGACGTTCTACAAAGTTACTTTGGATAACTCGTTCAAATAGTCTTTACAGCATTCCTGGTGGAAATTGATGCAAATGTCAGATTTGTGATTAATTTAATTTAATCTTTTCTTCTGTACTTGACTGTGCGAGCGAAGAAATTAGTAGAGATTATGAGGTAACCAGTGCTCCATACAATACCATTGTTGATTGTGCTATGTTAATTTTGTACTTAATCACTTCCAACTTGTTATATTCCGCGACTTATCGTGGATGTTATATCAGCAGTTGTATTCCATAAAACTGTTTCTTAAATTTAAAAAATGCGAACTCTTCAGGTTGCCATGATTGAAAAAGAACATCAACAGGAACGAGAGCATTCGTTAGCAGATCATGAGGTTTGCATATATTAGGGGCATATTGTAGATGCCGAAGGTGATAGCAAATGGCTTCGGACTAATATTGCGTGTTAGATTAGAATTTTAAATCTAGAACTTCAGTATTACGTATGGTCAGAGAATAATTGTAAAGCTAAACATAGTAAAAGGGATTTTATACTCTATCCTGTGATCTGTAGTACATTTAATTTTAAAAGATTACTTCGTTTCTTATATAGAACCTGATTAAAGAATTAAAAGATTCAATCCTTAGTGACTTACAGGATAAGAAACGAACTGTAGATGCTGAACGCCAAGTTATGGAGATAACTGGAAATTCAGGCATGTTGAATAAAACATACGTCATTTATTGCCTGCTAACGTCGGTTCGAGTTTTGATTTACTAACTTAATCGTAAAGCAAAAAATGTGATGTAACTATCGGCTACTGTAGAGGCAGAATTTCGAACTATACCTACACGCAAATTGCGTCGTAAAATGAACGACTCGGGGCCCACTCAGGAAAAGAGAAAGAAACAAAATCAAAATATCTTACACTGTCTGTACTTAGAATTTCTTAAGCTACTCTTACAATATGTTTATAAAGCGATTTCAATATTGTCCGTAAGTATTTTCCATAACCAACACACTTCAAATCAACCTTCAGATTTCAGAACAGGAAATTCTTGATGATTTAAAGCTATTACAAAAGGTATTCTTGTTATAATGAATTTATACAATATCTCTTTTCGTGCTAATTTCTTAATACGTCATGCTCGCCTTTACTAATGTTACTTCACTTTACGTTTCTTCTATGCTTAGTCCAAACCAATAAATAGTAAAGGTGAGCCATAGATAAATGCAGGAATTATTTGGATAACGTGACGATAATATCGTTGGGCAATGTATCTCATATGTTGCATAATTATCAAAAAGCAGCATCCGATGTTTCTATTTCAGCAGAAGCGCGAATAGAAGATGGTAAATTATTTTATGAGAAAAGATGGTAGGTCATCAATTGAATTGTAGATCTTCATGTATGGATTCCAATTGTAAGTTGTGAATGATTTCTTTCATCTCAAGGTATCATCGCGGTCAACATGTATATATTGAAGGAAAAGATACCGCGCGTATTAGGTATTCCTATTCATTGCTGGAAGGGCTTTATAAATATCCTAATTATTTTATTTTTTCTCAATCTTGCAGTGGTATATTGAGTTCCATCGGTCATAATGAGGTATAGGATACAGAAAATTTCATTTAATTATTTTTCGATAATGTTATCGAATGAATTATTCATATATTTTTCTCCTGGAATCAATATCTTTAGTTCTTGGTAAAAAAAACTGCCGATGGATCCAAAATGAGAATTTCCATTACCCAGTTGATTAATGGAAAATACTCTATTAAGAGACGCAGTACCTGAGTTATTATCTAGTGATATAACATGCTAAAAATTTGTAAATTTTTTGCTGTACGCACTAACACAATGGTTTATTTGATATATGGCACAATTATACTATATTGTACTGTTATTGTGATGTCGTATTTGTGCTTTTCGCTTTTTAGGCCTATACCCTTAGCTCTCACAGGCTCATTTGTATGATATTCAGGCTTATTTTAAAATTTTTATTAAAATTATGTCGCAAAATTATCGTATAAAATTATAAATTAATTTGATATAAATTTTAGTCATAAATTGTAATTTTATTACGTTCATAGCTTATTAACAAGCTCACCATTATACCTATATTTTACACATACGAGTCTGTATAATAACTAGTTTTATATAGTTAAAAGATCCTATTAACATCTCAACGTTAGCTGCGACAGATTGTATGCTAATGTTGGTTTATAGTCCATACGTACAACTTTTTCAATCGATATTCACAAACAATGCTAGTTCATTCGAAGTTCAATATTTGGGTACAATAAATGGTGATGTAATTTCCAAACAGGGTATTTATATTTTACCGTTAAATACATTTGCAACGTTGTCTAACTGCTGCTGTATTTTAAGCTGGTTTGATAAATTGTAGAATTATCCGTCTTCGTAAGAGTAAATTCAGATATATCAAATCAAATGAAATTTTATGTTGTACCGTACAGTACTTTCTGCTCACTGTAGAGGTTGGAATTTGATAGGTACTTCGGTTTGTTTAACCTTTTTTATGGCAAAAGTGTGGGTATATGGCTGTATCCAGAATCATCTGGCCTAAACATTACATGCATTGAAATTATTTGTAATCCCAGTTTACTATAAATTGATTTTATAAATTGATTGTCGCTGCATGATTAAGGTCAATGATTTCCTTGTGTGGTGACCGACTCTGTGTCCATATTCGCCAGCAAATCAGATGCCTCTTTTGCTCAGAATTTCTGATTACCTATCCTGTATATAAATCTTAGATTTGATTAATCCCTTGAAATTGGCAACTATGCTCTGAAATATTAATGTTCTGTTTTATTTTAGCAACATTTCTGTCTATTGTAAATATCGGAAGCCAAATGCAGTGTACACACCGCAGTTACTGTAGATGTAGTGTAATTCTCCCGACCTGCTGTACTTTAACTTCATACTACAATACAGGGTGCAACGGTTTGGCGAGCTTTCTTGAGAGTAATCAGTTCTGTACACAATAGAATAGGGAGTTCAGTATAAAGTTAGATAGAGTGTTGTGAGTTCTCAGTGGTGATAGTACTGTACTGTACTAGTGTTAAAGATAGCTAAGTCACATGGATGCTGGCTACATCAATGGTAAAGCATTTTTTGTTGTCATGAAGCTAATGTCAGTCACATGTTACGTTTAGTAGTCATGCTTCAATTACTGTTTAACTTATTCATTGTAAGCTACATGGTTCCAGTGCTCTTCAATCTTTAGTTATCTATGGTGCAAAGTAAAGGAGATAGAGTTTACCAGATTAATATGAAAGCGTCCACAACGTTGCCCAAGCAGGGTCATAACTTGAATATTGTGAATCTATACTTGTCTACGTGTTTTTTGTTTTAGCTCTAATTATCAAGCTCGTTAAGTTAATTATGCGTGTTATAGTGTATTTTGTCGGCGTATATGATGTTCTTTACGCCGATGATATTTTAGGAGCGGCTAACTAGAGTTTCTATGTATCTGTGCTTTCTGGTTGTTTCAAATTGCTTCATTGCTAGTGAACATGAACTACTGGTTATAGTAGTTAATTTTAATAGCATATATATAAATTCATATCATGGGATTTTATTTCATTGTGATTGAATTATCTCAGTAAATTTACATTTCTGTATTGTATAAATATAAATTAAGGAAAAATAAAGCGTCGAGACGAAGTAGTACTGATGTAAGTTACCAAACTAAGATAACAATTAATTAATTTACTGTAAATAACTAATTGGCTTAAATTCTTAATTGACACTACTGATTAAGTTACTGAATGGAGTTATTAGAGTGATTAAGAATCCATTGTTTCAGTAAATATAATAAGCCTTTTTCTTCATCATTATTAACATGATTTCTTTAACAAAGATAAGGCAACTGATATTGCATTGATAATGTCAGAATTTATTATCAGCATGTTTTAAATTCGCTTTATGATCTTACTGCATAGAATTAATGTGGTAAAATGATTAAATGATCAAATACTTAATTAGTAAGTTATATTTCTTCAGCAAGTTTTGTGCTTCCGTTAAAAGATAGCGAAATAATTTGATATTTATATAATGGTTAATCATACACTAAGCTACAACCAGCACCGTTTTCTACGATAACATCGATAAATATGCGAATATTTTGCAAGATTGCTTTAAGATTCAGTATTTCGATTGCTGCATACAGCGTATACTCGTACATTTAAAATTTTAATTTTGTTTCTTTTTCCTGTATCGCAAGATAGATTACTATCGTAAATTAATTATAATTATCACTAAGTACAAGCGGATTCAGTTGTGCTAGTTTGATAAAAACAAAATAAAACCAAATTGACGTGAATCATTTAAGTGCGCATTGAGACTTCGTGACTATGATAATTAGTAAATCACTGATATTCCTGTTTACGGTTTATCGACGTGATCCAAAATTTCAGGATATTGGATAAATAACCTGCTTAGCAGTAGTCAAGAACTACATGAGTAAATTGTATCGATATTTTACTATTCTTATGGAGGCGCTCTTGCAATATTGATTCGTACTTTAATGTACTTATTAATGTTATTAGCCGTGATATTTCATAGCGAAGTACACGGTACTGTATGCGTATATAAGGACATATATAGAACTAAGTGCTCGAATAGCCTACGGTATTTTCGTGATTTATTAGAAAATATGATAGGCTTATCCTAGATACGTAAGCTTTTTAGGTATGATAATCTTCTACTCTATAAAATACAGTAATACTAAAGCGGGTATGTATATAAATTTATTTGTGATTGTCACTGAAATCATCAGATTTTCATGAGAAATTAGATGTTCTAGCTTGATCTGGCTGTTGTCTTTGGCTTTGCCGATAATTAATAAATTTTTTTCTACGAGTGCTTGCAGTTTCCATTAGCAAAGTCTGCATCATACCTTCAGCAATAAGCTATGCTGTAAAAACTTTTAAGTATAAGGTGGTACTGCTACTACAAATGCTAGAGTGCTGATAATTTTTACGAAACTGCAAATTTTCTTAAACATAAATTATTCAGTCAATGCTTAATCTATTGGACTAGTATTTACTTTTATGAAGCTTAAAACATCTTTTGTCTATTTTTAGTTTAAAGATTCCTAATTCTTAAAAGCAATAACCATGAATACTAGCCGTAAACATCCGACTAATGGTAAAAATGATCTATCGTGCACGCACGTAACAAAGAATATTTCTCAAGCACAGGTTATTCCTAAAAAGACCGTTGATCGTCAAAATTTTAATAGTTCTCAGAAACTTAATCAGAAATTATTAAAGTTAGAAAAAGCCGTGAACAAACAGTTACAGAATGTCGATGAAAATCAAAGGAATTTAAGGCATGAACTTGCTGATGGTAATGATGAATTAAAAAGTGAATTTCTTGACTTCAAATCGAAATCAAAAGGCCGCCGAAGCTCAGCACCAGTTGTATCTCTAACCGATTCATCACGATTACATGATCAGTTAAATGATAGAGAACAAGTTAATACGGTTACGACGGTATACTGTCCACCGTCTCGTCGGTCTTCTACACAATCTTCACAAGCAAATCTCTCTAAATCTCAAGCAAATGAGAACGTAACAATAGAGGATCTTAAATCTGAAATGCCCAGATATTTGCGTTGTCGGATTGACGAACAATCAGAAGATTTTGACCTTTTCAGTGGAATTGATTAATTCGTAAAGAATTATGCTGCGACTGTATATATAATAAGATTCATATTATGTATACATGTTTTACTTTTACAAACTTGATTTTGCTTATTGAAATACCTGTTGGTGACTGTGAGTACCTTTATACTAGTCATCATTAATAAAAGTATCATGAGGGTATCTGTCTGTATTAATTTACTTTACAGTAGACATTTTCATTTATCAACAGATTTGTTGCGGAATATTTGCAATTGTTCATGGCGAGTCATAATTTATAGCTAAGCTAATGGTTATGACTAACAATTTATTTTAAATCCTGCAATATGCATGTCGATTAAATTAGACATTGTTTACTATGTTAAACGATTAACAGACATAGATGTTACTAACATGGGATGTCTCATACCTCCTTAGAAGTTACTGCTACTGATTATATATATTGCTTTACAGTACTACAGATGCTGGAATCGTAATTACGAGTTCAATAAATATGAATAAAATGATTTACAGGGCCTTTATAAATCATATTTGATAATACCAATGTCCGTTAAAGTTGAATATCTAGGAAAAGATTCCTGATATATTTGACAGTATGCACAAACGATATGATTATCTAATGTAAACTTATTCGATCTGTCTTCCGCCGTGAATCGAGTTTTCTAATTAATATTGGTGCTTGCAATATTAGTCACTACGTTTACAATAGAACATGAAAAGAATTTAGTAAATGATTTAAGGAGTGCTTATAAGAAGTTAGTATATTAAGTTCATTATAGATTAACACTGGCTAAAATTCTTGAACGGGCGTTTAGAATTTCTAAAAGGAAATTTCGTCTTTCAATAGATATTCTCTGGATCGATGAGGGTAATAAAATTTGTTAGCATCAATTAAACAAAAAAGTTTATAGCAGTACGTAGAACACTGCTAATTACTAACCTCGGTTAGGCATTGCAATCGAAATTTCATGATTCGAATATTAAAAATGCATGATGATGATAATTTGACTAAATGAGTGCAGGCAGCTTGGACGCCTAGCCTTATTTTTTTCAAATTACATGTTAATACATCTTCATATTAAAAGTTGTTGAAACATGTAATATACAACATATCATACGGTCACAAAGATATATTACCATATCAATTCATCCATTTCAAGACAGAATAGTACGCCATACTACGTAGTTCATTATCAAATATAAGATAAGAATAATTTTTGGCTTGCATATCCATGAAAGTGTAAATTTCGTTTTATTGAACGATGTAATATTACCTTTCGACAACATCTTCGTGCAGTAATATACAGACAATGAATCATGTCCATTAACATATCTTCGAATAGCATTAAATTAAAGAATTCAACGTTATTATTACCATTAAATATGCAATCAGTAGCAAATACCACGTTAAATTTATTATATTGTGTAAAAGGTGTCTTACGGTCAAAGTACTGCACACTACTGTTAGGTTTCTTCCCTTTCGGTAGTCGATGAACATAGGCCAAAAATTTCAGCATTATTAGTTGGAGTTTATCGAAGATGTTAATGCCTATTGTGAGCTTTGAATTCATCTAAAAGTATTTACATTCATTTTAATTCATTGTGGATTTAAAACATGAACACGGCTACTACATACCTCAGGATCAAGAGTAATTATTTGACATAACATTCTCACGTACCTGTAAGAAAAATGCAGCTAATTGGTATTCACATAAACAGGCAAAATACGTTGCATGATAGGATGGGATATATAATGCAATTTGTATTAATAGAACAAATAGGTTACTACTTACTGAAGCATTTTAGCTCTCATTGTTTGTCCGGCATTATTACTGATATTGATTGTCATACATTCACTAATGCCTACATGATAATTACGACAGTTTATTTTTTGGCATGAGTAAAGTTATTACGTAAAAACTTTACTTACGTATATGAGTATATCGATTGTAATCTGATAACACTTCTAATGTGTTAATATTGAAAAGCAACCCACACCATGGAAAATAACCTTAAGTGGAGAAAGACACATTGGGTTAAGAGTGTGTAAATTATCCACTAAATTTTGAAAGGCTTTAATTTCTCAGTACTTGAATTTTTACAAAGATTCGGTTGAAAATCATTCATAACAGCTAATTTTTCATTTACTAGACATTTTGCAAGATTAAGTTCACAACCGTACTCTGGAATACCTAAAAGGTATTAGGAAAATCTCGAACATGTTAATAATTTTTAATTTGCTATCAATTACATATTGTCTTGTAGAATTGCACATAACCTTTAGCCATTTTATTAATAAAAGCGCAGCAGACGTCTTTATTATTAGCCACCAATAAGAAATCGTCTGTTAACCTTGCAAAAAACTATTTTATCACAGGAGCTCAATGTAAACGGCTTTATTACATTAATGTACGGTACACAGATATAACGTTGAATAGATTTATGTTTGTTATTTGTACTGAAAAAGTCTTGAGGATTTTTTGCTCTTAATTTGGTATTGTATACGAGAGAATTCTAAGACTATATAAAAATTCATAGAACAAAAAATAAGGTATCGTAAATACTTACTACATTGCTCTGGTTCATGAATTCTTTTAAATAAGTATTTTCCATCATGTTATAAAATATACTAAAATGTATGATGCAATAAAAACATCTAATTTTAACATTTTTTATCAAGTTTCGAATCTAGATCATAGATTCCATTTCGCTTACTAGCAGAGGACCGAGGAAAGAATAGATCCCTGAGGAATACCACTAGTCTGCTTATAATATTCTCCGTTAACCTACTTGTAAATGATTTAGCAATATTTAATAGTCATTACTACGGAAAACTCTCGGGTATTACTAGTAAAAATCATGAGTAACCTGCACAATGTTATTAGTAATATGTTTTTTGATTTGCTCTAGAACAAAAGTTTTCTTAACTACTTCAATTACAGCCTGGTTTATCATAGGTACATAATCATGATTAGTCAAGCATCGAGAACTCGATAACATTGTACTATGGTTACCATAACTTTTATCAAAAACTTAATTCTGATTTATCTTAGGTATAAAATTATAAAGATTATTAACTATTTTCCTGAAAGACCATCATCCTTAAATTCCACAAAGAATGATTAAGAGTTTCACTGTCTCGTCTACATCACTAATGCGCTAGAATTAAATTGGTCAGTTATAACTGACTGTTTGACCTTATCGTAGACAATGCAATGTCGCATTCTTGAATTGCTTTCATTTTCACTGAATTTTAATAAACGTGCAGTTGCACTCATGTCACCTAGGGTGTGTGATTCGTAAGCGAATTAGCGGATTAGAGGCTATAAGCGCAAGTAATTATAAAATTAACCGTTTTTTAAGATGTAACGTTGAATATTGGAGCAATTCTTATTATTTCGTCGTGATACCATTGTAAATTGATACATCAAGTATTCATCCTAAGGTATTGAAAATTTCCTAGTTTAACTTATCTAATGTACATACGATTCATTTTAAAAATTCTATTACCTGATTCAGTAATTTATCAACAATACTTAACAATTTCTCCTGCCGGATTGAGTCGAAGCAATTCTTTATATCAACACTAGCGAAGTACCACTTTCTAAATGTGGATAAAGGAGCAATGTTGATAGAATTTTCAGAAATTACGTTTTCTTTTGGATGCAAATTATTGTACTACTGTATAATGATACAAGATAACTTGTTAGTGACTACTGATGTTTACCTGTCATGCGATTGAGGATTTACGTTGCTTATGAAATTTTTCCATTGATAATAAATGTCATGAAAGCCAAAAATGCCGGGACTTTTATTATAGACAGCTTTATTCTGCAAAATTACGTTACATTTCTTGAAGTAGGCGATAGTAAACCGAGAGTACTCACGTAATACTTAGAGATATACTTATTTCATTTCATGATTTTCATACTTTTTCGTAAGTTAGAATGTTAAATATCTTTCGAAGTTGATCATTTATTGGCAGATTGCTGCAATGTGATCCTTTCGATTTTTGTAAGGTTTTATTCTAGTGAATATAGGAGATAACATTATCGAAAATTTCTGATGTGAGTTTTGACAAGCAGAGCTAACGCATGTTAACAAGGAATACCATAACATCTGATGAAAAAGTTTTTCTATTTAGCGCAATGATAGGTCTCAGTTTTTTATCTTTCGGTAGAAATCGCAATCCTGAACACCCGAGGGTTTTCTGTTCGTGCAGTAACTTCTTGTAGGTTTTCTGTAAGTAAGTTAAAATATATTATTGTAATTTTGATACACAACAAGTGTAAAAGAATATTTCAACCTTGTCAATTTTCTTAAATTTTTCTCGTAAAAGACCTAATAGAAACGAATTATGCTGTTGAAAATTTCGCTAGGATATTTGTCAAGTCTCATTTGAATCCACCTGTTACACCGAGAGTAAGTATTCTTCGCCATATTGACTTCCGATAGTAAAAAATTTTATTTTTTGTATTATCTGAGTCAGTTACATAAAAATATCCCTAACAAAATCAGAAGCACAAAATGGCTAAGATCAAGAGGTTATTAAAATTTGAGATAAAAAGTACTTGATCCAAGTGAATTATTCATGATTCTAACTGAAAAATTAGTAACATTAATCATCTACAAAAATGGTAAGGTATCAATTCAGGGCTACCTTTAATATTGATAAGCAGTAATCGTTGAACAACCACCAAAAGAAAGTAGTACATAATCTCCATGATTTTTCACTGTTACTTATAGGAGACAATTTGGCTTTCTGCATGAAATTATTGGCCCAAATACACTCTGAAATCTGAATAGTGTTTATTTTCTTTCTGTTATTTATTTAGAAATTGCTGGGTATTAGAATTACATTATTTGGTGGTTAAATAATGTACCTTCATATTCATCATGATGTCGCGGCAGGTGAATTTTTCATTTTTATGTAGATGTATAAATCGGAACAGTTCTTTAAAATTTTTGAAGAGTATAGATTATTAGGTCAGCGGAAAATTTAGAGCAAAAATTAGGACCGCTCTGACTTAGATACTTATAATTTTCATTAGAAATATATACTGTAGGAGCATGGAAGTCTACATACTGTTATAAAATAATTGCTTGTTTCTTTTGCATCCCCATAGCTGTTGTGGTATAACGTGGTTACAGACAGATACTAAAAAAGAATAAACCTTCGACAAACTAGTATTAATTGTTAACATCAAACGTAGCATATTAAGGGTATAATAAACACTGTCTGCTTACTTGAACAGGAGTGGAATAATTATTCCGTAGACAACTGTAATTAGTAGCTACTTTCGTCTCAGTTCGCTTTTTACAGTTAATATTTACTGTTTGCTATTGTATAAGGTTATTAGATCAGGTTAGTGATACTGTAGAAGTAATCTTATATGGCATATTCTTCTGAAATAAAACCATATCATAATTTACTACAAAAACTAAACTTTGATATAGAATTACTAGCTAAGAAAATAGTTACGCTTGCCTCGATCGGAAATATCTGATGAGGCTTTAGTGGACATTGACGGTGTAATAAAGCTTGAAACCGACATTTTCTAGCGATAAACTCATTATTTAGATGCGAAGATCACATAGACCAAGATGTTATGTTTCTATACGACACGATGATGAACTTACTTATGACGTTTGATGAACGACTGAAATATTTGCTGTAATCGAATTAATCTTCTTGGCAGACGACAAGACTAAACCCAAGATAAATCATTTAGCAATTGGGAATCCTCTTTTGACATAATGGTATGAATGATTCTTGATTTGGTTATCTTGCATAATTTCAAGAGTCTAACCTGTATAGTTCCTTTTTTATTATCTAGAGATGAACGTAAAATCGAATTATAAAGCCATAGGACTATTAATTTTTTTAATATTCATTGAAATCATTTAGAATGTATACAAAAAGTTACAATAAAAATTATTTACATTTTGACTGGTGAATCTGATTTGATAAAAATATTCTTGTTATCAATTTTCGAGCACCCCTGCGGCTGCTGTGGGCCACTTCGACGATATCTAGGCAGTTTATATAAAAACGGAAGTTCTTTAAAATACATGTACAGAATTTCTTAGCATTGAAACCATCACTAAAAATATTTTATATTAACATATGAATAATACAATACTTACTACTAGACGAATTTAAACTTTCCTTACTGACTCTGGAATACATAATACGGGTAATACTGGTGGAGAGCTTCAGTAAGCTACTTCGACAGTACTTTGCTTCGCGATTTAAATCGTCCTCTTCTTGTACAGGTGGCGTGGGTGTGTTGGTGTGAGTTTTATGTTTACGTAACAAGAAGTAAATGAGTCGATGATTGTTAACAATATAAAACAGTAGCTTATAATTAAAGAATAACTGACTTGTTTTAATATCAGACGATAAAGCTTCTGGTACTTTTAGTCCGTTAAAGTGACTTTGAGCAACAGGTGTATGCTCGCTGTCAATTTCGTAATTGGCTTCATAAGGAACATCAATCGAACTTAGGAATGGAAAATCTGTACCTTTAAAATTATTATTTGATATGTAGAATAGTAACATGTCAAATACTTACTTACTATATAAAATGGATAATACTGTATCCAGCGAAATAACAATTTGAAATCGTTACTATTTTACCTTCAGCGCCAGTGTGATCAAATCTATATCCTGCAGGAGCGGCATATAGACACTGTTTTTTAATAGGTAGTTCTTCATTGCTTCTGAATTGAAATATGGCAATAGATACAGTAAATACATCAATAGTTAATTGATAGTTTCTGTTGCGCCTCGGCAATGTGTTTGCAAATGCACTCAGCTTGTAGGCAACTTTATTTATAAAGTACTCACTCTCCTACAGTTCCCAATTAAAGGCACCCAGTGAAGTAATCACATATACTCGTAGTATACTGTATTAATACATAGCTGTTTAGTTGTACTGGTACTGGTATTTATGTAGAATATAAACACAAGGCATTACTAATTTACGTGTAATACAATTATTTTTTAGTGACTTCAAACTTGCGTTCTGGTTGAATTAAAATGTGTACGTTCACTTTTAGTAATACTAAAGAATTGCATGCAGAGGCCAAAGTGAATTCTGATGACTAGTTGTTGCGTGGTAGAGCAATTAAGTGCCTCGCTATTGTTTTCTGTTGGTGTCAGTTTCAGATTTATTTACTTGTACTGTATTGTATACCGTATGCCGATGTGCAATATGCTGTATCATTCGAAGAATGTGTGATACTAATAGAATATTAATACTTTTAGTAGTTAATTTACATTTGCCCTTACTGGTTTGTTCATAAATGGATAATACTGGTTAGTGCACAAATTTACAGTTTATATCTAGCTCATTAGGCTAGTATTTAAATAGAATTTTATCAATGTACATACTGATCTAGCGTTTACGTAATATTAGTTCTTATGTAAGATTAGTTATTGTTTAAAACTCTCAAAGAAGGAAAAGACACCATAATTTCTAAGAAGTTAAGTGGCACCATGTAGTTGATTCATTAATATATGTACCTTTCTGTACACTGATAGGGTCCTGAAGTACTGACAGGATTTTTCGCTGCATGAAAATCATACATATGCCTATTTATAGGACAACCTTAAGCATCAGAGAAATGTTTGTTAGTATATTTAAAGCACGACTAAAGCGATTATAATCATTCTCTATTATCCTCTGCTTCACCTGTAACTTGTAGCAATGAGGTGTTCGTGAACGGGATAAAGATTGCAGTATCTTTCAATAGATGGATTACTGAACGATGATCGATTCTGAAATTGGTGATACGATCCTTCCTTAATTATATAGTTAGCACCTTTACGTTATCCTTAACACAAGCGATGCTAAATTGAAGGGGTACCTTGAGAATAAAGTATTCCAGACAGGCGATTGAATAATTTCTACAGCTGAGTTCTTGCAAATCTGAGCTCCCATCTACGTAAAAATATTTACATTTTAATTCAATACATTCGAAATAACTATTTTGATCAGCTCATTTCAATTAAAAATTCTTATTCTATATCTTACAAGTTGCTTACCTTCGTTCGACCTAAAGATAAAATATGATGTGATGGACGTTGTTTGCTGCATAAGCTCTGCTTTGAAATTGTCGTGGTAAATTGGGACTTCAAGTTGTTATAGTTTTATAATAACACTGTCATACCTGAATAACATGTTCGATTGTTCCGCTTATATCTAATTTTTCTTTTTCATTTCTAATTTTTACATGGTAACATTCTAATTGTCCGGCAGAGAGTCCAACGAGCGTATGGCACAGGAAATTTTGGTATTCTTCATAGTCACTGGGTCTCAAGACGAAATCAAACGGACTATCGTCGCGTCGTAAGTAGATATTTAAAGTTACAACTTCGTCGTATAAGCTTTTCAAAATGGCCACTATAAAGTTAAGTAATTAGTTAAAGGTCTGGATGCTATTATACAATTTTAGCATAGGGATGTATTTGTTTACTATATCTACATTATACGTATTCCACAGAATTTCTGCTGCATTTTACATGGTGAACAAATCAAGTCTTGTCTGTTTGTTTTATGGCGCGCAAATTTAAAATCGAAATCACCTGCTCCATCATTGGGCTTCAAGCGATACAAATTTTGCAGCTGTTCTAGGATAGCGCAGGTTTCCATAAGGCCTTTAATGGGTCTTTCCTTTCGACGAAGTAATGGCTAATGAATACTGTAATTGCAATTTATTTATTCATAAACAAATAAAATGAAATGAATGGTACAAGATACCGTACTAACAGCAACTTAAGCGTCTTTATGTTGTACTGTATTGTACTGAGTACTGTACATACTCAGTGTAATACTGTACTGTACACTGTACAGTACCGTACTGAACTGTTTTGATTTGTGTCTACAGTATACAGTATTACAGAACAGTAGGGTGCAGTGTACGTACAGTACAGTACTGTACTGTACTGTATAGTAGTTTCAAATCATCAACTACTAAAAATTACAGGAGCGGTAGCTTCTAGTGCATGGTCAAAGTGTCGATCGTATCAGCGAAAAAGAGGTTGCAAGCAGCCAAGCATCAACATTCTTCTATCCTTCTACTATACCACTTTTAATTTTGACAGGCTTTTGGGTCAAGCCTTCATATGCTGCGCTTCACTCGAAATTTCTGTTATCGCCTGGGTTGCGATTCATTTTACGATGTTATTGTAGTTGGAGGTGGTCATGCTGGAACAGAATCTGCAGCTGCTGCTGCTCGTAATGGCTCTAGGGTGTGTCTAATATCTCACGATTTGACTAAAATTGGTAAATATGATTTAGCAGCAATTGTAGATTTTACAGACGAACTTTTTCGTAAATACCCTGTAGCCTATCACCGGCTACACGGTTGTATGAGTATTTTTGTGTACTCTTATTTATAGTTAGTTACTCGTACGCATATTTACAAGTATACGGGTATATTAACTTACAGTATAAATATTTCGTTCGATTATACCTGATTTTCATAGATAGTCCATACCATGATCTACAAAAGATCTAAGGGCAGATTGTGCTAAGATCAATTAAATTTATTTAGGTGAGATGTCTTGCAATCCTTCTTTTGGAGGCATTGGAAAAGGTCACTTAATTCGGGAAATTGATGCTTTGGATGGATTATGTGGCAGAATTTGTGGTCAGTTTGCAGCCAAATTTCTACGTACTAGTTTCTTTAAAACTTGCCATGGTAGATTTTAATGCTCTGATAACGTATCGTGTTCGCATTACCATAGCTAAAAGGAGTGTACCAAAAGAATGCTCTTATTTTGTGATTTGAACTCCAGCATTGCAATGATTATACTTTTATTACGTCTTTGTGCTATATACGTACGAGTATTCGGCATAACTGCATGTAGAGCTCAGTACAATAGTCATATGATTTGCGAGGCAATGCGTGCTTGAGCTTAGAATTATAGCTTTCGAGATCCTTTTCAGCTCAAGAAACTATCTGATTATGCTATGATATCTAACATCGTTCTTCAGCCTTTGATGTTAACTATATTATTGAAGCCTGTCAGGACGACTTGAACTATGAAAGGCATAGACTAAGATCTCCTTCCAATATAAGTCCTTTCCAATAGCATGACTTACGTTCGCTAGTTACTGACTAGTACAGTACACTTGAAATTGTAATGTTGACGTTAACCTATTATTATGAAAGTAAATCGTACTTAATACGCCAATACGTACATTTATTGACTTTAAATTCGCAGATCTTTCCGGAATTCACTATAAGGTTCTGAATAAAAGAAAAGGACCAGCAGTTTGGGTGTGTAATCATAAGTTTTCTACGCAGATTTAATTATACCATAACTTAAAACAATGTGTTTCCTGTTATAATTCTCAAAACACTGTTCTCATTTTCATCAGAAAGTACCAGTGTAATGTGTTATAAACTTGATACACTTAGGGATTGAGGGCTCAAATGGATCGCAATCTTTATCGATCGAATATGCAGGTGGAAATCAAAAGTACACCGAACTTATCGTTACTACAAGGAGCGGTCGTAGATTTAATTTTATCGTCTGATGGAGATAAGCAAGTTATTGATGGCGTTCAATTAGGCAGGATAACAATATATGAAAATTTGCATAATCTATATATATATCAGCGATTATTAATTGTAATTATCCTAGCATGATGACTGACATTCGTAGTATAATTACAACTTTAAACGTCACCAGACGTCGGTCTAGCATTGATATTCCGGTAATGACAATCCGGATTGTACAGTATAGTAACGTACGTACAGTTAGGACGCAACTATGTATTGCGTGAGTTTTTTGAACTTGAAAACTTAGCCTTAATATCCTGCGGTATCTGAATATTTATTTACCCGTACTCTATACCATTAAAATAAATCTACTGTACATGCTTGTGCCTTCGATTTTAGATAACGGAAGTATTATAAAGGCTCGAAGTGTAGTGTTAACAACTGGTACCTTTCTCAGAGGAAAAATCTATATAGGTAAGACTTTATCTATATTTCTTAATAGGGATGTTACAAATTTTATAGATCATGAATACGAAATAATGGATCCCTTAGGCAATAGAGTTATTCATGGTGGCAGAATAAATGAAGAAGCATCCTTTGGCCTTGCGAAAACAATAGAAGATCTAAAATTCAAGATAGGAAGACTAAAAACAGGCAAAATAATTTAAAAATGCCATACTTTAGTAATATTTGGTTTAATAAAAATTATTGTAATCAAAGGAACTCCACCTAGGCTAGACGGAAGAACTATTGATTATAAGAAATTGGTAATTCAGCATGGCGATGAAAAACCTACCCCTTTCTCTTTTTTGAATCGAGCAGTTAAAATCGAGGTATTTGATAGATTAGTAATAAGATATTCGTAGCTTGTGGTTACTGACACGATATTATTTTATTTACTTTAGCCAGCAGAGCAATTGCCATGTTTTTTGACTTTAACAAATTCTAATACACATTCAATAATTACAAGACATTTACACTTAACCCCACATATTAAAGAAGAAGTTTGTGGACCCAGGCAATACCTACTTTTCATGCAGTACCTCGTATTCATACTTATATTAGTAAAAGTGTACTATATTTGTGAATCCTGATATTCAGATACTGTCCATCAATTGAATCCAAAGTGATACGGTTCAGAGGAAGAAATCATCAGATTTTTTTAGAGCCTGAAGGTAAAAACATGTATTAAGCAGTAGACAAAATATATTAACAAAATTATCATTGTTCTAAATTTTTTCGGACAGGATTTGACTCTTCAATTGTTTATCCAAATGGTATTTCTTGTACTTTGCCCGAAAATATACAAAAAGCTATGATTCGATCCGTTCATGGATTGGAAGATGTGGAAATAGTTCAAACTGGTTACGGAGTGGAGTATGACTATATTGATCCACGCCAACTGAAACCGTCGTTAGAAACAAGAAAGGTTTCCGGGTTATTTTTTGCTGGGCAAATAAATGGAACTACGGGTTATGAAGAAGCTGCTGCTCAAGTAACAGTTTAAAATGTTTCCTAGTTATATTATAAACTTATTAGAGTATATTTCTACCAAAATTAGTAGAATTAGTAAAATTGATCTGATTAATTTCCTGTTATATACATGGGGTCGTTGTGATATTAGGGTATAATTGCCGGCATAAATAGTTCTTTGATGGTGAAAGGAATGTCTCCATTAATTCTAGATCGTGCCGATGGATATATTGGTGTTCTGATAGATGATTTGACTACTCGTGGAACTACAGAACCATACAGAATGTTTACAAGGTAGCAGAATGCCAGTATATTCGATGATTATAATTTCAAGCCTGGAAAGGTAAAATTCGCATCAAACCTTATATTTTTCAGTCGTGCAGAGTTTCGTTTGAGATTAAGACCAGATAATGCTGATCTACGACTTACTGAAAAAGGTAAGTATTAGTCTGATTCTAAAATTCGATATGGTATTAGATGTTACTGACGCATCGATATTTGCTATTGAATTCATTGTGCTGCTAAAGGTTATAAGGTAGGAATTGTCCGTGAGCAACGTTTCGAAAAAATGGTAAAGATTAAAACCAAATTTGATAAGGCAATTAACACTTTGAGGTAAGATCATGTATCTTTAAACGTATGTTGGTATCTTGATTGTGACAATCTTACTTCCGTACTTAAAAGGGAGTTAAAATTTTCCGAAAGTAGCTGGAAAGCTAGATGTAATCTTTCCGGAATGCGACATTCTGGTGAATTAAAGAGGTAAAATCATATTGTTACTTTTGATGCTGATATTCTATTGATAAGTTACTAAGGTCAATTTTTTCTTTAGTGGATTAGAAATGCTTATAAATTCCCGCGTCAGTCTTTCTGATATTAGTAGGGGTTTCCCTGCAGAATTTAGGGATATCGTCGAGGACGATTACCTATGTAATCGAATCGAGATCGAAGGTAGTTTGCTTTGTTCCTCATAAAGACTTAATCGTTAAATTCTCGATGTACTTATCTAGTTGCCATTTCGCTACAATTGTTTAGGTAGTTATGCAAATGCAATTGAAAGGCAAAATAAAGACGTTTCTGAGCTACGTCGTCTTGAATACCTAGCGTTGCCTGATGATCTGGATTACACTAGGTAAAGCTCATTGTAGTATAGTTATGCATTCTTATATAAACATTAACACAAATGAATGGCAAATTTGTATATGGTCTTTGTTAGATTGGGTTTCCTTGACGAAGAAGAAAAAGAGAAGTTATCAACTGTTGCGCCGCGGACTGTAAGTACTAGCTGAAATAGCAATCAATAGGATTTTCTTAAGAGATTTCGCCTTTCTTATTTACAGTTGGGCTCTGCCAGTCGGATTGATGGAATTTCCGCTTCATCGCTTGTCCAACTCTTAAAGTTTGTCAAAAAATATAAACAGATTCATACGTAGTATGTACCGCATGTTTACTAATAGTCTGTAGCCGATTGAGATGGAAGTAGGTACCTCATTATCAAAGCTAAGGACAAGTGCATTTCTGAAGCTTTAGAGCTTACTTGTGTAGCATGCCGTTAATTAAGCTATAAGAATTTTATAGTATTCACGTTTTCGTTCACATTTTACAATATTTTATTTTTATTACTATTTCGTTTGACCAGTTCATTATATAGAATAGTAATAGGGAACGATAGCGTAATTTACATTGATATTGTCTGTATGGAACATGGGATACCAGAAGCATACAACTTTTTCATGCTGAAGAAAAATAGTACTGTAGCTTACAGATCAAGCAAATGATCACTTTATTGCTGGAATAAGACAATGTTAAAATGTAGTGAAAGATGTAAATAATACGTATTTGTTTACAAATAACGTGATAATCGATCTATTAAATTTTTTTGTAAACTACAATGTAATATTGCGCGTTACACAGCATCTCAGGAAACATTTAGACCGAATCATATCATATTGGCTTGTATGAATAAGTCAGTTTCTCACTATAACCATTACAGTTTATCATAATAAAGAATGATTGCAAGAGAAGTAACAATAACCATCTACTGATTTGGTAGTAGTATTTCAATTTAACTATGGCAATAATTCTCGAAGTAACATCATAAACTCAAGAAAATTCAGCTTTGATTTCATCTAGTAAGTGTGACAAGAGCATACTTTCGGTACTTTTAGCATCGACAGTTAGTATGTTCGTTGCCTGTAATGAAACATAGTAGGTGGTTAGTTTCAATATATCATGATCCGCTTAGTGATGCGTCTTACCATCATTTTTACGAGTAAGCAAATGTGGTGCCGTTGGATTGAACTGGCATATAATGAAGCTCCACCATCTATCTGTTCTATAACTGTAAAAAATGATCATATTGATAGTAAATCAACTATCTATTATAGTTTTCATGATTAAAGTAAAAAAGAAAAAATTGTATGTTACCAGAGGCATGTAATAGCGAGCACATGCGGCCAAGTACGGCTCGGAAATCACTTTCTTCATCAACCTTTATCTATTTATGAAGCGGTCACACGTATAAAGTTATCAATGAGTTGATTATATCGATCACGCTCTTCGAAATTCTTATTGAGGTTTGTTAGAGAAAATAAAACATAAATGTTAAGCGTTAACACCTTAATTGATTGCTTGCATTGCAAGATTCCAGATGCCAGGATTTCGGTAAATTCTTTCCTATTTTAAAGTAGACATTTTTACATCAGTCACTACTGTAACATCAATGAATAGATTTATTTACGAAGTGCGCATTAAAATTTTAAAGACATACCTAGAGCAATTCTCTGGGTAAAGGTAGGATGAACAAGGTAAGGCAAGCTTAAAGTCTATTTTCTCATGAGACGTTCCCTCTTCATTCTATGTAAAATATTGAAAATTTTATAGCATTACATGTTATTAAAATATCATTAAAAAGTAACAGGGTTTGATATTTTAAAATGAACCTTGAACATGTACGTTAAAGTCCCACGCAATTTCTGTGGCATGACAATACTCTGAATATCAAAGGCAAATTGACTCTCATTTTCTGTATCTAGAAGGAATAACAATGTAAGGTTATAAAGGTGATACTTTAAGTATCACAATTGGCTGAACTACTGTTACAAGATTTAGACCAAAGAAATTTTATCAATATTACAGGGAGAAAGAATTCAATAATGCTAGGAAACCGTTAATATTTACTCGATTGTAGTTGGAAGGGCACTGAAATTGCTTCGACTGGGTTGATATTGATCTACGTTGATCAACCGAAAGTATATGTTAAAATCAATTAGTAAATGGTATTAGAACTAGTGTATGTAAATGGAACTTGCCGGTCTTTGGAGCTTTGTATTTAATGTATCGAGAACGTTAAATTCCAAGGATGATATGATGAAGTCGGTTTTGTTGCTAATTTGAATAAAATTGACGAATTAACACGTAAATACGTATAGGATAGATCGTCACATTTAGTATTGTTGTGTACTGCCAAGAAAAAAAGATATCGTAACCAACAAAAGTTATTAAATATCAGCAGTAATACCTGAATATGATGCTAACAATAACTTGGTTTCTAAATTGTGGATTTATTTGAGTTTTACAAGTCTGTAACGAAATATAACAAAAATCCTTATTATAAACAGCCATTACATTTTTTCGAAAAAGCTTTAATACCATTTTTAAATCTTCGCTTTCTCCAAGCAAAATATATGATGAGGCGTACTAGCAACACATTAGGTAAATAACGTAAATATGAGTATATGTAAATATTTCGTTAACTTGCTTGAATGGCTAATGCTAGCAATGTAATATTAAAAGAGAAATTAGTCTAAGAAAACCTTTTCTGGTTGGTCAGATGTGACCTCAACAAGATCAGTTTGTTCGGAGGGTTGGTCAGCCATTTCAAGCAAACGTGATTCGGTTGATGGTTTAACTTTTTTTCCTTTCTTTTTACGTTTTTTATCCTTTTTCCCTTTCCTCTATTGCACCGTTAATAATAACAAATGAGAAATCATACTTTAAAGCCTTTTATCATATTCCCAGGTCGAGCCTTAAAAAAATCTTACCGATTTTTCATTTACATCGTTATTTTCTACAGTGTTAGCTGGATTTACGGTCGCATCTGGAATCTAAGAAAGCGTCCATTCCGAAAATTTTGTGATTTATTATTCTAAAGGTGATATTACACAAAGTAACCAATAAATTCACCCTATACCGTAATGTGGCCAGCAGATGAAGCGTCATTGTTGGTTAGCCAGAAGTTTATATCATCCATCTATCGTATATATCATTTACATTAGTTTTCAATATATTTTAATTGTCTTTTAGTGAAACAATTGTTGTGTCAGATACAGTGAAATATTAGATCGCCATTTTATTGGTAATTAAAACATACGACATTACTTTGTTAGTAACACTTTCTAACTCTTTCTCCCCTGTAGATTTCGAGTTTTGTGATAATTCAGGTGTTGTTAAAGCAGGCACCGTTTCATCTGATATAAGATTTGCCTCCACGGCTTCTTCTGTGTCGTTAGGAGGAACAATATCAATCCCTTTTTGTCAACCACAAATAATTACGTTAGCTAGATAAATATTCAACAAATAGGTATACCAGTTCGCATGTATAGTTTTATATACATACAGTAATTTAAACAAAAAGGAAGATTTTTTTCTTGTACAAACCCTTTTTCCTCTTACTGCTTTTGTCTTTTTTAGAGTTTGAGGACTTTTTTCCTTTTGTCTGATAATGCATACAGTAAGTAATTTAAGCTTATTTCAAATGTAAACGTAATGTAATAATCTCAGGTAATACCTTTCCTTTATCTTTCTTTTTCTTAGTTTTTTTCAATTTATTCTATTTAGGATAAAATATATTGTGTAAAACCTGACTTAAATTATATCTTTTGCATACTACTGCAGGTAGTAAACTTTTCGTATAGTTTTACCTTAGCAGTCTCAGTATCTTCATCATCAGCCGGTTTGTTACTGGCCTCGTGATGTTTCGGTACAGGTATCATATCAGCTTCAGTTAATGGTCTAGATATATATTTATTTGAAAAGGTGCAGGTTGATACCGGATATATTTCTATTTTTTTCTATATGTACATACTTTTCTAAATCAACGTTTAGGAAGTTGTATGGATCCTTTTTCTCTTTTTCTTCATCGTCCGTTGAAACGGCACCCTAAATTTCAAAATGACTGTAATTATTTACACTAATCTACGAATTAGATCGGCAACATATATCACGGTTTCCTAATCAATATTGAGCTAACCTCGGGCATTTCTCCCATGTCGGTGTTAACATCGTGTGTAGCGACCACATTATCGTTATCTTCTTCGGTATCATGCTTACGCCCTATAAGATAATAGAAAACTTTACCAGTGTTTTCTTAATTTAAAATTAAATTAACTGTATATCTTCACCTTTTTTCTTTTTTCTTTTTGATTTCTTCACACTTTCTTTTCCTACGCATTAATGATAACATCGATATTTTTAAAGTGCTATTTCAAACAGTGGAAGGCTATAGAGTGGAAAGTATCATATTACCAGGAACCTTGAGAGGTACAGTTAAGTCTAGTGAGGCAACTGGAATATCATTAATATCAGGCCCTTCTAACTCCTATGTGTAAACATTTCATTAATCCAATTTCGCCTTTTAAATATACTATCGAAGAAACATAACATATATTAATAATATTACTTTGGACTTCGTATTTCCTTTAATGTAATACGGATTATTTTCCTGTTCAAGTTTTCTGGCTTCTCTTCTCTGTCGTTTCGTACATAATTAAAATAAAGTTAATTAACATCATTTATCATGAGCCTCGAGCTTTAAACGGGATAGACGTATTGGTATATGTAGAACCTTTTTCAATTCGTCTTCGTCCACTTTGGGGTATTTAATACCTTGTATGTTACTGATACTAAAATGGAATAGGCATTGATGTAAGAGTTTTATTGCAAATAGAAGTTAATTACTGAACTTCCGTCTCACTTGTGGTCTTCTTCAGTAACAAACATAGCATCATTATTGAGTTCGTCATCTGAGCTATCAGACGGAGGATCATTAATCCAAATATCTAAATTCAAACTGTATAAAATATATAGAAATCGCGATGTTACTAGTTAGGCAATATACGTATTAGTGCTAACCTTAGGCTAGTATTCAATACAAAATGATACTGTATCGTGTATCTATATGCTGACTTATTTCTGCAATCTTTATTTTACTACATCATTATTGGACATTCGAATTTTTGCGTAATTAATCTATAAAAAGAAAGAGATCGTACGTACAAAGAGGGGGGTGTTTTACACTGAATATGACAAAACTGTAAACTACGAATATATCGTCTAAACAAATTCTTACAACAAATAGCACATCATGCAGGTACTAGCAGAACGTAAATTATCCGTTTCAGTTATTAGCAGATGCTATTACGATATGCTACGAAATTATTGTGACGCTAGTGATCTGATTCAATTAACTGACCTACAATAAAGTAAGTCTGAAGTGTTAATACTCGTGGAATGAATAGCCTATCAGCACAGCTGAAACATATGAGCAACAAACATACAATCATACAAAGAGAAAAACGGTTACTGGCTGCGACTCTATGGCTGTTCCTGTCATAAATTCATTACCATAAAATGATGTGCAGTAAGAGTTGCGTATAAGCTGGCATTTATACATTGGCTAGTTCTAGTAATTGCCTACCCTTCTGGAACAGGAACCTTTTTTTGTGCTTTCGTAGCAACAGGGTTTAATTCCCCAGCGAACATTTCTCTTACTTCGTCCGTTACAGTAAGGCCTAAAATTGAAAGGGTACATTCTATTTTAGATAATTGTTAATAGCATACGGTAGTTTCTATATCAAGAGAAATTTCATTGAAAGCTTGCAAAACCTTTATCGCGAATTTTCTGGATATATTTGAGCATCTGAATAGCACAACAGGCCTATGGAAATGTTAATCAGCTCAGTGTCTCAGTACGTAGTGCAATCAAAAATTAAATTTTCAGAAGGCGAAATCAGTAACTTACACGCTCCTGTACTTCTAGGTCACTACTTTCACCGAACATCGGAAGCTGATCTATAAGCATTTGAGTAACTTCAGCTATAGTATCTTGATCATTCTATAAAAAAATTAATATAATTATACAGCGTGACTAATACTAGAAAAGGATTATAATATCTTAGTTTGGTTAGAGCAATTTACATCATTTTCTGCTTTTAAGTATATCCTGGAATACAGCTTTAGGATATTATGAACGATAACAGCTTGCACAGGCGGCGGAAGTGATGTTGCACGAGGCTGTAAAAATATATGCATGATGCTTCGCAGGTCGCTAAGATGCCTATGCAATAACAAGCAATCAGTTAGTGTTACGATTATATTGTGTTTATGCGTATGGGGTAAACAAAGGCTGTAGCAATTATACTCTGAGAATTCTCCAACAATCCATGCAGCAGCAAAGAATACATCGCCAGTGCTAGATCCTTGAGCAGTTATTCCCATTAACTTAGAGTTTTCGAGCAGCATCGTCTACAGAATGTGATAATAAAGTCTGCTTATCAATCCAAGAAAATCTTACTAATTCTTTGTGTTACCAAGGCATTAAAAATCAATCGAAACTACTGTACATAACCTACCATTTGCTGGACTGAAAATCTGCGTATTCCTTTAACACGTACTGTGACATCTAACAACTGAGTAGCTACTAGGGAACCATGATGAATCCCATCTACTTGTGCTAATTCAACGAGAACACTTATATACCTATATTTCAAATAATCAAGCGAGCACTTTGTTATTATTCTTATTCGTAGGCTTCACATATTTATAATAATGGCCAATAAATTTATGATATCTTAATTGTCGGCTTTTCATCCTCTTTTAGCAGTGGATATTTTACGCTATTTTACTAACCATTCAAAATCAGCGACGTATTGATAATTTGATTGACTACAGATGTGAATTATTTTCGATAGCAATTCATCACGATAACCTTTGTGTAAAATGATTTAACGGAACATAAAGGGTAGCATTTTAGTAAATATTATACAAGCATTAGATTTGTTATTGCTATACTTGTGCTTTCCGTCGTTTCGATGTGACGCATAAGTTTTTTGACAATTTCGACTAAATTTTTCTTTGAGATCTAAAATGAATATAATTTCTTACAGACCTTGTAAAGATTTAAGTAAGGGATAAGTTTATTTGCTTACCATGCCAGATAATAAATCTAAGGCTCGAAGTTTAATTGATTCATCTTTATCATCCAAGCAACGTAGAATCATATCTCTGTGTGGATTACAAAGGAATCCAATTTTAGAATATCTGACCTGAAACTTTCAGACATACCGTAAATAGTGCTATGTACTTGTGTGCTTGAACAGCTTTTGGATGAGCTTTTAGAATCTTCGACATTGCTAGCAACCCTAGGTATTTCACTATTAAAATTTGTAGCAATTGCAAATAAGTTTTTAGCGGATTGGTAAAAAGTTGTAATTGGACAAAATCGGCTAATATGCAGTAATTATCCTTCTAAACAGCCATCTACTCAAACATATTTACAATGTACGTTGGCGGTAGTGTAGTGATATTTAAATTAGCATAAAGAGATTTGTAAATGAGTTGGAGTGACGGCAAGCTCTAAAACTATATCGTATCGTATTATTATTGTTAGACTTTGGTTGACTTTTAATCCTAACTTACAATTTTGATCGGCGTCTTCAATTAACAATCTTAACTTGGAAACGCAGAGCTGAATAGTAACATAATAATTGTTTTAAGAAGGTTATACTTATACGTATAGTTTTTGAAATTTTTTATGAATTCTTAGGAATGATCAGCCTTTACCTGTACAGATGAAGAATGGTTTGGCATACTGGTAAAGGCTAACAGTACTAGAAGATACAATACTGCGTTAACAATAAGAGGATGCAGCAAGTTTAAATAAGCTTAATTTTTTACCAGCGATAACGGTATTGATACATTCATACAGAAGGGACATTGCTGAGGTGCTGTATAGTCAATTAAAGAGTGTCTCAAATTAAATGATAGCAAAAAATATTTACCTAAATTAAGAGATTAATTAAGCTAAATCAAAAATATTCACAACGTAATTATTTGACCTATGTATAAGGTTAGTGAGAGGCTCAATCAGCTTCTTTCCAAGGCGTGGCTCCAGAGGCGTTAGGGCTGCGAACTGGAGTAAAGATAATAATAATAGTAGTAAGGAATTGTTTATACTCTTTACAACAAGAAATCCGTCACTGTTGTTAAAAGCAGTAGACTATCCGGTATTAGAATGTGAGTATAACTACTGAAGTATCGTTTTTCAAACCAGCTTAATAATTTTTATCAGCATCCAATTATTTGTAGAGTTCGTCATGAGCTTGAAAAAGATTGGTGCTAGCGATAAATAATTCTGTGGATTCTTCCTAGCCAATTCACATATGACGTTAACGGCAGCAGATTGTACACCTTTAAATAAATGATTATTAGGTAAAGTACTATCTCGTATATATACATCCCTAAATAGATACGGTAGGTTTTATTCATTAGTCTCAGAAGTACAATGCAATGAATAAATTGTTATACAAACTTGGTTCGGGATCGTCTAATTTTGCTTTTAATCTTGGATATGCTGGTCGAAGTGCTTCCGGAAACTGTCAATTGAAAAACATATGGATTAGATTCTATTAGGGCCTGGCAGACGCAATAAATGGATCGAACTGTAATTATAGATCATAATAGCGAGTAAACAACAAAGTAAAACTATTGCATTGTCTATCTCTTACTTTAGTAGACAGAAACTATTATTACAATATGCTTTCAAATTTGTGAATTGACCCACAATTAATATATTTTAGCGAACAGTCATATTCAGTTGTTATTAGACAACTACAAAACGCATGGATCTTCATATTGTTACCTTTAAGAATATTTTATATAGCACTATTATCGCCCTTTTACGAATGTATGGCTTAGTTGATGCAAGCTATAAGATAAAAAAGATGAGTAAAATACAGTGTAAGAAGAAGGACAATATCCGATTAACTGTGAAGGAATGATACTAACTAAAGTAATGACATCATTAGCAAGGTCGCGGGCTAAATCTGCAGATACAAAGCATGAAAGCCCATTCAAGGTCACTGCAGCATCGTATTGGTTTTGACTTGAAAAATCCTGGTAGAATTTGTTAATATATAACTTTGCATCAGTATATCTAAGAAGTACGCGTATATCTATAGTAATTTGATAATCGAATAACAATTTTTCTCTATAGAGTAGCATAAAGCCTCACTTTTCGAATCAGGTTAGTCGTTAAGGTTAAAATATCCATATCTTCAGTAAAGCATTGAGATGAAGCTAAATAACCGATACGCTACAACGAAGCATAATAAATAGCAAGGAATGTGAAAACAAAGACTAAATTATAGTAAAATTGAGATAGAATTGACGTATGCTATAAAAACGGTACCAAATTATAAGGCAAAATGCAATAGAGCTTACCTTGTGAGTAAACTTGGTAGAACTCATCACTTCGATGACATTAAAAGCTGCCCAACTGATATCATAACCAAACATTTGCAACTGTAAAACGCAATATAAGGGTTAAATAAAGTACGAAAATAGTATTTGAAATAAAAGACAAATAGCTGTCGAATTAGAATATACTGTTAAGGAAGATATTGTATAATTGTAGCTTTAAACTCAAAACGAGTTAGTATCTGTAATTAGAACACTACAGACAATCGAATAAAATCTTCATGTCATACCGTATAGCAAAAAACTGCAAATCACATCAGACGACAACCACAACTGTGCGAGTAAATAGAACGCATAACTACAGTAAATAATTAATGGATTAATTGCACAGAACGGTAACCGTTTCGAATACTATATAACTTAATCATGTGCTGAACTGTACAGTATGTGATTGCGTTATAGGCGTATACAGTAGATGCGGTTCTTCTATATTGTTCTTTAGCGACAACACAAAATCGGTTACTGCAATTTTTTGAAATGTTAAGCTGACACTATATTCGGTAGTCACTGCTGAGTTGTAAGCTGTCTGTAATTTATAATATTTGTGTTACAGTTACAAATTCGTCCACAGACTACGAAGTAAAATACGATGCAATACTGGGTAGCAGCGCTTTAACGAAAATTGCGCTTTGTGCAACTTCCAACTTCAATCTAAAAATCTAAAAATACAAGTACTGTGTACTATTGCTACTGTACAATGTACATATGTACAGTGCATACTGCAATTTAGAGACCGATGTAACCCTAACGTATACTACTACAGCGCACTTACATAAATCAGCTTGCAAATTGCATTTGCTTTGACGTTGGTATTATCTTGTCGTAGTTCATGCTTGATTTCTTCAATGCATTGAGCAATATATTTTGCCTAAAATGTAAAAATTAGTTCGGAGTTTTAAAATAGTGTTTGTTGTATCATGTTACATCGTACATAGAATCACAGATCGCTCTTTTCATCATTTCGTATACATGCAATTTTAGTGCGGCATGTAATATGCATATAAAGATTATAACATTACTGAACACAACAAGCTTTCGATAATCCGTACCTCATTACTTTTATTAGCTCTGATGCCTCGAACCAAATCGTTCAGATTTTTTTCAAACATTTTGGGTCAAAAAGACAAATGTATTTTGAAATCTACAAATTAGTGTTTAAATTTACTCTTAATTCCTAGTAAGCCTCAAATTGATACTTGATGTAGTTAGTTATTCGAGCTCATTGGAGAATCTTAGCCTAGTAAATAAAAAATTAACAGTAAAGTCTGTGAAAGGTACAGTAAAACTGTGATTCTGTTATACTCGCACATACTGTACTGTACACTTGAGTGTACAGTACTGTAGAGTTACAGACACTATGACTACAGTACTGTACAGTATTGTACGTATGTGTCATAACGCACTGTACAGTACAGTATGTAGTCACCAAATAGGTTTGTCATAGTAATAAACCTCTATAAAATGGACGGCATGGACGCTCAATAGTAAAATTTTTTTTAATAGTCCATAGCTGTACCGTACCGCACCGTACTCTTAAATAAAGTACAGTACTGTACAGTACTGTACAGTATACTGTACATACAGTACTGTAGTAAACAATGCATTTTAATTACAGTACTGTACTGTACTGTACTGTAGAGTAAGGAAAAGAGTTCAAGAGTGATACTGTACTGTACACGTACAGTACAGTACAGTACTGTACAGTATAGTACAGTACAGTACAGTACTGGACACTGTACTGTACAGTACTATAAGCTTTCCGTGACCTGTGACGTCAAGGTTTGTACAGTACGGTACAGTACAGTACAGTACGTGCTTCATTATTTACAGTACCAGTGTAATTCTGTACTGTCATGTGAGCTTTGTCCATAGAATCCAGATCACTTTCTTTCTAAACCACGTTCGCGTCATTTACCTAGTCGTTGGGATCGTTGCGAGGTTAGTTCAGTAAATATAAATATAATATTTCTATCAGAAAATACAGTATGTCGTATAATCAGTACTCGCATTGCTAGCTTTGATTAATGGACCTTCAAATGTTGGGATTAACTCCAAATTAACTAAAAAAATGTTAATTATAATGATATTGATAATGTTGAAGTACCATACTAAAAGGATAAATTTTAAATTTTTTGATGAGGCCTTAAAAAAAACGTTCTTCTGCTACCTAGCTGGTAGCTGTAGTGTACTGTACAGTACTGTACATTTTATACAGTGGTACTGAACGGAATTACAAAACAGTCCAGTAGTGTACTGTACAGTATACAGAAATTGTGTGGTCAGTGCTACGTACAGTACTAACCACAGTACGGTACGGTGTTTTCGGAGGCTACGTTTTGCGCACAGTACGGTACAGTACTGTGCTACTAATTGGTGTAATACTTTTATTAGGTAAAGTGTATTATACTGTACAGTATGTATTAAATGTTTCCGTCATTTTATAGTACTATTATGTCTAGGGTAGTACGAAACTCTAAATTTCGCCATGCTTATGGTAAATCAGCCAAAAAGACTGATTGGTACGATAATATTCGAGTGACTCGATCTTCTGCGGACGGCCATTATTGTGATGCTAACCCTAAATTTTTAGCGGTAGCATTGGATGCAAGTGGCGGTGGTGCTTTCGTAGTATTACCGATTGATCAGGTAGGATTAAATTCTCTATACTGTATACTGTACACTTATAATATTGTGCAATAGGCTTGAATCAAGAATTACAGTAGAGATCTCTTTCTTATGCCGTCGTGATGATTGTGCAGTGTAATATGCTAAGTCATCCCATCCCATTCGGCCATTCCATTACACTAGCTGGTCGTAACTCGCTGACACCTATGTTTTACCGAAATTTTTTGAGTAGCTCCTGCCCCGCTCCCCCGTTTTATTCAGAAGAAGTGCACCGACTCATGAGTCATTCCGTCGCTGATTAATTAGTCACGATGACTGTTAATACTGTAATTTAGTGTAGTGTACAGTACTGTACTGTATGTGCACTGTGCAGCTTTCCAGTGGAATGTCCTTTCTGAAAAAGTTTGTACGATCACGACACCTGATGGTCCCGCATACTACCGTTGCCTACACATACAGTACTGTACAGTACATTGGTACAGTAGCGGGTTCGGTTCAATCAGCGAATATACAGTACAGTACTCAACGTACAGTACTGCACAGTATCGCTAACTCGTTCACGCGGTCCTGTACTGTACTGTACAATTCGCTGAAGCAGCTCTACAGTACGATTTTTAGTACGAATACATACTGTACTGTACTTATGATCGCCCTTGAGATAAACGCCTCAACAATACTGAAACTGCGTTTACTGACGAAATATTCGTTTATAAACCTAAACGCGCTCTTATACGAAATGCTGTACTGTACACTAGCGTTTTTTACACTGTACTTTGATATGTTTTTATACCAAGTAGCAATTTTACACGCTCATATGCCACGTATCTTCGAATTTTAGACTTTTACTCTAGGAAGTAACTGTTTCAAATGTAATTATTTCAGTGGTTAGTTGTCAGATGACAGTCTTAAGCAGTACGTCCGAAACTAAAATCAGATTGCGGCAACGTGGTACTGTATGCCAAAGCGCTTTATCAGCTCCTCTAAAAATGCTATTTTGGTACAAAAACGCTACTTGGTGTAGAAACACCAAGTACTACTAAACCAACTTTTATATTGCACTATTTACAGTCGTGAGTAGTGTGCATTACTGATAGTAAAATACTAGACAAAAGCCATAGTTGGCAGTGAGTTGCAGACTTTTACATATAAAGTTGCTGGGATCAATTCCATTTCACTGGTTGCAGTTAGTCAACTACAGTAACTGCGAAGGCATGGCAGTACAGCAGTGCTGCATCATGACTGTAAATAGTGTAATACGCGTACAAAATTTCAACCCTAGCTGTTGTCGCTGATAAAAACGCTTCATATTGTTACGTTTATCTCGTGTAAAACCTACGGTCATGTCATGTCGCGACGACCCTCATGAGCCACCGTAGTACTGAAGTGCATATTAAAAAAAATAAATAATATAAAAGAATTTTTGTATGTACTGTACACTAGTGTACAGTACATGCGGAACAATAGGTACGTTCAGTAGGGAACGTATGTTTCTGTAGAATGAGTTCGATGCATTTTGACTTAGTAACGTAACTATACTGTACAGTACTGTACAGTGTACAGTACAGTAAATCTGTGAAGTTTAGAATTTAATTAAATTTAATATGGTAATGACGGTACTAAAAGTTACTGTACTGTACAGTGTACAGTATGTACTAGGGAACGTGTGAAGTTGTGAGTACTGACAGTTAATGCCAGAGATATGATGCACACAGACTCTGTGTGCATCATATCTCTAGTCACAGACTTTAAATTAAAAACTGTAAATACCAATACCAGTACTGTACTGTATGTTGTATAATAAATAAATATGCACTTTCAGTTGTTATCAGTTGCAGCTGAGTGCACTATACGGTAGTCTTGATTGATTGATATCATCATTTATTTGATTAATTTTAAATAATGATATTCTTCCGTATATGCTATATCAAACTCTTTCAGTAAATAAAATAAAATTTATTATACATAGTGCATAGTATGCTGTATAATAACATTACGATTTCTTTATAGGTTGGAAGAGTAGATACTGCTAACCAAGCAGTTGTTAATGGCCATAAGGGGCCTGTGCTTGATATTGCATTTAATCCTTTTAATGATAACGTTGTTGCGTCGTCGTCGGAAGACTGTACCGCTAAGATTTGGTTTATTCCTGATGGTGGACTCGAAGAGACCAAAACAGAAGCAGAAGTTACTTTGCTAGGCCATCAAAGGCGTGTTACTCATGTTCGTTGGCATCCTACTGCTAATAATGTGTTACTGACCATTGGTGGTGACTATGCAATTCTAGTATGGAACATATCCAGTGGCGAAATTATAACTAATATCAACTGCCATACAGAACTAATTTTCAGTGCTTGTTTCAATTATGATGGCAGCTTACTGGCTACTACCTGCAAAGATAAAATAATTAGAGTTATTGATCCACGTAGTGGTGATGTAATTAAGGTACACTTTTATATCTCCTCCTCAAATAATTACTCAGAATAAATCTATAGTAGAAACTTATTTCTATTTCTAATTCAACGGATGTGTTCTGAAATCTAGTATATATGGTACTACTTAAATTTAACTTGATCAATTCTTGTACCCGTGTATTGCAAACCTTCAGATGGTAGTTACTAGTTGTGAAGTGTGACACTGCAAGGTACAATTGGTCGTTTCGTTTAAATAGCAGAGTAGAAATGTTCAAGTTCTATATATTTTATTAGACTTAAGATTACTATAGTTTGGTATTAGCGGTTCAAGTAAAGTAATTTATCCTAAATTGTTGTTTGGATAGCTTACATGGTTAATTGTAATTCTTGTTATTGTAGCTGCAAGGACAAAGGCTAAGTATAGAGTTGTTTTTTGTTACTATTTGAAAATTATCACTACTGATCCGATGCAAATGGCATAATATCGTTATGATAGGAAGGCAAAGGTCATGATGGCGCGAAACCTCAGTTTGTTGTCTTCGCCGATGGTCATAATCTATTATTTACTGTCGGTTTTTCAAGAAGAAGTGATAGGCAATTTGCTGTATGGAAACAGGTGACATAAATGAATTTTAGTCTAACGATAGGGCAATATGGCTATAGTAGCTATTATTTCCTGAAAGATAGAACGGCAGTATAAGGTGCTCTTCCATTTCTTGTGGTTTGCAATAGGATAATTTGGAAAAACCTTTGGAATTACAGAATATCGATGTTTCTAATGGAGTCTTGTTTCCATACTATGATTATGATACCAGTATAATGTATCTAGCTGGAAAGGTACTCTAATTACCAAGTTTTTATATGATACGGTTTAGATGCATTTTATTATCAAATCTGATATCGGCGTTTTACAAATATTTTGTAATTTACTGTTTTTAAGGGAGATGGAAACATTCGCTACTTTGAAATAATCGATGAGCCTCCATATTGCTATTATTTGAATGAATTTAAAACACCAGACCCGCAACGAGGATTAGGTCGTATGCCTAAGCGTGGCGTGGATGTAAAATCATGCGAAATTTTTCGATTTTATAAATTGCACGCCAGAGGTGCTGTTGAGCCTATTTCAATAATTGTTCCGAGGAAGGTAATGCAAAATTTTCTGATTTCGACTTTTCACAGTAGTTGATGATAGAATTTTAACGTTAATTTTTAATTTGGCATCTGCGTTACTGAAATAGAGTGAACTTTTTCAAGATGATCTTTATCCTGACACCAAAGGTGATGAACCGTCTCTTAAGGTGGAAGAGTGGATAGCTGGCAAAAACGTTCCACCGAAGCTTATATCTTTAAAACATGGGTATAATCCTAATCAAAAGCAACAGCAACAAATAAAGCTGTCACCGAAAGTTTCTGTCAAGAAGAAGGAAAGCGTCGAAAATGATGTCATCATTAATGAGGAGGTAGTCTCGATGCCGTTGTCATCAGATACCGCAGTAAGTCATACTATTTTGATTTGGTAATACATGTGATTGTGTGTTCGAATTTCTAATATTTATTGAATTTGCCAATAGTAACCATTAAAAATTACTATTCAAGGCGGTAATTTTATACCTAAGCTGGCCAATACTGGCTGCATAATTAAATCACTAAGATGCGTTGTTCGCACGTACAGTATCCCGCTGCTTGCTTTGATTCGCAATGCCCTTACAGAATCATACTACATTAGATAACAGGATTTAGCCAGTGTTTTTTGCTACTTCGGCATATATAAGTGCTATCTAAAAATAGGCTTGAATATATGGTTACATATCGCTTCGGCTCTTGCTGTGATGCATTGCTAAATAGCCATTTAATTACAGAAATCTTCGTTTAAAGAGGAGTAGCTATATGAATTGGCTATTACAAGAGTACATTTTTCCACACTCTCCCAGTAGAATAACTAAACCTCTTCATCTATTACTAGGCAGATAATGACGATCTTATCAAGGAAATACAACATTTGAAATTACAAATTCAAAATCAGGAAGACCGTATAACAAAGCTTGAAGAACAAGCTAAAGCAATTGTAGAAGCACAGTAGTCTGTTGTATTGATTCTATTTGGAGATTCCATACTTATCCTTACTTAGTAATACCCATCAAATACAAACCTTTTAACTAATTAAATCAGAAATAACGAACGTCTCTAAACTGCTATTATAAATACACTTCGTTATCAGTTACTTAAAATAGCAGCATTTATACTATATGATTCCCTATCTTTTTAAGAGAGGCTCAATAAGTTTTTATTTGCTGATATATGATCCGTTCGTGAAACTAATGTTGACTGTAGACTGAATATATACGATTCTGATTCTCGATATTCGAATTGATCTGAACCTACAAATTGATGTACTTTTGATTACGAAATACGATTTCTACTTTTTTAATAAATTCTTACTTCGGGAGGTGAAGGAGATTTCGATGTGAAACAAGCGTATCATGGTCCCAGTGATAGGGAATTGCGTGCATTAATTACCGTTTGCTTTAAGTTACATCTAACTTAGCAGTGTCGACACATGATCTCGCATTTATTTTGCTGCATGTTTTACAACACATAACTGCAAATTATTTGAGCATTAGGTAGTACAGAAAATGTGCTAACAATTCATTACACCTCCACGATATACTGTATGGCCCTGACCTATGTATGAAATTTATACTATTTTGTAACTTAGTTTCGAACTTCGAATTAAAATTGTTAAATAATACTGGTAGTTTCCAATAAGAATCTAAACTTCACGGTAGTATAATTGGATTGTCTGAAGTATGTACCTGATTGTTTTCGTCTAACGTTAGGAAACAAATGGTTTAAAGGCATTAGCCAAGGAACAAGTCAAAGTTTTAAAACTAACAATATTAGCTAACGAAACACGTATAAAGAAATTAGAAGCATTGATTGGAAAACTGTACACTAACAAGACGAATCAAAATGGGTCTAATATTGCTAGTAAAAGCGAAAATTCTGTTGTTATTATGGAGAAACAAGACATTGATTTAAGAAAATTTTGTGAGGATCTTGATACGGCGGCTAATCGGAGTGTCAAAGATACTGGAGAAGCAGATGCGCCGAGAGACGGGAAGACAGTGGAAGACACGAAGCCTGCAACAGAAGCTATTAAAGGCCTGTCTACGTCGGAAAATGAACTTTCAGATGGACAACGAGAAAATAATAAGCTTGATAAAACTAATGTTTCACTCCAGCAAGGAGATGCCGATTTGGATTCGGGCAATCTACAAAGCTCACGTACACAGACGGAAGATGTTGAAAACAGCGATGATCGAGATGATTGGCACATTGTCGATAAAAGCGAGATACTTGAAGTGCAGTTAACAGATCCGATGCAAGATATCGCTGATGACGAGAAAGTAGTAGCTAAAAAGGATAAAGTAATAGAAAAGCATGCTGTCGAACCCGAGATTCCTAGTGATACTGATGAACAAAGATCTGTTAAATCTTCGCCTGGACAGAACAATGAGAATGAAGATGAATGCAACGGTAAAGATGTGACTTCCGTTATGGAAATGAATCAAGATATTCAATTTTTGGATGATACTGCTGCAAGCGATGCTAATGTATCTACTAATGTAGAAGGAGATAATAATGCAGAAGTAGCGGAAGATCTAATGTATGAGAGGCCAACTCACGAGTTAGCAGATACTGAGAAATCCTATAACAACAGTGGAGATAGAGGCATAGAAAATCTCCAGAATGAATATGAAATGACGTATGAAGCAGACCAAGATAGCACCAATTCATGTAGTATTGATTCAAGCGATGACATAAGTGATATCGATGAAGAGGCAATTCGTAGAGAAGTGGAGGAACGAATTCGTCGAGAAGTTGAAATACGCGTGAGGAAAGAAATAGAAGAACGGCGTCGAAAACGGAAATCTGTTAAAAGTATGGTAGAATAATAAACAAATATTAACAATTTTAAGCTTTTATTCTTTACTGTTTGCAATATTCACCTTTCAGCGATGTCGCTATCACAAGGAAATTGACAGACAAGGACTACTAGTATTATACGACTAAAATTATTCCTGATGTGAATTTAGACTAAATAATAATTTAATCTTACTCTAACCAATTCACAAAGGTAATAATGTTGATGGATTCTTAAAAGCTACGTTTAACTCGATAAATAGATTCTTACCTTAGTGATGATAACTCAATAGCTAAAATTCGCAGTTTTGATAACAATTTCGAATTCACCTTTCATCCTGTTATCATTACAGTCACATTAACGACGTTAAAAAAGATAGCACCACAATTTTATCACTGCGCTAGAAACGGTTGTAAAACAATATTCACGTATTTACAACGCATTCATTGTACTATAGGAGAAGGTAATCGAAATCTGGTTACTTTCCACTTTATTTGATTAGAAATACATTGCAAACTCTGCCTTGTACTTATTTTACTTATGCATCCTTGGTAGTATAAGACATGTGTTCTTCTTATTTTGTTAATTATAATTATTAATGGAGATTGAAGCTTGCTCATTAGATTAGCATTTAAAAAAATAGTAAAATATGATAAATTTGACGGCCAATTTATTGTTTTATTGACTAAGTTGCATTAGTAATTGAAGAATTGTTTTATTAAAGATGTTGTTGAATTTTATCACTCGATATGATAGAACCATGCCGTGTTAGGCTTCAGTAACATTTCACACAGCACTAGAACAAATTGACTGCGTTTGTATTCACGTTCAATTATAATTCTGTACTTACCAAATAGGATATTCCGTTAAATTTTAAACATTGAAATAAAACTTTACTTTTTTAAGGTTCTACAGTACTGTAAATTCTCGGTATTAGTGCAGCTTTGACATAATCTGAAATCTTTAAGGCAGTAATGATACTTTTACGTATATGAATATATATCGGGAAATGATGTTTTTACTTGCTATAGTGAATATTTGATTATTAAATTGAATGCATTGTTTGCTTAGTAGGTTCTGGTTCCGAGATCACTTATAAAATTATTTTAGTTTGGTAGCGTTGTTAGTAGGTTATATAACAAAATCAAAAAAAAGATTTTAATTAATTTTTAATCGGTTCTCTTGACTGCAATCGAAGTAGATAATTTTTGAATGATTCGTTAGGTAATAGCACACACTAATATTAGTATGTATAGCAATGCCGTAACATTTATTTATCAATTCGGCTTACAAATAGCTAATTTAAACGCTTATGTATACATTTAGTAGCATAAGCCAGATATAAAAGGTTTACTGTGGGTGATCGCATATGTTTAGTAGTATTAACATTTTCATATTCTTTTCCGTTAAATGAAAGTTTGGACTTTAGCTTGACTCATTGCAGTAGATATGTAATCTAATGGCTATCATCTGTCCATAACCTTATTAAGGAAACAAACCTCGTACTGTATTACGAGTACTTCGTGGAATGAACCAATAACGATAAATACATGAGGGATAACTCCTTGTCGGTGCTTACCTACGAATACTGATATACTGTACTAAATTAAACAAATTTTATCATGCATCTGCATGTACCTGTAATAATTTAATTAGAAACCACAAGATCGACTACGGCGATTCATAACTTTTTGACCGTTGAATAATTACACTTAAAAGGGTGCTATTCGTGTCTAATCAGTGCCTTAAATATTGGAAGCAATATAACTTGATCTATTTTCACATAAATTCAGTATAGAAGGTAAAGGCTAACAGGCTAGTAGCAAGATTCTTAACTATTGATTAATTAATGAGACTGATTTTTACCAGGGATAGTGCTGATGTCGTAGCTAGTTTATCGATGGTAAAGAAGGCAGTATACTTTAGTTTTAGTTAATACGAAGTCATCCCATTTCGGTCTTAATCCTTCTGTATTAGTAGTACATGTTGATAAATAAATATACATATAAGTTACAGATATAATAATGTAGTATAATATACAATATCAATACTATTCAGATTTTACACTATCACCTAAACAACTGGGTACAAGGTCGACCGAGGTAGCAATTTAAGGTCAAAGTTAGATTTATATAAACAGTCGTTCAGATTTACGCTTATTATTAGTAAGAGAATGTTATGACCGGAACTATTCTCATACATTTATAATTTTTTGCATTGCACAAAAGGAAATAGGAAATTGTAGGAAATTACAATGATTAGCTACAAACAAAATAAAATAAATAAGGATAATAGATACATGGCTTAGGTCGACATTGGTAATATAATTTTTCTGTGATTTGTTCAGAGAAGAATTGATAGCAAGTAGCCCCTTCAAATGTTACTTATGATGTCAAGCTAACCAAATGCGTTCCTAAATTGGTGATCTATTCTGCTGGGTGTCGTAATTCGTCTGTTAGAGTGTGAAAATGGGTGAATTTCGCGTTAGGTGTCTTTAGTGTTTGAAACCAGTGCCTTAATTGATCTCCGCTTGAGTCTTTACCGAGATAGACACCACCTACAGAGATGAGTGACGGTTATAATTTTGTATCTACTTACTGAAAGTGATTTATTACGTTATAGCAACTATATAGCAAGGTAATTAGATAACACTATTTCTACGGTTAGATTAGCATTAAATGTTTGGTAATATAGTCGTATTTGTTATAAACATTTGTATAATTTACCTATAAAATCATTTTTACGTCCAATGTCACGATCCCATACTTGGATATCTAATGTCTTCCCAGCAAGCTCGCTATGAGCGTACTTATATTTAAATACCTGTAAAGCATAGTTAAAAGGCATAAAAATATGGTATCTCTTTGTTAAAGAAATATCGTAAGTATATGGTGATTCATTACAGCATTAAATTTTGGGTTTAAAGTTCTCCTTTTGACTGATGTTTTCTGTTTAGTAATTTTGTATTTATCCGGTCTAAGATAGCTTTTAATAAAAACGTTAACCAATTGTCAAATTTAAGAATGTATCAGGAGCAATTAAAATATTGTATCAGCTACAAAGTGAGGCATATGGAATGTCACCATTTTACGTAAGGATCTGAATATCCGGAAGCATCCATAGCTTTTAGTCCGATGCACTGAATTATGCCTACTTCTAGTGTACGCGTTGCTGTAACATATTTAAGGGATATCTCAATTCGTCCTCTTTCTATTGAATTCACCTGAGAAATATATGCCGTGGAAAATTATTTAATTTTCATTGATTAAATGCAGCATGATATGGCAGAAAACTTACGCGATCTTCCTCAAGATCTTCCTACGTCGGAACATAGGACAAATAGAAAAGCAATATATGAATAATAATCAGACTACATAATATAGAGTTCCGTTTAAGTTATAAGTTTATGATAACATGAATTTCTAATACCTGTGATATTTTGTGCAACGGTACGTCATTAAAACGTTTCATAACATCTCCAATATCTTTTAATTTTAAATTATATATACCAATGACTGTATCACTAGAGAATCGATCATGGTTCATAACGTAAACTCTAAAGAAAGACGATAGTATAAAATATTGAATTATAATTTGCTATTACAGTAGTAAGATTTATCTCGAATATTATATATACCAACAGTTACTATCAAATGGAATCAGAAAGGGTACCTTAAGGTTTTTCTCGCAATATCATCCTTTGTTACACCCAAATAGGTCAATGTTTCATTAAACTCGGGATTACAGGTCTTACTTTGTTTCGTTCGCATTTTATTCGACTATATCATAAGATTAAAATATTAAAAAAGATATTAACGTAGCTAGGATTCTTGCTACTGAATTGCTTTAACCTTCCACATTTACAAACCATTGAATACGACATTGCAAAAGTATTGAGACGCACACCTTACTAGATCCAGGTAACAGTTGAAGTTTCACGTAAGGATCAACTCCATGTTTGCCCATACCTTTTAAATTCTTAAATTATGGTAATGGAGATTCAAGCAAGAAATAACTTTCGTTAAGATCAACATTAAGTTCTTAGAGAGCTTGTCCTACAGTGCAATGTACGGTAATAGGAGAATCTAAGATTTTAACCTTAGCTTTTATAATAGTCACATGTAGTTTGAAATCAATCGGCTCGAATAAGACAGAGAAGTCTAGGCTTCCTAATCCTTCATTGCCTAATAGTAAAATTTTTACATAGTTAGAAGGTAGTATGGTACTATTATTTAACAGACAATATAGTATTGTACGGTCTTAATTAGGGTCTATGTCTTATCGTTTTTACTCCTTCGTACGTTTACGATATAAGCACTATATGGTATGTACCAGTACTATCAATGCTTTCATTTTCCGTAATTGGACTACGAAAGTCCGCCTGTGAAGGTTTAAATTCTTGAAAAGCCAAATTAATTTCGTTCTCATTTTCTGCTTTCTCTTTTGGATTTACTTTTGAGGCAGAAAAACTCACTTCGCTGCTATAATCGCTACTTTCTTCATTGCGCTCATCATCCATACTTTTTTTTAAGCTGATTTCGCTATTGCTAGAATGTTCCTTATGTGCCAACGATGCCCATGCCGGTCTAGGTTTAACTGAATCATTGATACCAATACTGTCATCATTAGATGACCCGTCATCGGTATCGGAGTCAGTAGATAGAGAGGTATCGGTTTCATCTTCGCTGCTTCCGTCCGCTTCTTAACATGTGAACGAAATTGAAAAATTGTCTTATATTCTAGTAACTCATAGAACTAAATAATTAAATCAGATATATTTATGTACGCATGGTCGGCCTTTTCGTTAATGAAGTTCCGTAGTTGTCTTTGGATGTGCTTGATGTTGCCGATGCAGTCTGTGGGATATTAATTAGGATGTAACAAAATAGCAAAATTTTAACATCATAATTGAGGTACTTACGTTTACATAAAAGTAAATCAAGTATAGCTATTACTATTGTATAGAATTGCGATACGAATTATAAACCTACAGATCTGATGTTTTTCGAGCCTAAATTATCAGCATTTTTAACTGGCATAATGTATGATGGCATAGACTTGTAAAACCAGGCACCTGAGCGTTTTAATAGCTGAAAATGTAAATAAATGGTACTTCTTAAAAATTCAGTAGCTTATATAAACAGTGGCGCTGTCTAAAATACTATTATATAACTTGCATCTACCTCTCTCTGTTCACTACAGAGTTTACATAACCATAGTGGTTGCTTTCGACTGTTATAAGTATCGACACCGCACTTCGAACATACACCCTGAAATTAAGTTATACCGTAAAATGGAGCGTTTTTAATCAAAACGCATGCATGTTATGTACTGTATGTGGCAAATGTTGTCATACCTTTTTACAATCGTTACAAGGCGTAGGCGTGGTGCCAAACGTACTAAAAGTGACTCCACACAGTATACATGATCTTTCACCATCTCCAACGGCGTGATTCTTCATATTATCAAGCTTCTCCACTAAACGACTTTGGAAATGTACAGTACAGTGATATTTACTTAACAATATAACGTCAGAGTCTCGAATAAAGCATTCGCAATGCTGGCACACAAATTATAGTATTCCTTATTTAAAAGTATATGGCTGACTTTTGTCTACATCACTGAACACTACCTTAAAATATATTATTATAACATAGTATTTCATAGATACTTCTCTGTGATCTTAACCACACTAATTGTTTACACAGTGTATTTATTCAAACTGGTTTATATAAGCGATAGTGGAAGCGAACGATACATAGTCAACATACTACATCCTTATGTCCTGTTTGACAAGCATTTCGATGTTTAAACACTTACTGTACCTTGCTCCTATAAGTTCTACAGAACTTATTATTTATATACTAGAGTAGATTAGTTAATAGATGAAGAGAGACGCAATAGCTTGATTATTTCGGAGTGGTTAGTTTGGTCAGTAATACAGTATACTGTACCAACGTGTATACTTCTCGTAATGTAAACAGATTAACGGCATTCGTAATATAGTATTGCAATTTACAGTATTTTACCATAGATTTATTTAAATAGATAAAGAAAGCGTAGTAGTTTGTTTCTATCATTTTAGAGTGGTTAGTTGGTCACCGTGCTATAGGTTAGTAGTCTCTACGGTAAGATTCCAACGTGTATACTTCTCGTGCTGTAAGTAGACTAACGTCAATATTACCCAGTCGTAGTTTCTACTTTAATCTGTACGGCATTCTTATAGTATTTGCAATGAGCTACAGACTACACATCTCTGTTCTTACTATTAAAATACTGTAACGCAGACCCGTTATTAATAGCTTATTAACAAAGAACATCTGTTAGCATAGTAAAGGATGTACGGGAATCTGAAGAATCGGACATAACGTGGTAGTGCAGGCAATAGGATAGACTTAAAAGGTTTTCATACGCGTATGTACTATACTGCAGTTTACAAGTTAATATTAATTGATAATTATATAAAGAAGGTCACATTTTACACTAAGTATACAGTAAAGTACAGTACAGAGTATGATGGATGACGCCCTGCGCATATACAAGCCCACGATGATCGCATGAAGTTGCACTGCTAATAATTAAGTGTAATAATAATTAAATTATTATGTATAGCAATTACCCGATTCTTTCTTGTTCCATTTTTTCCAAGTTTTCAGCCTTTTGAAGAACTTGCATGATTTGTTTTTTTTCATTTTGAGCCAGTTCGTTACCGCTACCTCTAGGTGAATCGGAATGGTACGACCAACCAATATTTAATCTTTAAGACACACGCATATATAGAACAATGATTAAACTTTAAACATATCTACGCCAAACAAGGATAAACATTCAATGCTTAATTAATACTCGAGGTAAAGCGTAGCTGTACTGCATTTCTGGTCTAGCAAATATGTAAATACTGTATTGAGTACTGGGATGTGCGTGTGCCATTGAAAAATGCTTAAGCTTGAAGCGTTCTATATGGTCTTATGATTGAATGAACGCGTAAATACAGCTGTACATGATGCATGATGAATGTACCTTTTTCAGTTCTGATATCCCAAACTTATAAATTATGATTACAAATTTTGAAATTACTGTACTTGTCTTCACAATGCAATTAATGTACTCTAAGCATGCAGACAAAATCTTATATTCAAACACGCATCGGTAATATCTGGTTTAAAAAAATAAAACACTTACGCGTAAGTGCGTGTTGCGCGAGTTGTGGTCAAAAACTCAGAACATGCAGATATTACAAGCACAGCGTTATTTTTTTCATATTAGTATTTTGAATTCTATTTTTACTTTATTTTTATAAAGTATTTTAATACACAGTATAATGCATACAATGCACACTATATTGTGTTGTGAAACAAAATACTTTACCGACGACAATATTATACCATAGGGAATATTTTAGCGTAACAATGTCGTGGCAGTGCAGTGCTGGAATACTATCCACACGTCGGAAAATGCAATTGACTTAAGCATCACAGTTTCATATTAATTTAATTTTATTTATTCTACTGTACAGTACGAGTATGCTATAACTTAAGTAATGGCTATAGCACTTACTTCGCCCTTAGACATAATTGGCGGTCGTTTGGGCAAATCCAGGCATTAGTCGACGCTTTTCGATTTCTGTCAGTCATGCTTTGTTTTGTTTTTAATGTGCGAGGAAGCACTATGCCAATTTATTTTATTTTATTTTATTTCAATTTTATATTTTACTTTACTTTATTATACTGTATACTGTACGCTGTGCATTAACAGATATTACAGTAGTTCACAGTCCTAGTGTACACAGTACAGTGCAGTATACTGTACAGTATGTACTGGAGGTCTACAGTACAGTAGTGCGATACTGCACAAATTTTGTTTGGCGAGCAATGTACTGTACTGCACTGTACTGTACTGTACAGTAATAGAACTGCCTTGGTTTACAAGGTTTATTGAGTACATTACAGTGTTATTTCTGTAGTGCAGTCCAAGGGCTTTTCGATTTTTTATGGGGTACTGTAAATGAAACTCACCAAATTTGAGGAATGTAACATACAGTACTGTAGTACAGTACGTACAGTACAGTATTGTAAAAGTCATAGGTTCTACTGTACTGTACTGTACTGTACAGTATGGAACCACTAAATGAAAGAGAAACCCCCAGTACAGTACTGTACTGTGCTCAATGTACTGTACTGTACAGTACTGCACTGTACTGTACTGTACTGTACAGTATCTCCACAAAGAAGCCATAAAGTTCTACGGTGTACAGTACAGTACTGTACTGTACTGTACTGTAAAGGTTTAAAAGTTTTTTGGAGTACTGTACTATACTTTGCGCATGCTCATTGCTCAAAGACTTAAAAAAAATAATATTAAGAGGAATTTATTGTCATAGAGATTAGAAAGGTAGCGATCAGACATCTACAGTACAGTATAGTCTGAGCAAATCAGAGAAAAACGAGAGTCACTGGAAAACTGAGAGCAGAGAGTAAAAATATAGAGAACGATTATTATTCGAATAACACAAGTTATATACGTAGAGTTCAATGTACTCAAATATGTTAAACAGATATTTAATATAATCAGTAAATATGCCAGCTTGATCCTACACATAGTTATTATGTATTTCCTTTAACAGTATCACATACCAAACAACATTATCATTACTATGGTATCAGACTCATAACTATACTCATAACAATAACAAAAGTTAATTAATAAACATACCGAACGAAGCTGCTGTTATGAATGTAAGTACATATGTGATGAACAACAAACCTTCAATGCAGCTTTGAATAGAATGAACTCTGCAGTAGATAGTCCATCGTGAAATTTTGAGCGTGATTACTTTATAAGTGCAGATTCATTTATTCAATATTTTTGCAATAATTTGATGGATTTCATTTTTGCCTTGTTGATATATCATTAACAGTTTCGTAACTGTCTAGTCTAGCCTTCTACAAAATACAGCTGCCTGTTGTGATCCATACTAAACTGATAAATTTTGAGAATTTTAAACGTTTAATCATGCAAATTAACGGTATATTAATACGTTGCTAGGAGTTGATGGGTGGTGCACTTTTTCAATTCACACGTATCAGTACGTAACTCTGCGAATTAAAAAGTACTGCTTGCGGTGCAATCTAATTTCCACACTGCGATTTCCAGGTAGAATCTCAATCATCCGGATTAGCTTTAATTCGACCATTAGAAATACCTGATACTTTTTTAACACAAAGTCCATGAAGTACAGTATACGCGTAAACCAGTGCCGTACGGGAGTAACCAAACGTAGTGTACTGTATAAAATTTACTATCATATACTGAACAGCGTGATTATATATTTTTCATATTTATTTATTTATTTTATTTACAAACTATATTATGAAATACTGACATGATAAGCAGTACAGTAGTAAATGCACGTTATTTTAATGCCTTTTCTTAAGTCTTGATAGTGAAGTATTTATAATATCCGCTGTAGCAACGAAGTTAATGGTATATGCCTTCGGTGTGAGATATACATACAGGCGGTACAGTGTATTGTATTAATTTGTATGTCCTTATTAAATACGAAGATTCACTTGACTATAACTGTAAATATTAATGATTTGAGTTCTTGGCGAATGTTATGAAACAAAATATAAAATTTTAGAACCAGTAATATCTGATAAGAGAGAAATTGTACGGTATTTATGAATCGAATATCAGTTGGAGCCAATTTGGTATAACTATGCGTATATTCAAGCATCAATTGTATTGTAATTGAGGATTACAAAGTGATTTCGTATTATGATATACTTACAGTCAAATAAAACAGCTTAGATGTAGAATAATGGAATTTCTACGGGATAACCAAATTACTTTAAAATTAAATTAAAGAAGAGGAATATCGAAATATTTCGGTATCATATGGGTGAGAGCTTCACTTCTACTGTACCGGTGATCTGGCACAAGCCACTATTACCGTGATATCATCAGGTTTTCCACCTGTAGCATAAATTCCATGCATTCTAGCTTTCCTAACAAAAGGAGATATATAGCATTCATCGAATGCTAGCTTACGGGCTTCTTCGACTAGACAATTTGCAATTCTCTGAGAATTATGTTTCTAATCAGAAAGAAATTTAAGAAGATGCTAAATGTAAATTCTGGAATAATGCTCATATTCTACAAATAAGATGGCTAAATATAGAACAGCGAGAATCGAACACAATTAATCAATCGAAGATCGCTTTTGCGAAAATCATATATTACTCTAGCAATACGCGCATAGCAGTAAGAAAGACAAGTATATTTTTACCTGCTGGTTACTAACAATATCTAATATTTGTTTTCCAGTCATGTTATCAAAAAGACCGTCGGTTGCCATTATAATAATATCGTCACTTTTGAGTAAAAAGCTATATTCATCAGCTTCTGATGGCCTAACGTATAAGAATAATGTTCAGAAATGTAAACGATTATATTGATATTATTGATAGTAAAGTCATTGTATATGTAAACTGATCTATCAACAGGAACTATTGCAACTGCTTTACTTACATGTTTCCAAGAAACGACTGATCTGGAGTTTTGCATGTTAGCTGATATGGAGCATTAAAGTAATGTTGTTGCTCCTTTGATTGATAAATGATAAAATGATCTCGAATGATTACAAATCCAGAGTCACCGAGATTAACGGAATATAACATTCCAGTAATCTTATCGATAACCATAACGCAAGCAGTACTACTTCCTTAAAATTAAGATTAAAAAAAATTTCTGAGTATCAATGACGTTAAGTTGCGAATTATATATTATTGATACAGTCATAACGCAAGTAAGCCGATTCTAAGATGTAGTTCGAGTCAATGTTGCATTATATTATAATTATTGGCCATGACATATTTCACGAATATTCACACTCGTAATTATTATAGTACACAGAATATGCTTTAGAATAAAGTAAAAACAAGCACTGTAGCTCTAAAAATACCGAGTAGGTTTGGATGTTCCGATAGCATAGTATCGTAGCCTGTTTTTAAAATTTTTAAAGGAAAGGCGGAGTCAACGCAATAATTCTTAGCATAGCTTTTGCAATTCTTCATCAAAAGATGAGAGAATAATGAGGGATCCACTCCATACTCCTTCCAACCTCCCACACCGTCAGCTACACCTGTTAGATAATTATGGACATGATGAGAGATAGTCTGTAAACTATATTATAAATGTGATAACTTAAAATATATATTGTTCAATGTATTATTTTAATATTTTTATATACAAATATATTTGTATAATGAGTGTAACCATGCAGAAATCGAATTTGTTACAATACAGCAGGCTGCAGCAAGTGCTGTACTATACTGTACAGTACATACTACACATCCATACATACACTCATACAGTACAGAGGCAATATTACTGTAATACTGTACAGTTATTTTGTTTTAGTGACGTTGATATAGTCTTTGCAAAAGATACAGTACCTACCAAAAACATCGAACCTTGAGGAAATGCTATTAACTATGAAATAAGCGTCATCTCCAAATGTCTCTTGTTTAATTACAAATCGATTCTCTTTTGGTGATTTCGAAAATCCGGAATAGTTTGTTGCAAGAAATAATTGCTTCTGCGCATTATATGAACGAAGTGCTGTATGAATCATCAGGTATCTTGCCGAGGCTAGTTGACGTGGTATTATGAAAGGTCGTAATACAATATTCATGGCCTATCTATAATATCTAGTACCTTGCTTAACGCGTTGTAGCACTGAACTTCGCTAATACGGTAAAATACAGTACTGTATGCTGCACCTGATAATTTGTTAACTACAGTAGTAGAAAGCGCGGCGGCGACCAGCAACTCTTGCAAAATAGGGAGGGATTGTGATCCAGTGTCCTTAAAAAAGCTACCCGAAACCCGACCTGAACCCGAGGGAGGGATTCGGTTTAAGTAATTCTGCGCTAATACAGTGTTCGTATAGCGATTGGACTCATTTCGGGTTAGAAAATCAACAACTTGATCAGGTTTTATCGAGTTTCGGGAGGGATACGGGTTAAGTACAGTACAGTAATTCTACGCTGATACAGTGTTTGTATAGCGATTGCACTCATTTCGGGTTAGAAAAATTAACAACTTGATAGGTTTTATCGGGTTGACCAGACTGCCAATGACTGTTAATAGCAGTATTGTTACCGTACAGTACGTACTGTACATTATCGGTACTGTACTGTACAGTACAGTACAGTGAAAAAAAATAATAAGGAAACTCAACTCGTACAGTACAGTGCTGTAAATCTCGTGATAAACGCATGTACAGTACAGTACAGTACTGTACGCTACAAGATTCTACAAGTTCACCGTTTTACTCGTTTACCTACTGTACTGTACGTACAGTACACTGTGCGGCTCGGTGCTTTCATTCAAAAACAGCCTGGTACAGTATAACTGTACAGTTAGTTAATACAGTTAATAGAAAGTGATTTTTAATATTAGAAAATGTCTGGAATGCCTACTGAAGTTCAACCTCTTCTTTCCCCTTGCCACTCAAATGTCAATGGTAAGAATTACACATAGTGTTTTTAATATCTGATCATTTGACACTGTAAAATTTTGGAATTGCTTGAAAGAATGTCGTAAAACTTACTGATACTTTGAGTAATACAGTGTAAGGCATTCATTTTAGTCTTCTCAAAGACAAGTAAAATAAGGATATGATTGACTTTATCGGAAGAAATAGGAGAATCTTACGTAATTATTGATGATATTCCTGCAGTTTAATATAATTGGTGCGTTATTGTAAGATGTCAGATTTCATATTTTAAAATCTGATTGGTTACTGCATTATGATGAGCTACCACATACTGTACATTCAATACCTTGAAATAATTCTATCGAAAAGGGTTATGGTTATTGACTCTGTGAAGTAAATTACACTGTATACGCGTTTATTAATTAATTGATTATTAACAGCAATTTATAATCGTATACTTGCTATCACTTTTAACGCAACATATACAGTCGTGAATCATGGTGTTATTCTGCAAACTTCAGCATTTCAGCAATATAGCTATACAACAATACATTGCCAGAAATCATTACCGATAGTGAAAACGTACACATGAGTGTACCTGTATTCCCGCTGAGTAACAGTGATGACCGGCTGCGCGAGAGCACATTTGTGGCAATAAAAATTAGTGTTAAATTGTTTCGGCTGGTTTACTGTATAATGTAATTAATTGCTGATTCCCGTGTTATTAGTGCGAGTACTAATTGGCCTGAGCTTGTATTGATACTTTAATACCCAGTTAGTTAAATTACCGCTGCATGAATTTACAATGTGTTTTACAAATTTTCCTTTGACCTGAACCTGCACTGTCTTCACCAATAAAGTTGCTAAGTTACAGTACATTAACATAACTAATATTTGTTGATCATAATTATTAAATTAATGAAATTAAATAAAATTTATGCGTAGATATAGAAAAATTGAGTAACAACGAAAGAATTTATACGTAAATATCGTAACATCCCAGTTGCATAACTTTATTATTGAGTTTAAATACTATACTTCTGGTGTACAGCACACAAAGTCATCAGTAGCTCACCGTTTTCAGCCTCTTCACTACTCTATACAGTACAGCGCGAAAGTTTGAAGATTAACATAATACAGTAACTGTTCTTGCAAGAATGTTAGGCTAATAAAGCGATTTAAAAACCCGAGCTGTACAATTAAAATTATTTGCTTGTACTCAATCTGTGGAATTTTTATGATTAAATGTAGATGGAAATTATCGTGAAGGAAAATTATCAACGTTTCTTGGTGTTGTTGTTCCATGTATTTTATCAATATTTAGCGTTATTCTGTTCTTACGTCTCGGATTTGTTGTTGGACAAGTTAGTACCCGTTTTCTATGAATATATCGTAAGCTGAGATTGTAAAGTAGATTTGTGTGTATCGAAAAATACTGTACTGTAGATTCGATGTTGTGAAGGCCTAAGGTTTGTATTGATGAAATTATGGCGTTATATTTTACTTCAGTGCCACATCTATCTCTGTCTTGGACACTAAAAATCTTCTTTACCAAATCATTAAACGTTTTTACTAGCGATATTACCATGGACTACTGTTTAAATTATCTAATCATTTTTAGGCAGGATTTTTAACAGTTATAGGAATGCTGGTTCTGGCATACGGTCTAGTATGTATGACTGTTCTTTCAATTTCTGCTATATCAACGAATGGGGCAGTCAAAGGCGGTGGAGCATACTGTATCTTGATATATTGATCGACTATTACTTAATGCGATTGCGTATGGTGCATATTTCAACAGAATCTACCTCTTATTGTAAAGGAATACTATTAAAAAATCTATACAGCCCATCCATTTATGAGTTTATGAAAATTAAAGTATAACCTATTTGCTAAACAGATGCAGTATAGTAATGTAGTCCTGCCTTATTGAAGAATATTTGAGAAATAGGTATTACATTGATTCTTACATAGTAGATATATAACGATAAGAACAAAGTTGAGATAATTTCCCTAAGAAAATGTTTGCAGTTATGATAAGTCGTGCGCTTGGTCCCGAATTGGGAGGATCAATAGGAATTATTTTTTACTTTGCAAATGTCTTCGCTTCTGCTCTTTACGTAATTGGTAGGTATTGTTAACTATTATGTCAGTATTCACAGTAAGGCTTATTAGATTTGTTAAAATTATCTCCAATTGTTTTTGAGGATGTGTTAAGTTTTTACTTTCATTTCATATCATCAAGGTTTCACGGAAGCTGTAATAAATAACTTCGGCCCAGATGGAGAGTTAGCTAATGGTAGTAAAGAATTTTATTACATATGATTATAATTTTAAGTACTGAGATACGTGATTTATAACCTATAGTGTATTAAATTTACAGCGATTCCCGGGAGTACTTGGTGGCAATACCTTTATGGCTCACTGGTTCTGCTTTTTTGTTTAATAGTTTGCGTTTTCGGTGCTGGTACGGATTTTTCATTAAAAGTTCGTTCGTATAATCAGTTCGTAAACTGCTGACGGATTGCACTATCGTAAAGATTTTGGATTTTATGATTTCAATATCTAGGAATTTTTGCGAAAACATCGCTTATCATTTTTTTAGCCGTTATGGTAGCAATCAGTTCGTCTGTGGTAAGAAGAATTATAAATGTACTGATAATATTACGGTATCACTGCTTTAGTTACATATCAAAAGGAGCGGAAGTAGCTATTTTCTTTCCCTGTGGCATATTTAGGTTAGCTTTATTGCTCAAAAAGCCTTTGCTGTAAATAATCAATCAATTTTAGTAAGTAACCGGTGATTTAGGGAGCTTTCTTGATAGTGAATTTCTGCCATAATAAGTATCTATTTGGAATCAGGCTATTTAATTCAGGCTCACTTTGTACTGTTTATAATAGAATGAAAATGAAACCGTTTTAAATTTTGCTTATACCGGCTGGGATATTGAAACGTTTCGTAAAAATTTATATGTATGTGTAATTATCACAATCTATCGTAATATAAACCTGCTGAACTAATTTACACCTACTCATTTAAAAATTTGATTTTTTGGAATAATTCTATAGTCAAATTATACAGAGGATATTACCACAGGAATTAAACAAGATTTCCAAAGTGTTTTTGCAGTATTGTTTAACGGATGTACGGGTATAATGGGTAAGTTGTTTTCTTTTACTGAATGTTAGTTTAAATATCGGTATAAAGTTATCAAATGAGGAAATTTTACTTCTTAATTGTTAGCGGGCGCAAATATCTCAGGAGATTTAAAGAACCCGAGTAAAGCCATTCCTTTAGGAACATTATTAGCGTGTGGAGTAACATTTATAGTTTACATTTTACTAGGTTATTTTAATCTAACTAGCATATCTTTCCCTAGCTCAAAGTCTATATGTTAAGCAAAAAAGTCTTTCTCGATTTGTTTTAGTCACTTTTACAAGTTTTACTTGTTCAAGAGGATTATTACTGAATAATTATAACTATATTCAGGTTAGCTATAAATTTTTCGATATACAATATTGTAATTAATTCTGTGCGGACACTAAATGTTGCAGTAACTACTTAGGCTATTAATCTATGTCCACCTCTAATAACCATTGGAGTTTTTGCCGCAACCTTATCTGCAGCGCTTAGTACACTAATTGGTAAGATTAACGGATAATCTGCAACTTACGATTTGTTTTACTGTTAAATTGCTGATCTCAGATAGGTTAGATATTTTTGAGTGATTCACTTATTGGCTGATGTTGCAAGATATAATTGACAGCTAGGCCTGCAGTAGTAGTAGAGATTATTTATGATTAAAGTCTTTATATATCTTAGGCGCTTCAAGAATACTCGAAGCTGTTGCTCGGGATGATATTTTAGGTATATTAGACTAGTATGTTAGCTGATACATGAGCTATTCGAAGCTTATCCGGCTAGATATATATTCTACCATTCTATTGTGTAGATCTTTAATGTTATATTGTCATGAAATGGTATAAAGGTATTTTCACGAGGCCGTTTGCAAAATTGACAAAGAAAGGAGAGCCTCTTCGTTGTCTCTTATTATCATGGTTCTTTGTTCAGGTTTATGTCATTTTAGCATTGTTAATACATTTTAATCGAATTAATATCAATTGATGAAAGATTTAATCCCGCAGATAATAATAATTGCGAAAGAGTTGAATGCTATTGCTCCAATTGTTACCATGTTCTATTTGCTATCTTATGGAGCCACAAATTTTGCATGCTTTTTACTAAGAGTTGCATCTGCACCTAACTTCAGGTATATAAGAAGCTTGAAGATGATTTTTTAATAATTGTCAGAGGAACTTACTATAAAATTTTATTGTCAATAGGCCTACTTTTAGATTTTATTCCTGGCACCAAGGTTGAGTGAATGTAACATTAATAAACACCTAATTGATATTCTACTTGCAATCTATAACGAACATGTTATTCTTGCTAATGGAATACATTTATTTTTGACTTACGGGGGGGATCACTGTGTTCTCTAGCTCTATTTGGATTAATTGGATGCCTGGTGCTGATGTTTTTTATTAACGCCCTGTATGCCACAATATCGATTGGTAAATTGAAATAACGGCGTGCGACTATCAATTGATCAATAGTACATTATTGGATATTTATGTTACAATCATTGAAAGAGTAGCACTTACGAATGGTTTGTTACTTTATAGCCGTCATGATCGTCCTTTTTGTAATTATCTCCGTTCGTGGTCCCGTTACGCCATGGGGTGATCTTTCACAAGCCGTAATTTATCATCAGGTAATAAAGAATTACGGATATACCCGTATGACTCTGAATCGTAATTAGAAAACAGTATATTATTAGCAGTGTTCATAAACACCTAGTTCGGACTCTTTCCTTTAGGTCAGAAAATATTTATTGCGCCTGGATGTCCGTAAAGAGCATGTAAAATATTGGAGACCGCAGGTATGTATCTATTACGAATTTGTGCATAATGACCTTGTGTGTGATATCGTAGATATTTGCTATTTCTCGGTAGTATCTGTCAGAAAGACAATACCGACGTTATAGGATATTACTATGTATAATACGATTATTCACTATTGTATATATGGATATGATCTAATCGGCAATATTTTAGATTCTGCTGTTAGTCTCAAATCCTCGCTCTTGTTATCCTTTGATCGATTTTATCAATAATCTAAAGAAGGTAATGCAGAGCGTTGATGTACTCTATTGATAGTATTAAAAGCTTAACTAATACTGTACTGATAATTTTTTATATAGGGTGGACTATATATACTAGGGAATGTAATTGTGGGACGTTTTTGTGAATCGGTAGTCTGTAGGATGATACTACACTTTTTTCGTACAAGATCATTTATAAGATCCTTAAGTATCGGTTTAACATAAGCCTTTATTATAGACATTAGAAAAACATCGTTCTCAATTCCTTGGGTGGCTAAGTTTTGCTGATAAACGCCATTTAAAAGCTTTTGTGGAGATTACCACGGCCAATTGTGTCCGTGATGGAGCTCGCAACCTTATGTTGGTAAGTGTAAAGCTACAACTAATTGTACACTATCGAGTTAACTTACCGCGTAATTTAGTATATCTGAAGTTGTTTAACTTTATGTCAAGAGGTCTTCTAATCTGTTTCCGTAGACTTCAGGTTTAGGAGGCATGAAGCCAAATACTGTTGTATTAGGTTTTTATGACAACAGTGTCCCGTTCGATACTACTGAAAGCTACCTGCAGGAACTGTCACAAAATTCTAGCCATTTCAGCTTTTTATTCCGGAATCGTAATTTTGACACATTTGGTATTCCTATTTTTATGCTAGCCTATTTATAAATCGATATTATTGTGCATTTATAGACTCCAGTTGTATATTACATATGAATATTGTACTTGAATTCTTTTATTATCGCGTTTCTTAGAGGATGAATTCAAACAGTTGACTTCGAATTTTCCTTCGCTAAGATGCAATGTAACTATAGAAAATTATGATTAATAATCTATATATATTGAATGGATAAAGATACTAAAATTTTAAAGTTTTATAACCATTTGATTATGTAGGATAGTCAACAACTATCTAGCCATGATTATGTTGGCATTATTAAAGATGCCATTATGATGCAGAAGAATGTATTGATTGTAAGAAAGTATGTGGTAGTGTTTAATTCCAGAAGTACTACTGTTTACAGTGTATTGGTATTAACTATATCTTTTTTATTTCTGCGTATGTGATGCCGATATGATTATAACCAGTTTTCATAACCTAAAAAAAATTTCATCAAGCTCCATTGGTAGGTTATGTGACAAACCTTTCACTAATATAATAGATAGATATTTATTTTCGCAACTGTTATATAACCATGATGGCTAAAGCAGAAAATTTATTTTATTATAGATATATGGCCCTTTAGTGCTAGTTCTGGTAGCTATATGATCTTTTCGTTATAAGACCTTATTAATTAATGTGATATTGAACGTAACAGGCATTATTATTGATATGAACCACAGATGTATATGATAACACGTATTACTTGGTACTCCAGCTTGGTTGTATCTTACATATGGTGCCGCACTGGTCTAATTTAAAGCTGCGTGTTTTAGCTGTTTCGGGTTTGTTCATAATTGACGGATTGTTTTTTGGTCGTAATGTTAAAAGTATCATAAAGAGGGCCTATGTTACTATATTTACAAACAGATAATCAAGTAATGGAGGAAAGTCTTTATGATAGAATTCAGAAACTATTAAAAGATCTACGGATACCTGCTGAAGTCAAGGTTGGACTGCATATTTGATGACAGGCGGACTTGACCGTTTTCATTAGACTGTAAAAGAAATAGCTATTTTTAAATGTTACGGTAAATTGCATTTCTCACAATATGTGCATAAGGTTGTTACTTTTAATTCGAAACTAAGTCCCTCAATACATGCTAATAGTCACGGAAGCGATTGCATTCAGGTAATGTAAGTTGCGCATTAGTTTCGAAGGATTTCTGTATAACTACAATGAATGAATAATCATATCGCTTTGGAGTGTTATAAATACTTGCTCTCTTATTGAAACAGTGCGTTAATCCGACGCCTTCGCAAGTAAATCGACTGATTCGGACTCATTCTAGTAATGCTAGTAAGTGTACCAGGAATGCTTTGTTTTAATACAACTTAGGACTGTTGTCTGTTCTCAGTCCTATGTGTTGGCTTCGAATTAATGTTTTCCTTCGTGTTCATGCATAGGTGTTATATTCACGTCTCTACCGCAAATACCTAACAGAGAGAATGAATATACTTGTTTTCTGTCCGAAATTGACAAACTATCCGGTATTGAAATTGTTGTGACTATATTTAGAGTATAATGAAAAGTTTACAGTTTATTATAATTGTATATATAATCAAATGCAATTCGTATCTCTAGAGAACTTGCCCCCTATTGTAATGGCACATGGAACGAAAACGGTTACGTGTACTTCTGTATAGGCATTGCAAATGAAGTCTTGTAAAAAATGTTACATGGATAACTTAGAATTAATTATACCTTATTTTTCCACTATGAACTAGTAATGATGCATTAATTATTTTTTATTGTAATCCGGGAAAGATAAAATGTTTATTAAATGTTATGTGATGTGATACATTGTCAGACCTTAAACTATACACTATACTTTAATTGATGTCGACACAAACTTCGATCCGGCAACTTTGCTTAGCATAAAAACGAAATAAGCTTGGTTACTGTTACTCTCTGTTAGTTAACTATTGACAAATATTCTGATCCTGCGAAGGACTCTTTTCTATTTTTAGAGTGTATCAAGAAATAGCATAGTAAAATAATTTAATTTAATAGGCGAAGATTCAGCTAAACGATAGCCATTGATAATTATAACTAATACATGTATAACGAACATGTAGGTATCTGACATTAAAAAACGCATCCATAGAGGTAAACCACCATTATTCTCCATAATCTAGCTTAACCTTCTTGGATGCTCGGCCTGTAACGTATAGGTTATAATAATGATACACCAATTTTATTTCAACGACATGCCGGACCAGCTAAGCTAAAAATTTTACATCGGAATGCCTTACCAGTAAAAAATTTTGTAGCAGTTTTTTGTCGAATAGCCGTGATATCCTGGTCTTCTTCGGCCCATTGTAAGATCAAACGGCGACCGTATAAATGTGTGCTATCTTGTAAAGCTGTAAAGGCTCTCTATGGTTAATTAGAAAAAGCTTTATTACTTGATGAATAGCGAACGCAAGGACAGAGCAGAGATTAGAACCGCATTAATACACATTATTATTACGAATATTCTTTAAATAATTTAGGGCAATATAACTATTTCTATTAATAATTGCAATTAGTGAACACAGTACAGTATGAGAAATGGTGCGCCGAGACTGCAATTAAAGGGTGAATTATTTCTAACACACAAGTGTTTGCTTTTCTTCGAAGTCGTTGCGCTAACAGTTTTACAAAATTAAAGTAGCAAAGCCATCCATCATAGCAATTGGAATATGACAGTGGCATTCATAGGTATTTATCACCTTTGCATCAGCTTTCGTAATGAATTCTATAAACGTGAAGCCTCGATGCTGTTTTCGCTGGCCATATTTTCTAGGGATTCTTATACACTTTATCTCACCGAACACACTATCATTAATTATATATAATTATCATTAAATAAGACTGTCAAGGATGAAGTTTTTGTTGAAGCAAGTTGTATCATTTCAATCTGAAGCATACAAACCTAAAAATTTGCTTCACTTCTGATTTCGTAGCCTCAAATGGCAAGTTTTTCACAAGGATCTTAGTTGTATTTGGTTTGTTACTAACAGACATATTTTTCTTGATAGTTGAAGTTTGGCTGTAAGAAATGAACATTTATTGATTTATTATGAAATATTTTAATTGATTTCGCAAACTTGAGTGTAACTAACGAATGCTGTGTTGACGTAGAAATTTCTAACTCCAATCGACGTCCATCTACCTCACAGTGCTAATAAGAGCAGCTACGTTAGATGTGTTTTGTATTACGCTTCATTCAATATAATCAGAATTATCTGAATAAATGAAGAAGCCAAATGGCAGAAAAGCATAATTAGCATGATATCTAATGAGAGCACCTGTAAATCCTTGATTGTCCGTTCGGCATCTTCTCGGTTTCTATATTCTATAAATCCAAAACCCATAGAAATCTTTTGATCTAAAGATGATTAGTGTCTATTAGAGCACTCGGGTTTAATAATTCGTTAGAGACATTGAATGGAAAAAAAGGTATATGCATACGCGGCTTATTCGAAGTCTTTTTCTTTGGAATAAAGACACTCACGGGTTCACTAAATTTTCGAAATTCCTGAAAGAATTTATTGGTTAATTGTGCAAGTAATCCAGAACCAAGTCTAAAATACAAATGATATACCTTACGTAGCCGGCATTCATCAGTTTGAAAATTTAGATTTCTGATAAAAATTGTGCGCTGTAAATTTTGAGTCTTGGCATCTACCTTCCCATCTTCGTCCACAAATAAGTAGATACAGTGATTTATACATTTTACAAACTACAGACATAATCACATATGCTATGAGTAATGGACAGAAATAATACTGTACTGAGGATTTCGCAGTTAGGAGGCTTTGCGGAGTCATCAATCCCATTGTTATTATCAATTGAAGATCCACTAGCTGCATTAAATACATCAATGGGCGCCCATTCCAAATATAGTGGACTGCTTTTAAACTATTACACAGACAAGACGAAAGACTTCATTATTGCAGTCATAATACTATACTCATAATATTGAGGGTTCTGTATCGGATTCATTAAGCAAAAGAGATGATATCAAATATTACCTTGCTGTAAGCCAACTTTCGAAATCCATTTCTAGCTTCGATATCTTTGGTATATTCAACGAGTGCTGTGATACCGGAGGGCGGAATAATTACACGCTCAATTGATCCATACTCCGAAAAAAGTTCGCAGAGTTCGTTTTTCTTGGTTCCAAAAGGTAAATTTTTAACAATAATGACTGTTTTACTTCTCTCTTTACAAGGCTAAAATATATACATAAATAAGCAAGCTAGTCAGATTTTTATGACTACCTTCGCTTTGTATGATACGTATGCCATACTTTGTCTACTGGTGTTATTATAATTCATATACCTATATAATCGGTTTACTGCTTACTTTTGTTAATGATTCTAGATTTACAGCATGAGACATCAAGAAACTACGGGTATCTGCCACTAATTTTGTTTCTCCTAAAGCTAATCTTACAGCCATACTTTGATCAATTTCCTAAAGATAGAAATAAACATTCGCTAATTGAACACCACAAGACTACTACATTCGATCTATAGTGTACTCTTATGTGTGATTTACAGTATCTAGTATTTTAGCTTTATCAGCATCAAGTTTTGAGGCCAAAGCATCGAGAACAGCGTTTTGATTCAAGAATAGAGAATTCCAATTGTGTGGACTATAGGTAATGAATACTTGCTTAATGAAAGGGCAGCGAACATTCATTTAATTTGCAGTGCGTCAATGCAAAATTTCATTACCTTTCACTTAATTTCTTACGGGAGCTATTGGCGTTTTTTTTATATGATTTAGACGTCAGACTGGATCCGGTTTCAACTAAAATAGCGTTTCGGTATTAGGTAAGCACGTAAGCTGGTAAGCTTGCTTTGACATTTGGATAACGTGGTCTAAGTGTTACGTAATAATTTCGTAAATAAAAAACTACTAACGATTATCGTTACTGGAGTTAGAGGTGGAATAATCTTCTCTACCCGGCAGCAAATGTATAATTCTACCCTTTAACAATTGTAGCATTTGATTACGTTAGTATTGCAAAAGATTTATGGCAAGTTATCTGCAGGTCTGTACGACATGATATGTATAATTATAAAAAAGTATTAACTTTCCGTTGGTACAGTAACAGATTAATTTAGTATATTATGGTTTATGATCATCGATTTTCATTAAGTAAACATCACACTAAAATGAATCTACTGTACAAATATGACTATATGGTTACAAACATTATTAATGCTATATCTAGCAGGTTGAAATGGATACAAGTTAATTTTATTTACTTGAACTAACAAGAAAAATTGCGCCGTCTAAGTCGTTTGCAGCTCTAATGGCATCTGCTGGAGTAGCAAATTTAACAAAAGCAAAGCCGATGTTTCCCTTCCTATCTGCACTCTTCGGCAAATGTACCTCTTTTAAAGGTCCTGCATGTTAAAAATAGTCAATTTTGATTCCATTTCTTAGATAAAAAGGAGTCATCGCAATTAGTGTGATTATTGTAATAAATATCAACTAAAATAAAAAGATACTAGGGAACTCAAAAAAAATCACATAATATACATTATGCAAGCGTAGAGCAAATAGATCTAGAATCAAAATTTTTACAAAGTGAAATACGCCTAATAAGGGTATAAATTATTAGGAGCACGTACAGGTACTTCAAATCTAGCTAGTTCAGTACGTAAGTTTATAACTACAGTATTATCATTTACTGTAATGAGTATAATTTTTGTTACCGTAATTTGACAATAAGTCTTTTATGTCGTTCTCTGTACAGCAATAAGCCAAATTACGTAAAAATAATCTTCCGGTCTACGAGTAAAATAAATTTTCGACATTATAGTGATTTATTCTGAATTAAAATCCTTCACACATAATCCCAATCTTTGTAAATAACGTTGATACCCTCTCAATGTCTGCTACGTATGATTCTTGTCTTCGCTTCATTGAATCTTCCTAAAAAATATTATTATTGACCACATATATTACTTTACAGAAAAACAGTAGAATATGCGGTTTATCTATTAAAATTATTACCTGTGTTTCAAGGCTAATTTGACTGTTGATAGCTGATGTCACAGGGGTGTCACTTATTTCTAAATGCTTTCCTTCGTCAGGAAAAAGTTCAATATACCTGTTACCTATCACATAAGGAGATATCGGTAAGATTTTATCGTTAACTTTCTTGCCTTTGAAAATTATGTTGTTATCATAAAGCAGTTACTAACGGATATAATCTTTATTGCTTTTCATCGCTTTGCAAGCATCTTCTTCGTTAGTAAAATCCACAAATGCTACGCCATTCGGTTTGCCTTTATGATTTGTCATTAATCTGGTATTTTCCAATTTTGTCGGGTGGAAGAATTCCTTTATTTCCTCCTATATAAGTCATAATAGCCTTTTGTCATTCGCAAGCTAAGGCTTTCTGAATATATAACAGTAATCTTCATCCACAAATACAGGCAGCAAATTAATATGTATAATCTGTGCATTATCAGATAGTCCAGTTCGAAGATAAGTAAGCTTCAGCTTATACCTCATTCACATCAAACGGTAAACCTCGGAGTTTAATCGTTATTATATTCTTTGCGGGTGCATTGTCTTCTGTATCACTTTCTTTATTTGGTAACTGTGTCATACTTACATTTGAAACCTTTGACCTAGTATTATCCGTCGTTTGCTGTGCAAAAGGTAGAAAATAAAATCGTTCATCATTTTATGTCTTCAATATAATGAATATGATGTAATCATTCAAGGTAAGTGATTAAAAATATATTAGCCGACGGCTGTTTTTGAAGGCACTTACATACGCATCTAGTAAAAACAAGCAAACCTAGTAAGTTAAATTTGTCAGTTAAATCATGGTTAAAAGTGGCTACAGTAAGTTGATAACACTGTCTGTAATAAATTCATGGTGCGGTAGATACATGCATTAATTTATTTTATATCTCGAAGATTCATACGATTGACTTACCTTCGTGAAATTTAATATGCACTCTGTTCTTTAATGTACCCTGTAATCAATTTATGAATTGAAATTATGTACGCGTAATATCCTTAACAGTCGTCTTAGTTGTATTAAAATCCGTCTAGTTCAATCTTTGTCTACAGTGCTAAAACTAGAGAAACAGTAGTAATGTTTATAGTTATGACCTTATCAGTAGATCTTTTAGACATCACTGTTTCAAAGTTTGCTGTAACGGTTGCTTTATCCATAGGCTACAGCGTCGTTAACGATGATACATTTTAAGAAATTAGATCAGCAATATGTACTCTCGAAGTTACCAGTAAAGAAGAGCAAGGCTACTAGTAGTATTGGTAATATCAATAGCAATCGGAAAACGGATAATTCTTCACATTTGTCTAAGTGTATCGATAATACCTCAGAGATCTTGTTCTGCAAGGGCACATTCTTATCATGAATTAAGGTTATATTTGTCCTTTCCTAGTTTATTTCCAATATATTGCGTTACAACAGAAGGAAAGATTTCGTTAATTGCGTAGCAGCTACACATGCACTCAAGCAAGCGTATATTTTAGCAGTAGGAGTTAATTTCCAAATTAGTCTCATAGCTAATGGTATAATACTGTTCGCCAGCAACATGTAGGTGCGTAAAATAGGCTTAATGAAGTGTACAGTACTTAAAATTGTTATGCGTTATAATTTCTGTGAAACATTATAATACCTAACTGTAGGTCTGCAAATAGTAACTAGCTGATCGAATCTATTGAACTGTTAGTATCACTTTGGGATTTTGAATATTGTAAACAAGAGAGTAGGATAATACATACTGTAGACAGCTCTTACATGGGTACATGTGCATTTACTTAAGAATAAATATCTGCAATTACTTCATAAAATTGTCTTAAGGATTTCTGTTCTTTCTTTACTGCAATCTAATTTCAGAATGGAAGAGCATTATTTCAGGTAAAATGTACGAAAGTACTGTAGTTGTATTATTGTACTGAAATTGTTATGCTTTAAGGATATTAATTGTACCTCTAAATTCTCAATTTTACTTTGATCTCTTTTACTAGTATCTCTCGAAAAACCTTCATGTCGTACTTTTGAAGTACTAGCGTGGTCGCGTTTCGAATATTTTTTCCACACTCGCGCTGCAATTCTTTCATTAAGCGGGTAACAAGGCTCTATCTAGAACGAGCATGCACTGTTTTAGTAAGCATATAAAATATATACAGTAAAGTATTTTAATAAATTCTGATCGTATTTTGGATGAAGCCAATATTGTTACATATTATATATATTTTATTTATCATTGCTTTTATTGCTTGCTTGATAAAAGAAGTTACCTAATTTTGAATAACTTTCACATTCTGAGAACTTACTTCTATTTTGGAGGTATCAATATAACTGTTATTAAAGAACTTTTGAGCCGTTGATGCATCACATTTATGTCTATATCCTATAAAAGCAAATCTACGAAATATTTTATCTTCTGTAAACTTTAGTTGTACGTCTGTTAACTCTCCAAACTCGGAGAAAAGAGCTCTTAGTCGATCTTCAGATATATTGCACGGTAGGTTCTTGACAACGAGTCTTGACATGCTGCTCCAGTTCACGGTTGCTAGTTGTGAATGTGATTTAAAAGGTACGTTCACACGATGAACAGTAAGCAATCCAGTAAAAGCTTTAACCTCAATTAAAGGTCCCTTGCTGTACCTATATACAGTATATAATCACTACTGAACAGTGATTATACAATGAGCAAATTTTGAAGAGCGTGTTTGTGGGCAAGACATACGCGTTTGCATAGTACTTATTGACGCATGCTAGTAAATTACAGTACAGTGCAGTGCTGTATTGTACTGTAGAGTAGCGTTTATGCGTGGTAAAATGAAATGATGCACTGTACAGTGTACTGTACTGTACAGTACATAAACTCTTCAGACAGACAGACTTTTTATACCAAATGAGACCAAAATATCGAAAAATTGGGTTACTTTAGTACAGAATAGATCTTCTGTAGCTATTTTTCTTAATCATGTGTACTAATTTAAGAACATTGATGACATTATGTAACTATTTTGAAGCAGGAATTAATTAAATAAAATAGATTTCAATGTAATATTACTTAATTTAGAAAAAATAAGCGAATTATAGAAGCGAGCAAACGCTTGAGGTGACATTAACGAATGTAAGTGTTTGGAACAGTATTATACTGTACTATAGTATATAGTATACAGTACTGTATGAGGTGGAAATATCCGACCGTCCGAGTAGAGTTTCCTTTGTACAGTACAGTACAGTACACTATCAAGTACTTTACAGTACTGTACACTGTATGTACTGAATAGAGGGTTCTCTACTCTCTAGTGTACTGTACAGTATAGTACAGTAGAGACCCTCTAGTGTACAGTACAGTACAATTTCTAGTCGGAACAGAAGTAAACGTGCTGTCATACGGTCGAAATCTGAAGATTCAAGATGGCCTTCTCAGTTCAACGTTTTATTCGAATGCGAACAATCTGCAATCGACAATATGCTACGTTGTCGTATAAAGAAGAACTCGAAGCTACTGGAAAACATGCAGCGGGTATTTCTTAACATAACAGTAGAGATATTTATTGATTTCTTTTCGTCGTAACGGTATCGTATTTAATATAATATAATCTGTTACGCATAAATATGTGTACTCGATAAAAAGAATAGACAGTAAAAATTTGTGCGTATACCTACTGTAGGTACATGGCAAAAGGATTAATTATTAGAAGTTGTGTACTGTATAACATCGATAATTAATAAAAGATATCACAAATTACTGCAATTTCATCTATCTAGTCAATATAGTTTCTGTATCGAATAGTTACGACAGTCATTGTTTTATATTCAACTTGAGCGACATAAGGACATCACGATAGCAACTAGAGTTTGCGTGTATATGTTTTATTCGTACACATATTTTGTACGACTGTATAAGAAGTAGTGAGGTATTCATATTAATCCCTCTAATTTTACTTGCACTTTATACGACTCATGATTAAGTCTTTGCAACTCTAGTATTGGAATAGCTGCTATTGCTGCATCAACAAACAGTTGGTTGTAGCTCATTTGTGTAGTAAAAATGTCACTAGCATTGATTACGTATACGTATATTTATATGAAGGGAACAGTACTGGAGTTATCGTTTAAGCCTTTTCACATATTATTTGATAGATACTTGTAAGCACTGCCTTACTGTACAATAAAACAAAATACTGTTATGTGTAGGACTCTTGCGAACTATCTAGCAACATTTCGATGAATTGTAAACGTGTATCAATATTACTGGATATCCAGCGTGGCAAGCGACTATTGCGTTATGTCTAGTTCTAATTCGTTCATATACCTTTCTCCCTTTAGTTGTATAAGCCTAGCTTTAACAAAATTAATTATCATCATGTATATATATTACAGACCATGTATGTACATAAAGTGTTGTATACAGTACTATACAATGCAATACTTTCAGTAAACTGCATGCTATTAGCTGATACTCAAATACAATAAAGCAAAATTGAAAGACTTTCCTTTTGTTTGATGTTACGTTTGAGGAAAGATTACGTTCTGATAATGTACAGTTACTTATTGTGCAGCTACTCATTATCTACCATACTTGCTGTAGTTCTAAAGTCGGTAAAAAACTAAAAATTTTAATAATAATGATTATAGCACGCTTTAGCATTGCTTGATAGTCTTTAGCTTGGTATAAATAGTTATCAATATAAAAAGAATTAATGATGCCTTTGTAATTTTTAACATACTGTATATTACTAACTCTTTCGTAGAAACTATGTCCTTATGGAAGAAAATTAGCATATTGATAGCCTTACCTGCAATCGCTTTTAGTACCGTAAATGCGTATTACAAGGAAACTAAGCATCACAAAGAGCATCCTCACCATCCTGAATTCCGACCCTACCCCCATCTAAGGATAAGGTCAAAGGTATTATTCAAAATAGTTTGTTTGCTATATGAAAATATATGTGTTAATATGTACTGTTAATTTAACTAGACTTTTTCTATTGCTATAAGTTTAATGCAACATTGTTTCGTATCTCTTAATTTGCGTTTAATGCATGGTTCGTTACTTTGCGTTTTAGCCATTTCCATGGAAAGATGGGAATCATACACTTTTCCACAATCCTCACGTGAATGCTCTGCCGGAAGGCTATGAAGAATCACATTAACTGTTCATATTTCATAAAGCTGTAGCAAGTTTCCGTTTTTAATTTTAGGCTGGAAACATACTTAACTATAAGTCTGCTGTGGTAGAATAGCTACGCTATGCCTTAAGTGAAAGTATACAATATTTGTCCCTTGTTTACCTTTCGTATGATAGTTCTGCAAGATGACAGATTATACGTTTATACGTTTACAAAATAAAATGAATCTCAGATATTGTTACCTGCAATACAGTAATCATGTAGTCTGCGGCGGGAGGTAAGCTGCATGTGATACTGTGCCCGTAGGCAATGCTAGGTCATATACGATACTGTATTGATGTACGCTTATGTAACTTACTGAACGCATACTAATATAGATTTTCTAGATAAATTCGTAGCATTGTAACTGCTCCTTGGTAGTATACGTTTATCATCCCTAAGTGCGATGACACTTACCACTGTAAAAACTGATATGGAGTTTTACAATTAAAGACGTGAAAACTTCCTTTGATACACCGTGCAATATACTGGTTCAGCCCAGTATTCCGGTGGAGTGGAGACTGGGGAGGCATGGTGCATTTATTAGATATTACAGGTATAAGGTGCTTTCGATATCATAGTTAATGTTTCAATTTCGTAGGCAGCTAAATAATGCAAAACTGCAGTAGTACGCCATATTCAACAATGTGCTAATTGTACTGTAATTAATCATATAATACTAACATTAACGACAAAGGCGAGATACACGTTTTCAAGTTACTAGGATAATCCGTATACGCGTGCGTATACAATTAATATAACCACAATTGATTCAGTGGCATTGAATGCTTTGCAACCCCAAGTATAGAGCGTTTAATTTAAAAATCATAGCTTAATCCGGAGTCAAACTATGGTTCATACAAGTGTTTAACATCGATACGGCGTATCAAAACTGATTTCTGTTAATAAATTAAATTAAACATCGAATAGAGGAAACGAATACGAAAGACAGCTTGCTAACACATGCAGTCATCCAGGATTTATTCGTCAAATTAGGCAATAGTTTTTAACAGAATACTGCATGAGTTACAGTACATGTATCTGTATTATTTTCTGAGGTCACAAACTACATATATCAGACTCCGTAAGACAGGGAACGGAATAGGATTTTATTATATTTTATTTTATACAGGTTGTTCTCAGTGATCCATATCCAGAGAGGTTAATTAATAAGAGAACTGATCTACGGCTTTAGGTAGGACGTCTTATAGATGTGACACGCGTAGCTAGGGACCAAGCGACATGTGTACTGTACAAGTCGCGATCATAATTACTTATTACATAATTTATTATTTACCAAGGGAGTCGGTAGGGATTGCAAGGTAAAAAAGTATTTGTATCCCCTCCCTGTTCAGCGAAACGGTACACTGTACTGTACACTGTACAGCGTACAAGGACGATGTACTGTACTGTACAGTACAGTACAGTACAACTCGATACCTCCTCGGCCACCGTACGATACAGTACTGTACTTGACTGATAAAGTATCAAGTACAGTAGTCCAGGACGACGCTAATAAGAGAAATTCCCTTACAAGTTTCTCTGTATTACTGCCCATACACATTATAGTGCATACTAGTCCACAGTAGACTGATTAGGCTTCTTTATTTTTTATATCACTGTCTCTATGGTGCAGCTGCAGATGGCTGCAAAACAATACTGCACATATAGAACTGTACCGTACTGTACTGCACACTGTACTGTACAGTATACCATGCACTAATAGAGTGTCTCTACTATACTGTATACTAGTGCTCCATACAATCCCATTGTTGATTGTTTCATGTTTTCCATCACAAGTGTCACCTAACCGTCCGTTTCAGATTTGTACAGTACACTACTGTACTGTACAGTAGTACTGTGGACGTTAGCCAGTTTTAATGAACGAACGTACGAACGTCCAATTTGAACGTCGGACGTTCATTGAACGTACCAACGTACACAGTGTACAGTGTTAACACTACAGTATATACATAGTGTACACTGTACTGTACAGTACGGTATAAGACTATACTATACACTGTACATACAGTAGTACTGTACTGTACTGTACGTAACAGCGTACAGTATACTGTAGTCATGACTAGTACTGTGGACGTTAGCCAGTTTTAATGAACGAACGTACGAACGTCCAATTTGAACGTCGGACGTTCATTGAACGTACAGTACCAACGTACACAGTGTACAGTGTTAACACTACAGTATACAGTATACATAGTGTACAGTACACTGTACTGAAAGTGTTTGTAAAAGACGTTTGTACTACTGTACTGTATGTACTGTACTGTGTAGTATTGGGGTGGGATTATACAAACTGACTGTATACGCTGTACAGTACTGTACACTGTACACTACAGTACAGTTCGTCGACGTCCGATCTGACAACGAACGTACTGTACATACCGAACGTCCAAAATCGAACGTCCGTTGGACGTCCAATCGCTCGACGTCTACAGCACTACTGTACAGTACTGTACTGTACAGTGTTAGGTTTTCTTTCAGCAGTCATTGGTACAGTACTGTACAGTACAGTACAGTATAGTATTGCATACTGTAAACTGTGTATAGTACTGTACTGTACACTTGTTCAGTACAGTACTGTACTGTACAGTATATTATTTCAATAAACTTTTGAACAATGAAATATTTACAGTGCATTTCTTTACGTAAAAATTCACAAAACGTGTGTCTATTAATAATTAATGAAGGGAGCTACTTGATTGGACACCGATCGCCCTATCCAGGGTATGTCGGTATTGTTATTATGGTAACTAAGAGGATCAATGAAAAAAGCAAGACCTTTATTCAGTTATTCCTAGCAAAAGGAGGAATATACCGTATTTTGTGATTATAGTCTGGTATTCTTTACGGAGATATCATTATAGTACTTTTAATAACTGTTTAAGATCCAGTAAGAGTAAAGCAGAGTTACAAATTCAATAAATTTAAGTACAAGATCGTTAAGGCTCAATCAAAAAATCCTAAAATCGATCCAGAGCGACGAACCCTATACTGAAATAACAAACTGGATATTTAAATTACTGATATTTAAATAGAATATGGGATTTTATCCTTCGAAACCGAAAATGGAGAAAAGTCCGACCGTCGAAGGAAATGGTACAAGCCAGAAAGAAACAAAAACTGTCGAATTTAACGAAAACGACAAAACAGACGATGCCGATAACGAAAACGAGTTACCTGATAACGTTATTCACGATAAGGGCCTCAGTTATCAAAGACATGACATAGTAAATAAGAGAAGTAAAAAATTAATTCGCCTTAAGGATGGAATGCCAGAGCATCCCTTGATACAAGGTCGATATATATTTGTTAAAGATCATTACGATGGCATCGATATTTTAGGAACGCAAAAAAAAATTGAAGCGCCTAATTTTCGGCAAGCTGGTTCCAATTACAACGTGTACGGATTTGGCCAACCGACTTGCGAGGGCTTAGAAAATATTTTGTATCAGTTGGTAAAATCGGGGAAAAAGGTAAAAAAGATTTAAAAATCTGATGTGATGCCTATGCATATAATTTCTTAAGAAAAAACCTATGTCGCTGTTACTATGATAATTTTAGTATTGTATTGTATAACCCGTAATGTATAAGTAGCGCATCATACCTTAGTAACCTATAGTTAAGTTATACCGTATTGTTGTTGGAGTAAATTACATATAAAAGCAGACGCATTCAGAGGTGTATATATATATATGTATATGTGACGGGTAAACAAAATATTTGTCTACGACGATGAGATGATGTATCCTTAGAAGAATTTATAAATGAGAAGCCAATTATGTTGCTAATGTAATATAATTTTTATCCTATACTTGTATCTCGTAGTTTATTGGGTTGGATAGGATTGAAGGGATCACTATCCAGTAGGGTTTTTTTTCAATGTAAACAATGAAATTATGATATTTTTTGGTATTTTATTGAGTTGCGATCGTCTTTATTTATTCTTCTAAAATTTAAATTCTCTTCTTTCATTACAGTAATTTTGTCATTTTATTTTTTTCATATTTAAATGAGTTTTGTTGCCATGGTTTCAGACTCTGTATACTGAACCAGGGACTTCTAAGAAGTCCCTGACTGAATTATACACTATACAGTGTATGGTACAGTAATAGCATACATATTAATACTAATTCTGTAACCAATACTACAGTATTTTATTTATCCGATTTTTAACAATTAATCATAGGACATTATAGTATTGAATACCAAGCAAGAGCCAGTATTGTTCGTATATGATGACATGGATTTTCGGCCGTACAGTATCAGAAAACCAGAAGACCTAGACTCAACCACCATTGATTATAATCTAAAAAGCGGTGAAGAACTGGAATGTTTAGAAACAGAAATTAAGGAAGAGGTCTTTAATGTATAATTATGAATATTAGTTCCGATAGTTGTGTATATAAAATAACAAAATTATTAAAAAGTTTAATCTTTATCAGGCGAAAATTTTAACAATTTTACGATAAATGCCGATATTAACATACATTTGATTTTTATCATTGACGGTTTACCTATTAGCATCTCAGTACTAGGATTATCGTTGTACTTTCTTTCTTACACTCAGCTTAATTTAATCTATTCTCATTTTAGGTGATTGACTATGCTACGAAAGGAGCGCTCTTCGTATCATCTGCGACAGAAAATCAGTATAAATTTTACTTTTACAATGATACGAGTAATTTAGATGCAGAGCCGCATCAATATCGGGCCGCCTATGTCGATGACTTGTGCACTACACAGGAGATTTATTGGCGGCAAATATTTTATTTAACGTCTATGAAGTAAGTAAATCTAATATTTATGCAGGATATTTCATAGCGAGTTATATTCATAAAGCCCGATACATCTGATATACTAATACTATTTACTATTTAAATTCTTATAAGGTATTTTCGTCTTCCAATACCGGAGGATTACTTCCCCGAAGAAAAGACGATTGACTCCTTCATTAATATATTTAAGGTTGGTAATTGATATGATGATAAATACAAGTCTAGGATGAGTATAACTACTATCGATTTTTAATATCTAGAATGTTTCCCGTTGGAGCCAACGAGGTGGTCACAGCCCGAGCCTTCTCTTCAGTTGTCTTGACGGGAGAGTTAGAACTACAACTGCAATGGTCCTTGGTTGCCTTATGTTGGGTCATAAGCATGGATTCCCTTCTGAAGCTATGTAAACAAATCTATTACAGATTTTCCGACTGAAATGCTAGATTTTTATTTTGTAAATTTATCATCGACAGTGGAGTATTTCAAAGCTTACAGTTTGCATGATACATTTTCTAAATTAGGCGGGATTTCGTTGTTTTAAATAAGCTTTTATGCATATGGAAATATGCAAAATTAAAACTTTGATATCTATTTGCGTAGTATATTGTACTTTGATTCTCTAAGGAATATTTTTCTTTTGCCTTGCACCTTTCAAAACTAGGAAGGACCCTGTTCCAGTCGTCGATAATGCACCAGATTATGAAAATGGAGAATACTCAATTATAAGGCAATTAATGCAGATTATGCCGAACGGACTGAAAAGAAAGCAGGAGGTATTAATCCACTCGTAGTTACTACTAATAGTTGCATCTACAGCAGTTAAGTATTTTGAGCTGTGTTACCTTATACTAGTAAGGCGGTCAATTTTCGAAGAAATTTGTCTTAAGGCTCAACTATGGAATTCTTCTATTTTATCATTACTTTATACCGTTTACAAAGGTGGACGTTATAATAGACAATTGCGCTAAAACTGATAACATCAGAGAATTGATCTTCCAATGTAAACAAAAACTGATCAGTGCGGATCCTAATGAAAGCATAAAAGTAGGAATTTTTCGTTCAATGTTTGAAAAATTTTAAGCTACGTGAAATTAAAAAATTTTTGTATGAGATATAATTCGTAAAGAAATTATTAATTGCTAAAATTTGGTCATAAAAAATGAATTAAGAATATTTCGGCAAAAAAGTACTGGCTCTTGAAAGGACGAAATTATTTAGAGAAATACTACTTGTTAATAGTTTTTAATTGCTACCTTGAGGAACAGGTTAGTAAATTCTCTATTTCTACTCGAACTAAAATATACCAAATTACATGATAAATTCTATGTCATTATGTATGAATAGAAATCAGATATTAAATCTAACCAAATATGATGTGTTATATTACAGTTCCCTCAGAATTTTCCTGTTGCTTATTCTGATTGGATAAATATTAACTCCCAATACTATCGGGTATTGAGCCATATTGATGGTATTGAACGCCACGAGATGCCTACGATACTAATTCCTGAACGACGGGTTATGGTAAGAAATATGTATCTTGTTTATTCATATCTGATAATTTATTATGATAGCTTAATTGATACCACAATATTCGCTCAATTGTCATCGGTTATATTAAACGCTTTCAATGAATATTTTATTAATCGAGGTCGAAGATGATTGCACTTCCTATGATGTACTTAGTTCTTACGTTGAGCTTGGAGTTTCAAATTTCAGAAATTTACAAGGACTTCCAGTTTATGGTATGGCACAACCAACTAAGGAGGTATTTTGGCAAAGTATATACTTAGTATTCCAAAAATATAAGATAAAAATCTGGCATTTATCTCATTTTATATTGCTTCAGGGATTAGCGCGGGTAGTTGCTATGTTGTTAGACAGAAGACATGATCATCCCAAGATTATTGCCTTTAATCTAAGGGAAGATTTAGTTATACAAGCTGATCAATCAACTTATTCTGTCAGAGAGGTGAGAGAGCATGTGTATGAGCTATATTTTAATACATTTTTAGTTTCAGTTACTAAAATACAAGTTTTTCATTTCTAACTAAAGGTGGGCAATTTGAATCAATTGTTGCTTATGAATGGGATGAGTGCTAATACAATAGAGGTGACTAGCTACATTTCTGAAATAATTTTATAGCATGCTAATGAACTTTTATTAGACGCTGTTGTGGGTTACCACATTCGAAGTTATAAGCGAATTCCTATTTGTCAGTTTTTGAATAGTAAATATTACGAAATAACTTCAGTATTAAAATTCTCACTGTGAAGGTTGTGAGTGCCTAGAACAGATTTAGTTTGAAACTAATACGATATAATATTTAACGTTACTAATAGAAAATGGAATTCAAGCTAAAACAAGAATTACTGAGCAAAAGTAAACATACCATCTATGAAAGTCCAGGCAATGGACCTAAAAAAGTAGGGTTAACAGAAATTTTGACATCCAGGGAAATTTTTGAGCAACAAATTAGAGAAACACCACAGCTCCTTTATTATAGAATGCCAATTAAGGATGAACAATCGCCTCCAGAAGAGGTGCTATACGAGTAGTAACTCTACAGCAATTATCCATTTGTAATGATAAGGTATTAAGCTTTAATCAGGATTTACCGTTGCTGATGAATATTTGTCGCTATTCCCTTAGACGTTTGACTACCTGATGTCAATTGTCAAAGATCTACCAGAAATTTATCAAGATGAAGATGGTCCTGCTTTCATTTTCCACTGCTTAGATGGAAAAAGTCGTACAACGATCTGTATGGCAATTGTTGGTTTAATTTGGTGTAATAAAAGGGTAAATAGATTTCAGAGGAAGTGTTTAGTCAAAAACATGTTTGTAAAGATTAGAATATCCGTATCATGCTATAGGGCTTTCCGACAGGCACAAGACCAGGAGAGCAAGAACCTGCATGTGTACCTAATGCTAAATACACATGTGGAGAATTTGCGGTAGCTGAGATTAATTTCTTCATATTTTAAGATCATCGACGATAGCTATTAATTAAGTACTATGTTTTGAATTAGGTTGTTAGAAAATTAGTCAGAATTTTACCAAATGGACACCAAATGAAGAGAGAAGTAGATTACATATTAGATAAAATGTCGGAAACAATGACACCCATGCATTATCATATCAGAGAAGTCATTTTTTCATACTACAATAAGGTGCGGTAATTACTTGACGTAATTGCATTTGTTTTAATCTTTTGTTATCTTATTGGGATTTAATAAACCATCGGTGATTCATTACTTGTTAGTCTTACACCGTAACTACAATATAATCAGAAATTTGTCACATTTATTTCAAATCTTTATGATAGAAAGCTCACTAACTAGTTGTTTTACCAGAGCATTGCAATAAATGACGGTGAAAAAAGGCTTAAGCTCCGGCAACAGTGCTTAAATTATTTCGAAAGATATATCTATCTCTTGCTTTTTAATACATACCTGCACACGGATAGATCTAATAACTGGGAAAGATCATTTCGAAGGTACGGATGTACTGTCATTTATATTTTACACTTATGTATTAGAAAGTTATTAGTATGTAATTTACATTGCATAATAAATCTTGAGTATAATGGAAATGATTTAGTAGATATGATAAGGTCGAGCATTCAATGCATTCAGCTCAATATGTGCTTACGTTTTAACCACTGCTAGATGGATGGTTGAAGTTGCTGCTCCTGCTGGTGTCGCTAGGATTTTGAATAACCTGTATTTTGCTGACTTTGAGGAACCATATGAAGAAGATAAGCTTCGGATGCAAAGATGGCGCTGGAGGAATCTTTTACCAGATAATAACAGTCAAATAGAAGATTTATTATAGATTCTATACGTAGTTTATAGTTATGCGTTATTTGTAGAGGTATTAAGCACTAGACTTTATTACCTCATAACTTCGCAAGCTACGGCTTCTTTGTATTAACTAAACTGTAAGATGAGTATGTATTGTAAATATTGTATCCCAAAATATCTGGTATATGTTGCACTCCGTCTGCACAAGGAAAATATAATTACCATGCTTACTGTAAGTTTATTTTCGTGATGGCTTTATTAGAAACTTATTAAATATTTCATTCTGTAAATTAAAACTTTAGAACAAAGTATTACAGCTAATAATAAGATGCTGCAGTACGGAGGTTGCCTAATAACACATATTTAAAGACTCTCTACCTTTACTGTATATGGTTCAAGTTATTATACATCATGGAAATATGCTTTCATTTAACCTTAAGTGTCATCGATATTGGGCGACAAAGTTATAAATTGGATTGCGAATATTTCGTTGATCTTGATTTATGACATAATTTACCTTGCGAGTATGATATTACACAAGAACAAAAAGAAATACATTTTACTTGTATGTAATACTACTGTAGTGTAGCATTGATCATACCTCATCAGTAATGTTAAACGTTGTTGTATTTGTGTTAGCTAATAGCAATAAGGTGATATATTTGTTGACGATTTTGACAGTCTTGTTACTCTCGCTACTTATCTCTATGGTTTTGACTACTCTTAAAAATTAGTTACAGCTTTCTTCAATTTAAAGCCGTATAGTACCCAGTATTGACATGATTACTTGACGTCTTCGATAATGTATTACAATGTGTGGAATCATTAACTTACTAAGCCACAATTTAACATAGATTATAAATGGATAAATTTAACTAAATTCATTCTAAGAGCAATTCTTAGATAATATGATAGCATTATGAATGAAATAACCGATTTTAATTCGCCTCACATAGATCCTACAACTTAGCAGTAATAATAACGTCAATGTACTAGGACGGTACAACGACAAAGGAATATTAATATTCCGATAGTACACGAAATGTAATATTAAGATTTTAATTAAAAAGAATGATGACCATAACATGAAATCACATGCTAAACTTTACTGAGTTCTCTGAATTTGAACGTAATACTCTCTTTTCGTGCAAGTGTATACAGCTTGCTTGACCTCTCACAAATACACGCTGATACAACAAAAATAAGCATGTAACAATAAAGAACCAGCACTACCAAATGCTATGAGAGTATATTATGTAAGGTACAAGGAAATTGTTGGGCTCTGTACTTTCAAGAGGTCACAAATTTATCATCATTTCTTTACCTAGAATTGGTAAATTCTAACAATTTATATAATAGTAAATAGTAACAGTATTTCTACTACACCGATAGCCAGGCACAGTATCCACTGCACCGTATGCAACATTACTTAGCGCAATCATATCGCAAAATAATGTTGTTTTTTAATCAATCAACAATATGATGTAATCGTTTGTTTAAATTGAAGTTTTAAAAAGTTAATAGTCGATTAGAACTTATTTCACGTTTTAGAAAGTCACACTCAATTCCGTGAGCTGAAAATAAGCCTTTAAAATTTCGAGTACGTATTGCTACAGAATTACTACACCGCATATTGATAGAACGGTCACGTTAAACTCTTAAATCATGAAGTTGTACAATTAATAGTGGATAACTAAGTACTATAGTTAAGAAACTGAATTTTGACCTAAATACTTATTTTCTAAAAATAAATTGTTTCAGGTAAACATGGTCGTTTTAAAATTCTTATCTTTCGTGAGATTAGCATATTCTTTTCAAAAATCAATAGCTATTTTCTTGCTGAAATTAGAATCTATAGCATTCGCTTTAAAGATAAATCTCTTAATCCTGTAAAAACGCTAGAAGCTCTGATCCCATCCAGAGTCATCTTCCAGAACGTCATCTTCATCTGGCGGATAATCGTCGAAATTACCTCCATCGAACGGACTACGAATCTTGATTGCACCCAAGTATTATTAGTTATGTTAATATGTAAAATTTAGTGTCTTTATTCGTTTAAAGTGTTATTAAGAATAAGGAGATTCAAATACCTTCGGCTTGTAAGGGGGGTCAAGTGTTCTACTGCGTAGGCCTATCCAGTTAAATCCATCGAACCACCTTTGGATAAAAGGAAACAGAAAACGGATGATAGTAAGGGATAATATCTGTTAGTCTAGAATTGTTTAATTCATCATACTTGTGCTTCATAATGTCCTTTAAACCATTCTTTTGATACCCAAGACGATCATTGGGATTCTCACTGTTGAAATACCGTCAACTTAAGCTAGATATTATCCAGGAAGTATTTTACTAAAATAATTTACCGGCATAACTTTTTAATCAGGTTTTGAGCTTGTTTTGATATTCTATTTCTGGGAAAATCTATGGCGTCCATCCCTTTTAGGATAAGGTTATATATTTGCATAGGATCGGATCCAGTAAACGGAGGACTGTATTGTAAGTTATAGCTATGTTACTTTAAAGCTTTGAAACAAACGTGATGCTAAATTATTACGGATGTATTATTATTAAAGTTTTCAGGTATTGTACTACCTTCCAGTAAGTAACTCGTAAATTAAGATCCCAAGTGACCAATAGTCTGCGGAAAAATCATGTCCACGATTGAGAATTATTTCGGGTGCTACGTATTCTGGTGTTCCACAAAAAGTCCAAGTTTTATACCCGAAACCAATCCTCTTAGCGAATCCAAAATCAACCTAGTAAATCGTGAAAAGAGGATATTCGATATCTCTATGTTAGGTGTCCTGATAACAGAATTTTAAAGGATATTTTACGAGATCTCCTATACGCTTAAATTTACCAGTTTAGCATATCCTCGTGAGTCAACTAACAGGTTCTCAGGCTTGAAGATCAAAATCAAAATCAATGTTACGTGGTTAAAATTAACGGTCTTATACAGGAATATCACATAGATACTAATAAACTATGATATCATTGATTATAGAAATAAGATCGACTACTATACGTTATATAGCAAATGCATCACCTTTAAGTCACGATAAATGATTCCGTTATTATGTAAATAACTAAAAGCTTCCACAACGCAACCAGTATAAAAACGAGTAACTTTATCGTCAAAATGACCCCTTGGGCTAGAATTAAAGTGAATATTACAACAATAAATATCTGGATTATCAACCAAATTTACTATGTGATTTTACGATACCTGTCTCTTAAAATAGTCCACAATTCACCTCCTAGGCAGGCTTCAAGTAACATATACAAATATCTCGTATCTTTGAAAGTCTTGTAGAGTCTACATGAAGAAAATTGATATTATATGATGTCTCAAGATGAATTATATTTGGATCGAAGCCACATATTTTAAAATTTTTATTAGGTTTACTTGACAATAAAAGGACAATTGGCTTCCAATAATATTTTTTTCTCAGACATTATATGCTCTTCTTGGCGAGTTTCTACAATATGTCGCTTTTTCAATATTTTCAAGGCATAAGAGACACTACTGTCTTGCTTCACCTTAACCTTCGTTTTATAAATGAATTTGTAAACTACTATCAACACTCGTGAAATGCGAAACTAGAGGAAAATTATTGATACATTATGGTAATTTAATAAGTATTTCTACCAGTTCGACACGACCAAATCCTCCTACACCAAGGGTTTTTAGTAACTCCATATCTTCTAACTTAAGGTTACTAAATTTAAGTTGATCTTTTGTACCGTTTCTAAAAATATAGATTGTAAGCTATAGCACTTAAATAATATTAAGCGCTTGATTGCGATCGTAATCCAGAAAGAAAATCATACTCCGAAGATTCTGAATGACTGGGATATTTCGCTTTAAATAATTCTTCTCGGTGTCCAACGGATTTGATATGTCCTATTAAGCTAACGAAAGATCTGTAGGATAAAATAACAGATCATGAAATCACCTTAAGCTCGCCATTAGACCGGGTACTACAATAATGAAATCTTAAGATTTTTAAATATTTCATACTCTCTATCAACAACTAGACAGGTTACTTCCTCATCCATCGCAATCACATTTGCTGAACGCTTTTCTTCTCTATGGGCAGAGCGTTGTTTAGCTTACATTAAGGTGACTATAATTATGCATTTATTAAACAGTTATCTGTATTCTTACTCAAGGAGGGCTTTTTCACCAAAAGAGTCCTTTTCTTGGAGGATTCTTATGAATTGCTCACCTTCCTTTGTAGTTTTTGTAACTTTAACCTACAAAACGAGAAGGGCCAAATTAATTCTAATATGCATTTGCTTATATTGCACCAATATTCAATTTTATAGGATTACTGAAATTTAGAATAGCTTCATTAACAGTACTACCAGAGGATTAATGTAATGACAGTTAACTTGACAGTACTTAAGGCCATATCGCAAAGTATAAAATTTGTTACAGTTGGTCTACATCAAAGATTCAAAGAACACTCATTGAAATATCCATACCCGGCCGTAGCTAATAATATAAAACGTGTCACCATGAGCACCTTCACGGATGACGTATTCATCTTTTCTAAACTTGGCCTATTTAAGTATACAACATGAAAATACGTGAATATAGGGATACGGTCACAAGATACGAGCATGTTTTAATTTAAAGCTTAAAAGCAGTGATATTTTAGGGGTGGCGAATCTAAAGTTCAAGCAATTGCAGAATAATGGTTGCTAAATGGTGCGGGATTAAATTTTCATGTCTTGCTGTTCGGTTATTTACACTTATTCACAACTCGTGTACATAGGTTTCGATACACCATAATCGTCTAGGACTTAACAACATTGTCTAAGTGACATGAATTCTCAAAAAGCTACCTCTTCCAAAACATTAGCTAATTTCGAGATGATATCTTCCGGTAAACTTTCAAAAATTGGCACCCTATTAAGAAGTTAAGTCATTATCTGACTAGACTTAGCATCTTAAATTAAAAGTACTAAGGACTATTTAGGTCTCCCTTTAGTGGTCCATGAAGGTACATGACAAGTACAACGAAAAATACTGATATAAGCCTACATCACAAAAGTGTGAGTGGACACCTGAACCGGTATATACATAAGTTTCTAACCGTAACCATAATATGCTCTAGTAACTTTAATGCGGTATACCCTTTAAGGAAAGTCATATGTTGATGATGCTTATCGATACCAATTCTCATCATAATACTTTGGAAACTTGCCCGATCCAATAGCCACAATTTCGTATCAGTAATTGCTGCAAGTCCAAACAAAGTATTAAAATAAGATATTCTACTCTAAGTGTTTTAGCTCACTCACAAACATTCGTTAATTTAATACTGTAAGGATACTAATACATGCCTTTTACAGTAGCTGTTCGCTTGCAGTTATAGAGAATGGCAAGCTCTCCAAACACTGTCCTAGATTTCATGTAGCTCAGGATTTTACCTTCCTTGGTAACTTCAACCTCACCATCTATTATGAAATTTACACGTCATACTCGTTTAAAGTCATCATAAAGTTCTTCCTAATATTCAGTTATTGTGCGGTAATGTATATATATATATACTGTACAATGCACTGCACAGTAATAAAGTAAATCTTAAGCATTACTATGATAGGTGAATTAGAAGCGCAAACGTGATACAATTCCTCATAAACAGTAACATATTTTAAGGAGTTGAACAGGATAGTTTAGAGTTACTTCGCATTTATTAATGTTGAGTAGCTTACCTTCGATAACATACAAATGATTTCCAGATTCTCCTTCCTTAATTATGTAATGGTCCTGCTTATAATCATAAGGATACATACAACTTACAATTTCTCCAACTTGCGCTTCATCGAGATTTCTTAGGAAGTCATTACTTAGAATTGCAGCTTTAATTAACTCTTTCGATCTGTTATAATATGACATAAGTGGGATTGAACTAAGAGCCGTTGTCTTGTACGGATCATTTCGAGATATCAAAGAGACTCAATAAGATCCCCATGTTCTTTGTGCAATTTAAAGGTAGGATATTGGGAGTATATGAAACAAACCTTTGATTCTTTTCATAAGTTTTTAAGCCATCTAACTTTATTTGCGAAATCCTGCTAACCCTCTGTGGTTCTGCAGATATTCCTAAACGGTGGACTTTCTGTGTTATGCTAGGTATCATGACTAGAATAAAGGATGTAATTGCTTAATCACAGATAACTTATAATTTAGAACTTAACGCAATAGAATTCTAATCAGATTTTGTGCGTTTTCATTCATAACATATGCCAAAATTCAGTTCTACATTTCTAAAATAGATTGAGAACTCTAATTGAGATGACTTAGATATGTAGGCTTACAGTATAAGATGTGCTGTATGCTGACTAGAAATCTGGGAGGTACGCAATAGTAAACATGATATGTATAATGGCACGCGTATATTGTTCCGTTAGTAGTGAAAAGGGTATAATGTGGTGTAAACTATGCATAGTGTATATGGTGTTTTCTTTATCTTTTATTACTTACAGTTAGAAAATGCAGTACAGTACAGTATATCAATCAAGTTATAAGCGTATAATAAATATTATAATGATAGTATAGATTTGTTCGTACAGTTTTATGCTACCGTGTTCACGACCTTGAAGGCTAGCACAGCAGCACTTGAATGCAACCACGTTTCCGTTTTAAAATCGGATACTGTAGACACTGAATGTAATACTAAAGTATAGTTATTAGCTACTGTAGCACTACATCATGACTACTACATACTATATATGCTTTACCGTGAGCAGGTCTAGCTGGCAATAAAAGTGCAGACAATACCTATACTTTACATTTCTAGATACGACGTAATGTAGTTTTTAAATGTACGAATATACAGAAGGCAGAAATTCACATGAATTCCTGAAGTTAACGGAACAACGATCTTTATCGCTACAAGATTTAGTAGTTCGTTTCGGTTACATAAAAGGGAAAGCCTACATCTACACCTTATATAAAACAGTAAACAATAATAGTACAGTATAAGAGTACATAATAAAAATTAAAATTATTAATATAATTACCTTGTCCCTTGTATCAAGCATTATATTGTTAAAATCATTGATAGTTCCTTAATGACTCTCAACGTACAGTTGTAAAGAGCAACGTGTACGCACTCCATCCCTTCATAACTAATGGATAATTTTTTTTACTTCATTATATCTGAATAATCCGATGCAATTTATGAAATACTGTAAGTAAGTCATGTTGTGTTCGTAGAGCACCAGTTCGTATATTATTCTGTACAATGCATTGTGCACTCACTTAGTTCAGTGCATTGATTTATGATATTGACGCCTAGATTGCGTTTTCATGTTGCTTACTTAGGAACGTTATGTATTTTATACAAGCAAAAATCGCTGGCTGAAGGCCTAAAACATGATGGCGTGCAGTAAAGTACTACTAGTACATCATGTTTTAATTAATATTAAGCCGTCAGATGTACTGTACACGTGTACTAGTATTAACTGAGGACAAGCGTAATGATGTAGTTAACCTAAAATATACAGTGGTTGCATTGTGGTGTGTAAAGTTTTGTGGTCACACAGTAATTAATTAATTAATTAAATATCAATCTTACCATCTTGGAATTTGTTGAGCTTTATCCTGAGCTGCCTATTTTCCTCTTCATATTCTACTAAACGTTTTTCTAATATCCTTATTCGCGTGTCTTTTCTTTCTATTTTTTCGCGCAAACTACGCAGAGTTGAATTGAGGTCTTGCATATCAGGCGCTATGGCAGCCATGATAATTAATTGCTAAGTTATAAGTGGGTACTGTACTGCCGAATGGTGTGTGTAGCACTTGCAGCATGGCAACTGACTCATGAATAACCACAGTACTGTACAGTACAGTACACTGTACAGTGGAGTAGTCACTGTCAATGCGATACAGTATCAGTACAGTAGTGTACTGTAACCCCTTAGTTCAGTACAGTACCGTACAGTATGTAAAAATATTGAATACAGTACTGTACTGTACTGTACAGTCTAGAGCTGTGCTAGAACCCACGGACTACAGTACTAAATAAAAAGAAAGAAAGAAAGAGACGGGAAAGGAAACGCCCGTCAGAGCCAAATATTGTACTGTACAGTAACATACTGTAGTACTGTACTGTGTAACATTTGACGGATACGACGGTGACGGCAATGGATAACATTTCCTTTTACGGTGACGGAACTCATTTTGCCCACTTTTGACACTATATGTACAGTACAGTAGATCATTGCGTAGATTCGTGTAGTAGTCCATGGACGTTAAGAATTACTAGACTTGAGCCTGACAATCAAGGCTCTATAGTACAGTATTTAAGAGGTCGGGAAATTGAGTACTGTGTTATACAAAGATGAGCTAAAATCAAATCAAGTTATATTATTAACTTAAAATCGTATTATGTTCCAAGAGTTTCGCTAGTCTATTTTGTATACTTATAAAACGGATACAGTTAAAAATTTTCGGCGTCCATTCAGATGTGATATTACCGAACTTAATATATACTCACACACGTACATATTGACGATTCTCCATTACCCTGAACCTGATTCTGTATAAGGAAAGCAACTTATTGTTCTTCGTAGAGCAATAGCATACATACATACAGTCATGTAACTATTTCTAGAAGATAATATTGTGTAATTTACGAATCGATTTCATTTTGATCAATCCGCGATATGTACCGAGCAAACATAATGTAATACTGGTAGCTACCGCACAGTCTATTACGCTTAATATTATTTTTAAATTAAATTATTTACTGTCAATATCTTGCACGATATTAATAAACCTTTACATGAGTACGTTACACTACCCGCATGCACAAAAAATGAACAGACGTTCTGGTACCTCTGCTCCAAAAATGTCAATCATTGCACTTATGAAAAGCATACTGTATTCCCTTCTCTCTATCAATCGTACCGAACGAAATAATATTGTGTGCTGGTAATACAGTATACTGTAGTATATGGATTTCGAGTACAAAAGATTAGACCGGTTATTGTTGAATGTTAACTACATACAGTGCAAACACTCTTACAATTCTAAAATTACTGCAGGAACTAGCTATAGACTTAGATGGAGAACATAATCTCTTCCTATCTATAAAAGGCAAGAATTACTACGGCATATTGGCAATGAAATACGAACTTCCGTAACTATTTATAGATTAAATTACTACTTAGGACATGAACTGCGAGAGTCAAATATGACAGCGCTGTGCTTCAATTTTGAAAGCACAATTAATTAATCATGTCATTAACGCAACTAAAAGAATCAATCGTATAATTAAGGTTACAGTACCATTAGCAGGTAGGAGCTTTACATGCATGTAATTCCTAGTGACAACCCAGCAACCATAGTAAATTTTGTATACACTAGTAAACTGGATAAAGTTTATTATGAAAGTGTTACCTAAGCACTTTAGCAATTATAACAAATTACTGATATTATCGCGAATAAGCCAACCACAACATTCCTTAAACACTAGTCAAATGCACAAATATGTAAGTTTCGTGACAGTATAGTAAAGAAGCGCGTATAATTTTGGAGCTACGATAATATCGTTTAAAGAGATACATCAAGTCCAAGACCTAGTTTATGACCAGCTTGATTAAGGTTTTTAGCATCAATCAACGCTGAAAGAGTTAATTTCACACCATCACGAAGTTGCTGAGTATAGCCCAACCCTACATGACTATCATTGCTGATTCGCATCTGTTAAAAATTAGATTTCAATTATTTTTCAGTAATGTTGGGAAGTCCAAGTACAAAATCAAAAGTACGGAGGAATCTCACTAGTGAGAGGTAAGATATATAAAACATACCTTAACAGATGAATCTGAATCCAATACATATTTTCCTCCAATTGCAAATTTTGTTGCAGCAGTACCCGCAGTCCATCCAAGATTTGCAGCACACTCGATTTTATCACTAACTTTTTGATAATACGAAGTTGAAAAATCCACATTGTCACTTACAGATGAGTGCAAAACAAAGTCATCTGTTTTGTAAGCAATCCCAAGTTTGTTGTTAACTAAACGGGACTTGGAAGTATCATAAGCTGCATAGCCTCCAAGAAGCCAACCTTTATAACTAGCCAATTAAATAATAATATTTAGTAACATTATATATCATCTAATATGTAATAAAAGCAGTACCCAACAACCGCAGAACTGTATAAAGTTGGACCGGTGAAATCGAAGTCGATGTCAGTTGTTCCGCTGAAATTGTCCTGCTTGTAAGATGTTTTAATCTTCGCGGCTTTTTTGCTAAGAATTTTTAATAAATTAATGTTTTTAATTTCGCAATAAAGTGATCAATGCAGGAACACGAATAAATTTTATCTCGCTAACCTAGTATTTGGAGCAAACATTGTATCAAATGTTAATTTGAACCCGTTGGCAATCTGTTACATAACCAAAATCGTACTATAATTTAACGCTTTGAATATATCTCGACTAGCATAATAAAGGCTCTCCCTAAAATATGGTATGTTAAAGTAGCACGACAGCTAACCTGATCCTCAATAGTAATCTCAGCAGTCAAAATATTTTCACTACTCCATTTTTCTTTGAAAGTTAACCCTAGTTATCAGGCATAGGGGTGGTAGAATGTAACATATCAAAATTGTCAACACTATAAAGTGCAAGCATTCTTACTTTTCAGGAATTAGAAAATCTTAATGAAAGCTACCGCAATGCTTACCATAATCAGAATTTTTATACGTGGTTTCCAAACTTCCGGAAACCTTTCCAGCATCATTGCTAGATACTCCACTACTAAACTCCTTTGAAGAATGTGGTACATAAATCAGATAAAACATTTGCAATAACCCTTTTCATTATTAAAAGCTAAGAAGACGGTGTTAATCAAATTAAAATACTCTCATTAACGTATCACAAATTCTGGAATCCGTATGTAGTAATCTAATATTTCTAGTTTTATTTGACTTACGACACCATTTGTAGCTTTAGTAGCCACATCAAGCTTTACGCTACCGAATCCTATGTTAAATAAGACAACATATTTATCTCAATGTCGTAAAAGCTTAATCCATGTTAATTTACTGTAGCAAGATATGTCGTCGAAAGCGGCAGTCTAGTGCTTAAAGGTTCGATGACTACGGTGCAGTATTTTTAAAATAATAACAATAATAATAACTTTAAGTACAATACAGGATAGCGGTATATAACTTATTGTGACTCTATTGCGCTACAATTAGTGTTGAATGCAGGAGCGTAATAGAGATTATTACTCCTTACCAAATCCTTTACTGAAGATATCACGCGCTTCTTTGCCCAAATCGGCGAACAAAGGAGGGGCCATGCTACGCAGAAAGATACAGAACCCAGAAGTTAGTTGTTGCAGATCTCTAAATTTTACGTAGCCGTTAAATATGTAGATCTATCTTGCAAATTATACATTAGTGTACTGTACTGTAGTACGTAAAGAATGTAAAGCTATCGGACATGCAGTGTAAAACAGCAACGAAACAGATGCGACAAACAACCGTTAAAAGAAAGAATACACGTGCACTATAGTCTTTGGCCATATTGATGGAATCGAGTTGATGAATAATAATTCACATTCAATATAGGTTCTTATTATAGCGTAATGTAATTAAAGATTTGATAATACCTTACTGAAAAATTTCGGTTGTAATGCTGTGCTCAAAGCAAAGATCAAATAAAGGACGAACTGCTACCTTGCGGTGATGGCGATAGCAATAATGATGAGAAAGAAAGATAATTCTGTGTACAGATACAGTACAGGACACGTACAGTACTGTACTGTACTGTAGTACTGTAACAGTACAGTACAGTACATGTACTGTATGGTATGATACTGTAATACTGTACTGAACAGTACTGTACTGTCACTCGGAAGTCAGTAGCCAGTAGTCAGGACTCAGTAGTATTTACTGTACTGTACTGTACAATACAGTACACCTCGCTGAAACAGTCATACGCAACCATGATCACGTAGTAAGAAAGATGCTAGGGACCTCTAAATCCGAGAATTTTCTCTTAGAAGTCCCAGACCATAGCCATGGACTACTAATTATAGTAGTCCATGCAGTAGCCCATAGGGCATAACAGATCGATAGTAAAAACAATACGCACCTTAGTTTGGTTACTGTGCTGTGATGTGTAGGGCCACCATACTGTACTGTACAGTTAGGTATACCGTACAGTGTACTGTACTGTATTGTGTACACTCTCTAAGAATTTCTAGTGCACTGTACAGTACAGTACAGTACGATGAATTTAGTGCAAAACAAATGGGAGAATGGTACTGTACTGTACAGTCTGGTACTGAAAAGATCCTGAAACAGATCTTTAGTGATAACAAGGCGTAGTCTCTTCCTAAACTCTAAAATAATAAGCCATGAATAAACTAACTAACTGTAAATCAGGGACTTTTAAAAATCTTTAATAGAAGTCTTGGTGTAAATACTGTAACAAGAATCATTTTTTTGCAGATTGTTACCAACGACATCGACATCTTGCATCCGTGATTACAGACTTACAGTACGTCGTACAGACTGCACTGTACTCAGCGTACTGTACTGTACAGTATACAGTACAGTATTAATTTTTGCGCGCTTAAATTAACACTACAGTACAGTACTGTACAGTACTATAGAGTGTACAGTACAGTAGGTGACTATCATACAGTACAGTACTGTACTGTACTTCCTTATCAGTTTGGGGCAAATTAGAGATAGTAACTGCTAGCTGTTTTAGGTTAAATTTGGATCAGCGTTTAACCCTGTTTAAATCAAAGCCTATCAGTTGAAGCCTTGAAGGGATAATTATCGACAAGTTAAGAGGTGTGAACTGCAGTATCTTTTACTTATAGTTAAATACAGTACTGTACAGTACATTATTTGGAGAACCTCCATTTATTTATTCATTCCATTTTACAGTATTATGTGGCACCACATTTTACGAGTATACCCGTGGATCTGTTTGATAAAGTTAAGTGTGTACGAAATAAAACATGAATAAAACATGAACAATTACGAACGGACAAAAACTCACGGATACAATCAGGAGCAACTCGATATACTGTATTGTACTGCACTGTACTGTACACTGTACAGTATATTTTTCCCCTTGAGTTGTCCCGATATACTGTATACCAGACTATCAATACAGTAGTTGTCTGGGACTACTAAAATTCACACAGTACAGTACTATACAGTATACAGTGCAGTATTCTAGAGGTAGGGAGCCAGTAACAGCTTGTTGCACAGTACTGTACTGTACGTGCGTAGGTACTGTAGATACTGCAAGTTCTAGCTTCTATGCTCGAGGTAATGGCAAACACTGATCATAATATAATTTCTCACATTGAAATCAAAATGACGGATGATGTAACTGAAACTCAGGCAATTACAAGCCCAGTAATGGCAACGCAAGAAGATGATTCTGGTATCTCTGGTAATCTTTAGAATAGAGTAGCTCGTAGTTTTCAACTTTTAAATTTAATTGCATCCACGTTAACTTGGAGTTGCAGCTACAAACACAGTAATCTGATTAAAATCATTTACGGTATACAGTACTGTACAGTACTCGTACACTATCGTTTGAAAAGTTTAGTAAGTTTGGATTATACGCGATTATCCAGTCATTTAGCGTTTAAAAGTACAGTATACGTACAATAAGAGTACTAACATTTTTGGGGTATTTACTGAACAGTTAAAGTTATACGTTTTTAGTTTTACTAAGTGTAATCAAAATTTTCGTTTATTCGAAACACAGTCTGAAAATGCAAATACAGTAGATTATATAATTTGCATACGTGATTTGTAGAGGGTTTTCAATGCGACTGATTGGAAAGTTTCAACGGTTTCAGATGTGCTTATTGCACTGACTCAAACTTGATGTTCGCACTTCATCATATTTCCAAATTTATTTATAACTGAATTACTGTGGAGCTCTAGAACCCGAAGATTCACGATATTGTGCAATGTGCATATTACACAATTAAGAGCTAAGGAAAATATTCTAGCATGTTCTACGAGTATCTATCCGTCAATTAAAATCAGAGTGAAATAGTTTTCCTTTTCCGAAGAATAGTAGAGTAGCCTATAGTCTCTAGTATGCTTAGATTTTCCTAAAGAAAATTACTTTTTCGATATTCAAGATGATCAGCTATCACAGTACTAGGAGTTGTATTTGAAGTACTAATGCAAACTTTACTTATGGAGCCATATCATCTTTTGACGATTAGGACTGTGAAGAATATGTTGCCATGCATATCAATATTATACATTCTAATTTACTACCGTAATTTTTATTCGTATTAATCATATCTCATACATTGCTCAAGAAAGTTTTGTAATTTCTTCTATTCTCAAGAAAAAAGTAAAATTTTGTCCAACGTCAAGACAGAAATTAACATTACGGCAGCTAATGTAAGTACAATACTTTGTTCATCTTCTGGAACGAAATGCTTCCGTATTGCACGAATTTTAGCAGATTGTAATACTATACTCAATACGGAGCTACAAACTAAAAGTTGTAATATACTAATGTTAGATACTATATATTTATTATTTTTATTATGTACAGTTAGGGGAGTACTTAGTAGTGCGTACTTTCTGTATCAGTACATTATAATAAGACGTTCCGAAAGTCTATGTGACGTCATATCCGTATACTGTATACACCTCAGAATGCACTAACAAGATGCCATATCAAATACCGTATAGGCAAAAGTCAGTGCTAAAGATGTTAAAAAATTTTGCTTTAATATCATTAGGCGTCTAAGACAAAAGTACCGGCAGCAGTCTCAACCGAAAGAGAGCCTGGAAACAGCTTATCAACTGGACAACATCGGCCTCGTCTTTTGATGCCTGCTGGCGTACCTACACAGCTTGGACAGATTATCACTAAGGATGGTGTGGTACAATTTGTTGTTCAGCAGCAATGTTTTAATCAGGTGTGTGATACGAAATATTTATGTTGGTATAGCTAGTTATGACTAATGTTTCATTCTCATCTGCTATACTTTCTAGCTTCCATCGATAAGTTCCGGAAAGTCATTCTCCTTAACAGCCATTCCAGTTTCAGCTGGAACTGTCACACTTAGTTCGGAAGCAATACCTAACAAGTAGGATTTAATTTACTTTTCATGCGACAACTGCTAATCGTATTTTTATTATTCTATAACTCTTTTCAAATCTAAACTCGCTTGTTATCAATTTGTCATCGATGAAGGACAGCGCCATTTCAGGATCAAAAAAATTACCAACGAAAGCCTTGCAACTGTTCAAAATCCTTATGTTTAAAACTGTGAGAATTATACCTTTAGACAACCTTAAAATAAAGAAATTTTAAAACTAAAATTAACTTTTGATTGCCCATGAAACAGTTATTGCGAATGTTTTGCTAATGGAGAATTTTGCAAGAATTGTAACTGTACGAATTGTCATAATAATATAGAACATGAAAATGAAAGGAGTAGAGCTATTAAGGTTGGGATATTATGTTATGAGATCTTGTACTGTATCACGTTTATCTCCAATCGCAGTAGAGGGCATACTGTAGTAGCTTACAATTTGGGGACCTAACAAGATGATCATACAATTAATGTGTTTCAATGTTGTGACGCCTATTGTAGGCTTGTTTGGAAAGAAATCCACATGCCTTTCGACCAAAAATTGGCAAAGCAAAAGTATACTCATTACCGATTGTATGAAATTAAATGCGAAAATTGATCCAAAACACTTTTATTTGTAGGAAGGAAATGAAAGACGCCATAGCAAAGGATGCAATTGCAAACGATCTGGATGTTTAAAGAACTATTGTGAATGCTACGAGGTACGATGTAAAAATTAATATCTCGAAGTACGGTGTGATAAGGGTTCAAATTAGCAATTTGATGATATTCATGCATCCTAAACATTGCATAGGCCAAAATTCCATGTACAGTTTTGTGTAAATGTACTAACTGCAAGAATCGTGAAGACTGCCTCGAACGAAAAAATCTTATGCAGCTTGCCGATGCCGCAGGTATTCTCACTTTTCCAGAATTTTTTTGAAGGTTTCTTTTTGCGTTATAGTGCAGCAACAACTACTTCACTACAATGTACTCATGAATTATATCGAAGGATACCCTTCTTATTTCAGATATAAGGGTAAAGCAGCAAACTGCTGCCAAATCGAAACTTTCTACTCAAATTGATGATTTATCTGCAAGCATATCTGCAAAAAATGATGGTAGCAGGTACTGGTGTGAATTTTGAATGATAATGAAAACATTGAACACGCTATATTATCGAATTTATCTAACTAAATTACTGTGCTGCATACATCTTTAGTTTTAAAAGTTTTTGCACATTTACATATAGATTGCCACTAAACTTTATTAGCGCCGAAGTTATTAAAGCGACCTGCAATTGCTTACTAAAACAGGCTCAGGAATCAGAAAAAGTATTGCCCAGTATATATATATATGTGTATCACATATAGACATATACTCATGACCCTTCTTTTAATACATGACAATAATAAGTTAAATAGAGTATCTTCCATTGCTGAAAAGACAATCCTCGAAGAATTTGGGCAGTGTTTGAGAAAAATTATACAGACTGCCAACAGAACCAAAGGTTGTACCTATAATTAATCGACATCAGTACTACTATTATACCAAACTCACACGATATTACTTTTTATCACGTATAGAGATTCACTAGATGGAATTTGAGATTAATCAATATCTAACCCAATCCTGTGTTACCCTTGGCTAAGGCATGGGATTACATTTTAAAATGTTCTCTAATTTAGGCATCTTAACTCAAGATGCGATTGCTAGGAGTAGCATAAAAAATGTAACTATAAGATGTTGGTAAAATATTACATGAAGTATCCTCCAACCTACGCTTTATTTCTTTAGGTCATTCATGCGGTAAATATTTAAGTAATATTGTTCAGAGAATGCCTCAACCAGAAATTATAATTATTATCAATCGGAGTTACTTTTCTACTGGAGCATTTTATTATATAGGTATAATGTAAAATTTTTATATATATTATTGCTTTCAAGTACCCCTTATTACTTTTTAGCAAAGATAATCAACAAGTTGATATCCTTTGCCTCACTGAAAATGGAACCAAACTTCAATAAAGTAGCAAATTTCTTGAACCGAAATTGATTTTTGTATCTTTCCAGAATATGGAATGTGCTATTTGCATAATACCAATTAGATCACATAATGTTTAGATTTATGATCATTCATACGGCTTATACTATTGCTCTTAATGTTTTTGATTTAAATATCAAAGATTCCATCATATGTCATTTCGCTAAATTGCGCCAAGCTCGCCCGTGATACATACATTCTTGATAACCCAAATTATCTTTAGATCTTATAACTCAGTGAACTTTATTTCCTGTAGATGTCTTAATCTGGTAATTAGGCAATAGTTTGTATTTTATTTTTACGCTGCTTCAGTTGCAACTATGCAACGCATACAACCAATTTCTATTCCAATTTGTTTACCCTCTCAATCGTGTCCTTATTATTTCGTAAGTACAGTAGTATGATTTGCCATCCTGTTCACGACGCCAATTATTATGTTCGTGGTAAACGGTGTAGGTTCAATTGAGAATCGTTTATTAACAAATTTATGAAGGTATTTATACATTTGCTAGATTACTTCACTTATGGTTTAGCTAAATGATTATCCATATAAGATTAGCTTAAACTGATAATTACATAATTAGAACGTTAATCATTTTGAACTGTAATTCTACAGTACGACTTTTAATCATTCTATATACTGTACAGTATGCTGTATATGTGATTGCTCTATATATAACACTTATTATACAGTACGTGTACACTGTACAGTACAGTATGCACGTACGATATGTTAGTAGAATATTCCGTTCGTGATACTTCGCGTAAATGCGCCGTTGTTATACAGTACAGTAATTTTTATACTGAGCACTATGTGTATTAATATTACACATTTATTTTATACCAACAGTTGGCAGTAATAATCTCGATATCATCGGTCATTACTAGTAGTTAATCGTAAGATCAAGATCCACCACGAATTCCCGCGAACGGTTGAAATTGTAACTGCGCGCGCTCAAAACGAAAGTCTCAAATTTGCAGCGGTTCTTTGAACAGCATTTTGGGTGTGACTTCCATTCTGCAGAACTGCCAATACCAAACATACAGTACAAATAGGACTCGAGGGTAGCAGGACCTCCCAAATACTGTACTGTACTGTACAGTACAGTACAGTACGCCATAGTAAATCATGCGTGATTTTGCCGTAATCATACCGATACGGTATCGCGGTATCGTTCGAAGATCAACAATAGGATTGTATGGAGCACTGGTTGCGATTAATATAACTTGAAGATACAGTTAAGATTGTAATCACAATCACGACTTCACCCTTTTCATAACTTGTTGAGAAGTTGCGTAAATACTGGTTAGTAAGGAGGGTCATATTTAAACTGTAATCAAGAGAAAGTTATTTATAACATTCGTGCAAGACATCTGTACAGTCTACAGTACAGCACTACAGTATAAAGCAAAGAAGAATATCAGATGACCAACGAAATGAGAGGACTATAGATGACAAATATAACCCTATGAACAGTGGTACATTCCCATAACATAATCAATTGTACAGCAAACGCTGACAGTATTTTTCTGCATCAACACTGTAATACTCCACCGCATACAGCTTTTCAGTGTTCATTCTTATAGATATGATAATAAGCAGCTACTTTCTTACATGTACTTGTATGTATAAATAAATTACTTTAAGACACATCGCAATATGCGATAATATAATTGTAATGCAGAGACTTTTAATTCGAACAGAAAGACGCCACTTCGGTTGTTGACCAATCTGAGAACTTACTACAGCATTCACTGTACATACACTATATATAGAACATAAATATTCAGCGATATCGCAATAGTAAGCATCATAAGCCAACTAATTACGCGTATAATTTTATATTTGAGTATAAGGATATTTAGATCAATTTTAATCATAGCAAGATAAAGTACAACAATTAGTCAATAAATTAATGTTATCTTTACAATTCATTATTAATGTACTTTTATTAGGAAAAGGCAAATACCCTATCTACATACCAAATTTGCCTAGTTATCATTTCCCATATCCTTATCATCTGATGTTGTACAGTCTGGCATATTGCTTTCGACTAATTCTTCTACATCCTGTGCCTATGTGTTGATAACATTGAGTTTAGTGATAATGGAAGTGCCACTAATTAACAACAGCTCAGTGGTCAAGAAAGGCTCTTCATTTACGGTAAGCGTAGAATGCAGCAAATTGATGCAGTAATATATCATAGCATCATCAATTTCGTTAATAACGTACCGCACTACCCTGCTTTAACTTAGAATATCAACTACACTGTCAAATACTATTAAACGTTAGCTTGAATAAAGAAAAGTTCTAAATATATCACAGCTTCAAACGTTTTATCCGTAAAACAAAAATACACCGATACTATTGTGAGTAAATCCTTATAAATTGTATCAGCTCAAAAATTCCTGATCGTTCCATCACCAAGTATGCAAGGTCGACAGCAGTACAATCCGGCGCAGTATATTTACTTAAAAGAGTGCAGTAGAATCTAACGGTTATTACTATAACCAGAACACGTACCATTATATGCACCATTCTATATGTTTATCTGCTCGTAATACAAGCTATACTTCCACCGTTACGCGCTCTGAAAAACTGTCTATGTACACGAATCCTACATGCAGCCTCCCAGCTTATAGGAATAAACTGTACCCGATTCTTGTATATATATTATGCAGGATTACCGGTTTTCTTATATCAGTGCCTGAGAAACTTACAAGCTTTAGATTTTACGAATATTACAAACAAGATATGATTTATTAAAAATCATATTAAAAGATTGAATTCAAGACCACATATGACTATTTACGCGAAAGTAATATTGAATCGATGCGTTGTTTTAATTCAAGATCTTCGGAATAACATATTTGAGGCAGCACACTAAAAACTTGCTTGATTCCAACTGATGCCTATTCATACACTAAAATTGCATAAACTGAAGCCTGAATGTAGTAAATTATTTGCAGGTCAGGTCAACAAGGGAATTTGCTCATTCTGACTTCTAATACTACATATAGTAAAATACCTGTTAACTTGTACGGTAACTGAAGCAGAATGCTTCCTTCGCTCTTCAATGAATACGTACACCTAATAATTTTTACCAGTCTCTTGATGCACTCTTTCGTATTAGTGGTACTACATTACATTGACTAAGCTTCAACGTAAATAATCCATTAAGTGGAGTTACATAGCTATTCAAACAGCACTACAACCAATGGCGATCAGGAATATTAACGAATACGGTATGAGACAGGAGAGTAAGAAGCATTTTTCATAAATCCTTCATTGGAACTCATATTTTTAAGTGCACTCCTAAAGTAGCCTCTACGTTGGTTGACAACAGTACGATGTACTATTGTAGTCATCTGGGCGTAGTATGTATGTACAATACACTATATGGTCATGAACTATCGAAGAAATCCCGGGATTTATTTAGTAGTCCATGGTACTGTATACTGTACTCTGCGGTCAGTTTGCGGGTGAAATTATTTCTGTAGCTGAAGCTAACAAAGTTTTTATCTGTCAGAAGTTACTGTATGACCAATCACAACAGTGTGCTGAAGCATGGACAAATAGATGCTATGCCTATCTAGTAGTCCATGGCTAAGGTTACCCAGATAAAGCTAAAATATCATCTAAATATCAATCTTATTTTCAAAAATTATTCTAATACCGTAATAAGAATATTCATCGTATCATTAATTATGCTAATCCATATATGGTCATTTAAATTTTGTAGAGGAACATACATAGACAGTATCCATATCTTTAAAATAACGTATCCTGTAAAAATTTAGCAATCTGATATACAGTGCTGTGAAAACGAGATAAGATTGACTGTTACGTATACTGGATGAAATTAAAATAGATGTATTAGTTCTTACGTTTCTGCTGAAATAAGCAAACCCTTGATATTGATAAACTTTGAAAGTAGATACCAAGCACCCTATGAAGGCGATAGCTGATAACGCCAACGAAAAAATTACTGGAATTGAAGAAGATTGCCATTGTACCGAATTAATCGAGTTCCATCCACCATATCCGGTTACAATATAGGCGATTTCCATTACGGATGCCAAGATACAAAAAAATAGCATAGTTATGTAGACCGCATTCTATCAAGCAAAGAAAATAGTGCAGTGAGATTTACTTATTACCACGACACGATAACTTTAAAGCTGAAGAGGACTAACCTCAGACTGATTTTTATTCGTTGCAGACGCAAATCTTGAAGTTGTTAGTAACTAAAGAGGTACATACCAAACAAATTTTATTATACAGTCTCTAAATTTCACATTATAACTAATTTTATCCACTAAAATTAATTCTGTAGTAGCCACAACGAGTTCCAGATTATATCACTAATTGCAAGCGCGTATGATATTCCTTTCTTCCGTTATATTTCCACAAACATACAAAAAAGCTTCACAGTAAATTACTACGTAGCGAGCAATATTGTACGTACTTCTTACTTACCAAACTCGCTAAATAGAAAGTATGTAGAGAGGAATGCTCAAATATATTGAAAATCATAGCAGCCAGGCCTACGGTCCATAGTGCCAGGCCTGAAAGGAATTGAAAATGGCCGGTCCAAACAAAGACTAGTTGAAGCGAAGAGTTGCTTGCATTTAAACAAATTGGGCAAATATGCACTGTTTGCTTATTAATTCGAAGTTTAAATACATATGCAGCATAAACCGATAATAGAAATCCAGTTGCCATAAAAATCGTTGAAAGTATAAAAACTGCAAGGGCGCTGAAATGATAATTTAGATATGTTGCGCGGACATTTGTGAAAATTGTAATATTTATCCCAATTGCAGCAATAGATATTAATCGACTAATGTAAAAAAAGACACAAGACCAGGCTGCCTAATAAAGTAAAATGAAAGACATTCAGAGGCATTAGAAAAATAAGATTCTTAACTAAATAGCGCGGACATTCATGTCGGATGGAGTCCTTTAGCAGTCTCATGATACTAACTTCCGACATATAAATTAAAAGCAGAGCATCACTCAACATGCGGTAGCGACTGTTATAGATACTTACTGCGCCATTGATGTGTCTAATTTCATGTAAATAACCACATCCAGCAGCTAGCAACAGCTATAAAACAAAATTTTGCAACTACTGTAAATCACATTACTAATGAGAAAATGAGGATCAATAGTTAATAAAGAAAATCAGAAGGTTCTTCATTGAAAGGCTTTATAGGAGAGAAATTTCTTTCTTTTAATCTCTTTAATACGATTATACTAACTGATACATATATTCAATGCTGTAGGAGTAATTAAAGTATGATAGCACTGTTACTGTATACTAGTAAAGTGTTAAATACATACAAATATTCCAGTCAGGCACGTCTGTGTAGCGTAAAGTCCCTGCAAGATGAAAACATCTGCAAGACCTGTAAACAGCATTAATCCACCAATAACGCATAATAAAATTACGAGTAAGTTGCTTTGGTGATCTGGATGCCTAAAAGTGATAGGGTTCATACTTTCTGCTGTTTCAACACGGCCACCGGCATCTAACGGTTCATCTTGTTCTCGACGTTGCTCACCAAAATCAGACAGTTGTAGAGATTGTTTCTTGATCGAATAAGCAAGAATTATGAACGAACTCATATGGAAGAACACACTTAGGGCAAATAAGGCCACCGAACGTGATGTCATCAAGGTATAAATTGGCAGCCTCGCATAGTAATATGTAAATGAAACAGCAGAAATCATTACACACACCAGAGATAGCAACATCATGGTAAAGATGGAAATAACCTAATAGAAATCCAGTCATATAGCAAAAGATGACTTCATATCTAGCCTTCCATCAAGAATTTTTTATCTAATAGCTAATTATTCAGATTCTAAATATTTAATTGTATACGTATACCATTATACCGTAGCTACAGTATACTCATATAATTAATTCACATACTGTACGCGTATAATCTTTACTAACATTGCGTGAACGTAAAAAAAGTAACTGTCATATGTACAATCGTATGAATAACGTTTTCCTACCGCCATTCCCTTGTGAAATCGATGCTGAATGATGCACATAAGGCCACCTAGTATCATCTATTTAAAGTATTGAGTCCGATAAGTGTGCAATCTTATACCGTATATATATATATATAAATAATTATAAGTACAGTAATCACTTTCATCTGGCTACGCATTCTACTCTGTACACTATAAGCATACGTTAAAACGTAATCGGAGAAGTTATATGTATGGTTTAAAGAGCCATACAGCATATAATAAAAGCAATGGACAGAGATACTATTTTATTTTATAAGCAAACCTTGACGAACATTAACTTTCGTAAGCAAGTTGATAATTATGAGCTGTCTGTAACATTAGCGCTATACTGTAATAGTACAATACATCATCAATATTGCCGATTGCAATATTATAGCTCTGTCTAGGACAATTTGACAATCCTATACACCGTAAAATTAATTTAATGCAGTAAAGTATCTATTTTGATATTACGAGTGTGGATTCAATATTTTACAGCGTTCAATCCTATACAGCGTAAAATTAACTTAAGGCTCTTACCGACGTTCCTAATACTGAAGAAATCATCAATAAAAAACTTATCGAACCATAATAACGAATCGTACTGTTGATATCAACTGTGACAAGAATTGAAATGGCAACATCGCCAAGACCAAATATCATCAAAGACGCTCCAGCTACTGCTGTAGAAGACATCGCCATTGATATGCTGTACTCATAAGTCTTGCACAGTGATGTACTAACCAAAAAAAATTTTTTACTTCTCGAAACGGACAGATGGATGATCTGTCCGTTTGCTACAGTCTTTACTACTGTACTCATTCAATACTACAGTACTGTACAGTACTGAACAGTACTGTAAAGCTCTTAGAATATTTACTGTACACTGTGCTGTAATCTGAAATACCAAGCAGATCAAACGATCGCATTTACTGTACAGCGCGTCCGGAAAGTCTGGACACATTTTATATGGCTTTGTATGAAAAATGTGTCCAGATTTTTTTACAGTCTTTTTTCCTTGTACTAAAGCTGTTAATCTAGTTTTTGCTGATATCATTATCTAAATTCTACAGCGTACGCATGATCAAATATCTACAAAATAGTCCCTGAACACGTCCAAAAGTTTATAGTAAATCAGCTTGGAACTGGCTGTTATCAGTGGTTCAATATCAAATATGGCGCGAATACTAGAGAACAATGGAGTTATCAACCGGATATCAGCATTTCTGTACTGTACTGTACAGTGTACAGTACAGTACTACGTAAATGTCTTAGCAGAATTAACTGAAACTTTGTATACGTATGAGTTCTAGAAGGGACTACTAAAAAGAAAGAGACAGGACTGGAAATGATCGTTCAACATACTGATAATGTGTAGGCTGATCATTTTACTGGTCATTTCAACTGTATTCGCACGTCTGCAACGATATATTGTACTATATTGTCCGCGATTGACGTCAAATTTAGATGCTATTCTATTAGCCCCATAAGCCTGCTATGTTGCTTTTTGTACAGTGTGGTGTACGGTTTCATTGATACCGTACAGTATATAGTACAGTACAGTCCTGTATGACCCCAAAAATGATAAGTCTCCGCATTACAGTACGCCAGTACGGTACTGTACTCAGGGTACTGTACACTGTACAGTACAGTCTTTACAAACTCAATTGTCACCTCTGAAAGTATGTACTGTAGCGAGTTTGGTTTGTACTGTACTCTACTGTACTGTACTCAGGGGCTAAACCGTCATCTGTCGCTTCACCAACAGAGCTACAGTATTACAGTACAGTACATTATACTGTACAGTACAGTACTGTACTGTATAATCGTATTTTGCTTTGTCTAGTAACAACCATAGAAATCAACAATAGCATTGTACGGTATGGAGCTCTGGTAACAACCCACAGGCCCACGACCCACTACCTTTATGAAAAGCACTACCTACTGTACAGTACAACTACAGTACAGTACATACAGTACTATCTTTAAAGCAACACAACAGAAGGTATCATGGCTGCGTTAACTGCGAACGACGATAGGGTAAGATGATACAACTGCCTATTTAACTGTCAGGCACCTAACATTGCGTATCCTATCAATGCTTGAGGGTAAAATCTGAATTCGCTGGTAATAGATCGTGAATACGCTCCTAAACTGTACGAATGATTCCTGTAGCTAAATAAATCATGCGATTGTTTACAAGTTTCATGTATTGTAAATGAGACAAGATTCTTCTAGGAATGTGTTGATTCTGCTATACGCGTATTTAACTGTAAATAATTAATATTACGGAGCGTTTCCAATGAAGTGTATAATATATATTTTCTGTAGTACAGTATGGTTTACTTGCGTTTTTATTAATTTTTTAAAGCATACTTCAGTCAAGTGGAAAAAAATTTGTAAAAGTTATTATGAGTCGGATTTAAGAAAAAAGAATGATTATCATTGGAGGTACCAGCTTTTATCCCTTTCTTCCCGCTATATTCAGAGTTTTGATTGGCAAGTGCAGGTAAATGACGATACATTTTGGTAAATGTTGTATGTGACTAGAAACTAGCCACAAGATTATGAAGCTTACTTTATTGAAGACGTTCATACGAAATATACTCGTTTATCTGCAGTTTTTTTGCATGGATATTATGGATATTTATAATGCATGCCTGTAACGAACTAATAAATATAACAATATCAATTATACAATATACTGTACTGTGCTTCTAATGAGTTTACCGTTTAAATGAAAACAACGATCGACACTCATTTAATATTTTTTTTAGGTAGTACTTCGCTAGCAGCTGGCTAAATTCAGGAATACTTTTTAGTTCACTTTGCTACTTTTCTGTGTTGTAGATGCCTGAGTGACCTTACGGTCTCAACATATAAATTACTGAGTATTTCACGTCATTCTTAGATTGGTTTATCTACGAGCAGTATGGTTAATTTATACAGTCCTCTGCTCTCATTGTCATTTTGTATTAATAATTGTCGTGATCTGACAATGGAACTGAATAAAGAAGAACTGGATAATCTACTTTCTTTACTTGAGGAAGCTGATAAAGTAAGATGACCACTAGCTACCTAAAATTGATAAAATTTACCATTGCTAAGCATATACTGTACGGCACTACTGTATATTGTATAAATGAAGTTGATATTGCAATATTTACACCCAATGTACAGTACAGTACAACTATACTATATAATTTGGAATACTTTGTCGAGGATATGAGAAATATGAAAGTGGATGCACAGGTGTTGTCAATTGAACCTGTCATACTCGTTTGTTTATTATCGCACAACAAATGTGACTGAGGTTACGGAATTAAGGTTGAGGCTTGACTTGCGATTCCCTCTTTGTAATTGGATGATTACGTTGGTTTTGCATTTACCGTTAATTGTTATCATAAGCTAGTTTGAATTTAGTTTATGCACTTATCTATTTGGCAAGTTCTACCTGCTGCTTCAAGACCAAGCTTCGTATGCTAACAGTATATTTGAGACTCATCATGTAGCTGTTGTTGTTCGTAAATAACGATATAGTGTACAGTCCACAGTGCTGGGATCACAAATGATAATCTAAAAGGCCAGCTAGTCAAATATACCCATCTACGGTAATAATTGTAATAGGAAGATAATGCATGGGCTTATCAAGAAGGGTTAAAATTGTATTTAGCTTGCCAAGCTGTGCCCTATATTTATAACGATGCTGAAGTAAACAGTGTTGATTAGTCTGAGACTATTGTCTGGCCGTTATATTTTATTAGCAATCATTTCGCGATTCCGTATGCTAGCCTAAATCCGAAAAATGTCTCTTGTGTTACAGTATACTGATTTTATATCCATTATATTAAGCAGGCAGGTTCCTCTATACCAAGACCATAGGCTACATGATTCTTGATTTAACTATTCTAATCAATCCATTGGTAAGTATGAAAGTTGAAAGGCAACCTTTCTAAACTAATTTAAAAATACCATGACTATTTGTCACTATGGTGTTTAACTTCGCATCTTTTGTAGTAGGTAGTAAGACATATCTGAGATAGTCTGTCGATAATGCGACACTAGCATCTGGTATTTTAAAAATTTTCGTAATAGCCAAGTTGTATGTATGTTATACTGGTGTAACGAAAACGATTTCTTATTATTGTTAATTAAGTTAACTGCATTCACATATTGTGATCTGTGCTTATCGCTGCATGTACGTAAGAGTTGTTTACTATTGTGAAACTGCCATCCGCAGTGATATTCCATCTTACCGTGTGGAGTTGTAATCGAAAGCATATCAGACTACGAAATTTGTAACTGAATTTTAATAATTGCAATCCCCTTAAAATTTTTGTACATCAATTCATAAAACACAGCGGTTACACACATCCGTTGTAGTTGCCATCATTTACAATAAAAATAATTCATACCGCTGCTATTATGCTGTAGCTACTTCGATTCAGTTTTGACTCCAAAGTGATATATTACTGTTATGCGTATTCAAACGGCATTGTAGTATCTTAAATTAACCAAAATTAATAAAAATGAAATGAAAGATGCCAGTTTTCTAAATTGCGTTTATTTCTACGACAACTTTGGTGAAGTAAACAAATCGCCATCTATGTTACTGATTTGGATACTATCAAAATACATTAGCAAATATTACATCACATCAATTTACAAATTATATCAGCTGCTTTTGCACATGAACCATGAATTCAAAGTAAGACATCGTGGCTTCCGTTCGATCGTTAACGAAATTTTGGCTAAATTCTTTCCTAAAGCGGCTATCTTCCCTATTTTATATGACACAAAGAAAGATGCATCTTATATACATGATAAAGAGAGTATTTAAACTCATGAACTTACCTTATGATATATAGGGGAGGACAAATTGGTCTCGAAAGACGCAGAGTGTTAACAAATTTCCTTACTGAACTTGACAATGCATTATTAAGTTCAGGTAGAGAAATCTGAAAGGAAGGAATCACGGATAAGTGTAAATTTCGTGAAAGTAGAGTAGCACAGAAAACGTAATCGCGAAACAATAACTCAAATACATGCAATTAAGATTCTCACCATGTAGGTGTCTGGCAGACTCAAGAAATTATCCTTGTCGAATAATTCATTAAGTAGTCGTGGGTCAACAGCTTTACCGATCCATATGAATATTATCTGTGTCAAAAACAGGAATATACAACTTTATTTTTGTAACTTAAATATACCTACACAAACTTTATTGCTCACAGTGCCAGCGTCTAAAAGGTAGATTCCATTCTTGTAAATCTTTTCCCACGACAAAGGTAATTGGGGTGGATTAGGCACTATTCCTGAAGCTGTACGTATCGGTTCCTATTGATTTAAAAATTTAATAATGCCTATTGTAGTGTTCAAATCAGATGTACCGGTCGCGTAAAGATTTTGCACTAGAAGAAACATATAATCTGATTTGTACACTATTGTATACGGTATAATCTTAGAGTATAACATCACTTAATTACGTTTTTGTCCAGATCATGGAGAGCATAAAGAGCTGGGTAAATTGTTAGTAGAGCTGTTTTGACAGGTAAAGTGTTGAATTGGTGTAAAGCGAATGTTCGAGCATCTAATGATGTGCTAGTCCCTAAACGAAATGCGGTCTACAAATTGGGATAAAGTTGTAGATTCATAAGCTTTCTAATTAAGTCGTAACTACCAATTGAGCATTACCGCAGTAGCACCATGTGTTAAAATAGTGCCTTAATTTGCGATAAATCCTCTTTTCACAATTACTGGAGCATTAATAAACGACAACAAGTTCACTCATTAAGCTACATCAAATTGAAAACAACGGCAATTTTCTTACGTGTTTTAATAACCCAAGGATGTAAAGAGGTAATAATTTCAATGATGAAGGAAGAATAACTTCAGATTTCTGCGATGACCTAATGTGAGCTTTAAATGCTTTTGTAGTATCTATTATAGCGTTGAGCAAGGCCTTGACAAGTGAAGAATAAGATATCAATTAATAAAGTACTGGGCGACAGCTATTAGTATAAAAACTCCTACTAATAATGCTAAAGAAACATGGGTCATTAAATCAGTAATTTACCTCTCGCGCATCTCCTATTGATGCTGTCAATGTTCTATCTACCGCTAAAAAGTGTTTAAATTATAACTAAGAAAACAACATTGCTTGAAAATTAGAAGGTTATAACTCACTAAGTAAACTAACATACCCATCTTAGAAAGCAAATTTACTATAAGGCGACAATCAAGCGATCTATAAATCTGGTCAGGTGATGCCACAATTGGGATTGCTAATGTATGCACTCTTATCCTGCGTTCTCCTGCATGTCAAACATTTAAATATTCGTGAAATGACACTGAAATGGTGAAAATCTAGAGAAAGGCTGAACTATCGGAATTACTATCAACCTTTGGTATTGGTATATAATAAAGCAGCTTGAAAACATGCAAGCTTTAAATCGCTCAAAGATTCTTCAATAGAAACTTGCATTCCAAAGCTAGTGTCTGGATTTATGTTAGGCAATGCTAACAAGTCAGTAGAACGAACAAAAAAGTTTCCATAAAAGGTGTGGATGGATAGGCCTGTAAATAAAGCAACATCGTATTCCTGTCATTCCGTCATCGCTATATCCTGATCAATGGCTATCAAATAAAACCTACCTCTAGTACAACGAATTCTCATTACCGCTTCTAACCCAAGACTTCGACTAAGATATCGTCTATAGTAAAATTATAAATGTTATCAAATAGATTTTATGACTACTCGCGATATTATTGATCTTTACTAATTAACTAATTATAACGAAAGTATCAATATTTATACCTAAATTCTGATTCAAACTTCATCGAGATTGCACTGTTTGTTCGATGATAGTTACAATAATAGTAAATACAACCAGCGGAATATTTAGAGACGCATGCTGCATTGTAACAAAAAGTAGCATCAAAGAATATCTTTATGTTTCTTAAATTTAAACTGAAACGCTTGACTAACATAGAGATGACAGGTCAGCATATTGTGTCGCTAACGAAAACAAGTCTATGCATATCTGATGACTACAACAGTCAAGAGCTAGTTTCTTGTAAAAATCTGTAGCAGGTACGAGTTGAGGTATCTCCTACAAAATGTAAATTAAATGTTGATTACAACTACCGATAAATTATGCAAGTGCCATAGTTGAGAAGGATATCTTTACTAAATCAATTAGGAGATAAATAACTGAACAAGAAAGTATCACCTTTGTTGCCGCTGCTCTTTGGTTCGGATCTTCCCGCATTTTCAATGCTCCAGGTCCAAAATTAGGTAGAGATACTTGAAATACGGTAATACGTCCTCCTGTAGGCATCTTCAGGAATATTTAAAATTAGATTAAAATAATTAGTTTACTTAAACTCATAACTATAACATCTCACCAATAACTTATATCCAGCTTGCATTGCAGCTCCAGTAGCACTGTGAACATTTCTTGATGAATCAAACAAGTTAGGGAGCTGGTCCAGCAGTGATAAGACTAACTACAATGTGAAATAAATCAGAAGTTTGTGGAACAGCAATTGCACATGGCCAAAATTTATATACTTATAGATACCTCTTTACTTTCTTGTAGGTTAACCAAAAGATCATCAGGAGAAGGTAGAAAAATATCTAAAGGAATTTATAGATAATTTTATAATAGAGATAAGTAGTAAGTATAGTTGCTTCTTGTTATGCCTACCATTAACTTCAGATATGACTAACATCTGCGGCTGGGGAAGTGAAGGCTAAATAAATTAGAGAATATGATTATTAACATTTACGATAGAGAAATACATGATATCTATTTCTATCGATACAATAACAATATCTCTACCTTCAAATTAAAAAAATGAATACTGCTATCAAAAGCAATGATTCCAATCATTGTTCTGGAATCTCCTGGTAGCTTATCTAACTCTTCCTTCATAATCCGACACGCGGCCTCCAAGTATCCTACCGAAAGACCATTAATTGCTTATATAATTTCTATCGAAACTAATGGGTAAAAAATAAAGTACTGAAACAAGTAAGTAAACTATACGCTAATGATTCTTAATTTACAGGTTCCATATATTTCTCAACAAGATAAATACCTGTGCTAGTAGCAGTAAAACTCACATCGAACATGAATAAGTACACAGCTGGTTGAGGAGGACGAACCTATATATTAATTTTGATCTTCCTATTACGATCTTTTAAAAGAAGTCATTCAGCAAAAGCATAGACATTCATCTAAAACTAACCATATATTCCGAAGGTGCGATGAATTCAACAGTGCAATTCCTTAACTCTGGTCGTTTATTAATGGAGATATTGCTATTGTAAACGAATTCATTAGGGACTATCATACAAAAAAGCAAATAACGAAATTAGATTTGGAAATAGTTGACGTTCTGCAGAAAGCTGAAATAAACGCATTGATGTGGCATTTCCCTTACGATCATTTACGCGGAAACAGAGATTACATTTCCACTTATGATTGGATAAAAGAGTTACAAACGGATTTAGATAGGCACGACAAACACGACATCTCGTTATCACTGACGATGACACAACGGTAAGATTCTGGATGTAAATATAACAGTAAGCATTACAATATTGGCAACGCCATTACAGAATACCATCAATAAGTAACTCAACTTACTTGAATGTCTTTGTATGGATGAATATACAGTCCCAAAGGAACCTTACATTTTGATAAAAGGCTGCCATTGTGAGGGATTGCGTTCAATGTACAACAGAAGATACTGTTTCAAGAACAGATCATTGGTTAGAAAAATAGTTTCGGCAAAGTTCTATAAAAATCCGGATAAGAAATCATCGCATGCCGAATCTATTCTAGCAATATACAGAATACCTTTGATCATATTCTATTCCGCGGTATATCTGACGGATGTAAATAAGATAGATTATAACCATAAAACTCTTTATCATTAATATTCTGTAAAGTATTCAAACCTCCGGCAAATCCGGCTTAGAAGTCATAGGATTATCAAACAGATTCTTCTCTTGACTCAAATTAACAATATTTGCTAGAGGCTGAGGCTGTTGCTAAATAATAAAAATAATTCTTAATTCAGGGCACAATAATATCTAGAAAAAAGGTAATGGAAGCTACTACTTGGAGTGCCATTGACCCAAATTGCTGCCGAACCGTTTCTTGGTTAGCCTGGGGAAGATTTGATTGAAGAATGTGACTACTAGGAATATGTGCCTGCATTTATAGTGTAAAATAACACTAAGTGTACAAATGCTAGCTAAAAGTTACATCACAACTTCGAGAAGGGAATATTAAATGATCAAAAATTGCGAGAAAAAGAAAAATTTATAATTATAGAATATACTATAGATTAACATTCTTCCTGATAGCCAGGAGTCGTCAGTAAAAGAATTTTAGCTGGGCATTTGAGCACCTATACGGCATTACCTGATCCATTCGTGAGACCGAACTTTTAGAAGGTACTGACTCTAAATGACTATCCGTAATAGGACGTGCTGCTACGTCTGTAGTAATTTGGCGTGATGCAGCGTTCAACATGGTATCCTATAAAGTACGAATTGCATATTGCCATACTTTGTATAAAAACACCCAGTTATTATGAGATACGTTGTGTCGTGTTATTGGTCAATTTCTATTAACCTGTACTGGATAGTAACGGCGCTTAGACGTAATGGTAGCTCCAGCCTTGTACGATTGACCTGTGTATAATAAGTTAGAATAGATTGGATTCATCATCTGTAAACATCGTGTTACTGAATTGTATACGTATACATAAAACTAAAGCAGATTTGTAAATGTCATGATACCGAATTGTAATACATAGGAAATCAAACTGCATCACGTAAATATTTTCGAAAAACGAGACTAGTAGCTGACTATACAGAATATAGAAAACAGATCACAAGAGATCTTGCATACGATACTGTTATTAAATCGTCACATGCAATATACTATAATTATTAGTGTATTAGAAATATAGATCATAACGGTTTTGAACCGAACCGAACCTTTCTCAGGTCTAATTAGAATTTAATAACTAATATGGTAAAGCAGTACTATTGAAACCCATAAGAATAGTACATTATAGGGGTATAATGGCGAGACTATTATATGTACTACTCCTGATAGACAGGTAATGTATAGTGAAGATCCAAAAAGATTACAGTTGTCCATACAGGTAGTACAGCATTATGAACAGCAATTAACTTATGAAATCAAAATATTATAAGCATGTACTTGATATAACACACATATTACTTTTTATCATTGTTATTTTATGAAAGTATGACTTCCCAAGGGTGATTGAGAATTACGATAATTTTTTAAAGCATGGCAAAATGGACATCATTTAATTTACTGAATAACAACAATAAAAATTATTACAAGTAAAAACTTTTAGAATTTATGCATAATTAATCGCTTCGTGCCACAGTTTTGGTAAATAACAAAACTTTACTCCACTTATCATACATTCCATTTCTACGTAGATATGCCATCTACAGTTGACGTATAAAATTTTGGCAAGAGATTATAGTATAAATTTAAGGTGTTACTTACCGGACATGATTCCTGGTTTAGGGTTATCAGACAGTGTAATGTGAGAATTTTGTCTCGTATCCTGTGTTTGTATAGAATTTGAGGATTTATATGCAGCGGGTGCCATGTCACTCATAAATTCTTGCTCTATATATTGGTAGTCAGGAATTAATTAAGATAAAAAGTACCTATCGATATGAATGAGCAAGTTGGTCTATTAAATATCATACCTTTGCCTGGCGGAGGCAACGATCTTGGATTAGGTGGGATAAAATTACTATTATCCGAATGCCGCTCAAAAGACGCTGCGCGCACGATATGAATCACATAATTATGTTACTGTTGATGATGTAACTAATACAGTTTATAACCCACACACAAAGTCTTATATGCTAACAAGATAGGAGATATTTATTAACAGTCATGTCGACTTCAGATTGCAAACGTGATTGATAAAAAAACTTGTTTAACAGACTCAAGCAGCAAAGACTAGCAAAGGCAACGTTTTACGTACAAGTATTGCGCCAGCCCACAATGTAGTACTTGAACATGTACAGCGTAGACCTTATGCAATAACTTGTTAAATAAATGATCACAATGAACATAGCACTGCACAATTCAGAACTATACGAAAATGATTCTGGTATGGGTATTACACAAGCTGACCGAAAATTGTCAACATAATTGCTTAACGATTTAAAACTATATTTTATATCAAATTGATGCTACTTAGCATGAAATATAATGATCATAACTGATACTCAAGGTACGCGTATATCAGCACTATTTTCAGCTCCGGGAAGTTATAGATCACATCTTTTCCATTTTTTAAACGCATTAGAACCAATGTACTTTATTGGATTGATCAATTAGATGAGTACCTAGTACCTTGAACTGAATACGAAATAGCTAGATTTGTTATACTTTTAGTATAATGAAGTGATGAGCACGAAGATTCCAGTGAAGGGTTGTCGGAATAACAGGAGAAGTTCTGGTAGTAGCGTAATGCGGCTCAGGAAATGGAAATTGTATTACTATAACGCTGGCTACTTAGCCTGCTTGCAGAGTTAATAACACTAGGCTTACACGCATTCATACATGAACGTTTACGAATTTCACAAAAAGAGTCGACGTAGTATTGATATTATAGTAAGGTTCTTCTAAGTGATTCATAATACTGTACAGTACTGTCGTAATTTCATTCACATTGAGTAAAATTGCTAATGGTAATCGATGGTACTGTGCTAGCAATTGAATCACTTCTGCTATTGAATATATATACAGTATAAGAATTTAAATCGAAAAATTATAAGCAATGCAGATTTTGATGAGTTCACTTTTTATAAATTGCGGCACTCAAAGTTACAGTATAGGGATATCAATCCGGCTCGCTTTCATAATATTATGATTCAAGTACATCTTGATGAGTTTAAAGCTAACTTGTAGTATTACGTTTCAAATTATAATTAGTGATATCCATATTCTACTGTACTGTACGTACTGTATAGTATAAGTATAATCTAGTGAAAAGATTTGCACAATACAGGAAGAATGATCGAAGATTTCTAATAATAATAATTATTAAGACTATCGACTATGGAGTTTCAACGTTCAAATAAATCATAAGGTATTAGCATATAGTATTTCATTGACACAGCCTAAGAGCCAGTGATGTATTGAACTTTGTGCAGCCATCGCCATACATAAGGAATGAATACTCATCAAGGACCTTCAATTGTACGTTTTATATCCCGATCTCAAGAAATTTGAAGCTGAAAATTTTACCAAATTGCTAATAAACGAAACCCTTTGATAAAAGTTAGAGCCATTGCGGATATAGTACCACTAGCAAGTACTGCAGTGTAATTTGAAAACTGGAGTGTCTTTCTTACTAGATGGTAATTTTCTGTTTCAAACTTCCACTTAAGTTACAGTATTTTACCTGCATATTGAAATGTAGGCGTAATGTACAGTATAGTAAAGTACGGTACTGCAATTAATTTTACGTAGCGTATTACTTACTAGCTTATGAGAATTACATTAGCATGATCTGCGGATTGGAGATGGTTTACAATTTTAAATAATAATCGTAAACTTAACCAAACTCATTTCTGTATTTCTGTTGCACTCAGCATGCAGCAGAGATCTTCATTTCATATCTTTTAGTGTCGGTGAAGGACTCTGTGCAGTATGGTACGCTGACTCGCCTGCCAATCCAGCTTCAAGAGAATCATGCGCATGTAAACAGCGAGATTCCTTGATAGCTGTACGGTTTAAATTGCTATAGTTTTGATCCCAGTTTTTATACAAGTATATAACACCAGTATATTGATAGTACGTAATATTCTATGACGCTTGTATTACTAATTACTTACAATTTAAATTAGGATTAGTATTAGCATTAAACTGCATTTCGGAAAGAGGATCCGACATACGAGGAGTAGTTGAGGCCGGTAGGTATTCTGGAACTGGTGCCGCTGATGGACTTATAGGGTATTTTCGTCGAGACATCTCTGCTCTTTTGCCATACAAATACAAGACAAGTATCAAATACACCCTGTGTAAAATAAGCTAGTATGTACCATGAACACTTCTACCCGAGTACATCATAGTACAGTATAGCTTCACTAATTACTTTAAATAAGCTATACAGCGGAAAAGATTTATGAAATTTCTTGCTAGTGTAAAACGATTACATATAACGTATAAATATTATTAAAGTCGTAGCAAGAAAAAACTATAATTCCTTACACTATAGCGGCAGTGCTAAAAGTAGATTGCAGTAATTTACTTACCTTCTTGATTATACTTTACTACAAAAGATTTCATAAAGAAAGGATCACTTATATTTATAAGCTAATAGATAGCACTCCTGCCACGCCACGTTTCACTGCCACAGCAGTGTACACTGTACAGTACAGTACACCTTACCACCATCCACACATTACAGTACAATACAGTAAATACAGTTCATGACAAAAGGCAGAAGACTGATGCATTCGAATTTGCGGAAACCCAAAAACTATACAGTACAGTACTATACAGTACTGTATAGTGTACATGTATGTACAGTACTGTACACTGTGCTGTACAGTAACGGACATGAAGTACTGTACTGTACTGTACAGTACCGTACTGTAGGGCGTTCCAGAATTTGTTAAGTGATCAAATGCACATCGCTGAAACGGCTTACAGTATGTGGTTTATGGTATGGTTTATTATGCATACTAACAAACCCGATCACATGTACAGTACACTGTACAGTACACTACTGTAGAAACCCTAGTGTACAGTACACTGTACTGTACTGTACCACTGACTGTACGGTACAGTACAGTATTTTTGTATTTTAGACTTAAAAAGTACTGTACTGTAAAGGTCTGTGAAAATGCCATGTCTCACTCCAAAAATACTCGATTGGCTACAGATTTTGCACATCTACACTATACCGTACTGTACTGTAGACTGTCTGTAGTACAGCAGTCCATGACTGTATACCGTACAGTGCTTACGGTAGTAACGCTACTGTACAGTGTACAGTACAGTACAGTACAGTACAGCTAAAGATCTTCATCTCTACAGTACTGTACTACAGTAGTCTGGTCCTGTACAGTAGTACACGAAGACTTGCAGCGTCAGCTCTTTCAGTGCTGTGCTGTACGGTAGTATACAGTACTAACAGTACTGTGTATTAGTTTTACAGTAGTTTATAACAAATTTCATAACAGCGCTCCAAGCATTTCAACGTTGGATGCCGTACTTGTTAATAGTTAAACACCGATACGATATTATAGAATTTAGCATTTAAGTATTATTCCAGTATGGCGGAAGACAAAGCTACAGCTAAGGAGTTGGATCAGTGGATCGAAAAGCTACTGGAATGCAACCAGTTAGGGGAGAATCAAATAAAAACTTTATGTGAGAAGGTGATTTACTCTAAACAGCTTTATACTTTACGAGCCTTTCTAATTTGTTAACACTTTCGTACGGACTAACCGCCGAGTTGAGTGCGAACATACTGTACTCTTCTTTAAGAAGAGGTGCAGTCATGGTTTGATCTCATACTGTATTTAATCAAGTTTGGTTGATAGATAGCATATCTACGCAGATATTTTGCATAAAATTTAAAATTTAATTTACGTACGTACTGTACATTACAGTACTGTATAGTTATCAAAACGAATGATTTGGTGCGTAATCGTCAGTTCATGGTTCAACGTACTGAACGAGCACAAATACAGGACTCATTACACAGTTAATAAGATAGAACGTGTGCAACGATAACTATCTTTCTTCTTTTAGTAGTCCCTACTTCCAAGAATACTAAGATAATTAACTGTAATAACGGACAAATTTTTTGCTACTTCGGTTATTTCATGAAATAGCAGAAATTACGCGGGCCAGTTTATTTCTATCGATAGATACAGTACAGTACAGTACTGTATAATACGGCGTATGATATAGTACTGTACATCTTCGGAAGTATTCAAAATTTTTGTTTATTGTATTCCATTTACAGTAAATTTTTGATGTCAATTTTTTAATACTACTCCGATTAGTCTATAATGCAGCTCGGGGTTATTAGTTTATTACTACGTGGAGTCCTTTTTTTACGTTCACCATACAGTAATTGGGTCGGTAAACGCGGTTGAACGCGTACGTATTGTACAGTACAGTATACTACAGTGTATACATATTGCGGGTAGCTATTTTATTGAATGCATACTGTAGAAGACAATACGGCTCGGTAATTTAGCCTCAGTTATTTCAGCTTACATATCATATTTATATAATATTTTATTTGTGATAATTACAGTTAGTAAAATGTACCTTATGCTGTACGTGCTATGCTGTATGGCTACGTAGGTGATGACAAATGGTTAGCCAATAAAAAGAAATTACTACGGAAAATAATATTTAGTTTTTGGGCATTACGAATTCTGTACGAGATTTGAATATCTTCGATTGTAATTATATGATAATTATTGTTAGAAGAAAAAGTACTCCGATATTCGCTTCTTTCATTTTACTTTTACTGTGATGTATTACGCTATCAGATTTTCTTTAAAAAGATAATAACTTTATCTTTGATAATCTGGGTGTGAAGACTTAAGTCATCTGAAAGTCTATAAAATATAAAATATAAATTCGATTAGATATATTTTATGTTTTTGCTCACTCCTATATGCGTATGTAAAGTTCTGTAATAAGTTAATTCAAAATGATTGAGCATCTTGCATTTATATGCTCGACACTGCTTACTTAGGCAAAAGAAATTCTAGGTAAGGAGTCTAATGTTCAGCCTGTTCGTTGTCCTGTTACTGTCTGCGGTGATGTGCATGGGCAATTTCATGATTTAATGGAGCTTTTCCGGATTGGAGGACGATCTCCAGATACAAATTATCTTTTTATGGGTGACTACGTTGATCGCGGATACTATTCTGTCGAAACGGTTACGCTTCTGGTAGCTCTGAAGGTAAACGTCCCATTAGCACTATCAAATTGCAACCCTAAAATTTCTCTATCGAAACGTAGGCATTGTCTCTTACAAATGATAATCAAAATCTGATTCTTAGACTGTACACTGTATAGTGCAATGTAGTTTAGCTTAAATAATGCAATGTTGATCGGATTAATCTTACAGCTGTCATTTATTTATAGGTTCGCTTTCCTGAGCGGATTACTATCTTACGCGGGAATCATGAAAGTCGTCAAATTACTCAAGTTTATGGATTTTACGACGAATGTCTTAGAAAATATGGAAATGCAAATGTCTGGAAATATTTCACAGATTTATTTGACTATTTACCTTTGACTGCGTTGGTCGATGGACAGGTGAATCTCTAGATAAAAATATTGAGTTTATGAAGATATCGTAAATAACATTGAGTACTAATGCACTGTTTCTGTTTCGGTGATTTGTAGATATTTTGTTTACACGGTGGTCTCTCCCCATCAATCGATACTCTTGATCATATTCGGCTGCTTGACAGATTTCAGGAAGTTCCGCACGAGGTTGTAGAAGTAACATGAAGTATAATCCTGCTTATGTCATACTTTTACTTTTATGCACCTTGTGAATTGCTAATGTAATACAGTCACTAATTAGGGTCCAATGTGTGACTTACTTTGGTCCGATCCAGACGATCGTGGAGGCTGGGGTATTTCACCTCGCGGGGCTGGATATACGTTTGGCCAAGATATTTCTGAAACTTTTAACCATACAAATGGTCTGACTCTGGTTTCAAGGGCGCATCAGCTTGTTATGGAGGTAAATAAATTTACGAAAGACAGCGATGTTATGGAGAAACGATTGGCGAGGGCAATCTTCTGAAGATCCTTTTACTGTATTTGTACTATTTGCAGGGATATAATTGGTGCCACGATCGAAACGTTGTGACAATATTCAGTGCTCCAAATTACTGCTATCGTTGCGGAAATCAGGCAGCTATAATGGAACTAGATGATTCCCTGAAATATTCATTGTAAGAAAATTTAGATCTTTACCGATAATTCGATAATAGCCTTCCGTTTTGGCGCTAACGTAATTCTTCCTTTATTTGGCTTTACTTAGTTTACAATTTGATCCTGCACCTAGACGTGGAGAACCTCATGTAACTCGGCGTACCCCAGATTATTTCTTGTAAAATTTGTTATCTATAAACAACCTGTATAGGAACGTAACTCAAATTTAAGTAATCCAAGCTTTAGAGCTTGTGGTGTACAACATGCAGTAATACGTATAATTAATGCTGTATTGTTAACGGTATCTTATGGTAAACACTATTTTAGAAATTACAGCTTCGATGGTTGTAGACCTATCGTTTCTACCGTACTTGTGTGCTTGCAATAAAATTCGAATGACTTATACAATTAAATGGCAATCAGCTGAAGCAATTATTTGCATCTAGGCCTCTACCGTACTTATGCAAAATATGCAGTAACAATAATAAAAAATACTGTATATCCGAACATTTTTAGACATCAGTCTTTGAGTTTTATTGAATGTAACGAGTTGATCTGCAAAATTGTTGCTGTGGTTATTTACAGATAATATAGCTTCCTAAAGTGGAGTAGTATTTTTAAGAATTTATCAATAAGTAATGTAAACAGGGACCGAGATCCGTGAGATTTATAAGGAGTGTGTATAGATAATACACAGGATTGTAAGGTATAACAGTCAAATATCAATGATTATATTATGATCCTACGAAGTGGTAATTATAATTATATATAGCTATCCAAATTCGATAACGTTTGATTGATTTGAGATGTACAATAGTTTAACTGTAATTTTCGGTACAAAGTTATTAAATGAATTATTTTATTAGACAGGATTACAGTTGCAATAGTAACGCATGGATTGTCGTAATCGAATGATATACTTCCATAAGGTAATGCATAAAATCAGTACATACAGTATAGTTAAGCTATTTCACACTATCGTACTTTCACCTTTCGAACTATTAAATAATATTCTCTCTTGAGCAATATTTCTGGTTTGATAATCTTTGAGACGACGGATTTGATCGTCCTCTATGGATTCTCCGGAATATTCTACTTCATGTCTAAAAAAACAGCCAAACAGGATATAACAGAGAGCGAACAGATACACGTACACATCTGCTCGGAATTTTTTGCTCAACGAGAAATAAATAACGGGATTTGCAGCTGATTGAGCGAAGGCGATTAGCGCGAAAAGTGGATACAAGAGGGAAAATGTAGCGTCGCGAATAAGAATGCGTTCACTAATTATAAGCATGATGTAGTATGGAATCCAGGCTATTAAAAAAAATACCACGACAATTGTTGATGCTTTGATAAGTGTTTGAGTATCTGGTGTGTATTTGCGTTTTTGATAATCTGCTGATGGCAAATGCGTTTCTGAATGCTTACGGTCAGTAGGATCTTCGGTGTGATTAGCATGATCACTATTTACTGAGATTGTTTGGGTCTGAGCCGGCTGAGTACTTTGAGTTGTGTTAGAGAGGCGCTTAACAGTTTTGGTTTCAGTTTCTGTGCCATCGATATTATTATTTGTAACAGTTTTCGCTTCGAGCTGTTGATTTGTAATATTGGAATTTTCCATCTCAATTCTATCTGAATTTAAATTCCTACGTGTAGCACACGAATCTATAACAATTCTCCCATGCGTAAAAATTATTATTATAACAGGCAGGACGAACAACAACGCAAAGGATGCCATTGTGTAAGATCGCTTGTTAGAAATATGTGGCCAGTCTTCAATACAATAAGGCCGAAATTCCCTGGAAATTCCATACTCAAAATATTGAATCTATCAGGAGTAATAGTAGAAAAAGTTGATATTTAGGAAGACCTTATTCGATACTTTAACTATTTGATAGTTTGATAAGTAAAGACACTTACTTTATAGATAAATAGTAATGGCGAACTTATAATTACGATAATGATCCAGATACAAGCAATCAGAATTATGGATTGTTTCCGGCTTATTTTTTTTTCTGAATGAAAAGCTAATATATATCGATCAATACTAATTGCAGCTAATGTCCAATTAGAGACTGCAGCTGCTTCAGCAAATAAGAACTGTCCAAAACGACACCAGAATTCTCCATAAGGATATAAATTTTGTATCGTCCAACCTAGAGTAAAGGTTAGAGTTATGGCCGATATAATCAAATCGGCAATTGCAAGATTCCCAACTAGTAATTCCGTGGCTATTTGCTTTCGCCTGCCTCCGAACATTATCAGGCAAACGAAGAAGTTTCCAACAGTTCCAACAACGATGGCTACGGAATAAACAGCAATCTGCAATGAGGGCAATCCGGCCCACATCAGTATCGTGTTATTACCGTTCCCGCTTGTATTATTAGACATTCTATGTAGTTTTATTTTTTGCTCCTAGAAATAAAGAAAAATTTTATTGCAATATTCCCATATTTAATTGCCAAATAACTAGATTCACAGGAATTGTGCGATTTTTATCTTATCAAAGTTTGCGTATAGCCTTTATTTCGTAACGGAGATGCACTGCTGTACGCCCTGATTATTTATGTATTAATACAACTTTATTGCACTATTTAAGCATCAAAGTAGCATCCAACTCCCAGCTGTATAAAAAATACATGCCTTATACATGCTATCTCTAAATACATATTAATCTACACCATAACGTGCTAGGCTACAGTACTGTATCTAAATGTAATGGTAGCACTACGCATTAATTATGTATAAATGTACGTGTTTATATGGATATATGTCTAATTAGTTATCCCCTGACTACAAACTACATATTAATTACATATATGTAGATTTTAATAATGTTATTGACTACACTAATGACTATTGCTTATAATTTCAAAGATAGTAGTAATTATATTAATCTTCAAAACAGAAATAGATATTGGATTGCTCAGTAAGGCTATAGTCGACCTTCGATATACTGTACAAAATATGAATAGTAGACAGATATACTCCAATATCATAGTACGATGCACGGTAGATTTAAAAATATTCTACGAATAGGCAAGATTCATATTGCAATTGTAATGTAATGCTACAACATATTATGTTGATCCGATTTTATTTCTTGCACGAAAGTTTAATTTGTCTATGCCATGAGTGTATTTACGCATACTGTAAGTAGTATTCAATATTCTCTTCTTTATCTCTATTTTCATATATCTAATACAGTTAAGCTTATACCGACAATTTATTAATGCATTTAAATAGTATCTCTAAACTTTTGATTAACTTTCGCAAACATTACCTAACAGTTTGTATAAACTGAAATAGTGCATTAAGATGATCATGGACAAGAATTGAATTATAAAATTAAGTTACTGTGTTGTAAAGTGCGCAGCAGTTTAGACTTATAGATACCTTATAGAGTGTTTAGGAGTCCTACCATATGAGCGTAGCTAGGTTACGAGTTTAATCGGTTTTAATTTTCCTGTCGTTAACCAGTAAATAAGGAATTGTATAAAATTTTATTTGCTGTAAAAAATTTACAGTAGACCTAATTCAACAGAGGTACCAAGATTTTATAACTTGCTTTAACTGGACTCACTGTTTAAAACGCTTTTTTCGGATTTTCCGACGAAAATATATATTCATACACTGTATAAGAACTAGAAACTGATTTTATGTATATTCAGCCTAATATACAGTATATACTGTAGTTCGGTATGAGCCATTTTACTGTATTGTAGCGGTGCAGAAGCGCAGTACGGTACAATAGAAATTTAATCACGTAAATTGTAAGGTACTGATACGTACTGTACAGTAGAGTACAAGCAGTCCAAGTCATGGATAAAAATAATACGTTGAAAGGTGCCTTTTATTAACCTCGTAGGTAATTGATTAACTGTAGTAAAAAATGCATTCCAGCACCCAGTCTATAGACGAATTTTTGTTGCTATAGAAATATCTTGCCAGCGCCCAATCCAGTACGTAGAGTACAAAGCTACAGTACAGTCAACTTGAGTTACGCTTTAGAAGAGTTCATGGACTGGTCAGCGACAGACTCTCCGACTGCATTGCAAGTCGTATAGCTTTCTTAATCCATACGTTTCCTTTATAAAACTTTAACAACACTTACTATAGCTCATCCTCTATAATGGCAATGTAAATGTTCTGTACAGTACTACCTACTATCATAGAAGTGAGAAGAAGAACCTCTATAAGTACCATAGAGGTAAGAAAAACCTAGAGTGCTAAGTTACCTTACTCAGTATCGGTAGAGGTGTCGCTACAGACTAAGAGTGGATTTTCGACACGAAATTTGCCTGTATTTTTTTACGTGAGATTGACCGGGATTTTATTTCGCTTTTTTCCGGCACATTTTTTTCTAGACTAAATTTTTTCAATATTAGATATATTGGAGTTTGGATTAAGATATATTAGGGCTGACATATAATTGCGGGAGTTAAATTTGGAATTGAGAAGTGGGAGGGGGCTGTGTAGGCCGTAGAAAGCATTTGAGGTTTTGGACAACTGATATTCCATAGACTACGCGTTGGTAAGGACTAACGCATTAGACAAATGAATATCATTTAAGACCGCTTTTAGCGTTTAGCAGTTTATCATACCAGAGTACAGTATATCATGTGGAGGTCTGTCAATGCAGGACTAAATTCTTATACTGTAGCAATATATGTACATATAGAACAATATGAACAGTTCTTCTCATTCCTAATTAATTATATAATTAGTGTTAAATACGAGTACGCTATTTAGTATTATAAAGCGTGGTACTGTTACCTGATACGACACTCACATGGAACTACTATATTGTAGTTCATCTCTATATCTGCTATTATCAAAATTACCGTACAAAATATAATATAGCAAGTAAAGTAAATAGGACAATCTATATTAATAAATATGGTCTATACTCAAGCCTTATTACAGGTTTCAAAAATTAAAGATATCGCACGAAATTCACCGAAACCGTTTTTTCTTAGCATACTCCGCAAAATATTTACTGTAGTGTCGCTGCGTACACCACCAAACAAGCGCAAAAACTCGGTCAAACTCATTTTTGCGGTACCACAGCGTAAAGACTTGTTAGTCCAAGGCAGTATTTCGTAGTCAGCGACATTGTACTGTACACTGTACACTGTACTGTACTGTACTGTACTGTACATGTGCTGTACTGTAGATGAAGACCCGTAGTACTGTACATGTACAGAACACTGTACAGTACAATATACTGTATAGTCGCATGTAAAATCTTTGACTATCCCTTCCGTAAATTATAAGCCCTCTGTGCAAAATGTAATCGGGGATTGGGGAATACAGTACTGTACCTTTAAAAACTAAAAGCTCCTACTGCACATACAGTACTGTACTGTACAGTACTGTACGTACTGTACTGTAACTTCTGCACAGTAAAGTAGCAAATCATTTTTATTCATCACACAGTCAGTAGTGGTGTTGATACGGATGAAGAACTCCTAAAAATGGTAAAAAATTTAAAAATTTATTTCGGCTATCTTAGCGTAAAGCATTATTTTTTTCATAAACGATTTAAGTGCTAACTATTCTTTTATAGTCGTAATTTAGAGATTTTAAAGTTGTGCCTTTACTTTTATTCCTTTCTGACCCGTCAGATAGCTAAACTCACAGCATAGTAATCGCAAGACAGTACACTGTACACGAAACCGGATAATTTACATCAGACAAAAATTGTCAAATTGTCCTATACCGCGCAGTACAATCAATGTACTGTACATGTACGCGTATACAGAATTTCAAGCTTAGTGAACACGCCTTTCATCCATTACTATACTACACTGTTCTCATAGAAGTTGTTCATCATGCATATACAAAATGTTCGAAGAGCCATATTGAATCTATAGTAATTACATTAGCGTATTTTACTTTTTCTCTTAGGCTGCGACATTAAAACCTTACCTAAATGCTGTCAGATCTTCTTTGACTGCTGCCATGTGTCTTCAGAACTTTTCCTCTCAAGTTATTGAACGGCACAACAAACCTGAAGTTGAGGTCGGAAGCAGTAAGGAGTTGCTCTTAACACCGATTATTATCAGCCGTAATGAAAAGGAAAGAGTGCTGATTGAAAGCTCTATCAATTCCATCCGTGTTAGTATTGCGGTTAAACAGGCCGACGAAATTGAGAAGATACTATGCCACAAGTTTATGCGTTTCATGATGCTGCGTGCTGAGAATTTCATTATTTTAAGACGAACACCAATGCAGGTATAAATATTACCGTTTATCTGTTGTACTGCTTTGAAATTTTGCTGAAAATGATATAGAATAAACTTAACATTTTTCAGGACTATGACATTAGCTTTTTAATTACCAACTTTCACACGGAAATGATGCTGAAACATAAATTAGTTGATTTCGTGATTCACGTAAGTACCCTGGCAAAGAATTGATGTAAGCCGTTAGTTTTAATCTATGCATAAAGAATGTTGCTTTAACAGTAGAAACTGATTTACATTCTGAAATTGACAGTTCATGGAAGATATTGATAAGGAAATAAGCGAAATGAAGCTTGCAGTCAACGCACGCGCTCGTATATGCGCGGAAGAATTTCTTAAAACGGTAAATTCTAGATACTTCAGTGCAATTAGTGATCATACTTATTCGCATTATTTTGCTTATCCATTTACGATTAAAATTGATCTTTTCGCCTTTTTTATAACTTCGGGCTTATTTCTTTTAGTTTTAGTCGTAGGTACACGACTATTCAAGAAGAATGATTTCTTGCTTTTCAAATAATTAAGTCTGACTGATTTGAAACTCGAGTTTAAGAAATACGTTCGTCATATCTCGAATCGGCTATTACATCTGCTGCTATTGATCTTTTCCTAGGGGGCATAAATTTTATGCTAAAGTATTATGAGCGCTATTACCTAGAATTGATCTGCTTTATTTATAATTAATCGAAATTAATTGCATCGATTATTTACAGATCACAGTACTTATTAAAACTAAGATAATCAACTAACCTTTAAGCGAAATCTTCTATTTTAATACAACTATTGGTGTTCTGAGAAAACACCTCCTATTAATGATTTTTTAATTACTTACAAAGGAGTATGACAGCGTAGAAAAAGACTAGTGACTGAAATCATTCTAATCCGTTCGAAATAAATGTATTTGTATACATGCTCTACAGAAATGCAATTGTTTCTCTTATACAATGTATGCAGTGTATGTAGCGTACAAGGTTACATAAATTACTTAAATATAAGGAATCCAAAAGGACCACGGACTTCTACGCATTAATTTATAAACTGATACGCTCATGACATATCAAAGATCGATACGATTCAGACAGGCTGCAATAACTATCAGTTATTAAATGCTTACGTATCAATAGGTAGAACTAAATTGCCACATTTATTTAATTTACAGAGACTTTAATTCTTTTTAGATCACTACTATGGCCAAAGTGCTTCAGCACTACATAAAGGAGATGTTAGTACGATATTTATAACGCAGCAAAGTTATATCCGAAGAAATTTATAACATGAAATCAGTCATATTAATCACGATATTCGGTAATTTAAGAAGCTAGTTATCATAATGTTAACGTATGTCTTGCGTATGCATTACGTATCGTATTAGGTTAGAGAATAAATCTGATTAAATAATTAACAAATTTAGCAAAGCTTACAATTCCTTCAATGTAATAAGTACGCTAAAGGTGTAAAAGCCGACAAATACTTAGTCCATCCTTCGTAAGTTATTAAGAGTGAATCATTTATATATGAAAATTGGATTACAAGCATTGTAGTTATCAATATTCACAATAAAGTGTTGTGCCGCTTACTATGTGATACGCAAAAACTAATGATAAAGCAAGAATGAATCACAATTTTGCATACTAAATCTTTATGACTATTTTAATATTAACTGGATGTGTTACAGGAACCCTTTAAATTATTTAATGGTACCAAAATTTGATTTGGATCATAGTAGACATCTAGATCTTCAATTTGCATTTTCTGATTAACTCGAACAACTGCAGCGCCAAACATTTCCAAAGTTTTCCCCGAGGGAGGGTTACCTTTGTACGATCCATTCCATTTTGCCCAGTGTCTCCAGGTAAATGCAACCACTGGAGGACCTAAAAATCGAACATTTCATTTTAAATTCTCAACCTTATACTGTGCTGAAGATGATAAAAGCAGCACAGCGTTTTAGCGAATATTAAAGTACATGCCATCACTAAAGTGTTGCCTTATCACTCATATAAAACATGTATTAAAATATACCTGAGTAAACATCGAGGACTTCCCAAGAAAATCCATCTCGAAATGCCCCTCGAAAATTTTCATGAGAGGACTGGAAAGTATGAGTATTGGCATCATAGAGGGGCTGACCTTGCATCAAGCAGTTATAACTTCCGAGTTTGATTAAGTTTTCTACACTAAATTTTTTACCCTTATTCGTTCGTAGGCAAAATTTTTGGGTATCAACCGATTTCCAATCCTAATTAATATATGCATCAAAGCTGAGAGCAATTGCACTCTAATTAACATTACTAGAACTAAAAGCCTTGAATGGTTATAGTTACAATAATTCACTGACACAGAACACTGGAAATTAGACAAAATCATTTTTAAGTCTAATTAACCTTGACGAGTACTTTGTGAGAAGCCTCCATCTCCCATGTCTTCACTAAATTTTCTACCGTAATTTCAAGAGAATCCTCCTTGTGATTTCTGGTTTTTTCGTTCATGAAGAGTCGATCGAGTTCGCTGAAGTCCGGCTTACTAGTCCTCCACTTTATAGGACCGCTCATGAAATTTCTCTTTGGTAGTACTGTTCGCAATCTCTGTTTAGATTTTTCCTAAATTAAATCAGGCAACGTGTTTAATTTAAAAAGATATTTATCGTTGTCTATAATTACAAGATTTTGCAATGCACTATAGAAAGGCAATACTTACAATAGGTTATTGCCTGACTATAGTTACAAATTGATGAACGAACAGAAAATTTAAGTTTATCGATTCTGCTACGAGTAAAGAGTAACGGTTAAAAACATTCGAACTACCTTACGCTCGGTTGACATAACATAAAACACAGCAATTGTAATAAGTAATAATGCCACCAAAGTCATTCCTATGGAGGCATGATTCATTAGCTCGATCATGGTTGACATTGTCTCGTGTTTCAGAAATTGCTTTACAAGATGTACGCAGAATATAGCTTTGACGTGTCTGAGAACGTTTGTATATAGTCTATCCACGGCCTACTAGCTAAGCTTTATACTGTGGCTATCGCAGCAATGTAGCTGGGGGATGGATCGATTTATTACCGTGAATAAGGTAAGTTTTATGTATTATTTGTATAAAATACTATACATACTGTATCTGTATGTCTGTAAACTGATATCCTTAACAGCAATCTGCTACGCATTACAAATATTTCGGAATCGTAATCTGTTAATTATTAATCAATCAAATAGGGTAAATAAAAATTTTTATGAAGATAAATTTAGCAATACAGTGCTGCAGTTTATAATCAATTGATTAATAAGCATGCTTATTTTATGAACACCCTCAATTAAAATCTTGAAATCATCGACTGTTTAGTTTGTATAGTATTATGCCATAATCAATGAATTAAAATATTTTTAAATATTTGGAAAGTTCGACTATCCTTACCTTACTTTTTACCTAAAGTAAATAGGTATAAATATAATTTAAAGTTACGAGTACAATTAGGCTATATGTTTGCAGATACAATTTTTCGTAATTATGACGGGCATAAGCAGTGATACTGTATTGCACAATATTCTGGACATGCTTGGTATGTATGACAGTAATCTATAAAGTAAAAACGACGATACGATAAAAATGAACGTCAGAGAAATTTGTTACATCGAGCACATTTTACAGTACAGTATAAGCTTATTTACGTTTGAATCAAATATTTTTGATTCATTAATACTGTACTTACGTATTAGTAAACTATTTAAAGAATTTAGTTATAATTGACAAGATTGCGTTCGCACAATATCGTGCAGTAATAATCGCGGATTACAAAAATCGAAATCTATGCGAACAACATTTCATACTCGCGTTGTACTGTTGCAATAATTTTCGTCGACACCGAGATGAAACATTAGCGAATTACCCGTTATCATGACTTCTATCTCTGCTGCAAGCTTATCCGATCAACTGTTTTAATACGACATCAATCAATCAATCAAATTCTCGGATCTATGATTTTTCTCGTCCATATGAATGACTGCCGAATTATTATTAATGTACTGTACATTAACGATTTGGGATACTGTAAAAGATTGTATCAGTCTCTGAGGCAGTGCAGAAAAAAATAAAAAATTCTGTAATTTACTGGTGATGGTGAATTCCCTAATAATGTGTAGCTTTCAAATGAATCGCTAAGCTAATATTTATAGAGTTCTTACTGTTGCATTACTGAATTGCAACACAGTATACGGAACTACTGAACTGTAGAGAAAACTAGCAAGTAAAACGATCTATAAGTGGTACACATACCGATAATTATTGCACTTTCTGTACAGTATAGCACGATACAGTACATACTACATGTAGTAAAGGGTATTTGCAAAATTAGAATCGAAGCTTTGCGCTAGAAAATCAGTCCAGTAATTCACCTTATCAGTTTATCTTTTAATTTATGGTTATGATTGATCATTTTTACTTTATCAGAAAAGTTATCGTTTATAGTTTATCTAATTATCTTTTCGTAATTAACGATTATTCTATACAGTCAAAGTTAGTAAAGGCTACTTCTAAATTTGTTGATACCTCACAACTACCTCACATCGTAGTAAGCTCATCTGCCTAAAGCCAAGGACCCTAAAAAATTGGAGCCACAAAGCTGGAATCTTAAAGCATTGAGTGGTTCCGCGATTAAGCCGGACAAACCAAAAACTTTGAGGGTAGGGATTTCTTGCCATACCAAAAAGATTGTTAAAGGAGAGCAGGAGTAAAGCTACTCACACTGTAATCTGCTTCAAAGTACTATTAGATATCGTTTATTAAAGTTGATTGGTTACTAATCGATGTTTTAAAAATAGTGGTTTACACAGTGTAATTATGAACTAGATTCAAAAAGTTAAAACTTCATCGTGCGTAACGTTTAACTACCTACTCGGTTATTACAGTACTAAATCTATGACAGTATGCGCACATTTGCCTATGCAAGCCTAGCTTCTGCTTTTGACTTAAGACTTAATAAACACTGTATATGCAGTACTATACTGCATGTCATTCATTCTCACTAATCATTACGACTCCAGGGTATTGTACAGTATAACATAATCTCCATGTACATGTTTCAAAATAAAAAGATTGCTTTATAAGGCACTTCCTTCACAGATCATCGTCGATGTTTAATCATGATCATACATAAGAGCATAGCCTTAGGTGTTAGTCTAGCTGCCATAGTACCATACTGTTTTATTGGAATACCGCTAAGCGCCAGATATGACGTAATTCGGATTTATAACCGTCGTAACGCGGTAGTGGTTTGATAAGGTAACTCGAGTTAAAGTCTTGCTATATTTAATATTCCCTATGTTCGTGCTTTTTCAGTAACGAATTTCCATTTATAACCAATATTTATCAATTAGAACACTATAGGATATCTGCTCTATTAAGAGACAATAAAACTATAAAACTCAATTGCATGCATATAGGACACGCATAAGCCGTTATAAGTTATCGCAAGTTGCTAATACATACGTTGCACTAATTTAAATCAACATGCTTATCATAAATCGTAGGATAACAAAACACTATAAAAATATCATTAGAGGCAGAAATATTCGGCAATATCAGAAGTTTTCAATAGAAAACTGAATATTTCAGTTATTTTAACAATAGCCAAAACTAATCGCCAAGAGTTACATCTTTAATGTAACTTTACTGTATGATTATCGCTAATAAATATTTTCCATTCTATATGACTGATGAAAGTAAACAGTCCATTACTACCAAATTAAAATCATGTTTATTGCTGAAATAATACGAATTCTACCGTTTTACAAATAAAAACGCTTCGGAAAGTGCACCTGTATATGCAGATGTTGCACCTAAATTGCCGATTACAATATCCTGTGCGAACGACTATCTTTAGAATCGAAGTATGGTTAGGAAACAAAGGGTAATTGCTAAACAATTTAAAGTTTCAGATTTTGATAATAATGAATAAGATCAACAGCAAAATGTTATAAGTGTATACTGTGCATCTTGCAAAAGGCTTCCACCTGAAACATATTAAATAAAGATATTTAAGACATTGAAAGTAAGCTGAGATAGTTGTAAGTAGTTCAAATTTAAGGACAGTTGAGTAATTATTTAGCTGTAGCAACGGTACGCTAACTGTGAACTGTTTGAAGGTTACTTCACAAAATGCGTACAAATAACTAGCTTTAATGTTTACCTTGCATAATCTTGCAAAATTACTATTTAAGCACCAAACCTTCGGACCTTTCTTACACATATTCGAAATAGATTCTGCAGTCAGGGCAGAACTATTGCTGCATAACCCAAGGAACTGTCAAGAAATGTGATATTTAGGTCATCTCTTAACTTTTCAGCTTTAATATCTACTTAGATAAACTTGCTTATAAAGCATGTAATTATAGTATATCCGCGTAATTACTACAGTGCGTAATAAATCCATGTAATTGCTTGTCATCTAATATTACTTTAAATTTAAGGCTACCAAGACAATTTGGAAGCTTTTACCGCAAACTTACTGAACAGACTTCCTTTGGATTACTAATTTCAGAAGCCAGCAAAGCAATTACAGCTGGAGCATATTTCTTCACGAACGTATTACACTAAGGAAAGTAGCATGTTAGCAACGTAACTAGAGAAACGTTCAAAATTTGTTGCTTACATCGGATTCGAGGCTTCCAGGCAAGAAATTGCAAACTTTATCAAGAGTGCTAATAATTTCTTGCTAAAATTTGTGAAAGTTGTAAACAATAAAAATGTCATTTGCAAAAACAGATAATGCTAATAATTACTTATAGTGAAACTATACCTCCGTTGCGTTTTGCGTAAGTAAACTATCGATGTACTGAACGGCAATTTCACAAACTGTGCATAAACCAGACAAGCCTACCTTTTCTAGAATAGGTAGAAACCAAACATAAAAATTACCCAAAACTTGCAATACTTCACGTAAGGTCAAGAGCACAAACTCTCTTTATAATATGAGTATAGTATTTGAGCACTATCGTTAATCAATTATAGATAAATAACTTTCGTGAGGTAAACGTGGCTAATAAAGTACCTTCCAATTTTGGTTTACTATTAGAACATAAGCCAAGCAAGCTACAAATTTCCTTAGGTGGTGTCTTATTAAAAAGAAGTCGTAGAACAGCAGCCCCGTAGTCTTCCATAAATGCTTTACACTAGCGTCAAATATTTAATGATCAAAAACACTCGCGCAAGGTATGCAGTAAGTAACGCTTAATCTATACTGTAGTGTCAAAAGTCAATGATTACTTAACATTTTAAAATGACTTTAACAATTTTGAACGCATACATATTTTGAAAGCATTTTAATCCGAAATGTAACTATTATACCGTCGTCCTGGTATCACTAGGAAATATACCACAAACTTGATCAACAGTGTGCAATATTTGGGTCTATGTTATGAGAAAAAAACGTCAAGATAAAAGCAGTATTTGTATAAGAGCTCATAATTCTATGCATACCTCCGTTGCATTATTTCCAAGTAATTGATCTATCACGTTTATGACCAAGGCACATGTACCACATTCCCCAGAATTTTTTCTCTACAAGTTAAAATACTAAGTTACTGTGTATCTAATTGCTCCATAAAAATCAACAAAAACAGTTCTAATACGTTATATGGCACTAACTTAAGTAAACACCGTATAATACACTGCTATAGCCTCAGTCGGTCAATAGTTACAATAAAATTTGTGGTAATTGACTAGAAGATTCACTGTGTATTTAAAAAGACCTTCATGGTTACTGCAGCCAGTTGATGTAACATTCGCTACGGATCTTTTGCTTTGGTTGTAGTAGTACGTAGCAATTAACTGAATCTTTGAACTACGTTTTTGTTGGTAAAGGGATTACAACTAATCATATATACTTGTATCTTAAATTTATAGATTGTCATTTAGCTTAGAATTTCAAATCGTAAAGAAGATCTTAAATTTGCTATCACTAGGTCGTCATAATCCGTACATTACATTACGATAATAATACTAGCACAAAGACAGTAAGAACTTTCATTTTAGCTTAACTACATACCTCAGGCTGTGACACGGCATTAGATCTTTCTTGGCTTTGTAGTGATTTAGCTTGAAAAAGTTTGACTAAGGGAAGTGCACTGTTACTGCACATCCCCAAAGTCTGACATAATGTGCTGGGATTCTATAAAATTAAGTTTTCCGTAACTAAATTGTAGTAGTGTGAATTTCGTTAACAAAATCTTAGCGTCGCAGGTTTATAAATATCATGAAAACCTTAGGTAAGTTGAAACTCAATGATAGTTACAGAATAATCAAATGCCATAATGTCATAAGAAGAAAACATATGCATTCCATTGCTCTATTTTTAATAATTATGGTGGTAAATTACTCACGATAGTCTTGGTCAGAAATAATAATATTTTTGGTTCGTACTTAGCTACGAAGTTTTTGCACTAGATTTAAAAATGAAGATAAAAACAGGTTTAGGTGAATAGAATCTTCAATTATATAACACTACAGTACTACAAGAACAAAGTCGAAAGGTTAAAATTTACAACGGCAGCTTCAATAAAATTTAGTGACGAGCAGAAACCATCAAAGAATTTCAGTACTTCTTTCTGAAAGAATTTAGATCGTGTATTAGTAATGTTTAATTAATAAGATTCTGGAAGGCTTCAAGTTTTACGACACAGTGAACGTGTACGTGAAACCAGGATTGCCATAACTCCTTCTACGTTACGTTTAACGCAACGCCACAATTATAAATCAAAGGCTGCGGTTTTAAACTAGGTGTACGTATAGCTATAGATGATTACACGATGTATGCGGCGTGCTAAAAACACTTCAAAATTGCAGTTTGAAATCCTCTAACAATTCTTACCCGAGTAGATGTTTTATTTAGGAATTCCACAGCATTCTCCACTGATTTCTTACACGAGTTGCAGGCGTTACTATTTTCAGCCGTTCCACGTACAGATGCTTAAGCATAACAAAATCAAAACATAATAATATTAAAGAGTATATCATGGGTATATCTATAAACCATTGTAGACACTCTATACTATAATGAACCATTTTGTGTAAAACATTGTCATGCAGCACAGTATAGTCATTCATTGCTGTTGGCAAATGGTTTCAGCCACTAATGACAAGCCTGTATGAGTAGTATTGTACATCTAATGTTATATATTAAGCACCACAGAAACCAGATTTGTTTCGTTGTTACAATGCTACACTAACTATACTGATCACGGTTCCATGACAACATACCAATAACTAACAAAATCCTTCAACAACTGTAATTATGCTCGTGTACGACGTGTAGTATACTACAGTATATTTCCTAGCCGCTAATGGTTAGGTCAATAAATTAAGATTATCTGTCCGTCATCTTGTAGGTTTTTCACAATAAATTGTGCGATAAAAATGTAGACAGTACGAATATAATCAAGAAATAAAACCGTTCATGAATAATTTCTAAGAAACAACACAGACAGAATAACTCAACATTTTATCACCTGAAAATACTGCGATGAATACAGAGAGAAAAATAGCCAACTTTAATTTCATCGCCAATATGAGGTGCGGTGTTCTTCGGTAAACGGTAAAACTGAATGATTATAATCGCAAGTTTAACACAGCGAATGCTGATTTTAAAAGGATCCTTGCTCTTAACTTTAACTTTAACAAATTACAGTGCGCGATACTGTTAAAAGAAAGGTCGTAGAGACGCTGTGTAATCACTTATCCAGTGCGTGTGCGTAAATAACATGATAATCACATGACTTTCATTCAATGATAGCACTGTACAGTACAGTGTACGGTATGGTACGTGATGCAAAAATACTGTATCTACGGTACGGTACTGTATTGTACTGTACGTACTGTACAGTACACTGTACGGTCTATAGTACTGTTTATAGTTACTAGAACCAAATTACGACGTTATCAAGCATCAGTTAAGAATTAGCATTATTAATTAATAGTTATTAAGTTATAGTCCTATAATGGTATAGCAATTGTAATTAAGTACTATTTGATGATAGCTATCGAGCGTCGATTACATTTATAAATATATTTATTATTGAGAAATGAAAATTACAGAAATAGAATCAGGAAGATTAATAATTATAATCACTATCAAGCTATGGTTATCATAGATCAAGTATATTGATGTACTAGTATTAGAATAGTATTAATTATTAGAATAATGTTTCGTATCGATATCATCAAAGAGTTAATCGTTAGAATCAACTGATATACTGTATGTACTATACGACGGTTATTAACTTAAGTAAGGCCTATAAGAATATTAAAGAGTACTAATTATTATAATTAGAATCACATTCGTGTTAACAGCATCAAAGATTTATCGCCAGAACTAACTACCGCATTTACTGGGATAAGCGCTTATTAATGACTAATTAATTATACAAGATTTAGAATGGGATGAGAGATCAATTGTGAGTTAATGATGTTAATTCACGATTAATCTTTCTTTTATGGTTTATTAATATTCCTATTACAGTACCAAGGTTACAATAATTCTTATTTCAAACAGCTGACGATCCAATTGATAATTAATATGATCGACCCTTATTACTTATCCTATTAAATGCCTAATTCTAAATATAGTACTTAATACTCCATTACTGTTATTTTAGGCCGTAATCAATAATAGCAGTTGAAGATTGGCGTTTTGTCATCCTTCATGACATGTGATTCCAATCAGTAAGCATTATAAAAACATCTCAATGCTGTCCCAATTCATTCTTAAATACTTTTTAATCATTAAATCCTACTTAGCAAATAGGTCATATCTGCGAAGGGGTTCTGTTCAATGACAATCAGGGAAGCTTTCTGCTATTTTTCGTTAAGAAAATAAATATCAACATATCTGCTACAGCTTACAGTATATGACCACGGTATCTATAGAGCTATAAAAATATTCGAAAACTGTTGCAATTCCTTCTTAAATGCTTTTCTAATAATAATCAAAACAAAGGCAATACTTTTAAAAAGTAAATGGCTTCTGCTCAATGACGTAGAGCTTTCTACTTAATTTAATTAGCAAACTGTATATATAGCCTTTAGCGAATTATTATGGTTTTTCGTCCTATACAATACTTACTGACTATGCGAATTATCCCCTATCGTAGTATATTAAAGCAAATAAAATCTTCCAAAAATCTTTATTTAATATTATTAATGTATATGTCAGTCTGGATCGCTCAGCCAACTGCTGCGTTATACTTTTAAAAACAGCTAAATTATTTGATTATTACAATTCCAGCGGGTTTCGTGTTTCTTTTAACTATTAATGAAAAGAAAATGGAAAGTTCTGATTTTATAGAGTATGTACGGTAAAAGTACAGTATGTGAGACATAATTTTATTCAAGGAAGTATTCTTTCATTCTAGACGGAATCATTTGCAAATTTACATGTGAGCGGCTATTTTAGAAATTGATTCGAAATTTTCAGTAACCCGATAACATTTGGTATCACAATTGCTGCTATGCCAAGGTTTGTTAGGATAAATGATGGCAGAGCTTCGGGCATACTGACATCATAGCAGAAATATTGATAAATAGAGAGACTGAAACTAATTATCCCCAGAAAGATAGTCTGAGCAGCAAATAGAGAATAAATGGTCCCCTAGAGAAAAGAATAAGTAAAGAAAGTCGTTAGAATATACTGATTCAGATTATATAAATAATTTCCTATTTACTTTAGTTAGTATTTTATAGTGCACAAATATCTTACGATTGACTTAGTATTAGAATATACTGCATATAGTCCAAATCTTCCCGATGTTAGAGCCTTAAATATAGAATATAGTACTTTTACTTATTTTCGTTTTAAGATTAATTATATGAGTTATACTATCAAAATAATTCTTAACCCATACAAAAGCTGCCAAAAGGAAATTTAAGGAGATGCCATAGTATTTATTTAAAATATATTGTTGAAAGACCATAAAAATGCTTAGTGTTATTCCTGTTACTATAGATGAAATAGCAGCTCGATACACGAAGATAAGATTTCCCTCTCTCCAGTTTTGGCTGTGAGTTACATACGTTCGCCACTCAGTGATATTTATGTTTTTTTCAATTGCCAATGATTCACGCGTAGTTACAGCGCAGGAAATTGACACAATAACAACTGTGAATGTACTAATAAGAATATGAAAAACATATAAAATCCCGGAAGTTAAATAGGTAAGAAAATTTAGTGAAAATATGATCAGGGATATAGCTGTTATAGTCTGGGTAAATCTTGATAAAACCAATAGCCAAATAACCTACATGCAGTGAAGAAAAATATTGTGTAAATAAAGAATTTTACGTCAGCGTTAATATCGTATAGCTGCACGTCTTCAGATTATTGATAATTATGATATTATTACATAATATTAAGCTACTTTATACTGCACGATGCCAATATTTCAGCAAACGATACCAAAGTGTACTATGAATCGCGAATTCCTCAGGTAATTTATCTCATTAATGAAAATGATAGTAACGAAAATTTGATTTAAATTTAAGGAAATCTGAACTTCTGTAAATATCGTAGTGATCACAAAGGGATCTTTGAAACTATATAGTAGATCTTAAAGATATCTATAAAAATGCTCTTACAAACTCATTGGTTGTTACTACCAATATTCCGGTTACAGACGTAGAAACTACCTGTACAAATTAAATAAACTTAAAATCTAATAATTATTGGCTATACAATAATTAAAAAAATGCAAAAAAATTAATATAGGAAATCACAAACCAAAACACAATTCAGCCCGGGCAAATTTGCAAAGTGCAAGTTTAAAAACGTAGACATAATACTCATTGCAGCTAATAAACTGCTACAGATAATAAGTCGAGCCGTTGCTGTTTTGTGTATGTTCTTTAGCTTTAAGGGCCTATTACGAAAATTGGGATTGATAACGTCATTGACTTCTGTATTTCTGCTTTCTTCAAACGCTGCACTTTCGATGCTTTCTTTTAAAAAGTAAAAGTATTTCTTAATACTACAAGACGAAGCCACAATACCAACGATAAAAAAAACTGAATTTATAATTAGTAAAGTGATTATTCTGCTATCATCTGATGCTTCTGTCTGGCACCAAAACCTAAGAACTTCAACTTCAAATAGGATTGCAGCGCCAATACTGACTACGTTAAAGACAATCACTGATTGGACCTATAAAATTTAATTTACAATATTCTTTGTGTTCACTAAAGCAATTCATGACATATATTTTAAAAAAATATCCATTTCTTACTAGAAATGCTACTTTGGAATGTTGTTTACAGGCAAATGCAGCAAGCGAAGTATAGATTGCTAAAAAAATATAATATTAACACGACCTGGAATTAATATTACAGGAGCAGACAGCGACTACAGCTACTGTACTTACTGTTACTAATTGAAGCGATAATCCGGTTACCGGCGGCTCATCATTTGCATTCTTACTAACATTAAGAGCCATGTTTATAGCCATCATGGTAAAACACATGCAACTAATTAGTGCATGGCTTCCTCCGTAAAACACATGATCAAGAGCCATGACCAAAGGATGCAAGTATAACAATCAAAAGAACACCCAATATCTTCCGTAGATGCAAAAACTGATCAGGATAGTTATGACTCGACCACGACGTGCTAATTTTACAAACCTCTTCCAATTTCTTATCCAGAGATTAATTAATGTTATATTTAAAGCATTCTGATGGGAACATACGATCAACTGTAAATAACGAAATTCGCGATTAATGTCTCTTGCAGAATTTGTTTAGATTTCTACTCAAATGAGGACTACTGAATAAAACTTAAAAAAACAGTCGATGTTCTGGGAAGTCTCTCATTAAAAATAGTGATTTGGCAATTTCCGTCCAAATTCACTTATTTCCTGCAAGTAGAGGTAAACACTTGGCTTCCCTCAAGTTCTTAATTTTTATAAAAAAAGTTTTGTTTTAAAGGTATCTATGTGCGCATGTAGAGGCGATTGGTATTATTGATGGCTATTTATAAACTTTTATGACATCACTTTTAAGCCAGATTGTGAAAGTAAACAAATTTTTATATATGAACAGACGCTCTTCGAAGACCGAAGTCAAATAAAATATATTGTTTTTATCTTACTTTTTCGAAAACGATTTCTGATAATACGAAATTATTTTTGTAATGGAAAAGATGGCATTATTAATCGGCTATAGCCAGGTAATACTCAGCTTAATAGAAGTTATCGGTATGTTTGTTTCTCTGGCTATGGCTCCAATACCTCAAATGAAAATTTCAAATCATAACATGATATATACAGGATTTTTAAGTTCTGCGGTATGGAATCTGTATGTGAAGTTTTATCAGTTTTTGAGATAGCACCTGAGAAATTTTTCTTTCGTGTAATAGTTGTTTACATCCGGGATTTGCAGTATAAATTCAAGGAAACGAGCGACTAGTGCAATGGTAACCACAATTTGGGCACATTATATTTTAATGTATATTCTTACACGTATTCTACTTTTCCATCTTTTTAGCTAACTGGAATAGTAACATTTTCAGTAATATCCGGATTTTATTGCTGCGTGGATGTTGTCCGTTACGGTTACGTGATTGTTGTAAATATTGTACATAGGAACACGACAAATTCATTTGTAATGCCTCCAATTATTTGTGCGCTAGCGATAGTTTGTTTCATAGCCAGCATGAGTGCAATTCTATATAATGTGAAAATTTTAGATAACATCTGCCGTTACAGTACTTCTCGTATGACAGCATTTCAAGCCAATGTAATTGCAAAATCATTTGTTGGTCCGGTCACCACGGCCACAACGATCAATGTTCGTCATAAAAGTGAAATAAAAATGGCTATTATGCAAGGCGTTGGAGGCGTATTGCTATTCATAATAGGTATTACCAGCATTTTCGTGTTGGATGGACACTTCGCTTCCTTTGCAGTCATTGATGCCATTTTGGTAAATCAAAATGCCTGTCATAAACAATCAATTGTTATCGTGACTGGATTTTTTTACTCTAAATTTTATTTGTGAACGTAGTTCATGTCTAGCAGTTACCTCGGTTTACTAAAAGTGAAAAGGAGGAAGCCAGGAGTAGTAAGTTTATTGAATTTTGTGTTAAATCAAAATAAACACAGTTATTTTAAGAGACTTATGCAATCGCCCTTGATTGTTTTGTATAGCTTGTATGGTTTCTTGTTACCTCAAGGTTATGTCGAACTGTTACTATTATGGCAATAACTCATTCAACTTACGAACTTACCCGCAGAATTTACTATAATGGAGTTAATTCAAACGTTTTCGGAATTTACTGTCCACTCATTTCAATTACGATATACTGCCTAATTTCTACTTCATATACAACTACGGCAGTTGAGCGCCAATTAAGAATCCAAAGTTGGTCTTTCGGCAAAGCCTATCTGTCGAGGAATATCTATGATGTGATTAATTTTAGATTAGGCTGCCTGATGCTTATTAATGGGCTATCATTACTGTTGATCGGCTTAATTTATCTACTTACAATTTCTTTCAAGATACACGTAACAATGGCAATTTATTTAGCTTGCTTGGTAATTTACCATTTAGAAATTAAATTTTCTATTCATAATAATATATGGGAAAATTCTATTATAAACTCAAAATTTCTCAATCATAGCTGTGTGTTACGGGCGGGTTCGGAATAAATGCCGCTGATATAAGATCAGAGCAAGTGGTGAGAGAAAACAATCGTTACTCTCATTTTTACAGGGTAGATTCTGAATAACCTGAATTGTCTGACTTTTTTCCAGGAGACAGCTTTCATGGCACTTTCATCATATGTCGTAATGGTATCTACAATAACTATAGGTATCATCGTATACCAATACACTACAGCAGATTATGAAGGGCTTCAATTAGCATTGTTAATGATGGCATTAGCACTTTCCGTTGTTGCCGTAGTATGTGCGGGCATTGCAGCTTCCTGTGCAGGCAGGCACAGTGGATCATGCTGTGGCGGAAGGAAGGTTAGAATTTGTAAAGTTAAAAACGCCTAGCTACTACTATTAAGTGCGTAAACATGGTACTGTATCTATTTTAATTAAAGTTAAAAACTCTTAGCTACTACCATCAAGTGTTTTCAAATAAGTACAGTTTCGAATTTTTTAAGTTTAAAAACACCTAGCCACTACAATTTAAAATCGTATAATAAAGTACAGTTTCTTATCCACCTAGGACACTTCGGCGGAAGATGAACGGATGTAGAATCAATTATCAACTAAGTAATATTGTATTTTAATGTTTAACTGACATGTATTTGATGTTATTCTTCAAAACAAAAAATAATATGCGGTAGATTATTCATTAAAAACCTGTCTGTAGCAGGCATAGCTAGCTGCAGTACTGTGATGACCTCGCTTAGCTTTTTAATTGATTGCGTTGAACGTATTAAAAAACATCAAGTACTAGCGCCATACCCCTTCAGTTCTTTAGAATGTATGTCATTTATCAGGATTAGGTTAAAAAAACAAGGATATACGGTTCAAAATTTTACCTATAGATTTTGATTTAATAAAACTTCTGAATTCTTTTAAGCAAATAACAATGTAATATGTAGAAAAAGTGTTTATACAGGCTTGTACAATATTTCGATTTAGTTTTTCTTGTAAAGCTAAAAATTTGTAACAATAACGTAGTTTTAGTTTCGAATTAAAACTATAAAAACAGTTTACGAGAAAATTGAAGATAAGTAGTCAACACGACAATCATTTTTAATTTTATACTTACAGTATAATATGCTGCTTAATTTATATAAACACACATATATATAAGTATATAAAATCGTTAATAACACATCTGCAGTATACGTACTCGTACGTAAATAACGAACGTAAATTTCAATAATAAGCAACATATTTTTGTTAAAAGTTATCGTCCCATCCACTAGTCTCGTCTGTCGGTAGCTCATTGCTTTGATCAAAGGTATCAAAATTTGAATGGTCTAATGGACCGTTAATCTATAGGAATTTATAGTTAATGTGAACGTATCTATAATTTAAAGAAATCCATTCCATATTTATTTCAAAAATTAAAAACAAATTTTACCGTTGGTTGCATGGGCGACTTTAATTCCCGTTTTCTTAGACCGTTCCAATCAAATCCCTGAAACCACCTAAATAGTTTACATTGGTTTAGTTAAATGTGTTTTACAAATGTTTTTCCTACGACTAGTCGTACACAGAAAAGTCGTACTTGTGCTTCTGAATGTCTTTAATACCGTTCTTTTGATAACCTATTCTTTCTGCCGGGTTTTCTCTATTGAATGCGATATTTGTATGTAAGTCTTATTTATAAGTTACTTAAATATTACATATTAAATGTCTTTTAGTACTTGCACAATTTTCTGATTAAGTTTTGCGCATTTTTGCCAATCTTTCGCGGAAAATCGACGCGATCTATGCCTCGCAGTATTAAATTATATGTTTTCATCGGGTCATCGGATGTAAAGGGTGGGCTAGTTAAATAAATTGCATGTTATTACAAAATACGATCAATTTTGGTAGACCTGATTTAACGCTAACCTTCCAGTTAATAATTCGAAAATTAAAATCCCTAAGCCCCAGTAATCAGCACAAAAGTTATGGCCTCTATTTAAAATTACTTCTGGAGATACATATTCGGGTGTCCCACAAAATGTCCAAGTTTTACTTCCGAGTCCGACTTTTTTAGCAAAACCAAAATCGACCTAATAAAATTGACTAAATTCTTAGATGCATTTAATAATTTCATTTCTCCATTTCACATCAGCCTTCTACTTTAATTCGTTAAGTATAACTTACCAATTTTACATAGCCGATTGAGTCTAAGAGCAAATTTTCAGGCTGATAGGAAGGATAGAACGAAAATAAAATTCGAATATTTTAGCGTAATTCCATAATTGTAATGGTAAACTTGACTCTTAATCAACTATTAGAGTTTTGATTCTATGCAAAATGTACAAATAATTGTAATGGTAAACTTGACTCGTAATCAACTATTAGAGTTTTGATTATATGCTAAATGTATGATATATGTATTGTACAATTTGCATAGAATCAAAACTCTAATAGTTGATTAAGAGTCAAGTTTACCATTACAATTACATAATAAGGAATAATACCTTAAGATCCCTATAAACTATTCCTCTGACGTGGAGATAATCAAATGCCTCTACCACGCAAGCGGTAAAAAATCTCGTGCTATTCTCATCAAAATTTCCTCTGTTATTATGTATATTAATAAAATCATTATTTTCAGTTCATGGACAAACAACATACGGAGTAGACTTACATCCAAATTATGCCCATTAAAAATATATACCTGTCTCTTAAGATGGTCCACAATTCACCACCTAAACAGACTTCCATCAACATGTATACAAATTTTTTATCCTTGAAGGTTCTATATAATCTACATAGAAATAAAGGACTAATTAAAATTCTACGTACAAACTTCAGTTAAAAATCATAATAAATTTATGTAATATCATACTTCACGACAAACGGAGAAGTTAGTTCCGTTAATAACTTCTTCTCAGAGAAAACGTGCTCCTGCTGTTTTGTTTCCACAATATGTCTTTTCTTCATACATTTTAACGCAAATGATCTCGATTTATCTTTCACTAGTGTCACCTTTCGGAAAAAATTTGTATTATGAATAGTAACAGTATTGTTCAATATCATACAGCAGTCAAAGTTACCAATTCCACTCTGCCAAAGCCTCCCATTCCTAGAGTTGCAATTTGTTCAAAATCATTTAACTCTAGTTCGCTATATTCATTGGTTGTGGATGATGGATTTCTGAGGTTTAAATTTATTTAAGGTTGTAATAATGTGTAATATTTAAATTACGAGATGGACAGATCGTATGATCTCAGAATTGTAGAATTATGATCGCAATCAGAAATCGTTTTAGCCATTTTTACCTAATAGCCAGCTTAGTTCCTCTGTAGACTTCATCATGATAATCTTTCTCCTTCAATTCATCGAGATTACCTATCAACTGTGTAAAATCTCTAAAACAAAATTCATAGAATATATAATCGAGTTGTATAATTCTTTAATTTCATTTTGTAAATAAATTATAATTTATTGGTGAGGTACACACTCGCGATCTAATACAAAACATTCAACTTCTGAACTTTGGACGATAATATTTGCTGTCCTTCTTTCCTCACTATTTTCGTGCGCAAATAAGAGTTCATTCTTCAGTAATACATAAGTAAAAAAATCATGTCCGGTATATTACAGTTGATGTACCTAAGTAAAGCTCTTTCGCCAAAATAGTCCCCTCGAACAAGAGTACGAACGAAGACGTCACTATTCTTTTCAATCATTCGTCTCGTTACAATTACCTTTATAAACATACATTAAAAAATATCAAGGATAATTGGTCAACTGTATCAAATCTTGTATTAAATTTTGATATTATCCAACCTCTCCTTTCTTAATTATGTAAAATGTATCTCCTGTTTCGTTTTCACGGACAATGTACTCCTCTTGCTTATAGTAATTCTACACGGGTCAACCTTCTTGTCATGATATTTGATTCATAGTCCAAATGAAACAGTTAAACGACAGCAATATACTTACAACATCTAGTACACCAGCAATTTTAGCGAGCTTTCCGGCAGGTAGGTGTTTCAGTAGAGGAACGCTATTTTTAGATTTCAGTTCTTCGTTCAGCAGGTCTCATCGCAATTGCAAGTATTGAAAATAAAGTCCGTAAATCAGATACCTTTCCAAAAATTGCATATGTTCCTCGTGTTGCGCTATTCCGGTTTTTAACATAATCATTTGAAATACTTCGCGGTCTATAGCCCATACTTTACACTTTGTTGTAGCTATTACGAAGGATAAGATATAGTTTAACTTTTAGAATACACTAAAGAGTTTTCAAAAAAGTAATGAATCCTATTACCAGTAATAGTCGCTGTTCTCCTACAATTATATAATATTGCTAATTCCCCAAAAGCTACCCCAGCTCCAACTTTAGTCAGGAGGGTTCCATCTTTTGTTATCTCGAAATTTCCCTCTGTTAATTAAGAAAGTAAGTTTCTATGGTAACGTCGACATAACAGATGCGCAGAACCACAATACTACACATACTATGGTACCAGCAACCGTACAAAATTTATATATAGCATACCGCCGTGAGAACTTACCGGCCGTAACGTACAGTCTATTCCCGTACTCTCCTTCGCGTATAATTATATCGCTTTCATTAAAAGTACATGGATACATGCATTTTACGATTTCTTGAACTTGTGGCATTTGTAAATGTTTCATGAAGTCGTTTTCTAGAATGACTCTTCTTATTAGCTGCCTACAGCTGGAAAATCAGACAATTTAAGTTAGACACTATTTTCGCAAATTTTCTTGTATATTCATCTTAATTGTAAGAAATTAATTATTACTGAAAAATAACCAGAATACAAGTAAAAATTTGTTACTTACTGTAAAAGATATAGTAATACTTGAGAATATACTGCGCTAGTTGCTTATAATGTACGACTGCTACAATGATCAAATTAACGTATGTTATATACTACATTACATTATACGAGTATGATTATGCTTAAAGAAAAGTCTCAGCAAATAGACTGCATGTAATAAAATGTCCAAGTATAGAGCTGACTGCTATTGGTTCAGGCTTCAACATTTCAAAACATAGATCTTCATCTTGTTACTGTCGCATACGTTTTTTGAGTAAGCGGAGCGACAACTGTTTCAAATACGTGGTATTTGATCAGTTTTGCGGTAAATATGATACATTATCATGCTACGAAATCTACAAGAATACATATTAATACAGTAAAATTCAATGATCAGCGTTTATTATGATTATAATTGTTTACCTGGTGTCTTTACTGTAATATTTGAAATCCATTCTTAACGATGCTTTACCATCTTTCAATTTGATAGCGGTTGTCTCTCCCGAAACGCCAACCTTCTTGCCTCTAGATCTCTTTACTTTTAGGATACTCGCATTATCATGGCCATTAGCTGACGAAATCGCTTCAGAAATTTTTTTCATGGCCTCAAAGCCATACGACTTATTGACAATTTTATTGTCCGATAATACATTTTCCAGTTGTGATAGCACAACTTTAAGTTTACGAATCTCTATGTTTAGGTTTGATATTTTTTCGTCCTTATCTGCTGCTGCGTCTTCCAACCTTTTAACTTGTTCGGTTTTTACCAAAATCGTTTCTTGTCCTTCTTTCAAACTTTTTTCTAACTGGGAAATGTAATCTCTAATTGCAGTTGAATTCTTTTTATTTTCACTGGAAAACTTCTTTTGGGGATGATCAATTCTCCCACTTATTCCAGATCCCATTGTGTTTATCTCGTTTAATTCACTTTTGCCTACTTTTCCAGTTGGTTATCCAAAATTCTGATAAAACTAGGACATTTCGAAATTTCTGTTATGTGATTGTAATTTTATCAAACCAGAAATTCACGAAGGGAGATATACGGTAATATGATTCTGGAAGTACTCTAGATATATTCACGTAGTCATATACTATTATAGTTACGAAAACGTGATAGTAACGATACAGAATACCTTGTATCTACTCATACATACAGCATACTTTACTTAAATTAAAGGTACTGTACCTACGAGATACTAATTTACGATTTACCAATCTATATACTGTACGCGTAGGTTCATTGTAAAGCGAAAATATACTATTGTGTTCTTAACTTCATTCTAAAACATTATTTACTTTTGAATTTGAATTCTAAGCATAAGCAGTAATAATCTATGCGTACTGATCAAATTTTTATTAATGTACTGTAGATTCCCATATGTACGGTATCTACAAATACACTGTTATACTTCGTATATTTGTATAGTATGCAATACATTAGATGTACTGCATATATACAATACTGTATTTATGCATGTAACTGCAGTACAAATGCCCTTGCATGTCAGACAAAAACACACAATAGCTATTCGAAATCTTATATGATTGGTAGAAAATTCATTGTTTTGAAACCTCTTTGAGAAGTGTTTATTAGCACAATTCGGTTTAATATCTAATTTCAAAGTTAATAAATTATGCAAGACTGAATATAATTAATTAATTGACTCTATTCATTGTTTCAAATTTCGCAATGCATTGTGTCGGATATACAATAAATATACTTCTAAGGTATCTGGTCAAATAGCTTAATTCTCTACGTAATACTGTAGCAACAAAGAAGTAACATAGATAGCTATCCAGAGACCATTCATACCTTCTAGCCTATGCTGACAATATCAAATTATTAAAATAATTAAGGTTCTGCAAGTACGGCTTTACTGTACTGTATAGGGTAGATATATACCGAGATGTATGGTGTAGCGCTGTACTCTTTGCGTATATACGTTACGCAATTGTAACCTCACATTCATCAAAGACTAGTGGGAATAAGTGTCGCGGTTATAAAAATGAGTCATTTCTCATATTTCTCTACCTAAGGACTCTTTAAATTTATATTACAGTACAGTGTTGTTAACCTCTATTTTTGGTGATACAGTTTATGCCATGCAGTACTTTGTATGTGCATGTGTAACCAAATACGGTTTATTAAGGTGTTCTTAGCACAAATTCGAAAGTTACATAAATGAAAGGAAACTTCGCTATTATTATTAATAGAACACTACCGGAGTCAATATTAGCAAACATAACTCTACAGGATCAACAAGCAAGGAAATGCTATCCTTCCTTCGTTATACAGTACAGTACAGTATAATAGAAGCGGGGCTTATAGCAGTTGTTAGCATTATAAGATACAGAAACAGTATGAAACTCCACTCGGGTTCTTTTAACTTGCTGCTGTTGATATTGTAAGATTAAGAAACAGTAGTACAGTATACGAAATGGTACAGTACTTGCGCTTCTACGTGAGACGTCATCCGCCTTTCCATCCCAAGCGCCCCGATTCGCCTTTATAGCATTCCTGCGTTTACTTCACTTATGGGCTAAGTTACAGCTTCAAGTACTCTGCTGCTTCACATCGATGATCACTACCTTAAAGCGTTTACCGTATAAGAGGTGCTAAACAGCAGTTATATATGATACTGTGCACTGATGTATTGATTCATGCTTTCTATGGCAAAAAAATTGTTTACTGCAGAAAAGGTGCTATATACTGTACTGTAGAGCATTTTTTCTTTTCTATCTGAAGTTGATTAATTATTACTGCTGCTGTAATAGAAAAGTTATAAACTATATTTTACGGATAGTAGTGACTAAAGTTTACCTGTAAGAAACGAATATGTCGTCGATTCAGCAATGGAATGGATCTATGTATTGTTGTGCCCGCCTATACAATAATGATACTATAGAAGAGTTTGGGATTTGTACCAACAAGCATAGTTGTGGGTTTATGAATAAGCAATGTAGATATTGTAAAGCTCTAATGTCGATCGAAGAGCGCTTTGGTGGCGCTTTAAATCAACCAAAATTTGATTTATGTTGCTTATCAGGAAAGATAGCGATTCAAGAAGTGCCTGATCCTCTAGATGAACTTCGTAGATTGCTAACAGATATGGATACCGTCTCAAAATATTTCCGTGCTAATATACGAAAATTTAATTGTGGCTTATGCATGGCCAGCATGAAAGCTAATGATGTTAATATAGCTGGTGGGGCGAGTACTTATAGAATTCAAGGATTAATCTATCGCATTTTGGGTCCTGCTTGAAATGCCGACGATGCTGAATCAGCGCGTATTCAGACATGTTTTTGTGATCAGGAAGAACAAATTAGACTTCGAGTGCAGCGAGGATCTCGCCAGAATAAACATGAGGAAAGAGACTATGATTAAGTACAATGTTAGATAATGCTAATTGGTTATTGCCAGTTGGCGAAGGACTTACTCCGTATCTTGGAAGAAGTAATAGCGATTCCATGATCGAGTTACCTGACGAAAATTGTTGTAATACACGGTAAAATTTGATAAATCATGTGTATAGTGACATAGAATGAAATTGTAATGATCGATCTTGGTTTGCTCATCGTGCGATACTTACTGTACTAAATAATGGCGTATACGAAATGAATAATGAAGTTATACAACGTATACCAGGATTACCGCCTCAGGACATATTTTTGAAAGTTAATTGTCCAATCATGCTGTTACGTAATATTGATCTAAAAAATGGTCATTGTAATAGTAGTCACTACATTTTACTATCTATTACTGATCATCTATTAATGGCTAGCCTGATTGGAGGTGAGAGAGCTGGTTCGATTTTGCTAATACCGAGAATGAGTTTAGGAACGAAATGAGCTAGTAAACATAAAATCTTAGGATTCTTTCGGACACGCTACTTTATTGAAAGTAGTCTGATGTAAGTACAGCACAGTAGACTATACGAGAATAGCAAAAGTTGTTTGAATCATTGCTTACCCCCTCTCCTCTCAACTGAGATGTCAACTATTATGCACCGATAATATTTAAAAATTTTGTCAAATTACACACTTTAAATACTAGCGCAAAATTTATGCAACGCAACGTCCAACAGATATTCTAAATTCGGCCATTTGTTTTTGACGGACTGAAATACGCGCCACGTACTGTGACGTACTGTACACTAATGTGCAGTATAGATCCCTTTTAAAGTCTGATTCGATCACCGTACCTTAGGTACTGCACGTTTTGCATGGTATTGAACTTTTTTAAAGCACTGCTATTCAGCTGTCCGACGGTAAAGTGCACCCCTCTATCGACTTTTTAACCTTAATTTATCTATGAGAATATGTTAATCTTATTATAAGGTGACTAGAGTGAGACAAGTTACGCTCAATTATACAGTACTTTGTTATATGAACATCTTTGCCTCAATATCAGGAAAATAAACTAAACAAGCATATGATGCACAACACCAACTCGCCATTGAGCAGTAAATAAAATTCTATTTTAAAAGGCATAGTACGATAACGTCATGCATGCCGAATTTATCATACCTGTCCGAGTATAAAACTAAATTTTTTGGATCCCGAATTGCTCATACATCGTTGTTAGGGGCAATATTGTACAGTGTACACTACTATACTGCATATACATATATATTTATTTATAAATATGTATTGCACGAATATGCAGAGCACTACTAACATTAATAGACACCTTCAATCTTAAAAAGTTTTATTAACTGCAAATAAAGTTTTCGTGTTAAGGAACTGATACATTTAATCGTCTTGCTTTCCTTTATATCCTACTAGTGATTAATACTTCCAGGTGACTATTTACAATATATTTTCATGCACCGAAATTCACTAATTCAGAACTTGTAAAATTATTCAGTATGTAGTCTATTAATTTCGTTCAAGATTATAAATATATGTTATATTTACGAAGTTGTATACTCTTAGAGAGCGTATGATTATATCCGGTACTTATGAGCCAAATTGCTCCAGTTTAGCTGTTACACAATCATCTGAGCATATTGCATAATCGAAATAGTAAAAGAGGTAAATTACGTTTGTTTCAAATTATTTTATTTAAGTACAGTAATTTGAATGAAGTGTTATTTCTAGATGCCGATGTAGTGCATAATTCAAATGATTATCTTGCATAATTTAGTTTACAATGGAGAGTGTACACTGTACAGTTTCTAGTTACATAGTACTTTATAATAATTCATTACAAGCTTGCTTCTTACATAATTCAATCAATAGCTGTAGTTTAAACATGCTATTCGTATCGCGTAAAGTTTTTATTTTCTATTTATTTAGAGGTCTTCGCGAATGCTAGCATGACGTTAATTATAGTATTAACTGCGTTTCTTATTGCACTATGGATTGGGCATTAACATTATCGGATACAGTATTTCGCTCATGCTGAATATGCGGAAATTGCCTAAATACTCGTACATTGTAAATGGCTATATTTATTAATTTATACTAGTGTACCCGGGCGTATACGGATACGCTCATTGAAGATGTCTAGTACACTCATCGCTCGTATTATACTGTACTCGCGTATTTTACTTGTACTTTTTACTAATCTTTCCTTTCTTTATTTTGCTCATATATTGGACTGAGTATGTACTGTAATGTGCACAAACACAAAATCTTTTTACTGTATTGTACGATTAAAGCATCTATGGCTATGAGCCATGTGCATTGCGGAGTTACTTCCTAACATTAAAATAGTGTAACTTCTCAGATTTAATGAATTCATTTCTTAGCTGTAATTATAATGCATTGTAATTTATACAACCGAAACAAATACGTTTGGTCGTTATCATTCCACTGATAAATAATTTAGACGCAATTATTAATGGATCTACTGACAATGCGCTATTCCTAGATAGTTCAAGACTTATCCTTTAAAATACGCACACAGGAATCGCTGTAAGTACTGATAAATGCTGACGGTTCGCAACGTAATAAATTGTTAGCTTGAAAGTTGTTTCTGATTTGCGTAACCACTGGTAAGAAATTTGGTATTACAGATGACGTAGTATTCGCATATGCCATACTGGGAAAACTTGGTGTGTACTTAATACAGTTATTATGTGTTAGTGAATGTTTTCTTGGTTCTAGACATCCGGTAGAACTTTGGCTCAGGCTAACTGGCATAGAGCATGAAGTTGCCGAATAGGATGAACTGGATAGCAGTTGTTGATGAGAATAATATTGTAATTCATGAAGCCTTTGAGCTCGTCGCCATTTCGCACGACGATTCGAAAACCAGACCTATTGTTAGAAAGTAGGTAAAATTAAGCTAAGTAGGTCAAGGCGCTAGTTACTAATGTTAAATTTCCATCATAATAGCAATACCTGTACGCGAGCTTCGGATAAGGCTACTTGTTTTGCTAAATCCTCTCTAGAATTCACCTCGGGATATTGATTTATCTGAAATGCCTTTTCTAATTCTTCTAATTGCTTACCAGTGAATGTAGTTCTATTACGGCGAGGTTTGTTTGTTTCATTAGCTTTAAGGGCGGTTTCTAAGAAATTAAATACCCTCAGTTAAAGTGATTATATCGCACTATCATTATCTACACTAATAGGTAGTATAGGTATTAACTTATCAATTAATAAGGCATACTTTTAGTACTTTCTGTAGACGCGTAGTTTGTATCTGAGCGGTAATACTTATTCTGCGACGTAGCGATATTTGGTATTCTCCAGTATGTATGATGGTAAGGATGAACTGATTGACCCCTGTATAAAGCAAGACCTGAAGCTGCAGCCTTTTCAATGGCTCGATGTCGCAATACCCTGTTAATAGAACTCACACTTGGAACTGTTTCATCTTTGCACACTTTTTCGTTTATTAGCTTTTCTCTGATTTCCCAGGCAAATATGCTTGGGTTCTCATGCTTAAACTGTTCTATCTTTGCTACCACTGTCGGTGTTGCTACTTTAGGTTTACTTCCTCCAATTGTACCAGGGCGAACTGATCCTGTTTCATAATAACGTCCTAATATTTTGCTTACGCATCCGTGAGAAACCAAAAGCCTACGAGATATATCACACGGTCTTACGCCGTTTTTTGCTAAATCAACTATTCTACTACGAATATAGTTAGGCAATGGACGGCCGTTTATGAATACACCACCGAGTTGATTCACTCCACCTTGGCCTGTAAAATTAGTAATATCAGTTAGGATAGTTCGTTTGTAGTTTTCACCTCTATATTCCGCATAACTTGCGTACATCAAAAGGCTTCGACCATAAAGATCTATCTGCGTTATACCTAATCCAAAGAAGAAATTATTATCTCAAAATGACCATACCTGAGTGAGGCATTACTTCGAGTTATCTGTGATTTACTAAATCTGTAATAGCGGCTAACAATGCGTCACGATGGGGACTGAGACCTACTCATACGAATTCTTGGCAGTCATCAATACTTAACATTAAATCGTATGCTGATTAAGTATCAACATTAGTGAGCTATTTATAAGCAATGTTAGAATAACAGTCCATACAGATGTTTTAAGAGTTTGTCCACGTAATGTGTACAGTGTGTACATATCATATATAAATTGATAAATCCGATATTAACAAACCACTATTACCAAAGGTGCTCTTGTAAATGCTGTAGGTAATCAGGCATTTTCATATTCTGTGGGAACTGAGACAGATGCCATGTATTACAGGTAAGGAAGCAAAAAAACTGAGTAGAACATAGAATTTAATTTACACTGGAAGCAGGTGATTAAAATATGGTTAATAAATTATTTATTTAATAATAATTCGTAAATAAATACGAATTATGCGATACTCAAATATTTTGTCTCTTTTAGATCTTAATCATACAAAAATCTATGTTAAAATTATTTAAGAAATGAAGACTTAAAGCTGGGTAAATAAACATAATGTCACTTAATAATTCAGGATCATTTAATTATACTAAAAATCTTTCTGTCAAAAATCTTATATTTAGTAACTAATAACAGTCCTTAATTACAATACTATAGGCTCGTGTCATTTATACTCGTACTTTATACAAGTACCATAATTTTATTACATGAAGACTCATATTGTTGCTAAGTCGCTAAAACTGCCGATATCCACCGGTAACTGTTGTTAAGTTTTAGTGGTGTACTTCAAGCCGAGGATTAGATAATGTAGTCAATCTTGCCGTTTTGTAAAGACGCCTATACGTATATTTTCGTAATCTTAATCCTACGTACAGCAATATAATAATTCTGCTAGATAGTAAGTAAAGGTGCCAAGTTGCATTGACGTGCAACTAAATACTGTCTACCGTATGTCTACTGCATAAGTTTGTATTTTATTGTAGGCAATTATTATCAGATAGCCTTAAGCTGTAGTACATTGCATTGGAAGGTATAGTAGTCCTACTTATCTATCAGATCTGCCAAAACTAACATTAATTACCGTCATTATAGTAGTATAAATCACTATCAAATGTAGAACACCTTATTCAGATCGTTTTATACTGTACTGCGACATAATTTATTACTGCCGGCATTTCCGGATGATCTAATGTGCCGTATCGTACAGTGTTGAAAACAAACTTGCAAAGCTTTACATGTACGTCTTTAGGACTTTAGTGCACTCGCATTTATTAATTTTCCATTAAATTAGCATACATATGCTGTAGTAAACCACGACTTCAATTAGTGCATTCCTAGTTTGCAAGTTTTACCCTGCAGTGCTACTATATGCTATATTTTGTTACCGTAATACATGGGCTTACCTCGATTCCAAGATTCAATAGAATCTTGAAGAAATTCATTCTAGATAAAATTATTATATTTACAGTTAATAAAAATAACCGAATCTGCGATACTGTTTAGTCACCATATTTCTATTCATTCTGACCATGTTACTGCTGTTTCTGTATGTTTGCATACGTATCCACTTACAGACAAAAGTTAAAGTTTCTGTTGTATACTTGGTTTGTTACATTATTCGTGACGGCAGGTGATTTGGACCTCGATTGTGTTAATGATGCATTACGTATAAATGAACAAACATATTCTAATTTATACTGGGTTATATACCTTTTGCTGACATCAGGCGATCTTTCAATTATATTATAATTATTTGACCTGCATACTCTACCACAATCTCCGTAAGATTACTACTAAAAGCAATCAGAATATCAAGATAATTTTCTGTGTACGGCAAGTAAAATAAAACACTACAGTGATTCTAGCATCTTAACAATAGCAATTCTAAAACTGTGACACAATGTGCACGATCGACAACGTTAGATAGCTTAAATCTCTATATTGTAAACAATTTTTAATATTTTGGGATATCGGCATCTACTCGTATGACATTTTCGCCAATTTATGTACAATGTAAATAATGGATGGATTGCAATTATTATAACAAAACGCGTAATCATCATAGTTGAGGATTTTGACTTTGTAAATATTCTGTAATTGTTTGATACTGTAGAATGATAATATATATAAATATAAATCAGTTGAGTGATACGACAATTAGAGTCGCTGTACTGTAATATTAATCTATTTGCTAATTAATTATGATATATATTATTAATCAAATTAATATCCATGTTTTAACTTTGACATTTTCATGTGCAATTCCTATTAGCAGCTGGCGCTTAGAACCGTAATTTTGATTTATAGAATTATATATTCTTACATATGATAAAATTAAAATTCTTCATTCTATAAATCGAAATTCAAATTTTGCGAAATGCCGTATTTGCCTATACTTTGGTGAGCATAACTACTGTACAATGTACATTTACCTTTAAATCACTCTTAAAATTTTAGTTTCTTTATGAATTAAAATTGAAAGGTTTCGTTACTAATTAGTAATTAATTAATTTACAAGTAATTCTTGCTTTATCTTCGCCGAAAAGCAGGAAAGGCACATTAAATATCGTATACCTTAACTGGATACTTAAATAATAAGAAATTTATCTCTCGAAGAAAACAGCTCTTTGAATAGATATATTACAGCGACACTTGTAATCTATTCTATTATGCTTTCAATATTGTAATTATAAGGAATGATTGATGCTATCAAAAAATTATAAACTTTGTTTAGTTCTACGTATTCCATCGCTATTTTAATGTCGACAGGTTGTATAGCACAATATAATATTATCATTATACGCGTATCTTCGTTGTGATATTCATCTTCTGTGGTATGATTAATCAATTAACTGTGGTGTTGAATGTGTGTGAAAATAGCTAGCTCTTCATAAAAATTATATTAGATTAGGCATAACCAATACAGACTAATGATTGGTCATGACGTTGTATGGAGGAAATTAGTCTATCACGAAATTAACAGCTAATCGTCTTGTAAACTCAGTTACGTGAGGTTTATAAGAGTTAGAAACTAAATACCAGGTACGACGCTACGGCATTACAGTGCAATCGTGTGAGATAAAGCTTGGCCGACTAAAACAACCGCATAAAGCGACCGGATATTTTTTAATATTCGAATGTCTCAAAAATAATAGAAGTCTTAATTATAATACACGTATTGTTTATAGTGCACCGTTATTTCAGCTTATTAACTTAATCTCGGCATTAAAAATATTTACAATCTATTGTCCTTTAACGGCTTAATTTGGTTTCGTCTTGATTTATTTTTATCACCTGTCGGTGATTGAGGGTTACCGAAATGCAGGATGGGACCGCAAAAGAAGTGACTAATATATAATTCATATATTTGTAATTTATTAATCAAATTTCCTCAAACAACGGCGTGCGTATAAACTCTGCAGCATCGATATTACGGTTTCATTTTCATATTTAAAGAAAGGGTTATGCTGTAACTCACATAAAGCGAAAAAATAGTAGATATACGTGTATACTATAAAATTATCACGATATCAAATACGGTAGCACGGATTTTAGATATACGAATATGGTGGTTAAAGAAGTTAACGTTTACCATACTGTACATCTTGCACGTATTCATACGTACGATGTGTACATGGGAGAAATGATAACTATCGAAAGTTAACCGTATTCAATAATTATAACTATCAGTACGCAAAAGACGCGTACATAGGAGTACAGAACTCAGAACTGTAATAGAAGCAAAAAGAGCATGCTTGAATGTATGGCCTTAAATAAGCTTATTGTGACCTAAAATTAACTCATAGCGTATTCGTATAATTTAAAACAGATAACCTGACATCATTGGCTCTATGCCCTACTTCTCTGAAGAAAATTAAATGACTCAACTCTACTACATCTATCTAACATGATCTTGACTAATAAAGCGCTACAACGCTTATTTACTCTTCTATATATTGTATTCTTTCATCGTTCCTCGTTTTAGACACAATCTGGGTCGATTAAGCGTGACTATCTCTTGCTTATTAAAACATAATTGAGTAACTAAATGAGCTAATTCAGCCAAATTGATCAGGAAGATAAGCTATGAAGTCGCTTGTAGTAATGATTTTACCGTACGTACGTAAAAACTTTAGCAAAACAATATTATTTTGTATCGATGAATGCATATGTGGAATTATGTCTTTCTGTGCCGTAATTACTACAAAGTGAATTAAAACTGATTAGACGATCAATCAAGCAAATCACGATAATTATATTCGGGTCACAGACTCAAAGTTCTTCTGAGGATAAACCTGGAGTATTATCAGCTATCTGATTTAACTGGTAATTTTAAAGCATTTAACTAAAGCTATGTAATCATGATATAGAAAGCTAGCTATTTTTTCGAATATGCGTACATACCGTATTCGTTAATTAAACCGGTTTATACTGCTGGATAGCTAACACAAATCAAATTGTTATTTTTATAAGTCAGTGCAGTAAATTAACAGAGTATCAGCTAGATCTGGAAGTATCTAACAGCAACAATGAATAAATTACCTGAATTATATAATTATTACTGAAAATACTAGCACACTCGTACAGTATGTGGATATACAGTAGTATTTTTATTAGGCTGAGAAAGAGTCCTCGATGAATTCTAACTAGAGTACAGTAATAGAATTTCCCCATTCATGATACTTCAGATAAATGTACTACGGACAGTACTGTACTGTAATTCTAACGATATCTTCGTAACATCCATCACCAATCTTCAATCACTTTAACCAGCAAGACATTATTCACTAGCGCAAATCGCTTACTTTTTTGCGTTATACAGTACGGTATTATTATATATTAATTATTTATTTACCAGTGTACCAGGGCGTATATACACATATAACATATATGCTATTGAAGATGTTTTATGCTGGCACTATCTAGTCTAGTTACATTATATAGCATAGATAATTACGATTATAGGGGCATATGGTTAATTTTCCCTTACGATTACAATTAATTTTAGCTACTTTCATGTTGCTTGTACGCTGGAGGCCGCATTTACAGTACTGTACAGTACAGTACTGTGCTTGCATTAACATTAGTGTTAACCTGCAATTGCACGGCGTACCGTATACAGTACTGTACAGTACAGTAAAGTCATGACTCATAGATTGCTCCCTGGGGTACAGAATTTCTCTTGGAAGTCGTTGACGCAGCAATACAGTATAACGTACTGTCCGACATAATTTACATTATGCTGAGTAATGCAAACCTTCAACAGTAGACTACAGTACTACTTAGTAGTCAGTATAATTTAGATGGACAAAATTTATTCGAAATTGTGGTGACGTAAACGAAGTTATGGGTAATTTCGGCGTTTGCCGAAAATAACTTTATGGAGACGCCGAAAATACAGTAAACAGGACTGGCCTGGTCATGACTGACGTTACTACAGACAGACGAAAGATAAGTGCCGACTGTAACTTCTACCATACTGTATGTACTGTACTGTGCAGTACATACTGTACTGTACAGTACAAAACTTCACGCAGAGCGACTGATTATCTAGCTCAACTCTTCAAACTACCGACAATGATTGCTTTTTGGATGTTACCTTGTTTAAAATCTAGCGAAGACTGTTTTAAGGTGAGGTGGAAGAAATTCGGATGCCTCCATCTCATTCTTCAAATTAGTTCATTGCAATGATATCATACGGTATACGATAGAGTAAATCCAGGTACAGTTGTACAGTACAGGGTACTCGGCGTACCGTGAATCTAAAACTATGGTTTATAGTAGTGTAGCCTATATTCTGTACCGTACAGTACAGTACACTTCTAAGCGGCCTTCGTGCGCTGTACCGTACAACTGTACCTGGACTTACTGTATCCGTATCCTGTACGATACCATTGCTATCTACTATAAAGAATTAGATTAATTAAGGTATCCGAATTTCCTCGACTTCCCCCTGGTCTTCGCTAGATTTTAGCTGAAATAATTTCGTAAAAATTTTTATAGTCGATAGTTTGAAGAGTTTAGCTAAATTATTATTCGCTCGGCGTAAGGTTTCGTTTTTCAGCAATACAGCCTACTGTACAGTGTACAGTGCATGCAGTACAGGCTCAAGTCTAAGTACTGTACAGTATAGCAGCATTTCGTGAAAGGGTCACGCTGCAGTACAGTACAGTACATACTGTACTATACTGTACTGCACAGTCTTGGTCTAGCACGTCATCGATTAATTACGAAAAGTCGATTTTTGCATAAACTGTCCCGTAAAAAAAAACAATACGGTAGTCATGCAATAGTACAGTATTATCCTACTACAATGTACTGTACTGTACAGTATATATACTGTACATTATACAGTACAGTACAGTACATACTGTACAGTTTGCAGTTATAAAATGAAATGAAATCGCTAGAAATGTTTATTAAGATAAATTTTGAAAGGAAAATAACCCAATCAACATATCTTCAACATGAAGAGGTACTGTAGATCGACATAGATAGTATTGTACTGTACAGTGCATCCATAGGCGGTTTTGAATTCTTTAATTAACAATAGGTTTATCATTACATTACTGTACTGTACAGTACTGCACACTGAATGATACAGAGGTGCAATACGAACTAGACTCGTCAATTTTTTCATATCATAAAAAGCCTTTGAAAGCCTCGTAATCTACTAGAATTTTCGATTTTAACGTACTGTACTGTACGTATAGTACTGTGCTGTACAGTACATTAAAGAAATTGATTGATTAACCGTACTGTACAGTGTAATGATAGCTTTCTAGTACGTACTGTACAGTACTTTACAGCAGGAGAAAAATACTGTACAGTATGTATTGAGAGACGTGTACTGTACAGTACGTTGCGTACTACACTGTACAGTACTGCAACTGACTTCTTCTTGATTCCTGAGTACTGTACTGTACAGTACAGTATAGTACTGCAGTGAACTTACGGTACAGTACAGTACTCAATTTTAGTATAGTTGAACAAACGAAATTCATATCATTGATCACACTATCACAGTGTACTTACTTCGAGTGATACCATCGTGTTTTTCGGGCTGTCAGCAGTGACGTTGGCCTAAATTTCATGCGTCCAGGTTCGTATAGGTTCTAATCCTAATAAATTGCTGGTGTACGTATTCTGCGGCTATGGCATTAAAAAGGATCACAAAAGTAAGTAAAATACCACGCTATTGGGCTAGTTTTATTAATAACTTACATATGAATATTACATTGGTGCCAACATTAGTTTTAGACTATAAGAGTAAATACAACCTAAGTGCGTATTTTAACAGCGCCGTAGACCTTAGTACAGTACAGTAGTTTCATTGTACATGAGTTCCCGCATTTCTGGACTATGGCACTGAGTAGGCTAAACCAAGACAAATCTGTATGGTAATATTACATTTCGTTAAAAGTCGTAATATAACCTATCTTAATTAACTCACTCTACAGAATAAGTACAATGTTAACTTAAAATAGAGATCACCTCAAATATATGATGGGCTATTAAAATGTATTTTAGTCTACGTATCATGATGTCACTAACGTCTTAGTTGCGTGTGTCATACATAATAGTGGAACAGCAGTAGAGTAAGGTTACAGTATTGTATCATAAAAATATCCTACGATACGAGGACACTACTCCGAAATGTCTTTAAAATCTAATACTGTAGAATATTCTGAAGTACTGTACTGTATTGTGGTTTAATCAACATTTTATGGCTTTATCTACTCTTGATCTATTTGTCAATCTCTGTAAGCAAACTGAACGACATAGGGTTGAAATTTGTAACCTTGTACTGTACTACATTATCTTACGGAATACTGTATGCTGTACATTGTAGTATCTTCAGACCCAGTGCTGTTAAGGATATCTTTGAGAAATATCTCTTCGAAGTTCCTGGTACTGTTAAGGGAATGTTGCATTTAGATGTATAGTATACGTATAATCTATGTTATTATTGTTATACTTCCAAGATGAGAATCCATCCTTGCCAACGTCGTAAATTTATCCCAGTTCGGTCGTAAATCGTTTATTATTTAGAGATGAATTCGATTTTTAGCAGTTGATCCAGTCGGATGTTAGCGTTTAACAATGTAGTATTGAGTATACGAGTATGTACTATAAAATTCATCAATGTAAACTTTCATAATCTGTGATATCCGAAAATGCGCAGTCATCGACGAAATCTTCAATTTCTCTGCATGTTTACGGGCTATTCTTGAACAGAAATGGACTGTACTATTTGCAAAATAACATTTCTATGCTATACACAGTATGCAAAACGGAATACCGTAATCTTACGACCTTAGCTTACAACGTACTCGTACCGTATTTATAAGTGCAATTACGAGAATTTGTTTATGTTAGTGAGGCTCCGCCAGAAAATATATATTGTACATTACATAAAGTACGTACGTATACGAATCTTTACTACCAGTTAGTACTAATCGTAGAAATTCTCGAAATCATTCATTATATAGCGATTCTGGGATACGGTCTTAACTGTAAGTTAATAGTAGGGACTTTTTGACATTCTGTTCTTACCCTAAAAAATTATCAAGAAATCCCTGTTAATAGCGATTTAAAACAATTGCGTCTACACTTTGGTAGGGCTCTATCGATGCCTGTAGTATATCACAACCGATTAAAGAGTGCAAGCAGTTGAATTTGCTGCACTAGGCTGTTCTTTTTGTCTTTACACAAAATTATACTTTAAAGATCTATGACAATTTTTATAACGTGACGATATCGGTGAGTTCAGAAAGTTGATAGTAGACAGATCAACGATCACAGCACTGCTAGAATGCGAAATCTAACAATGCACTTCATACAGGATATGTAAAACATTACTGATGTTATAGCTTTCGCTGCGTAATACTAGTTACTGAATGCGTCCACACCACAATAATATTACAAAAGACCTAAACATCTTGAATTGGTATATTCTCTCCCGTTACCGGCTTCAGAGCTAATTACTTCTCTTTTAAGATCAAGACGGTAGTACGCGTATATGGAAGTTGCTCAGAATCTTGCTTCTTGGTAGTTGTTAGCAGTTTATAAATTATTACTTACAATTTAAATGTGAAATTTTATTTGCACCGTTGCTATGAGATTATTTATGGAGATTGTGCAACTCTTCATTTTGACTTAATCATACCTACTATTTTATCTACATAAACTATACTATTTGTAACCAAAATGCAAGCTCAGTGCGGCATAAAAACTGTTAGTAAGCGTTATCGTATAGTGGGCTCAGTCTTAACATTGGTCTCTAACAATCTTAGTAAGTTGATAACTTGTTTATAAAATTATTAATCGTCAGCTTTCGAAGGACCGTGATTGACTGGAGCTAGAAAATGATAATAAAGACTTCCAGTTCTAAGAATTTTGTTTTATTGGACTCGTTAGCTCTATTTTGTGAAGTGATTATATTATGCAGCTGGAGTGCATTGCAGTAAATCTTATAAGTCTTCTGAAGAAAACTTTCATTAGCTGAAAAATTCTTGGATTGAACTTCTATATGATACATACGGTACCATGTAATGCTCTGTGCATTTCTTTATACGTTTAAACTGTGTTTCGATTGCAGCCCAATATTGGACTTTCTAATTCCGTTTGAAACATAAAAATGAAAGAATAATAAATAAAGTGAAGTACTAGGTCTTATCAGTTCCTTGTCTCCTCATTTGCTTCTTCTGATATACAGTATGTAGAGTACAGTAGGATGTTCTATGGTACTGTAGTAGCTTTGCATTACAGTATCTATCTATTGCAAAAAGATTTGCATTCTTAGTTTATTAAGTGGTGTATTCACGGATCTGCCAACGTATGCATTACTCCTGGAATATGCTTATTGAAGATACCTAACGGAAACTGCTTTGCCTTTATTCAATGGGGAAAGGGGATCATTATTTGAAACTTATTCAAATAGCTGTTTGCTGAATATTCAATCCTTGATTTTATTTCACTAAATACATGAGAAGCATTACATAAGCAAGCAATAAAACTACAATCCAGACACGTTTCTGCTACTGTGTAAACTCAAAGTAACGGATAGCAGGAGGCATTTTTTTGTAGTAATCCAAGGATAGAAGGAAGTATTTTGTAATCATTTCTCAAAATTGTGCTATTGCTATTGAGTTTTCCAAATCTGGAACGTTATCGTTTAATTATTTAAACATGGTACCCAATTTAAGGTAGCTTTTGGTTTTTAATTATAGCGTAACTACAGCCCTCATAATATGATTGTGATTTGCTTTGTTAGGAACTGCAAGATTTGGGTCGTGATCCACCAGCCCAATGCTCTGCCGGGCCAGTTGGTGATGATAGTGAGTTACTAGCAGGATTCATAAACTACAATAATTCGACCAATCACAATATGAAGTTTATTCTAAGTTTTTTATTATAATTTAATTTAATAGTGTTCCATTGGCAAGCCACTATAATGGGGCCTGTAAGTTAGAAAAAATCTTTTTAATGCCTCTGAAATTTATTTCACAACTCAATATGTTCTAAAACTCTAAACCCCTTAGCCGGATAGCCCGTACGCTGGCGGTATTTTCTTTTTAAATATCCATTTTCCATCGGATTATCCGTTTAAACCTCCCAAGGTGCAGTATACCTTTAATGCTGGTAATTACAATTACTCAATTATAAAATGTATAATTGTTGACTGATTCCACATATAGATTTCGTTTACTACGAGAATATATCACCCAAATATAAACAGTAATGGAAGTATATGTTTAGATATACTTCGTTCACAATGGAGTCCAGCATTAACTATTTCCAAAGGTAAGACTACTTATATTAAGAGATCTATTTGAGGCCTATTTTAGGACTAACCATTATTATGTGTGGTCTAGTACTTTTGTCCATCTGTTCTTTGCTTTGTGACCCTAATCCTGATGATCCCCTAGTACCGGATATCGCTCGCGTCTACAAAACTGACCGTTCAAAGTACAATACGTCAGCTAAAGAATTTACTGAAAAATATGCTTCGTAAAACAATTTGGTTGTAATTATACTATAATGCAGACTGCGGGAGAAATTTAATTGATGTTTCGATTTCCGATGTCCGTGTTGCTTGTTTATGCTACTGCATGAAGGTCGTGTTAATACTGTATCAGTAAAGATATATCCGTCGTAACATTTATCTAGATATTATTTGAAAGTAATTGTTAGCTTAACTGATGTACATTAAGGATAAAATTGTGTAGGTAGTTTGCCTATTCGTTAAATACCATGTACTTTGATTGTGCATCTTTTGCTTCTTTATTGATAAAGTTAGTATTTCACTTACAAGATACTGTAATGCCTTAATAGCCTTAAATAAAAAGTAAATTTCATCTAATAGTGGAGATGATAGGTGATGCATGAGCATTACACCGAATGAATTTGATTATAGATTAACGGAATACTTTATAAAGTGTAATGCGACTTAAACCGGGATAAAATAATGTTGTGTGGATGTGACTATCAATCTCATCGAAACCATAAATCGAACCTAAAATTACTATCTATGATTACATCAATTTCTTGAGTTAGTCATATGACCAGGGAGACTGTAAAAACGGATTTTTTCGATGTACAAAGGTATCAACAAAATATCTTACGTAGGTTGTAATACTAGTAAAGGTGATCTGCTATACATGCATATCGAAATGCTGAAAGCATTTAGGACTGCTGTTACAAATTAAAAATAGCAAATTCTGAGGCAATTGTAAAACTAATGCATGTAAGGAGTCAAATTTAGTTACCTAATGTACTGTACTGTAACTACATTATCAAATGTTGAAAGATAGGCAACAGTTTCGACTTTTCCTACTATATGATATTGATGATACCGATCTCTAGAGATTTGATAAATATGCTGCTGATGAGGTTGCAGAGCTATGATGGCAGATCATAGTCACGTTACATCAGTCTACGGTCGCCAATCACGGTTATAATAGAGTAAATAAACTCATCATTTGACACTTAATAAATTCAGAACTTCGACAATCACAAAATATTATTTATTTCTATCGAACTCCTGACGTTGCTACATAAAAAACTTTTGAATTCTGTGTTTGTAATACTGTACGTACGCATATTGCAACCTCGCCACTATACACGCCGCAATTATTTCGAAATTACAAGATTCTAATGGTATATTTCTAATTCTATTATGAATGCACAGCATACATTTAACAGATCGATCACACTAAGATCAGTTACCATTAAGACATAAAGTGACTCAAACGGTAAAAAAACGCTATAACCAGTTAAACATACTGTAGATTAGCTATTTAAGCTATAGAATGTCAGAAGCAGAATTACGACCAAATCTTAAACTTCAGTACCACTCCTTTCTCTAATGTATGTCACAGGATTATATTCGGCTGCCCGTGAACCAAATAGCATAAACAAGATTGCATTAATAACCTCAACGATTAGAATTGCCAAATCAATACCTCGTATCCCAGAACCGTAAGGATTGGTGACAACATAGATAACCGTTAGGGCGATCACATTGATACATACCGAGGAGATACTCAGGATTGTGAATGAATAAGTGCTTACTCTCTATTAAAATGAAAGATCATAAAGACCACATTAGCATGGTGTTATGTACTGTATGTAAGAATACAGTAACTTGTTGTACTGCACCTAATGTGTTAGCATAAGATAAGGTAATGAATTACTAAGATGAGGGTATAATACGTTATTACGGCTATGCTATTTAAATGTAGTAAATCCTAAATAAAAGAGACTTTTAGTAAGCTTACTATGGGGAGTGTATCAAAGTCCCTCGTGCTAACGTTAACGACTAAGAGTGGAAACACAACGCATGGCATAAACACTTAGGAACAAAGTTACTGATCTAATGAACCCTACAACCAAAATACTTACTAAGGATTCGCATGTTGTTTTCGAGGATAGATGAGCTAAGATTCCTAAAGCAAATAACTGTAATACGTATATGGACACATAGTTAAAATAATAAGATAATTGAGTTGAGTATCATTTATCGGCGTAATAAAATAATTTATCCAAATCTAAAAATATCGAGTCAAATCTTGATGAAGTACAATTCAAATATAAGAGAGCTTTGTAGATTTCGTTAACATTAAAAGGGGTTTTTGCTGATTTTTCCGTGACTTTCCAAAAAATTGATTTTTGCATACAAATGTTTATACTACAAAATGTCATGACTATAATTGCCAAATTATCTTCTACATTTTAATTACATGATTAGTTAACAATTGATTATAATTGAAGACGCCTATGTGGTGTATACTTCCTGTTGCAATGATATATTTACAGAATGGATGGTACTTCGGAATTTGTCGTAAAATTTACGATACAGCAGAGGAACATTAACTACGGTATATCTAAATTACATTATTAAATATAACTTGTTATTACATATCCACTTACAAGTGAAGCAACGACGAAACTCAGGAAACTATGAAAAGGCGACGGGAACATCGGCGAAATCGCAACAGCGCAACCAAGCTGAATGCTAGCAAAAATCATTGAGGAATTACCAATGCAGTAGTTCTTATCTGTTTTGGGCTGCTTCTCAATATTAACATTGGTATCAGTTTCGGTATCAACTGCAAAGGCAGCAAATAACGAAAGGCCTAATCCAATGTATGGTGTAACATCGTGAAGTATCATGAGAATTAGCATATTTGATCCCATAGGTTTCGAAGGGCTGCTTCCCATTAGCATGTATAGCCGATCATGAACGGAAGCAAAGCCAGTAAGTAAAGCAGATATTGACGCTAATATCGCGCTAACTTTAAACCAAGCTACCTGATATTGCAATAACGATAAATGTTTTAAAACTATAGTTCAAAGATTCTTAAAATTTGTTAAGATCTCAAGCTCGAATTATATATTATCGTAGCTAAGCTAATAAATGATTTAAAATTTAACTTACAATACTCTTTTGATTTGTTGCGTAGCTTAATATCCCAAGAATTCCCGCGACTTCTAACTGTAATAAGTTAAATTAGATCGTTATTTATGGTATTGTTACAAGTTCAGCACAATGAGCAGTCGTATTAGAATAAATCCATATAAAATAATGATTTGCTAAACCTAATTCACTCATCTAATTATCCAATAGATGTGAGATATTTACCATTGCTCCCTGGTAATTTAAAGGTAAAGAGTAGTGTTTAGGAACTGTTCCCACCAAAACGAATCCAACGATATGCATGATAAGTGAATTTACCAGCATTAAGACAGCGATCTGAAGGCGACGATTGATAGGGAATCGATAATTTGGGTCTTTAATTTCAGTTGTTTTGAAGCTATCTAGCTTGAAACCATTAAATGTTGCCACAGCCAAAGAAGTGATAAAGAAGAAAATTGAAAAACCCATGTTAAATCCGTATAAAACAGGCGGAGATTGCTTGAAATTTGACCCAGATTTATAGAAAGCAATAGTTCCACGGCAGATGTTAACAGCAGCAAAAGTAGCCTCATAGATGCTGAAAGCTATTAAACCAGTCGTCTAAGCAAGTATAAATAGAAGATTTTTAAGGTCACGAGCAGATGAAGTAAAACATGGTTAAAAACAATTAATCAATTAATTAATCCATATCAAATTTGATTACGGCATAAATATACGCATACATTCAATATAGTACAGCAAAATTAATGACTTTAATGACCGAAGAACTACCGGAACCCATGGTCCTTAAATTAGTTAAATGAGCACAATGTAACATCAGCAGTAACGTATGGGTTTCCTAGATTTAATTGTCCTGTACATTACAATATGAACTATCTACGCTGATATATCTGAGTTGCTTACCAGCGGTACAGAGTTAACATTGTCATATTTGATTGATAGTGAACCAGCTGTAATTGCCTAAAATCATTTCGTGAATAGTGATGAAGCTCAATTAGTTTCAACCTATTAGACTCAATTAAATTTGCTATTCCATATATTAATAATTACATAATACACAGTTATAATACAAATATTATACATTCTCTTAGCGCGGTAAATTTTATAGCTACTATAGTAAGCATTTATTAATTGCCACCTCACTACAATCTATAGTTTATACGTGTAGTCAGTAGTTTCTTTCTGAATATTTAGAAAACCGAAATTTTCTTTAAATAAAAGCTTAATTCTGATTATTTTGGTACTACATGTTACATATATATGTTTCTGCCATCAAAAAGCTCATTTAGCAGCGTTTATTATGGATGAAGTACTGAAAGAACTAGCTTCCAGCTAGTAGTAAATTATTTTTCCTATGTCATGCGTACAGTACGTCAACTAGCTTAAATAGTAATCATGCTACACTCGTTTGCGCCTAAATTCAAAAGGGACTGACTGTTGGCTCTTGCTCAATTTTTATTGCTTAGGTAGCTGCAAAATTTAAAGTCTGATATCTTACATTAGTCATATAACTTAAGTAAAGAGCTTAGGCATTTATAATTTCAATAGTACTTGAAATAACTGGGCATCAATCAAATTTTAATGATCGCGTAGGTCGCGTGAAAAGGTTTGATTAAAATAATTATGTAGTCATATATCGACTTGTTACCATCACGGCAAGCATAAAAGGATCAATAAGCGCTGAAGAGCTCCAAGCATGTGGCAGATTGCGTAGTTCATTCCATCCTAGGATAGCACAAGTTGCTAAGCCAAGAGAAAAAAATATTTTGATAATTCCGCAAGTTTTATACATTTTTAAGCGTCTGATTACACTTTAGAAAACGCCTTTCTTCCTTTGGTGAAGACTGGTATAACGCTTCCGCAGCTAGCGTTTTGAAGGATCGCTTGCAAATAGGCTTAAACAATTGTTCTATTGTTATACAAATTAGATATCATTAACATACATTTAAGGATTACAGTACTGTACGGCAGGGACTAGGGACTATTGAAAAGGAAAAAAGTCCTTCCTTGTGTACAGTACGGTAGTGCTCTAATGGCAGGAACGACGTTATTAACTTGATGTACAGAGATTATAGCCGCATGTAGCTGTACCATTGATATTGTAACTGAGATACAGTACAGCATGGAATCTCGGATCTATTAATTAATTCCATTGTATATTAATTTATACGGTGTTATGTAGTTTACCTACAATACAGTAGAATTACAAGTTCATTAGAGTAACTCTCTAAACGCAATCGTGCTAATATCGCTTTAGAAACACCTTAATTATATTTTTATTGTAATTATAAAATTTAAGTAGAAGACATTCTGTACTCTATTAAATTCCCTTATTCATACACACATGTACAGGTATAAATGTGTACATTATACATTGATACAATTTAACAGTTTTCATTTTGATCAATTAATTAATAATCATATTATATAGCAATAAACTCTACGGAAGAAAGGCGTACAGTATATAATATATACGCGTATATACGAGTATATTATTGTTCAGTTGGATGACTGATCAATCTGTAGCACTGTACAATACAATAATGTCTTCGCAGGGCTAGTCCGGCTCTGTATAATGCGCAGATTATTAAAACGTAGTGTAGTAAATCTTTATATGCTCCTTTTACTTGGGGATTTATATATTTTTTTATGTAATGAAATCTTCATGATTGATACATTTTGTTAAATATATATTTCTTAGCACAAATATCAGAGTACTCCTGCTATTACTCGAAGCTATCCTGCATTAGATATAGTATAGCTTTATTTGCAGTTAATAATATGGAACAATTAAGGAATTTGGAACATCTTTTGAAGCAATCTAACACTAACCCCAAATCTAATAAAGCGATGATCTAATGCACGTACAAATGTAGGGTTTTATTTCAAGAAAGCCTTTATATGCGTATTGGCACTGAAATCCTTCTGATATGATGAGTTCAGTATTTTGTTGTTTAGAGGTTTTCGACATCTAGATCATACGCATACACAGTTGTAGTCTTGTCTGCGTACTTGATGCGATTATGTAGATATCCTAAGCTTTAATAATATATACTGGTAATAACTATCATATTTTCCTTGCTACAAGTTAGGTAATTATAATTGTCGTTAAATTATGTAATTATAACTATTTTGAGTTCTCATAAATCAATATCAAGTAGATCGAGTAGGTAGCTATATTGTACGGTACAACTCAACATAAAATTAATTAACTGTTAAAATTCGGTAGCAGTACTGTATCTTGTTTATTTAAAAATCTTTCCGTGCCAAGAGCCAAATTTTCTTCGTTTGTGAGTGGTTATAAATAGAGTAAATATTTAAATAGTTAGCTGACGTCAAGCAAACAGACATTTGGGCCCTCAATGACTATTAACTTATTCCGTATTAAGGTCGTAGAGTTGACAACAGATAATTTCCTCATTAGTTTCCGGATGGTAGCTGTATGATATTATTAAATTTGTGTCCATGGCGTACATAACAGTTGCCGTTATTCAGTTATGCCTAGCTGCATGCAGTCTCGCTGTCGCGGTTTTATCGTGGTATTTTAGAGGGAATCTAGGATTCGATTCCTTACAGGCTCTGACCCTATTACTCGATCCAGGAATGCTAGGGATTTCGGTAAATACGCACAATTAGAAAAAAAGTTACCTAACGAGAAACTTACCTTTGGTACAGGCGTATATTCATAATCGTATTAAAATTATCAATCACAAATATTGCTTCTACAGTTTACGATTACATGTACAGGACCTGTATATCCGGGTACAATAATATTGTACAGTATCATCAATTTCAGACGAATTTAAAACTCATGCTACAAAGCTTAAGCGTAAACATACGTTAATGAGAAATGCCAAAGTCTTTCTTTAAAACTGTCTTTGGGTTGAAAATGAAATTACATTAAATGCGATATTATACGTTTGACCACTGTTGTAAACCGCGCTATCTGTAGCAATCGATCCCTTATGTAGAGTGCACTTGATTTGATATTTTCTGCACAATTGTATGTGCAGTTTTACGCAAACTCTAACTTTTAAAGTAGATATTCATATTTTTATTTATTCCAAGAATGCTACCGTCACCATGTACATTCGACTGATAATTATAATAATAGATTTGGTCGTATAAAAACATATTACTGCACATAGTAGCTTTTATTAGTCCAGTGAATGTAAGATCACCGCCAGTACAGAAAGGATCTCAATTAAAATTTAAATTTTATAGTTTTGCATATCCGGTTATAATTATCTATATTTGTACAAGTTTTAGATCGTTTTAAATACAGATTAGTAGTACTTACATTTTAATGGAAGTTACTTGATGCTATCTGGTATTATAAGTTTACGCAAGCAAAAGTTATTAGGGCTTGGTAAATGCTTATCAGTAAACAATTTTATGACCGTAAGATGTAACCATAAGAAAAATAATAATAACGGACCAAAATTTCGAATAAATTATTAGCCGCCATTTTAATCTAGGGGTTGTAACTTTGACGAAATTGAAATTCGATTGTTATACTGAAGTAAAAATGTTCCATCAATGGTACTAATTAAAGAATAACTTATGTTAAGAAATAAAAATTTCTAAGGAATAAGCTTTAAATTTACTTGTTTGCCTAAATAGATTTTCTATAATCACTTAAAACATAATACTAATATTGTCGCTAATAAATTGTCAATCCAGTAAATAACGAATCTCAAATGACTACAGTATAAAACGATAAAACTAGTATTCGGTTGAGGACTTTAATCCTAAGGTTAGTTATTTCTTGTTTTATACTTAGATGTTTGCCTCTGGCCTCACATCGATTTATTTAAGCCAAAGAAACAACGAGTCATTGGTAAAGTATAGCTACTAAGTAATAATAGATAATATGATAATGCGTTATAAATAGATCGCAGCTCAACTACTAAACATTTTAAGAACATAAAGTTTAGAACCGTAATTCTCATAATATTTTATGTTTTTCCAGCATACAGGAAGGTTTGCACTGGCCTTGCTAGTGATTGCTGCTTGTTTAGTGAACGCCATTCGAAGTACCTATATGTTTATTATCTATAATTTAAAGATTTACAGCATTTACGAACGTGGGATATTTGGAGCAAATATGGCAGTGACAGGAGTATCGCTAGCTAATATTGTATGGGTTGCGATTTCATCAGGCAATAAATTAGGACGAATGGGAACTCTTCGGAACTCCGAGTTACAACTTAGAAGTTACGATGAACAAGAATGCGAAGACGATGATATAAGCTTATTTAATCAAAGCATTTGTGGTCTTACCATATTTCAGTTATCGCTATCGCAACTCATTGCCGGCATGATCTTGATTGCCCTGGGAATTTATTCTTTGTTTGATTCTTTCTGGCTTTTTTCAACAATTCCATTATATCTAGCTGTATCGGTATTAATAAAATTTTGAAGCAATGAATGCCTCTGATAGACAGATTTGAGCGATAATTTTATTATTATCTTATTAACATAATATGTATTTTTTTAGTTACTGACATCTGCTACACTTGGGATTACATCGAGATATAAAAAAACAGTATATCTAGTAAGGATCATTTAGTTAACCTTCCTATTACGAAGTCAGGTATGATTTATCTAATCAAATTATTTTCCAGGCAATATGGTTCCGAGTACTATGTCTAATGTCAAGAGCACTTGCACCTGTTTCGCTTTGTATTTGTACGTATGGCTTTATAGGCTATTTTAACGAAAAGCCAACAGAGACTATAAAGCTTTCAATTATATTTGGTGGTATTGGAGTGTCCAGCTTAGTTGCAATGATGTCTTCTACGTTAGCTGCAATAGTTGTCCAAAAGTATGTTGGGATTAATCTCTGCTCTCCAGGCAACAGTAACAGCTTTTACGGAAGTGCACATTACAAAGTCGGAGTGTGTCAAATAGCTTCTGGTCTTCTTTGTTTGGCCGCTGGCATTGCCTCTATGATATTATTGCGTGGATCTTATTTTACACAGTTTACGTATTACGTTGCAGTTATGGTAAGTACTCCTATCATTACTACATATTTCAATATGCACGAACTTATTATAAATCCGTTTTTATTTCATGAATCGTTATTATGTATAGGCTTTTTCTTCAGGTCTCTGTGGTATCGATGTTGCGAGTAAAAAATCTGAAGCAACAGTGAGTATAATATCAAAGTATTTATAGCCAATATGTAGCTGGGTTCATGAAATACTAACTGACAATCATTTTCATTAACAACACCAGCTCAGCACCTTCGTAATCATGTCGACATATACGGTTGTTACAAGTTTGGTGAACGTAGCTCTTGCTCTTATCCAGTATTCCTCATTGCAGACATTAAATTTACCGTTTACGCCAAATATGGCTTTATACATGTTGCTAGCTTGTTTGATCTCTACAGCCTTGGTTTTCTTATCTGGATTCAGTGGAGCTGTGGTCTGCGGCATGCGCATGGGAATTTGCTGTTCAGAGTTAGTTTCCTTTTATTTTTACCTTGCATAACTTAGTGATAAAAGGCTTTGATGGTAGAGGTTATTATCTTACTGTTATAGCCGGAGTTAATGTTCTTGATCTAACATACGTTATTTCTAATGGTTCGCTTACAAATTTGCTACAGAATATACATTCATACCGAACGTCATAATTATCGTCGCTAATACAAATGTTTCTAGCGTATTTACTGTACTTAAAGCTGAAAGATTACATAATCCCCTTTCAGAGCCGTTACAGATTTTTGCTATACCTTCTGTCTGTAACACTGTTCGATGATAGTGTCGTAGCTTACTCAAAACATGTTAGATATTAGCTGATTAAGGAGCGGCAATTAAGAGGAGCATCAATTAAATAAATGTTACCCTTGCTGGCTTTCATTAGGGATTTCAGACGAAGGACGATGAGTTTTATTCGAGGTCGAAGACCAAGTTTCCTTCGGGGAAGAAGGCCTAGTTTTCTAAATCGCAACAACGATTATCAAAATAGAAATGATAAAAAGATGGCGATGGCACAATCTAGCGCTCGAAGTGGTGGTGCTGCTTCTGTATAAAAGCGTACTACAGTACTAGGATCCAAATTATTGGATCACACCTATTAATTATATGCACGTGCGCTACTGACAGCCGATCACTGTTGTTTTATTAAAGACGCGGTGCAAGATAGAAAATTAGAAAAATTCTATTGAAATTTCATCTTAACTATAGCTATTGTACACGTATTGCTAGTTGAAATGCGATATACTGCGTATGCTACGGTGTTATTACAGAGTCTTCTGAATCGCCGTAAATTTGTATTTGTTATAAGTGAATTACTAAACTGGACAAACACAGAATATTTGAATAGAAAGGAATTTCAATGTTAACTTGTATTAGTTGTGATATTCCTGATGCCACGCGTTTTGAAAATTTATGCCTATATAGATTATGCAGTGAAAATACTTAAGATGCCGCCAGCAGTTATACCGGCATTTAAACTAAAAATCTAAGGATATTGTATCTACTGAATTTAAGCGCCTTGATAATTCATGACGATGTCTCATAAACTAATATTTCTTATAATTAGTAAGTACTTAATAGATTGACTACTTCTCGGTTAGCTACAAGAGCTTAAGTTTATTCAGGCTATTTGTTTATTAGTGAATACATTTGTCAGGTACATTCCTTGAACACATAGCCTAGTAATATAGTCAAACGATATGATCGACCATGTTAGGGTGAGTGTAGTTGCGAATTGTGTAGTATCTTATCTAAATTGGTATGTTATATTGTATATGCGAAACATCGCAGTATGTCTTCACATAACATTTTAATCCTGTTACTCTGCTCTATTGAAGAGAGCAATACAATCTATGTCTGTTCTTTAAACCGAGTTGTTTACTAACATACGTATATAAAGACTGTCAGCCTTCGTATATTAAGTATTTAGTAAACTCACTACCTAAAGGTTAATTCCGACACATATCGGTGAATATCCGATTCAGATGTATTCATATATTGCTTTGAAAACCCAATTAGACCTTGGAAGAAAGTTCTTATACTAAATCGAAATAACTTCTGGCAGAGTGTGCGTTGTTTCACAAGCTTAATACGGAGTAAAGTAATAAAAGGATATTCAATATTTGTGTAACAGTAAGTATACGAGCGTGCTATTAATATGATATAATATCGAGACGATATTACATTAAGAATTTTATTAGTTGGTAAATACAATAACAACTAGCAAGCAAGAAATGTAAATTACTGATCAAGATTTACAATACCCTCAGTAAGTTTTGTACACTGAAAGCTACAAATAATCACAACCTTTATTAAACATGCTTATAGAAGAAAGCCAATACTGAAAATTCAAACCGAATCAATATTTAATCATGGCTTCCTTATGGAAGTTACTGCAAAAAGAGCAGAGCTAAAGTATTCAAAACGGAAGATTACTTCATATATTTATCATTTTGCGCCGCTAATATTTTAGCGGAAGATTTCGCATCGTAAAAAAGTTTGTTAATTTCTTCGACATCATTTCTCTGGATATTTTCATGACCTTTAGCACCAGTAAAATCCCTCTGTTAATTATATTTACTATATAAAAGTAAATTGACAGCCGATAGTACTCACCGTTTATACGAGAAAGTAAGTGAGATGGGGTCAGTAATTGTACGGCATATCTAGGGTCAAATTGAATTAGATCATGAATAACATTCTTGAGATGGGTAGAACAAGTGCCTACTTTATGCCAGCCTAAGACTTGGCAAGATAAATTTTCGACTCATTTCTACCTCAATGTTGTCTGAGAACCGATTTCTCCAAGATATTCTAATGATTCACTATCACAATTGATTTCTTCGGTTTGCGAGCGGATTTTTAAAATCTGATAAACGATGATTGACACTCAAATCAACCACATTAGCAATCGATTTAAAGCAATCTATATAATACCGTCATAACTACATCGAAGTACCTGAATCATTTCCTGCTTTAGATACGGAAAAGTTCGAATTATCATTACACGGTCAAGTAGATCCAAAGGCATGCCATGTGGAGAAATTATGTCTTTTGTACCTCTATTATCCAATAATATTAGTACATAAGTAGAGCAAAGAGCTGCTGGTATTTCGCTTACCTGATCAAACATCTTCCTCTATTCGTTGCAAAAACTACTATCGGTGACAACGACGATTCCAACGCCCGATGTAGGTACGTAAAGCACTCGATATCCAACATATGAACCTAAAACCACACAGAGGTTACATAATTTGTATTAATAATCACTCCACTACAGTATTGCGTAGAAATAAAAATAATCGTAAGTTAAAATCATTAAACTATCCATATAACATATCATAATCGTTAGTATAACTGATAATTATATTGATTACTAAATCGTCAGGTATTGTACTACTAACTTAAGTAGTCGCACCACTATCTTAAGTCTATAAATACCTCATCAATAAATAAAACCCCTGGTACTAGTTCAGCAATTCCTTGATCAATATACTTATTAACAACCTATAGCAGTAGTACAGAAAGTAGTCATTTCAAAATAACCAGCTACGGATGCTACACGAAATGAATTTAGAAATTAATAATTTCTTTATTACTTTGTTGATTTCTCTCCTTAGTTTGTCTAAAATCATTCAAATAACCTAATTAGATTCATCACGAAGTAAAGAAATATGGAAGCATATTCCTGTGTCTAGATTGCGTACCAGTAATTTCGGTTTTTTTGGGTTTCATTAATTGGCCCATAATTGATAGCACGTCCTGACCACCATGTGGGCGGGCATTAGCTACGTCTAAATCATGTAAGGTAACATCCTGGATGACTTCTTTCTTTTTATGTACATCTCCTTTTGGTAAAGGTACGTACTCTTCCGCCTAGGAACGTGATCAAAAGTAGATTTTATAATTTCTAGTAAAGTGCTATAATTATTTAGTTGATATTACACTATCATAATCTAGTAAACTACGCTACTATATTCACTGGCTAGGACGTATCGTTATTAGCGCCATAACTGTAAAGTTCACAACAAATTCTGTCCACAACTTCCTAGTACTAGTATGCGGAAAATTTTTAATAACTCTCTTTCTGCTAACAAATTTTATGAAGGAGTGCAGTACCTCTAAATCAAATTCGGTAGCAAAAGCATCACATCTCCCCTGCCGCTATATCAGAAAAAGACAAACAATGGTTATAATTTCAATTCAGTGTAAATGTGATCAAGAATCAACCTGTAAGTACTATACCTTTACAGCACCACTATTCGCCTCAATATATATGACATCCCCAGGCTCCACCTTTTCTTTAAGCAAGCTTTCGTATATGGAAGGATCAAGCTAAAGAATCCGTACCGATTGAAGTTAATACTATACCTCGCATCATCATGGTTCAATATATTCTGTAATCTTACTTTCAACTGCTTGGTTCCTTTCGCTGTTTTTAAACCAATCACGACATGACTTACAGTTTTACCATACCCTGTTTGTTAATTATAATTATCAATCATGGAATCTTTACTGGATATAAAATGATGAGAGCGACAAGTAACTCCTGAATTAGCAGTAAACAGATAAATACGTCACAACTATTCAATGAACAATGTAATATCCGGCGCATAACCTCCTGTCGGATTTTCAGTTTCATGTGGCGTCAATTCTATCACCTGTAAAGATTGCAAGGAAATTTTTTGGTATCAATAAATAGTGTACGCATATTAATTGATTTGTTTCATTACTTCTCCTTCGTAAACTTCTTTAGTTTCTTTGATTCGTAAACCTATTTGTAGTAAATTTTCAAAATGTTACGTAAATTCAACGACAATATAGTCATTATCCAGAGTAATACTATTAACTAAAATGACCTATAGCACGTCTGAAATTTTCCATTAAAACTTCCGTTTTTTTAACTTCAGTAGAATATACTTCGCTACCAACCATTGGGCAAAATGGAACTTTAGGTCCAAGTTCATGTGCTACAGCCAAGGCCAAGGCAGTCTGATGTATAATAATGTATATAGATTAATTTAATCTTTATAATTTGTATAACTTCTACTTAAAGCATCAATTAATCAGTAGTGTAAATAGTAGAAAACAGAAGGTTAACCTTTCCAGTGCCTGGAGGGCCAGCTAATAATACAGCACGACCTGCCATTTTCCTCGATTTGATAAGCTCAACGATAATGCCCGCAGCCTTAATTGATAACGTAAATTTAGTTATTTATTTTGAAATTTTAATATCATCACTTCTCATTTACTTTTCAGCTAATTCTATTTTAATACGCAATACTGTAAGTATCGCGGCTTAACCTGTAGACACTGAGTCAATCACAAACTCTCCATAGGATATTGTAATTCTGTAAATAGATATAGATGGGGCGTGATATGTTCTCCAGCAAGAGTGATGTTTAACTGATGCAATTATCATAACAACAGGGTCGAAATTAGAGATTCACTACAAGTAAGTCCTTGATTAATAAAAGTAGTCACTATTATATAATTATTGACCTAGGTAGCCTCTGACGGATGTGCGAAACATCATTGGGACTACTGAAAGAAGTCCCTCACCCTTTTAGTAATCCCTGATGCGCTATAAGGGAAATCTTATGTGTCATGTAAAGATAAGAATTATACCATCTGTAAATGTTAGGAAGGTAGTCAAGGGTAGAAAAGTATTTGATCGAAAACGTATCCCTGCAAAGCACGTATTTGCTTATTTATAGGCTATAAATACTGTACTACCGCACTGATGCACATAATGAAGTAATTTTACGATACTAGATTTTCAAATTTAAAGCTTTTTTCGGCTCTTTCCGGAAATTTAAATTAGCAGCACTGTAAGTTATAAATAATTAATTTAATTAATTTCACAGTTACGCTGTAAGTACAGTATTAGCAAGGATTAGGTATAGCACGATAAACGCGTACCGCAAACTAAACTACAGTACTCATAATATGATGGTTGGCAATGCTTATTAGCTCAACCTATTTACCAGAGTATATGTAAATACGTATACGATCAATTTATAATTTCTGTATTGTCTTTAACGCTGTATTATACGGCAGATTAAGTAATGGAATTTCATTATGAAGTTTACTCAAGGTTAAAGAGGTAAGCTAGCGTAAAAATTCTCATACTTATATGAATATCGAGGAATTGTATACTAACTTGATGTTAGACGTTTAAATCCGTAATCTGCAAACGATGCCAAATTAAGGCAGTGTGGTGTATAGAATATATGTATATTACAGCCAAAGTGCGAAATTAGTATTGATTCATGATTCACTATGAAAGTACAGTAATTATGAACTACTTAATGTAGACTTACTAAGAAACCTGGATAGATATATGTACAGTACACACTATACACGATATACAGCACAATATATAATGATTATCCAGTAAAGCATTAATTGTAATTACCTCTCTGGCCTTTTCCTGTCCCACTAAGCCAGCTGCTACTGGCTTTGCTAATCCAGTTTCATCTAGCCCAAGTCCCTTAATATGGCTATGAGAAGCTATCCTTTGAGTTTTCGAAGTACTCTTAACTTCTTCAATCTTCATCTCGGCGCCAACTGCGTATTGTAATGTGTATTTCGTTCGTCGAAATGGCCGTTACCGTTGCACGTTTTATGATACTGGTAACCGTAGCTATAATTTTCACTAAAATTTATAGTACAGTATATATTCATTAGTAATCATTACCGTTACCTTAGCAGGACGGACTGCTCTCGGACGTACTGCATCAATTGTGACGTCACTGCTACTGAAACTCTTCAAAGGAATAGGATAGGCAACAGTCGCTCGGTATAGAAAAAAAGAGGCTGACTATTTCACCATTCATTTCATGTGAACCGTATGTCTGAAACGATACACTATACAGTACTGTCCGCAATATAATTACGTATGTCATTTGTGGAATTAGCTGCTTGATTGATTTTGTGCAGTGTCAGTACAGTATACAGTACGGTAGAAGGACCAGCAAAATGGCGGGGTGTACTGTACACTACAGTATCCACGCCATTACTTTACAGTACATTCTACAGTAACGTCAAAGTGAGGGCCGACTTTTTTACTGGTCATTTCAACTGTACAGACAGTACTGACCATCAGCGTACGGCAATACTGCTATATTGTACGCAATCAGGGACTTCTCGAGCAAAAAATTAAAAAAAGGCTTGTTCGAAAAGTCCCTGATACGACCGTTCTCTAAATTAGCTGGGTAATAAAATTCGGACAGGTTTGCAATCCCTATCTAGATGATAGTTGTTTATGATCGTCCGTATTGCAATACCGTAGCTTATCTTCTGTTATAACTTATAGGAATGACACATTCCGTTTGGCTTACGTCTTTGATTGATTTATTTTATTTTAATATAATAGACAAAGCGGATGTGCACTGAAATGTAAAATGGCTATATTTCACAAAGATCTGGTAATATTCCAATTTCGTATTTACGTGTGTGTATCTGATGAAGGTTAAATTTTTATTTTATTAACAGGCTAACGGTAAAGCGGAATAAATAAATTATATAATTATTGAGTATTATTATTAGCAGGTTTCTTTTAAATGCTCACAGACCTAGACTGTAAAATCCTTAACTTTTCCGCGATATACGAAACAAATAATTCTGAGTGAAGTGGATAATAAATCGAAAGTCAATTAATACAATCGGCTATCTAAAACAATAAAGGTTATATTTAAATATCGTCATTTATTATAGCTTGCATTAACTGTATAAATTTAACAACCATATTCCGTTTTCAGCTTTACTTCACAATCTGATAGAAGTGTTTCAAGAATACTGTGACAAAATTTAAGTAATAGATTACGTTTAATTTAATTATTTCTAGAAATTTTTTCTACACAAATAAGAATATAATTTAAGAAGAATACATGAAAATACTTCAATTAATTATAAGTTATTACTAGTACATTATCAACTATGCAAATCGGAGCTAACATTGTTTTCTTCGAAATATCTCGGAATTCATCTTCTTTGTCACTATTTTTCGATCGTAGTAAATTTGGAGCAAATATTATAGCTAAACTAGAAGTAGTCATGAAATTTTTTTCGCAGATGGCAATCCTAATTACAGTAAGAAACACGTTCATACTGTAAATGCATTTTAGAAGATCAGGTCTTGCATGTGATTTCATGTTCTCTGATACATTCTAATATCACTTACCGAGCTAGATGGACAATCATTCTATCAAGTATGCATAAGTTGGCCTTCGGCAGTGATTCAATTAATGAATTAAGTGTCATGGTACGCTTATTAGCGCAGTCTATCTCTAAAATGAATCAGTGCATAAAATAGGCATTAATTTTTAGCACGAAGTTTTGCTAGTTACAGAATCATATAGTCAAGTTTCATATATCTCAAGTGGTGTCTACTTGCAGCTTCTATGAGCTTAGGATATAAGGAAAATGTCAACAGTGGTTCCGGCAATTGTCGAAAAAACTGTTTAACAAGCGCCGCAATTGTTATCACTGGATATCCAATCAAATTACAGTACAAATCTGCAACCATACAACTTAGCATCAGTCTTATTATATTATTGAGGATTTAACCTACTATGTTAATTACGTAAACGAATACGTATACCTTGCTCAAGTGCATTACATAAAGCAGTAATGCTTTCCATATTAGGAGACTTCCTATAAATACCGGGTACCTCCAGACCTGCGAATAAATAAGTATTTAGTAGAGCCTCGTACTGGGACTAAAAGACCAGGAGCAATGCAGCGTTCGATTGAGCTATCCTTCCCTGCAAACACAGTGTAATGCGATGTACCGTAATGTATCTAAGTTTACCTCGAAGTTCGACATCTTTAATACACCGTTCGACCGTAACGGGCATAGGTTGAAGATCATCGGTTAATAGTTCTAATGAAATTCCAAATAGCCTTGCTGATGAATAGTGCTAGAAGAATAAAGAGAGGTATAATGTACTTGTAAAATAAAATTTATTGGGATTACAAAATCGACTTTAGGGCTTTGTCATTAGGGAAAGTGCGATTCTATAACCAAGTTTCGCTCTTGAGCTTCCATAAATTAAAGTGATTCTACCTCTTTGTAATCAGTATGCGTTAAATGGATCTTGCATTGATATTTACAACAGAGGAAACTGAGATCTGTATTAAGATGCTGTCATGAGTTATAAGATCAATCCTTATAGTAATAACAAATATACACATACACTATACATATAGCGTTGGCTGATTAAGGAATATTGATAACAAAATGGGATCAACATTGATCCGCAAAATGTAACAAAGGAAACGGCTTGTTATAAAATTAAAATAATCTACAGTAATTTAGCTATTGCAATATAAAGAATTAGATACAAATTAATAATAATTAATTATTACTATTTTATTTATTCGACCGAAGGGAGTTGTTAAGCCGGTTTAGAAATGGACTCTCCATCACATTTTTCCGCACATATGATTGGCTAGCGTCACGTGTTTGTGTCATGCTTAAATACACATATGATTGGCTCATAACCGATTAGTTCTTGCTTGAAATCTCAATGCAAGACTCTTGATCGAGCTGTACTTGATTTAGGACGAGCGGAAAGATGTGCAACAATGGCTTTGATCTCTCTCTCAAGCGTACGTGAATTAAGTTAACATTTGCTGAAATAATGTACGCTGGAACGTTACAAAAAGTTAATACATCAGATGGCTTATCGAAAATTCGCGTTACCGTCGATGCACTTATAGTAAAAGCTAACCACAACAAGCAAATCTATGATGAATTATGGATGAACTGCACATCATAATCGCGGGAACAGTTACAATATATATATAGTGTACTGTATGTATACATATATACTGTTTAAATAATTAAGATTAAGATTACTGTACTGTATTTCGTTTTATCGTAGTGATTTATTGGTAATATTAAATCTTTATATCGTAATTTATGCAAATTTCTAATGTGGTTAACGTAAATTTTCTGATTATTGCTGCGAGATCTGCAATCCAATCGTGATTTGTAATTTATAAAATAAAGTTTCTAAATCTCTAACAATTACCTGCGTACTAAGTACTGTTATGAATAGCCTTAATATTATAGATATACTACAGTTTAATGTATTGTGGTGTTACTGTAATTTTGTAAATTGTCCTAAAATGTTTGTTTATATATGTATCAAATATTAAATGTTAATTACCAAGTTCTACGATAATTTTTTCTGTGATGAGTACTGGAGACTCTGGCCGTTTACTGTACATGAATTCATAACAACACAGCCCTAAGGTAACCGTTTACATTTCCATTTTTTAAAATGTAGAAATGGATAAGACTGAATAATTAATTAATTAAAGCAATATATGAATCTGTAAAGCTTAATTATTGTACAGTACGATACGCCCTGAGTTTAGCGGTGTGCAAAGTCCGGACTTAGTCCAGACTTACGGCACGAACTAGACGTAAATGCTGGTTGTTATATTTCACAACAACAATCCAAGAGTCCGCACGATAGTTACTTACTTAATCCTTTATTTCTTGCTTAGCAAGTTCTTTATATACTAATCCATAGTATAGAACTATTCTAAGAAGAGCATTATAATGTCCATGCTCGGATACACTAAGCAAAGAATTTATTGTACTGTACTGTACAGTACTGTACGTTCCTTTACGATAACAGCGTAATACCCTGGGATTATAACATACTGTTAACAACTATGCTTGCTCACAAAATTGTAAGTAACACTAGTATTAACCACAGTAATCAATCGTAGATCTTTTCGTTGGTGTTAAATAGACTGCGTACATAAGGAAGTAATGTAGATTGCAAGTTCATATATATAGTATAACAGATAGCACGATGCATAGGTGTAGTTAGCAGTTTTTTAATAATTAATCAGTGATAGCTCGACCTTTCTGAGTTGGATCAGAGTCCATTGTTATAAAATTCTCCTGAATAACCCTAAGTAGTGCTCTATTCATAAATCCTAAATGATTCTTTATTTCTACTATGCGTATTTCAGTGTGCTTATCGATTGCAATTTTCATATTGCATGTCTTATGTTTATTGGCTGATAGGTATAGAATCACTAAAATAAGCTTAAAATATGAATACAGTGTATATAATTAGCGATTATGAAAGAACTTACTTTTATTACTGTGTAAACCCTAATTCGCGCTCATCGATTTCTACATTACGTGTATAACTTTTATTGACTTATGACTTATGGATATTGGGCGATTCAGCTTAAAATTACGTTAATCTAACACAGTACGGTATTGCACAGTAAATCTCGGCTGCAGAGTTCAATAAAATTTTTCGGACCAGAGTCAAAGTCAGAAATTTGTACTTAATTAAATACTACCCATATAGTTACTATATACCAAACACTATATGGTTAAGGCTATACTAGAAAAGCGCAAAGTCAACTACTGATCCGCTAATGTACATTAACATTTAAGCATAATTTGAACAGCGTATAAAAACTTACCATCCCTCTGCCGATGTTTTTGAATCTCTTGAGCTGCAAATGCTACTATTAGAACCAATATTTGAGTTTCTTTATACTCTAAACTAAAATTACTTGGTCCTCATAATTCCCGTATTGCTCACCTTTTCGAATTTCCTTTGCATGCAGTAATCCCTATGTAGTGCAATACATATGGTATAAGATCTTAAATAGCAATAGAAAACATTTATATCTTTACAAGGGCAGATTAAATTTCCTACCTATCACGTAAATATTCGTCAAGTGTGACTTTAAAAACAGAGATTCTTTCATTGACAGTCAACTTTGTTGGTAAACAGATCCTAACTTCGTTCATTATTATGAAACTATAAATGTTGACAAGATCTTCGTATCTTAACACAACGGAGTGATTCTCCTTGTAAGTTATAATTTCAGAAAAATTTTAGTAATTCTAGAAAGATGACATCTACAGTTATATAAAGATTTACTGTACTACAGAAACAGTAGAAGCGATCAACATAATTATCTAAGTATACGATATATTTGCGCGCTTATACTGTAGAAGTTAAACGCTTACATATATCGGGTTTGAACCTGGACCTGAATATGTATACTGTATGTACAACTACATTCCATAGTATATTTTATAACAGGTCATTGTAACATAGTATCATACGTAGCTGGCATAGTTTATTTTGACTGAATAAAAACTAAATGACTTTATATATTTACTCTGTACTTTCTTCGGTAAATAAGCAAACACTGATCGAGAAATTTTTCCAAGCAGATTCTAACGGAAGCTGATTGCTGAAAACGATTTTCATGAATTTCGATGTTGAATAAATTTATCTATTACAAATTTTTGAAATTTAAAATACATTTACGAAGTTAAAAAATTCATCAATACACCTTTGAAAAAAACATAAAAGATATAAGGCTGCTTCCATCTTAAGTTAAAATGTAAACATGCAGCTCCTAAGTATTATACAGTGACATAGATAGTTCAAATGTAAGGGCATATCTAGAATTTCACATATCAACTAATCATTTTTATGCTTTTACTACAGCGCAATAAAATATTTACTTTGCAAATAAGAAACGATGTAAACTTAGGGATATCCACTGCTTTTGTTATCAGAATAGGACTTATAGTTGAGTAAATATCTTCGAATCGGGCATGCATATCATGGATTTCGTTGGGATTCTTCATACCATCAATGGCGCCCTCGTTAATCTAGAGAAAGCACAAATCAAGGCATCATAACAAATCCTACAGCCCAACAGCCTTTTATCATATCACGTAGTGTATATAGTTTCGGAACGAATCTTTTATAGGCTGTTTGCTTTCTGAAGGCTTCGTGAAGCTTACAGATCAATTAATAATGAGAAAATGCTCCTCACTATCAAACTCTTACGACCTATTGTATACTAGCTGGTATAGGGTTGGTTCCAGCGTTTTATTTAGATAATAATTAATTAATTAATTAATCACAGTAAGATTTAACTCTAATTTATTATACATATCATAACAGCAAATGATAACTGTGTTTGGAACGTCGTCATTCTAATATACCGTATTGTACATCGCATGGCGAACTGGGTCTCAGTTTGTACAGTATACTTATTTTTGTATTTGTTATTTAACGCTTGGCGTAATCATAACGTTCACATAAATGGGCTAATAGCGTACAATAACTGTTTTCCGGTGATCAACAAATTTCGAGACATCATAATATAGCTATAATTCTTATGTGAACACTAATTTAGTACTATAGTATTGTTTCCGCTACAATATAAGAATTACGTAGTACTGTTCTGTAAGATCTTGTCATTTTCCATACTTTCTTGAGATAATAGTATAAATATTTACTGCTAGCTGAGTATCAATTTGTATATTATGCGGTTTAAAAAAATATATCTAGGTAATTGTGTAAATTAGATTTATGTACTTTCAAAGGTCTAAACAGTAAAGAGTAATTTTATCATTTTATCGTATGAATTATGCTACTGCCTTATTATATAACCTGTCTCATATCAATAACTTAAAACTTTCTTTTATCATCAATATAAAGTCGAACTGAAAGTGTTGATTGCATACTACCTAATCGCTTTAAATTTTCAATTTAAGAAAGAAGTGTGCGTAGTATACTGTCATAGCGCTAGTTAGCGCATTACTTTGCAAGCTCACTCGACTTGCTAGGTAACTGCATTCGTATTTACTTTATTAATAAAGTTTCTGTTATGTATCCAGTTGAGGACAGCTTCTACAAACACAAAATTATGCCAACAGAAAACTCTACTTTATTCCGTCCTAGGTTCTACTGTACAGTCACAGTAATACAGTACCTTTACAGTTCTGAATCCGATAACTTAACATCATGCTTTGGCATAGAAATTACAGTTACAGAGCATTGTTATTACTTACATCATATACTGCATCATGTGCGTTATAATACCTTCTGATAACGTCTTATCGTTAACACTATCCTTACTGTCTTCCTACACATACCGAAGCTACTACTAATAATTGTATAATTCTAATGAGTTTGAGACGTAACTTTAAAAGTCTGCAGTATTTTATAAACCATAAAAATACCCATAATATTACGACTCTGAGGCAAAAACTTAAACAAAAATATCTTCGTAATAAGCAACACCAATTGATATGCTAATTTATTGAATACTCACATTTCGGAACGTATCTCTGCAGTTTGTGATGAAATATCGTTTAATGACTATAAATCTTTACATCCAACTGAAGCATAGAAACAGTCACTTTACTATTTTCGTTTTGCTATCATCTATAAAGATGCACAGTATTTAAACGCTTATTGAACAGGCAGAAATAAAATTATATGCTCAGGCTAACTAATATATTTTTATTAAGTTTTTGTTGTATTCATTTCATGTACAAAGTAATACGGTAGTATATATATATTGTGTCAAAAGTGAGACTATAAAAGTGATAACTATGTGTCGTGTGATTCTTGAGTATTCACAAAGTAGAAGAGAGATGACCGAATTATCGACTTTGAGTAGGAGATATAACAATAAAGATATACTTGGCTAAGTAATGATCATAGATAATGCTTTACAAATGGGCATACAATTTACCAAACGCAGTATAAATAAATGTAGCTTCTTGTAGATTAAAAATTTGCATAGTAAAATTAATCTTACCTAAATGGCAACTTGTAATTATATGGCAATAAGAGCTAATCTAGTCTAACTGTATTGCTTATGATGTACTGGAGTATCGCCTTGGTATCATTAATTTTAAGGGAATACTTAATAGGTATTATCGCTTCACTCTATCATTTAATGAGGATTAACAGCTGTATTAAAAACTGTGTCATCTATCACATTGACTTAACAACGCCGTAGTTTCTGATTTCGTCATACAATCGTGATCTTGAACTAGCACTGTATTGCACATTGAGCCTCAATCTTGATCTTGAACTAGCACTGTATTGCACATTGAAACACTGGCAAGACAGTCATAGTTACTGTACAGTATAAACATACGGCAAAACATGATTCTAACATTGACGATATCGTAGCAAGATTGGTTAGCATATGTCACAGCATCATCAATTTATTGTTTTTAGTATCATGACCTTAAAATTGTTTCTATTACCACACGTTGCGGAGCTATTGGCGTATAATCCTATATATTGTGCTGATAGCATGGCGCCAGATCAAAAGATTCTCTCCATCTTTTTCGTATTGTTAACTTGCTTTATTCTGCTAGTCAATTCTAAGCCAGCAGTAGAGAATGAAAGAATAAAGCCAAATCATTCTGCAAATCAAAGCTTTGAAATAACGAACACGAATAGTAGCGGTAATAATCCAAGTAAGCAAGGTTTTGTGCCCTATTGTGGAGCATGAGTTACTACGGACAATACAGTGTTATGGAAACATAGTGGCGATTTCTCTACGCTTGTAATTACACATACGTATCATATATTTTACATAAGGCTATTTGCTCAGTGTGTACTAATATCAGTTTGCAGAGCTTATGATTAGTTTAGCTTCTCGATTCTCTCTGTAAGACTTAAAATTTCAATCGTATGCTTCGTTATACGTATTGATTTCTTCCTCAATGTCTATAGCTCCATTCAACCAGAAGCAATCCTCTCGAAGATATAGACAGAATGATCCAATATTTAAATTTCAGTTTTCAAATCTATGGGGTAATGATAATACGGCAAAAAGTCGCTTTCCGTTAATATGCTTCTTCCTTCTCATGATATTGGCATTGGCATTTTCAATATTTAGAAATCGCCTACTGGTAAGAATTATACTCTCTACTTTACTTAAAAATTGAATAGGATACTAAAAATCTCCTGAATATTACATTTCTACGTATTAAAACTGAATTCGCTCTTGTAAAAACATTTTATATGAATACCTAGGTAGCTGATTTCATTTCAGAAGTTCGAAGTCGAGGAATTCGCCACTATTTGTCGCAAAATACTGGTTATACTAGATTAGATTCAAGTGTACATTTGCAAAAGGCAATTTAAGGATATACTAACAAATGTTTATAGATAGGTACTACTATATTACATTTTCTTGCATGTTAACGCTGCACCTTAATTCACAAGTTTATTGTTGTAAAATATACTAGATAATGCACGGAATAGATCATTATTGTGATTATACAGCGTACACCAAGTCGAAACTTGCTTATTTTGAGATAATTTATTTCTCAAAATGAATTAAAAGCAGCTCAATCTTGATCCCATGATGCAGATATTACACGGAAGAGATCATGACCACTGTAGTATAACGTTAATTTAATGTACCTTAAGGCGAAATTTGTGTATTTGAAACATCTTCATATCTTAAATATTAATAAAAGTAGCTAATCCTAGTTGCATCATACAATTCAATAATTTCTGCTTGCTATTGTAGAATTGTATCTTCTCGGTATGTCATTGAATATTGTAACAGCTTCCTTTGCATGTTTTTTATATTTTAGAGAATGAGGTTGTGTTTCTAGCGTTGAGACACAAATTCTATAGAGATAATTTTATCCTTTTGACTTCCATATCTGATCTATAAATGCAGCCAATTAAATGAAATCAATCTGTTCTTCATATTGTACACGGAAGTACCGTACTTAATATTGCTGGAATCATTACTGTGCAAATGTTCTGATTTCGCTTCTACTCTTCTTGCTCATTGTCGTTAAATTTATATATTAACACAGTGCATCTATGAATTATAGTTCATAAAGAGGAATTCTATTGTATATTGGAATTATGGACTCACTGTTCATAGAGTTTTGCTTCTTGATACTAATACTGGTAATTGTGGGTCATGATAGTACCGTTCGCTGACGACGAAGAAACAATACAGAATGATCTGCACATTTATAAAATGTTTTATATGTTTACACAAAAAAATGATTTTACTACAGCATCATGTCAATCTAAAGATTTCATGTAGAGCATGGTCACGTTCCAGCAACTAATCAAAAGTTGCATATAGTAATAGTTTTGGCAACTTTCTACCGAATTAAGATGACACAATACATATATAGACTCCAAATTGATTACATAATGAGACTCCAGTAGCGTGTTGAAATTTAACGCCACAATCAGAAGGATTTATATACTAATATATATATATATATAATAGCCAGATATACATACACGTGACTAATATCCAAGTTTGGTAAAGCTACAAGTTACTTATAACTATAGGTATCTAATTGTGCATGCATCTTGTATCAATGTGGCCAAATATATAGTACATTTTCAGTAGTCTAGGACATGTATGTGGACTATTTGCTATACTAGTATGGGAAAGAAAAGCGTTTAAGATAACATCGCACAGTATAAGGTTAGTCTTGGCCGAGTTTGAAGTCCAGCTCAATGAGAACTGAAATATGATCGGATGGTACGTGAGGATGAGGATATCCAACAATCTTATTTTCCTCAACCCATGCCTGACTGTAGCCTCCCAGAATTCCACTAGGATACAGTAGCTTACTAGGGAACAAAATATAGTCTATAATTCCAGTAAAGTCATAGGTCATATTCGTGTATGGCAAAAAATCTTGATTGGCAGCATGTGCAAGCTTAAACGGCAACACTAAATTATTTTCTCGAGTTAAAATATTACACGAGTTATTGAAATAGCCATCATAACTCTTTCCCTTAAAGTCGGGATGCTTTACTGAAACGTTACCGGAAGTCAACATCTCCACAACGGCTGATGACGGCAGTGAATTTAAATCAGCACAAACCACCAATGGGATTTCTGAGATAGCTATTAATTAATGAATTATAACGCAGAAGTTACTAGGAGTTTTTATTCGTGTACCTACATGATTAATCATCGAAATCGTGTAGTACAAAAAAGATTTAATGAGACTTTCAGTATCAATCTTGCGGCTTACCACAATCGATTTCGGACGCTATAGTCTTCATGAGGGAATAAATTTCATGGACGAGCATCACAGTTTGGACAATTTTTACATCCGAAAATTCTGGATCCCAATGCATGTGGGCGTTCGCAACAATTAATCTTAATGGTTTACCACTGCTATCAGTTTTGTTGACTCTTAATACACATATCATAGCAATATTATCTTTTGTCATTACTCTATTGATCATGTCCTCAGATTTTTCCGCATGCATCATGGCCAAGTGATTAAATTCAATCAGATCCTCTTTCACTAGTGTAAATCTTGAAGAGATCGACGAAAATAAAGTTGATAATTGCATAACATAAGGCTATGTGAAAATTAACAGTGATGGATATAAAGATATATACTTATTCAATCGAAAGAATATTGCACATCCATCCACAGCAGATCTTTCAGGCTCGACCATAGTACGAGCTCTAGACTTGGCCCCAAATATTCCGTCATAGCCGTGTAATTTTAATTCTGGCAACAGATACGTATAAAATTGATCCGTAGCTACCTCCTGTAAAGTAGAAGCAAGGTATAAACCGTTATAACTAAGTATGTTATGCCAACGTACAATGAAATTCCCAAAATACTAAGAAATGCACACTATTTAACCTTACTTGTAAACATATTACGTCAGCATTATAGTGTAATATTTCTTTCATAATATTTTGCCGTCTATAGTCCCATGCAAGAGCCCAGCTTGGGCAATAACCATAAGATGATCTTGTAGCGTATTTTTCGCATAAGACGTTATAGCACATAACGGTAAAAGCATAAGCTGAAAAAATAATAAAACGAAATGGTGAACTAATTTGTTTAGTACGCAAGGAGAATTAATGCTAGTGTATATATATACAGTAAGCATATGACACTGTTAGCAGTTATCAGTTATCGTTCAGTCTCATAATGTAGTACTGCATATGTACACCATAACAGAGATATAGTTATTGTACTTACGCGTCACTTCTCGACCGCTGTCTGATAAGCAAATCCAGTCCCTAGGAGGAGGTTGAGGGCAAACTGTAATATAAACAATACCTTTTAAACTACAGTATGTTAGACATCGGTCGATAAAGGGAGCATTAGAACGTATATCAGTCCAAAAATATCTAACTAAAACTTTATAAAAAAAAAACCCTTTTTTTTCGAGTTTAGACACATTGCAATATTCGTTACGTGCAACACTATCAACGTTAAGCTAGGATCAACAATGGGCTATCGCAATACGTTTACTGCATATGGCAATTATAGGTATAATCTTTGGCTATGCTTCAGGTGTTCAGCTACGTAGAGCATCTACTACGCGTATGCAGAATTCAAGTATTGGTAACGCAACTAAAGTTAGGAAAGAGACGGGAAATACTGTATAGAAACCGTGCTAGATGTGAGTGTACAGTTTGTAGAGCTAGAGACCACTATCATTGACATGATTGTCTTCTGCCAGTCTCACCTTCAAGATTGTCTAATAAATACAACAGAAGCTTGCTTGTGCCATTTGTCTCGGTGTGAATACTTGAAATCTCAGGTGGTAAAGGATTTCCTTGAAGCCTTAGATGTTGCAAAAGGAATAATTTACCTACTTCGTTAGGAAGCCTCCTTAAATTGTTATTCGATAGGTTGAGTTCTCGCAAGTTAACCATATCACCAATTGACGTGGGCAATGATCGCAAGTTGTTATTAGAGACGTCAAGGTAGGTTAAATTATCCAAAAGGTTTATCTCACTGGGCAACGCGGTTAATTTATTATCATTTAAATACAGCGCTGTCAAAAAGCGCATACCAAATATCTTGGGAGATAAAATTCGCACGTTAGATTCTATTCTTAACTCGCTCCATTTGCTACCTTTGCCTGCTGTGATCTCTTCTGCGCTTAGTATCCGATGAGATCGCCTGGGATCAGGAGGTTTATACTTATATTTATCTTTAAATCGTTGCTTAGAATTCGCTGACATACGCTATATGATAAAATTGGCTCACAGTTAATTAATATTAATGGGAATCCGTAGTCCTTGTACGATAATATCATTCGCAAGGTTAATGCTAAGTATAGTATTGTAACTTGTATTAATCGAACTTATTTTGTACGTATTCCAAAATATTCTAAATTTACACCAAGAATCCAAAAACTTCAATTGAGCTCCACACTTCACACTGCGTAGAATACATAGTATTAATGTCTACTGTATATGGAGACTTGTAGTGAAATGAAATAGATACATTGCACCTTTACAGTACTACTGTTTCAAACACTACTGTAGCTTTCCCAGAGAATTTACTGCTGCGCAGTGCAGTACTGTGGGAGCAGTACAGTATACCGTACGATGGGTTTTTTTATTTCTTTCCTTCTTTCTTTTACGGTACTGTACTGTACTGTATTGTACTGTACAGTACAGTAATCACGAGTGAGACAAATACTGTACAGTACTAATTCTAAATAGTACTGTACTGTACAGTACTGTACAGTATAATAATAATAAGTACTGTATTGTACTGTACTGTACTACTGTACAGTACTGTACACTGTACAGTACGGTACAATACTGTGCTCTACTGTACAGTACTTACTCCGCTTAGCTTATTACTATACCGTACTGTAGGTTAAGGCTTCCCGAATTCAATTCAAAGTAAAATGTAAAATGCATAACATAATCGACAAGGTGCTGTATATGGATTCTAAATTGTTATTGGTTATTATTTATTAATATAATATTCTCAACTTTAGTCAGTCCTTGTAGAAAGTAATCATATTAAGTCTTTTAATCTCGGCATTCCAGGAATGGTGTGATGGAGTGCAACAAAGAGATCTCAGCCCATTCTCAGCCTTCGTCTTCCAAGGTCGTGTTGCTATAGAGTATAGTATACACTTTAATGTTCATAAAGATGTCTTTCAGTAACGTAGCAGTTTATTTGCACTTGTAAATATTCAGTAGCAAATTGCTTGTTATATATGCGTATATTTGAGGTAGGACTATCATGACTTACATATTTCACACTGACAGAGATTCATTAACATTATTTTACACCGTTTAAAGCGAGTACAAAAGAGATTAAGGAACAATAAAAAAGCTTACAGGTGCGCACCGTTAAAACATGCCTATTTACTTGGCTTACTTATATATAATTATATAACTATTATAGATAGCCATGAACATTTCATAGTTTTATTGCAGCCTTTACTTGCATTTTGTATAGGAGTATTACTTTTAATGATTTGCTGAGCATTCATTATTATATCCGGACGTAACTGTGCATGAATTTGAGATAACTATGTGTTAATGTATGAGGTGAAAGTTATTCACTGATTGTTGATGGAGACCATGTTTTAAAATATCTAGCAATTGTAAGGATATAGAACTGTGACCTATAATAGAAATGATAAAAATTAAAAATTTCCTCATTTATAGGAATGTTACGTTTCAATTAGTAGTCTATTAGATGTGTATGAATACAAGTAATTGCATATAATGGCTAAGTTAACCGTAATAAATTTGGTGTGGATATTTGCAGTCAGTGCTCAGAACAATGCATGCGCGGTGACTGTTCAGCCGACGACGAAATTCTCGATGGATGGGTTAATTTATTTCAAGACTGGAATGAGGATTGGAGGCGGCGTGCTTTGAGCAAGATCACTGAAAGGTCATATTTATGATGATTTAGATACCACGTTCCTTATAAGTTGTGAAATGTATTACTCAATATTTGCAAGTGTTCGTTGTACATTAAAAACTATAGATATGATATTTTTGCTGCATTCATAGTAAGATTAAATTACATCTTAGATTGTTATTCAGCATTCGTGGATTAAAATCGTAATTTCTGCAGCAAGACTGTTAGAATTTTTATACTGTATTGTGATTGTATAATGTGAATCTTGGTAGTTGTAATCCTGGTGCAAGCTGCTCTTTAGTAGATAAATTGCAGACTGTTTTGGTACTCCATTATTTACTGTATTATGCACACTGGTTTCTCTATAGAGTGGATAGTGCGATGCTGTATTGTGTATCTGTAAATTTTCTATAGCGTAACTATAACCTACTCGTGTAATATTGATTGCATTGTCGAGATCGTTTGATTGTCAGGTGGCAATATAATTAATAGATAATGATAATATATTTTATGTAACCATAATTTGAACGAATAGAATTGATAACTGTTGATAAATTATGTACATTCAATAATCTGGTTTAGTTACAAGTATACTGCTGTATAAGAATTTAAAGGAAAAATACAAGTTTAGAGCATGCATATCTATACGTAAGCATTGGAATTAAGAAGTTATCTTTTTACCGTTTTTGTCTTTTTCTACATTATTTCCAGTTGTAAATTGGAAGAAGCAAAGTTCGTCATGAAACAAATAGAGTAAGCTTCGATAATATACTGTACTGGTGATAATTAGTTGTAGGAGATAGGCTTATTCATAATTAATTATTGCTATTTTTTTTGAGTTAGACCACATTTTCAAAGGGATTTCATATCTTTTTTACCCAAAGAGGTATAAAGTAGAGCAAGGATTTTTGAATACTTTACTTTTATTGAATGTATCTTCGACGCTTACACTGTAAAATCTTATTCATAACAGTTGGCGCTACATGTATTATCTTATTTACGGCCTAAAGATATATTAAACGCAGCTCAGACTTGTCGGTATTGGAGAGGCATCGCCGATGATAACCTGTAAGCCTTGTTATGAAATTTATTTACGGCGAATAAATACGTGTATTATGTTTCTATGCTACTTATTTAAATTACTAAATAATAGTATTTATGATACAATTCTAATTATCCCTGGAGGTTGTGGCAGCGTAAATGTTTCGAGATGGATGTAAGATCTCAAGACATTGTAGCTAAACCAGGCAAAAAAAGGTTTCAAATGATCCATTGGAAGAAAGTAAGTGCTAAACTATTGATACTTTACATTTTTATATTACGGTTTTGGCAAATATTTCTTCTATGCTTTGTGACGAATTGCAGAGCAATGTGGTCTGTCCAGATTTGCTTATGCGATACTACAGTATACTAGAGTCATGCTCGATCTGATATATAGGTGTACCAAACCTACATTAGACTGGACCACAATTGGCGTAATGCACGTTACAAAGCAATGAAAGTGTTAAAAGGACATAATGATTATGTGGTAAGAAATACTTGGATGAACTATAGATGGCGGTATAAATAATCAGCTTGGATTGCTACTTGATTATTAAGCAATTTACTATTGAAAATAGATACCATATTGAAATATTGCAGTATATTTACCCGCTTAGACTTTTAATTTTAGTTGTTACTATCATTTGCTGCCATTCACTTTCTGTTGCTCCGGATTCTTTACGGGTTCTATTAGATCACGTGCTTACACTTTTACAATAATAAGATTATCAGCGCCTCAGATGATAATACGGTAAAAATATGGTCTGCATCAACGGGGAAGGTACAGCATATACTGAATAGTGCCACTTTACTTTCGTATTTTATCTATTTTACTGATAAATGGCAATATGAGCAAGTTCATTTTTGTGTCAAAATAATTTTATTGCCAGGAATATAACATCGGTTGCGAACTGCATTGCAAGTCCATGCCCCCATTGTGATTTATTCTGCTTTAATTTATATTTAGTGTCTAAAAACTCTTTGTGGGCATACTGGAGGTGTGTGGGCGTCGCAACTTCACAACAATTACGTTATTAGCGGATCAACTGACAGAACATTGAAGGTTGGTTCAATGTTCATTGAAGCTGCTACTTTATTAAACGTAATATCATAACTTGTAGAGGGGTTTGCAATATCCATATTGTGCAACACAATAGGTATGGGACGTAGATAGTGGCGCATGCATTCACACTTTATCTGGTCATACATCTACCGTCAGATGTTTACATGCATGTGATACTCGAGGTATTATGAACTCAAGTTTACTCTATTGATTAACGTAGCAGTGGCTTTCATGTACATTAGTAGGTAATAAGATAATCGTCAATGAATTGATGTGTGCGTTACCTTTTTTAAGTTGTTAGCGGTTCAAGGGATGCTACACTTCGTTTATGGAATATTGAAGACGGTAAACTCCTGAAAGTGTTAATTAGCCATGTTGCGGCAGTTCGATGGTTGGTTTATTTTGTTGCGCGTATTTTAAACGTCTAATATTCGGTAATCTCACTCAGGTCTATATTTTTTCGTATATCATTAGTGTACAGTTTGATGGAAAACACATCATTAGTGGTGCTTACGATTTTCTTGTGAAGGTATGGAACCCGGATACAGGTCTCTGCCTGCGTACCTTACAAGGGCATAGCAATCGAGTTTATTCACTGCAGGTAATATATGGTATCGATGTTTGTTATGCTTTCATTATTCACAAGAAATGGTTTTTGTTACTACAATAGTTTGATGGAATTCACATCGTGAGCGGATCATTGGATACATCCATTCGTGTTTGGAATATCGAAACTGGCGAATGTGAACATGTTCTTACAGGTTTTTGAATTAAATTAAGCTGTTGATCGTAACGATAGACATGAAATGTGCATATTGATTGTAACTGATCGTATCACTTAAAGGTCACCAATCTCTAACAAGTGGAATGCAATTAAAAAATAACACATTGGCTTCCGGCAATGCGGATTCAACAGTGAAGGTATACTAGCATATGTAGCTACGACTTTCTTTTATTATTATCAATTTAGTTGGTTTTTGCGAAGATAATGATAGTAAAGTTTTATTTTCTTCCAGATCTGGGACATTAGAACCGGCCAGTGTCTACAAACCCTAGAAGGCCGGAATAAGCACAGGGTCAGTTCAGGTGCATTTCTGTGATTTTACATCAGAGTGAAATTATATTAAAATAGTTTTAAACTTTTAGTATCTTGACCCTAAGAAACGTAGCTCAGTAGCTACTTTCAGCTTAATTAAAGCATTCTTGTTAACCGTATGTAGACTGTATCTTTTTTATGCACGCATTTATTGACTGTACTAACATAGATGATTATGCATATGTACGTAATATTCAATCAAGAGTAGTTTGCATTCCGCTAAATTGAATATTGTACTGTTATTAATAGTTAAAGATGTTATGAGATACGCGCACATATACATTACATGTCTGGTAGTGTACGATTCATTTATAATCACATATCCTGACTTGGTAATTTAGTAATGTAATTTTCATATTTACTGTTGATGGCAGAGTGCGGTAACCTGCTTAGAACTTGTCAACAAGTTTGTTATAACTAGCTCTGATGACGGAACCGTCAAAGTATGGGATGTTACTACTGGCAATTACATTAGAGACCTGATCTCATTAGATAGTGGTGGAAGCGGTGAGTTTAAAGATTTAGTACCTATAACTTTTATAATTATTTACTGATTAGATCATTCTATTGTTAACGTCATTTATGTTGATAATTCGGATAATACGTACGCATTTTAGGTGGTGTTGTATGGCGAATCTGCTGCGATGAAAAGAGGCTTGTATGTGCGGTTGGTAGTAGAAATGGAACGGAAGAAACGAAATTGCTTATTCTTGATTTCGACGTGTGATTAGCGTTTTCAGAGTTGATGAACTTGATATCTTTTGTATGTTTTAAATATTACTATATTTAATTTTTGCTTAATCACTTTGGCAGTGCATGCCTCTTATGTATTTGCTTACACGTGGCAAATTATATCTGTACCAACTTAATTGTACGTATACGTTATAATGTAGTAACGAGAAACTACCACAGGAACATACGTATTTCATTCGTGTCAAATGCATATTTTGGTTTCTTGTTTATCTTGCTGGGAATCGGTTTTGATTGGATTTTTCGTAAAAGCAGCAACAACGAGCGACCTGACGTAGTTGTCTAGAATAATGATAACTATGTTTAAAATCTTGCTTAAATGTGTATTAAGATCAAGATTTTTATACTTTAGATCTGCTAGACTTAACTTTTTATCCTGCATACTGTGGGTTATCTTGTTTACTCTTTTATGCAAAACAGATTTCATAATGTTATTTAAATTGGAAATAACATTTTAACATACAGTATCGCAGTAATCGTTTGCGTCATACTTTGTTATGACACGGATTACAGTAGTCGGAGAAAATACGAGGGATATTAATTTTGAACAGATTTATAAACACTGATATTCGATCGATCTTTATTATTTTAATGCAGCTTATATATATATATATGCGCATATCATGTACGTATTTATTATTATATATGTTATATAGTATGTTTTATATCTTGGAGCGACGTGTTGTACTGGATAATAAATCTGCTATGTAGGAAGTTACTAAGCCACAGTGCAATAAATCAATTGCATTGTGATCGAGACGCTGGATATTTCAAGGTATTATGTGACTATTGAGCTTCAGAATGATAAGATCCTGATCACGCTACTGGTATTAATGTTGATCATTTATACTTTGTCCCTCTTGGCTTTATATTAGTTAAGTGATAATGCATTATACCGTTGATGGGTCTAGTTTCAATGATATAATTATATATATATAATAATTAAAATCGGCCAGTCTACACAATTTTTATAAGATACCACTCTGTATAGTTCTATACAAATTCTTTTAACAGTAAATACGATTTAATTACTCAGTCCGACTTTAAATGTGAAAGTTATGCTTTTTTTAATGCTTACGAGGTACAGTTGCATAACTTTTTGTATAATTAATTTACCTCTTCATACGTGCACAGAACCGTATAGTGTACTGTACTCTACAGTATATGTGGATTGCACAGTATTACGAAACTATCCATACTGCAGTAAGTCCCGTCCCGTACATGAGCTAGTGGTTTAGCGCAGTGTATTGTGGTCCGTAGGTAGTACTGTACTAGGTACAGCACCGAAGTTATTTACCTAGCGTAGTGTACTGTACAGTACAGTATAATCGATTAAGTACTGTACAATGTGTGGTACAAAGCTGTAAGGTACAGTACTGTGTACTGTACTTTACACTTCTGCATCTGCAACGCAGCTTGGGGGAAAGTGAAACGTACTGTATAGAAAATTAGAAAGTACTGCATAGCTACAGTCAATGATATGTTTCAGTTACCATCTACCATAAAGAATGGCTTACTATCAAACAAGCAAAGCCATTCTCTGTACTGCAATATATTGACATACTCAGGAAAGCTAGTCGTCTCATTATAAAACTTTAATACTAGGGAATCCGAAAAATCTCACGTTAATTTTATTTCTTACTAAATTAAACATTTGACGGAATTTCATATAGTTCATTTACTTTCAATATAGCAAAATCTCCTCAAGTGTTACTATTAAAACAATTCTTTAACATCTTAAATCTTCGATATCGCAAAACTTCATTTCCTACTAATTGGACATCCAGGGATGGCGACATTCAAGCTTGTAAATATCCCCTATGCAAATATGAAATAAATTGTGATTATTTTTCATTTCGTAGTTATAATAATTTTTTATTTACTATCTTCCACATTAAATCACAGAACATAATGAAAACAAGATTCCTTTTGCAATCAGTTTTTAAAGTATCGAATTGTATATGTGCGCGTATATGTAGTTAAGAGAATACAAAATATGATCACTGAAGAAGCGTTAGCGATTATAATAACTTTTATTTGAATAAAGCATACTTTATTAGAGGCATAATTAGAAGAAATAATAAACTTACGGCAATTTAATTGTCATGAACGCACGACATGAAAAAAAGGACAGCAACACACAGATAAAGCCGCAAAACAAATATAAGTATCTGTTAAATTTCGGCATAGTTGGCACATTTGACTTATCTAGGATAACAAACCCGAGTCCACCTAAAGTAAATAGGAAACTAGAGGCTAGACCTTCCATAATATATTGTCCATTGATTCGATACGCCATAAATGCAACCTGAAGTAAACAGATGTTTTAATAAATAGAGGGTAACTTTGCATTATTTGTAATTAGTTTCTAAATGCAGGACTTATGAAGACATCGTTAATGTTGGTAATGTTTAGTTGAAACCTTACTTTCTTTAATTCTAAGTTTCAACAATTTCAATTGGAAATACACTTGTTACTTACGTAAAGAGTAAGAACCTTAACAAAAATATACAGTATATATATAGTGAATGATAATAGTAGGCTATCAGTATTTAAGTAAGTAATACTATACGGCCTGGCACACGCAAGTATCGGCCAAAGTACAGTACGGTACAGATTTTTTTGTGACTTTTAGGCTACAATACGAGTAGCAGTCGCTCATACTGCTTATATTTAATTATCAAAATTTAATTTGAACCTACTGTATTCCGCTTACTCTGGCAGAACGATCTCCTTCCGAGTTATCGACTAAAGTAAACTCGTATTTACTGAACGAATATACAGTAGAGAGCTACAGTACTATTCCCGTTCATTTTGAACCGAAATGTACTGAGACAGCAGTTGTTGGTGACTCTTGCCGTTCATAGTCTACAGAAAAGTGTAACTAGTAATTAATGATTACGCTACTACAGTACGTAAAGGTGCTTTGTGTTAGGTTGGGAATATCACTAAAATTGCTTATTCCAGTTCATTGTGAACCGACATAGCAGCTGCTGAGGAGCATCAAGATATATAACACTACGAACGCAGTTGTTAAAAGATTCTTGCCGTTCATTGTGAATGGAAGCGGATAGCCAGTGCTGTAATTAATGATACAATACTAGGGTACAGTATGTAAATGTACTCTGTGTTAGTAGCACAGTGCATGTGAACGCTCGTACTCGGATACACGGTAAAAAGTTACTGAACCTCTGACAGGTCTATCAAATGGTAATACTATCTGTTAAATAAGCACATTATCGTAAACCGTCAGCAAAGCGACGGGAGTTTGCACTAGTCTTAATTAAAATTGTGCTGAACGAATTGCAACTAAATTTTGTACAGTGTACAGTATGTATATGAGCACATTATTACGGATGAAGGTTTCTCAACATGTGTGTCTTGTCTTACCGGCTTAGAGTGGCCGTGTTCGTCCACGGTTGATCCGATACTAGGCGGTTCAACAATAACATCATAAATTATTCCTAAAATAAAATGGATGGAAGTAACTTCTCACATGTTGAATCAAATTTAGTTAGATGTCTAAAAATCAAGGTATCTACTAGAAGTTTATTAGACATGTCCGAGAGCTCAGAGATTATATATTAATTAATTATTATTAACGTGCTCTAATTTAGGTGAGTGCATGAAGGATAGTGCTGATATTGTAGCACTAGTCCTGAGTCCAGACTCCAGACTATGTTCTATGAAAATAAAGTACTCACTGTCAATAGAGAAACAGAACTCTTTAAATTAATGTATAGTATAAACGGTATCTTCCATCTATCCCTGCATGGTACTGTCTTACCTCCGGTTACCAAAAAATAGGAAAGCATGACGATTGAGAAGACCAGCATTGGGCCTGGAATGACTAACCAGGAAGGCCTTTTTAAGCGTAAATTAGGAGGATCTACCACTGAAAACGGGAGACCATACAAATATTCCGCCATCTTTCCGTTAGTTGTACAGTACTATACGTATTTTCAGTCCGTTTGACTGTAATGATGAATTCGTTCTTACTGTCACTGTTGCTGTTTAACTGAAAATAATGTGCGACTAGCTGTCAGAAATTTGAAGAAAATTTTCCTATTAAAACTACTGTACCTCGTAACCATACAATGTACAGTACGTAGTACAGTACAGTATAGTACTGTGCTGTCAGTAAGCTTGTACTGTACGGTACGCTACTGTACTGTACTGTACTGTACAGTACAGTACTGTACACTGCACAGTGTAGTCAACGTGTCCACTTTACAGTACTGTAGTCATTTGTGCAGTACATGCGCAAAACACTGACCAAAGTCGACCGATTTTCCTGTACAATGTACACGTGTACACTGTAATCATATTGTACAGTACTGTATAGTACAGTACTGTACTAATGTTTCCCACGTTAACGTTTTTTCATGATTCACTCGAATAGTACTGTACTGTACTCTATCGTGGCCGAGGAGGGCCAACCGCTTTTACTCTTCTTATAAGAACGCAGTCGATGTGTAAAAGCGCTTGGCCCTATCGTGCCTGTAAACTGTACTGTACAGTACTGTGCGGTGTACTGTACTGTACACTGAGTGCAATGTACTGTACGGTACTTTTCTTGTTCATTGATCTGATCGACGAATCTAAGAAATTCTTTATTTAGACACAGTACAGAAATACTTGCATGTATGTTTTTATCATAAATTTTATTTTACATTTTATCTCGTTTAGATGTCAATCACAAGTACTTTGATCATATGTGCTGTTACAGCGGCAATATTTTTCAACTTTTCCATTCATAAAATCGATGAAGGTATGCTATGATTAATTTAAACGTATATCTGCATATTGAACATTGTACCGTACGTTGTTGTTAAATTAATTAATTATACTGTACAGTACGGTATGTTATATATGTCATATATATATTTATTTTAATTATCAGCGATTCTTGATAACTTAAGGAACTTATTGTACGCATATTGTTAAACTTGACCTGCACGAGATACATAGCACACTTACTATGGTTAATACTGTAGTAATTTAATATTTGTGCATTAATTGTTTAAATAAGTACTGTGCAACATAATAAAGAAAGAATATTAATAGAACGTACCTTACTACGCCAATTTCTGGGTAGTGGTCTACATTTTACGAATATACAATTATATATACCTTTTATTATAATATATAGATGCACTTATTACTCTTACTTACAATATTATCCTCGGTTGCCGGTAGCTACAGTACATTTGCATACGCTACTGCAAGGTAGTTTAAAAAGACGTTACGCTTGTAGAAAATTCTGCTATCTTTGCAAATGTAATAACACTAACAGCTACTAGTGCAGTCATAATGCCCTATACAGTTTATGTGCCTTAACCTTAGCAATGTTATACTGTAGTTCATGAAATGACTGCTGTAGTACCTGATACATGGTAAAAGTACAGCTTAAGCTACTGTGCACAGTATTATGCTATAGAGATTATGCCATAGGTATTATGCTGTTACCCAGCCATTAGTTTAGCGGTTTAATCTTAAAAATTAAGAATTATTAAGGTTATCGTTGATAATTCGATCTTTTTCATGCATACTGGAAATTGAAGGACACGTAGGCGTTTACTATAGGGTAAGTGCATTACTGTTTACTATGCAATAATACTGCTTTCTTACACACGTGGGGTTTTGATGTATGCTGAAACTTAAATCAATCTATCAATCGAAAATCTCTACGTATTTAACTGTATGATAGTGATAGGCTTGGCTCGATTACACGTAATACTGTACTATACACTTTATGTTACAGGGTGGGGCTCTTCTAACACGAACTAGCGGGCCAGGCTTTCATGTCATGATCCCATTCCTTACGACGTATCGTCTGGTTCAGGTTTGAACTATTAATTATGCAACGCTCATTGTACTGTATACTATACTGTAGGTTAATTATATGTATTATATATATGTATTCGTATATTGTCACGGTATATATATATATATCATATATTGTATTCACTATGTAGCTGTCAAAGCGAACATCGGTTTATTAAAATATAAGATTATATATACTGTATATATACGCGTATACCGTAACTATACAGTATAATTATTATTTACTTGAATGTGCTTCGTACTGTAAGTAGGGACTACTGTACATTCAAAATTATGATCGCTAACGTTCAAATCACGTTTTATGCAGTTGTAAGGTAGTAACGCAGTAACGTCATTCTTCAGTGATAATGCTTTTTATTGCACTTATATTACACATACTCGCATATAATCTTGTATTTGTAAAATGGTTGACTTGTATACTGTCCATATACTGTATAAACGAATTAAAAGACTACTTTGCAAACGGATGAAGTAAAGAATGTTCCATGTGGTACAAGGTAACGTTGCTTTACGAATACACCAAATTACGTATTGTAATATAAGAAAATATTGATTATTCTCATTTATATGGCATGATACTGACATTGGTTCCAAACATAGATAAAAGTTTCTTTTGCATACAGTACAGTACTATCAAATATTTATTTACGTATATATATAAAGTGAAAAGATTTTGAAATTGAGATTGATATATAAGTATTTTATTTAAAATTGTAGTGGAGGAGTTATGATCTACTTTGATCGAATCGAAGTTGTGAACATTTTAAGTTCGAACCATGGTATGTTGTTGATATCGATGTATGCTCTTATGTCTTGCTATATTATGTAAGTATTTGTACACAAAGTAAGACATTCTAAATATGCATTTGTTCAAATAATAGTTTACGATATTGTGAAGAACTATACTGCGGATTATGACAACACTCTCATTTTTAATAAAATACATCATGAATTGAATCAGGTATACAAACGCCATCTATACGGAGCTAACTCTTTAGATTTATTTAATTAACTATTTAAAAAGTTGTCTATCGTTTCAGTTTTGTAGCGTTCACAACCTGCAAGAAGTTTACATCGACCTCTTCGGTAATTACACATACGATTCGTAAATCAGAGAATTATAACAAGATTACTTTACATAATTGTAGAGTTGATCTAATGCAGATGTCGGGTGCGTAATTTAATTTCAGTTGGGCACTAATTCGACACTTTGTATCTAATTAACTATTGAACAGACAAGATTGACGAAAATTTAAAAATCTCCTTACAAAACGACCTTGATTTAATGGCACCAGGATTAACTATCCAGGTATATTGCATCAATTATCAACCAGCTTAGCTAGTACGCTAGCAAATATGAGTATATACTTCAAATTAACAACGAAATATTTCTTGCTGGATACTCTCAAAAATAGGCTGTTCGCGTTACTAAGCCTAAAATTCCCGAGGCTATTCGGAGGAATTATGAGATAATGTAAGTAATTATTGTATAGGTTATCTCTCAATATTCAATGACAAGATCAATCTATAAATACGCTTAAACTTAGGGAGGGAGAGAAGACAAAGTTGTTAATTTCGCAACAAAAGCAGAAAGTTGTCGAGAAAGAGGCAGAAACCGAAAGAAAAAGAGCAGTAATAGGTCTTAATATTATTATATCCTGTTAATAAATTAGCACTAAAGACTAGATAGACTTATAAATAATATAGATCTAGAGCACTCAGTATTGAAACTTCTGCAATATTTGTTAACCAATTTTCGACAGAGGCAGAAAAGCAGGCTCAAGTCGCTAAAATTCAATTTGATCAAAAGATTATGGAGAAACAAAGCCTTAAAAAAATGGCACAAATCGAAGGTATAATTTCTGCCTTTTCAGTATTAAATTAACATAAACATTTTATCTATGTTGAGCAATCATGCATCGATACCAAGTTTCTAATTTATAAATTTAATTAGATGAAGGTAATGTAGCGCGCTTGAAAGTAACAGCCGATGCAGAGTATTACGCGGCAACGAAATTAGCCGATTCTAACAAGGTTAGTGTTGTCCTACTTCAACAATTTCTGGTGGACTAAAATTTTAGACAGCATAAGTCATAATGTAATTTATTTAAATTTCGAATGTTCTACTCCTACATCGTGTTGTAGGTAAAGTTAACTCCGCAATATTTAGAGTTAATAAAATATGAAGCACTTGCGAAAAACACGAAAATATACTTTGGAGAAAGTATTCCTAAAATCTGGGGAAATTTATCACCATCATTTCCAGATCTAGCTAGTGATAAGAAGCCAGAAACCGGCTAAAGGAAGTAAATGTAAACTTTAAGTGCTAAGTTGGCAAATTTGCAGAGTTTAGCTTAGCCTATATTTTGAGACTTGATTCTATTGATGATGTTAAGTTTACGATTAACACGAACGGGTAATTGACGGTTAGATCGTTACTGCACTATTCTATTACTTACTGTTTGGGTGTACTATTTAAGATTAGAATTTAGAAGATGCACCTTTAGATAGGAAAGACATGTATGCACAATACCTGAACTGAATTGCAGCTAGAGCCTTAAGGTTCAATATGTTATCGATTTCTTTACTAGAATGAACCTTCGATACGCTGTGTAAATAAATGCTTATTAATTATGTTGCCTTATTAACATTCTTAAAATAAACTCAGCTTACCTACCGTCCTACGAATTTAAGAACGGGTCTGCGTTCCATCACTATGTAATAATACCTGCGTGCAATTCTATTTTTCAAAACTTGTTTCTGCCAATGTAGACATACAGTCTATTTTGCAAATTATTGTAGTATTTCATCTAATTCCATTGTAAGTGAAAGATAGCTTAAAATTTGAGTTACTTATGCAATACGTATGGTGATACAATTGCTAAACGTTTTGAAGAATATCATTGGTTTCTATCAGGTCTTGTTTATTTATACATTGGATCTTTAGTGAGTACACTAGCTTTAGCTCTTTCTGTTTTATAGTTAAATAAAAAATTACAGTTTATTAAGCACTATACTAGGGTCTGTTAGAAATGATGCTTGAGTGCATGTAATACTATATTTTAATCAGCAGCAGATGAGCATTGATCCAAATTAAGCAGTCGGACTGTACTTCAAAGTTGAAAGCGTATTAAAATATGATTCTACTTTTGAGGGCGTTACTGTATCTTTTAATAACAGTAGTCGGCTCTTCAATAGCAAACAAGGGATACTACATTGGGCCGCAATTTTTTCTAGAATCGCTGCTATAATCGACAATCATTTCGGGAAAGCTAATCTTACCTATTCCTGGAATATTGGTATTTACTAACATAACTGGATTACAATGTTAAAATTTTATTTATCACCGAATCAGTACAAGATATGAGAGAAAATAACATTATAAGCAATGTATATCGAAATTATTGATTCTATTGAAATAAGACAAGAGGTATGCGATGTCAACTGACGACAAATGTAAACATCCAAGATTAGAAAACCTTAATTTCGTATTGACTTGAAAATATTTAAATTCAAAAGTTCCCGTTAAAACAGTTATAAAATCAACAGATAATATCTACAGAGAATTTATGCGTATAACCTTTAAATCATTAGATTCAACTTTAAAGGCATACATAGTCCCTTGCATTACCATAATATGTATGAAAGACACCATATGCTTTGATTGTCCAAATAGTAGATTTTACTAACTGGTCATCAACTACGCCTATAATGTAGCTAAACTGATATTAATAAAATTACAGACATGGAGCTATTACTTGCTGTATAATATAGTATAATATAATTATATTATGAAATCAGCATTTATAAAATCTTATAATGAAGTGCAAATCCACAGTTGTTCGTATGACTTCAGGCTTTCAGTGACTGCTTCAACTTGAAAAAGTGCTTACTATGTAGCTATTACATCATTATTCTACCGCACTATGCGGACTTATATACTGTTACCTTCACATGTAATCAGTCAAGACATGTATTATCATTCTTCCATTTCCATAGCAAACTGTTCTTCTTCACCTATAACAAAACGGTATGAGGTACAGTAGCTGAACGATCATCATGCAGTTTGAAGATGTTTTCCAATCAATTAGCAAATGCATACCTTTGTCTTCCTTCTGTTCAACGTTCGGCCTCGAAGTGACTGGATTTGTAGATTTTTCCGGATGGTCTTTCGACTTAGGAAATTTATCTTCTTTTATAGGAGGACTTGTTACGCCAGGGATATTCGGTAAGTTCGATGGAGGAATTTGAGCATGAGGAGAGTTTCTCATTTGTAATAAGAATGCTCGATCATAAATGATACGCGTCCCTTTTAAATTAAAATAGAGATTGCAGAGTACATAATTAAGGGTAATTTGAATACATTATGCTGTATTTTGCAGCCAGAGAAGTAAGTATAACTGCAGAAAGTAGCAAAAGTATCTAATTTGAAGTGACAGTATTAGATATTGCACTAGATCGTAGCTGAAGTGATCTCCAACAATTGGTACACAGTAGAAAGGACACTAGGCTAGCGTAAATTACTGATTTGCGATTACACAAAGGTATATTAATAATACAGTTGTAAATTTATTACAGTGGCTGTAAAATAAAATAATGCCGTAGTACAGTAATATCAGCTACACTATCAGTAAAACCTTACCACCAGGAGTGGTAGAAAAGATAGTTCCTCCTGGCGTGGTAGAGTAACTATTGGGTAATTGGCAAGGATCTGTAACTAAAATGCGTTTGAAAGGTATGTCGACTGTTTTACTTCTAGTAGAGTCAGACATGACTTCGCTGGAAACGAACAAGTACTGTAGGAAGCTAGCAGAGATCGGAGCTATATAAATTGGAAGATCTAAGTTACAGTTAGAATGTGAGTGCATCGCACGAGTAAATAACATCATACTGTACTGTACAGTATTGTAGTGTATCGTATACAGCGTACAGTACAGTACACTGTACAGTATGATGCACATGAAGTTAGCCGAAGTAGTACTGTACCAGGAGTACTGTATGTGCTCCATCGTATGGAGTCTACTGTATACAGTACATACAGTAGTTTAGGTCTGAAACCTTTCACGATTTCAATAAAACAGTACCGAAAACCAACCAACACTGTACTGTAAATTTCAAAGTTATTACACGCTACACGTAAGCTTTTAGCCTCTTGCTCCTCGACTTGGTTGAAATGTCGAAACATTACTGTACTGTACAGTGTACAGTATATGAAATTTTAGCTGACTTTCACCCTAACTGTACAGTACTGTACAGTATTCCTTGACGTACTGTACGGTGTACAGTACTGTATAACCATACTGTATTGTACAGTACTGTACTGTATGTACGTACTGTACAGTACTATCGACAGGTGTAACTGTAAAATATGCCGCTGAAACGGCTCTATACCTTTATTAAGCAAATATACCTTGTCCAAGCAAATATGCCAGCAGATATGTTTGGATAAATGCCTTGAAGACACTGTGCTGTACAGTCTACTGTACAGTACAGTACTGTATAGCCGTTTCAGCGGCATTTCTGGATACTGTAATGAACAGAACAGTACAATACTGTACTGTACTGTACTGTACAGTATGTCCATAACACTACAGTACAGTACAGTACACTCACTCACTAAGCGTACAGTAGCTTTTACAGTAGACAGATCTAACAGTAGTTGCCATTAGTTGGCATCGTCAAAGTTTTTAAGTTTTTACACACGATTCCTCATTTTCAGACGGGTGTCCGGCCATCCGTTTTTAGGTGGTGGACATGAAAGAAGGCAAGCGACTTTCATGAAAGTAATAGTAATTTAGAGTACAGTTCGAAACTGGCGTACGGGATGTATGATCGTATACAGTATGTTAGTTTCTAACCTTAACAACAGGTGAAAAGCTGTCATTTACAGAAATTCGGAAAATTTCATGATGTAATGTTTTTGATTGAAATCTAAGTTGTGTGCTTTTAAGGTAATCATTGACTAATCGTTAAGCGTAAAAAAATCCATGTTTGATACCTACGGTATAATTTCAAACCATCTCGAAGGAGCGCGATTGGCTCGATTTTTTAGCGTCGTTTTATGCCATTTTGCAAGGAAATTTTGCCAATCCCACCCCTTCGATGTCGATTTAAACTACATTGTCGATATCAAATCCGGATTATTTTTTCGCTTAACGATCAGTCAATGATGCCTTAAAAAGTACACAATTTGGATCTCAATCAAAAACATTACATCATTAAAATTTTTCTAATTTATGTAAATGTCAGCTTTTCAGCTGTTTATAAGGTTAGAAACTCTCATATACAATCGTACATCCTGCACTTTAGTTTCGATTTCGAACTGTACACTAAATTACTGTTGGCTTCAACAAAGTGGCTTGTCAACTACAATGTCCACCAGCACCTGAAAACGGGTGGCCTTTAGTGAACTATAGTATACTGTACGGTACAGTTCTGTATAGGAATACATAACGACGCAGGCAGACAGCTAGTTAACGCTCCCCTCGCTATCAAACTCCCTGTACGCATAAAATCTTTTATACTGCAACTAGCAGTGAATACAGGTATACACCAAAGATTCTCGCCGTCAGTTGCATCTAGTGTTGTCTAGATGTACGAGTAGGTTATATGAAGACCAAAACCTGACAATCAAATTACTATTGCTTAAATAGATCATATGCATCTATTATACGTATGTGATTGATACAAGTACGAGTATGCTTTTTTATAGGCTTGCTAACAGCTTATACCAAGTTATACGCTTCAGACCTGATTATGTAATATGTTTATATTACTGGTCCTCAACGACCGTAACAGCAATTAATTTAGAGCTTAAGAAAAGTTTGATTTTATTTTCAGGAGAGCTCTCTTATATAGTCATGCATCAATTAACACGTTTGATTACAAAGATTTTACAAGTTTTAGATAAAAAACAGTACATCAGAATTCAGTCTAATTCAATTACTTCTCATAGAATACCATGAGATATCTTTAGTAAGGATTAACTATACTTATTACAAAGATTTCAAGTTTCATAAATTCTCGGTAAATATCAATTAACAAAATAACAATTCATGTGAGAATCCATTAGCAGTTCTTAATAATTCACACACAATTAATGCGAACTTTAATTCTAATTGTAAACATTAACACCTTCTCTAATATATAAATCGATGTATTGCGTATGGTCTGTAAATTTATACAAAATACCATAATTTTATATCCGGTGCTTACTAAAATAACCTTATACAGTATATGATTTTGAATACTTGCTTTACTAATTAGCTGATACTACTATACTAGTGCAAACTCCCGTCGCTTTGCTGACGGTTTACGATAATGTGCTCATTTAACGGATAGTATTACCATTTGATAGACCTGTCAGAGGTTCAATAACTTTATACCGTGTACTGTACAGTACAGTGCATACTTATACTGTACTGTACTGTACGTTACAGTTTACACCTGTTGATGGTTACGTACTGTACGTAGATGTCACAGCGCAGTGCTGTTGTCAGCTGCTTTACAAAGTATCATTTTAATATAATTTTGGTTCGCTCAGAACTTGACCTTTCCTTGATTGATGTTGACATTTGCTAATCTGTGAGGAAAATTGCGGTGATATTGATATTGATACAGCAAAATATCAATATCAATATCAATGATATTTTTAGCATTGCAATAGGGCTGTAAAGCGCACACACAACTATGAAATTAAGTTGCGTAAAACAGGATTGCATATGGTGATTAATTATAAGTAAAGGTGTTAATTTTGCAAGATTCAAACGATAATTTCGGGCGTTTATCAACTTCATATGGTCTAGTACGTCTACACATCGTGCAGTACCTGAAAAATGTTTTACTGACTTGCCCTATGACAGTAAATAGATACATTGTTTAACGGTCCAGAAATGGTTTTGGTGCAAGAAAAGTCGGAGAAGTGCCTGTGATTAGGCCACCGGATTGCCTGAAATGTACTATTGGTGCATGAGTGTTACTTCGTCAATTACCTTAGGGGATTTAAAGGCATCTTTGAGTGAAAATGTTAAAGCTGCCGAGAGTAAATGTACAGTAGCTTATGGAGAGATCGTAGCTGTTACTAGCACTTTATAGAATGCGGTTGATAATATGGCGATTGCGACTTCGATCACAATTGAAACTCTTCAGTAACTTACTTAGCTAGCCGGCGTTGAAGTAATGTATCTTTCAACTGGATATCAATACTCATACTGTTCCAATTATTGTTCTACAGCGAACTGTACTGGTGCATGCAATGGCAAAGGCTACGTATCATAAACTATCTCTAATAAATACTCTGCGGGTATCTTGCAGGAGGGATTTGTCATACTCTGTCAGAAAGTTAGGTGTTTTAGGGGTCAAACTTTTCTTTTACTGATTCGTACAGTAGCAATAAATTACTACTGTATATGCGTGTACATAACACAAAGCATATATATTGAATGAAGACTATCCGAGATATTACTACTATATTAAATGTTGTATGACATCAGTTATCTATCTATTTTACAAATCACGAAACAGGTTACTGTAATTAGTTATTGTTGTCACTGTCCACAGTAGATTTAAAAGAGTAAAAATTCATGACCCTAGACCGTTCGCAAATAACTGTAGGGTACAGCCTGTTAATATTAATAATTACGATACGAAAACGAGAGCTAGACATTTTAAAATTACTTCATACCGCACATTTGTATTTATCGATGTACTCATTTAGTATAATACTGTAAAACAACCCAGTCGAAGAGCATAATAAAGCTAATAAATTCAATACATTTACGTCGAGGAGTTGCTAAAGAATTTTAAATAACAGCATAAATGCTAAGCAATTGCTACAATTAGTTATGGTTTATGTGATAGGAATGAGCTAAACATCAATGGTTCTTTGTTAAACAGGAAAGACAAAACTTAACGTATTACATTAAAAGGAAGGCAGCACTGTTACTACTCATCACACAAGAGCGACGTATACGAACTATGTAATAGTCATCGTTTTAGCAACCTTAAGCGCTGTAGGTTCTGATCCCACATAGCATAACCTTATATAATTCTCTTGCCATTCGAGTATTACATTCACAAATTATAGGATCTAGCAACATTTTACAAGTAAGCATTTTGAGATGATAAGTGACTTATTTCACATTAATAATTTGTTACATATCATTTCGGCGTCAGTCTCACAAGCGTTAGCTTAATCACTATTCCATCTCCACTAATACTGGAGCAATATTGTCCGTAACAGCACAACGAAATAACACTACAACTTGATGTGATGAATTTATGTCTATCGAAGTATATTTAAGTCGATATTATAAAGTAGTAACTCGGAATAACTTATCAATGAAATAAATTAATATTGAACAATTGAGCTGATTTAACTTTAGAACGTTTCCGAAGTATTAGCAATACAATCATGTAAATGTATGGGTAAGCCAAATCACCTGATTATGACTTAAAATTACCGATACAGAAAAGCAATGAATCAGCCAGATCAATGAAGAGAGCTTAAAATTTGAATTTCATTGTAAGGGAAAGATTTTAGCAATTTTTAGCTGCAAGGCTAGAGCGATGAAAATGAATATGAATCCAAGTACCGTTTCTTTTCTGCCAAATTCTAGTTTCCTCATGTTGTATCGTGGTAGGTTCACCATTACTATTAGACACATAGGTAAAGCGATATCATTAAAACGTACGCATTAAATCAGCTCCACCAGTCCTAGTTACAATTTGCAATTAAAATAATACCTTTTAATCGATTGCGAAATTCGCAAATACGTAATACATGCACCTTCACTTCCTAACATGCGAACTTTAGGGTGTAAAATGGTGGTGTTCGTGATGCGATCTTTATTAAGGTCTTACGAAATACAATATATGGTTAGAATATTAGCGCACAGATAGACTGGCAGTTTCAAAGCTACAATGTGCTATGCATTTAGGTTTGTAGGTCGTTACTACATACAATTTTCGAAATAGAATCGATGAAACTCCATTCCTTCAACCAAATTTCCAAGAGCTTCCGGTTCAAATGACGTCAATCCAGGATCACAGAGTTTCCTGATTAAACAGTAAACTCAGAGCAGTAAGGCAAAATGTAGCTGTTAAGAGCACCTATAGACAGCATATAATCCGACTGACTTGTATCCATCATAATCGCCATTTTGGATACACTTCAGCAAAGACTTCGTCAGACGTAACATTTCTTTCTCTACTAAAGAGAGGGCAAAATTTATGCAATATTGTTGCAGTAACTGCTAATAAAGTCCAGTCGTATTCGAACCTGTAGAATTTGATTTGGTATCTTCTTTGATATTATCCACAATGGTAACGTTGTCTGTCGATTCTTGGGCCGATGCAACTGTAGCCTACACAATTGTACACAAATTTAAAAGCTTAGATGCTATGGAGCAGATATACGTACCAATTGTCAATATTATAAAAAATAATTTTTAATACCACTTTTTTTTTATCTTCATTCCCTAGTTTTCCACCTACGTTAACAATGCAAGCTGTTTGTTAGATAACTTATCATACTTAGCCAGTAATAGGATAATTACTAAATATATACTGTACTCGTTAAAGTTCTTGTTGCCAGAATCGTTGTCAGAATAGCACCCTACAATTTTTAAAGTGAAAAATATTATAAAGAAACCGGAATGATAATAGGCGATTCTATGATTACTGATTGCATCTTCGGTGCGATTACATTTTCCTTAGCACCACAGAGCTTGAGTGTTAACGTAATATCAATATTATCTTACACAGTGATACACTGACGCTAATGTCAGGTCGCCATTTGTTAAAGAATAGTTCGATCAAAAAAGATATAATGATTAACTGTACCTTTAGCTTCCTGCGAGCATTAAATCTACGTAAACCGTCAATTGTTTTCTGTCTATGCACTTTAGCACAGACATTATCTCGGTTCTACAGACAGATAATATAATCTGTTGTATCTAGTAATGTCTTAGATATTAGCCCTATAACCAATAAATGCGATCAAGACAACTAACAATTGTTTAATTGTTATTACCAGAATGAAGGGATGCTTTAACGCTTCCGTTGAGGTAATTCGTTTATTTTGGCTTACAGTTAAAAGTATATTGATGAGATCCTTAAATGCAATAGGAAAGAACTTGATCTATATGCTGGAAAGTATCATCTGTATTTAAATGTGTAGACAATTGGTATTCATACAAGATTTTAATTTTATAATATACCTTGGCTTCTGGGGTGATGGAATCCCATTCAGGTGAAGGATACTGGATAAAAGACAAATATTATTATATGATAATTACAACATGCTCAAGAATTACCAATAGTCCCGATGTTTACATCATAAGCTGCTGCTTTAATTTGGGCGTAGAGCCTCTGTTGATCTTCATCCCAAAACGGGGGATATCCAACCAATAAAATGTATAAAATGACCCCTGCAATAATGGTGAATATAATTACAATGTTATGGTTACAGCAGCTAACATAGGTACTAACCACAAGCCCATAAGTCCACTGGTTTGCCATACGGTTCCTTCTTCAAAACTTCGGGAGATAAATAACCAGGCGTACCCGCAAATCCTTCGCGGATAAAGAATAAATATTACCGTAGCAATATGTAAGTGAGAGTGAAATAGGAAAAAATATGTCATATGGTTATATTTTTCTTACCATACCAAGCCTTGTTATCACCGTCAATATCTATTGCAAGTCCAAAGTCTGCTAATTTTACAACTGCACCTCTGCTCTTACTGGAAAGTAAAAGATTTTCCGGCTAGAATCCAATAGTAAAGAGTACAGTGTTGAATTAGTAATAGCACTGATATTATATTGATTAAACCAACTATGTCAGCCAAAATTACTATGTTCGATAGAGTACTATCTATATTATACTTTCAAATCACGGTGGATGACATTTCTTTCATGACAGTGTCGGACACTTTCAAGAATCTGTTGAATACAGAAGCTAATAATATAGTAATAAATGAGATCGAATGGAAGGTAAATAAAATTTACAGGAGCAATAAGAATTGTAATTGTACCTTGCATCAGCCTCGCTATAAAATTCTCGAGCAACAATGTCTTCAAAAAGTTCTCCACCAGTTACTCTAACCGAAAGAAAAAATTATGATCTTGAGATTTTAATCATTTCTAGAAACAGTATCAGAAACAAGTATAACTACAATAAACAGTTGATACGTATTCTTACAAATCGAACACCATATAGTGAGAATTATCTTCAGTAATAGTTTCATGAAGCCTAACTAAAGATATAAAATGCAAGAAACTTATACATTAATGGTGTGAAATGCAGATTTCGTATTTCCATGTAGAAATAAGATATACAAGTTACCAATGTTTGCGTGATTTAAAGTACGGCAGATTCTGGCTTCACGTTCCAATTTTTGTAGATCTAAGTTTAAGAAACATGTTAGCAAATATGCAAGCCCAAAGAGAATTAATTCGATGCAATTCATAACATCAGTAAGTAGTCAATCTTACCTCTTGGAGATAGGTTTTTAGTGTTAATAATCTTTACTGCAAATTCATCTTTATCTGACATTCGAATACATCTCCGAACAACACTGAAAGCTCCCCTATGAAATATTCGATATCAAGCAGCTGAAAATCAATAATCATGAAACTGTCTGTCATTGATCAACACCTAGTAAGTCTTTTAAGACTTTCGTACTACGATAGTTAGATTTACGTGAGCTATTATGGACTTTGAAATATTTAAAAAGAACTTGTAGCTTTACAAGCTGAATAGTAATTATTTATTGATAGCGCTTGGTTCTGGTAAAATACTGGCAGTAGCCCTTAACTCTCACAGCAAATCAACAGTACCTAATTTGGTGTCCTGTCTTCTAAGGTGGTGTATTATAAGCTTACATGATCATCGTTTTGCAGAATACCGGTAGGCATGGATTAATAGATGATGCATTTAGTAATTCATGGGTAAGGATATGGATTGTAAAGGTAATTTAGGTCAATCTGATAATCCATACAATGTCTATACTAGGATTATTTGGTATGATACGGGGTTCAGATAAATTGATTCTTTAGTAAATCTCGTTGCAAGTCCTTTTTACTGCCATTTAATGATTTACACTATAGTGGAGAAGTTATTGTATATATACACTATTGTACACTGTTGGCAAGTATTAAAGTTACGGCTACTATCACTACGATTAGTAATAAAGACGCTAACCGTAAATTATACCATATAGTACAAGTCAATGTTGTTGGAATATCGTAGCATAACTTTCAAGTTTAATCTAATCATATGTGTTAAATATATATACTTATATAGTGTAACTTGTAAATCTTAAAAGTGCAGTGTTGTTTTGGGAATCATACAGTAGAATATACAGGACTCGATTACAAATAATTACATACTGTACAATGTATAAATATAATCTTTCACAGTTGTCATTGATCACACAAAAGGACAGTAAACGCACTCTGCACAATTAAAAAAAACGGACACCAATATCATTTGATTAATGACAGTCTGCATATTTTGCGAAGTAAATGATAAACGGCCACTATAAAGACTTCGTGCTTTTATTATGCCGTATTGTTCTATGTATGTTCGTTATTCGTAAAGTACAGTATAGTATAATAAAAATGTAGCATGCTGTAGTATTGTGTTGTGCTTTAGCACAATAGCCTGAAAAAAATTTTATCATCCGTATGATCAAACTTTATGATGAGTCCCGTACTACTGTATACTGTTTAGTATTGCTGACTAATATTATTAGTACAGTTGTGGCTAGTACTGAATTACTCATATCCCATATTATGCATTGTTCTACCAAACTAGAGTAATGGTAATGGTGTTACAGTTCAGTTCATTACTATAAACTGTAAACTGCCGTCAAGTGACTGATCATAATAAAGCATGACAAAGGACTTGCCACTGCTCTATTGGTATTGGTTATTGTTTGTTTTAGTTTTTACAGTTGAACGTCACTGCTCGTTCTTGTAGTAGTCAGTCGACTGTGCAAGTACAGCCCAGTACATCAGTGAATGCATACCTGAACCTAGAACTATACTTGTAAAAGTCAAGTTGTTAGCCAACCTGGCGTGCACTGTATGCAGCAGTATACACCGTACACTATGGATATTGTAGGTTCATACTGCGCTTACTATATGAACTATGAAACTATTTGATCATCGATTTAATTAAAGCCGAATTTATCCCTGTTACCAGTTCGTGAAAGGTTTACATATTTAAGTAAAGATTACATCGAAGCAGTGCTGCAGGGTAATAAATAGTTACTTACTAAAGCAGTTACTAGCTGTAGATTCGAATATTCAACGACATCAGTTCTTATGTTATTACGGGCAGTTAACATTGTGAGAGTTTTGCGTACTTTGGATCAACAATCTCTACAAGCCGAACTGCAACCGACAGAAGTTAAATACTGCACAGGTAGATTCTGAGAACTCTATGCCGTACAGTGCAGTTAGAAATTCTGTAACTGTAATACGAATGATATTTATTACATTTTGTTAAAAAAGACCATAGTAAATTCATCTTTACACATTGTTCATTCGAACGAGCGAGCGATGTGCACAGATAAATTTAACCTTCCATTAGTACTACTACGCGTACGGATCAGGCATGTGGGGCACTAGAGTAAGCACTGATCAAATGTAATATCGCTTACTGGCCACTATTTTTGTTAAGAACGAATATTCAGGAACAGTGTATGCGGTTGAATATAGAAATATGAGTGAAAGAAAAATTTTAAATTCTATTTCATTATACTCGTAGAGCGTATGAACAATACAAATTTGTACGGTACGCGCGGGTAGCATACAGTCAGTACAGTATTAGATTAAAGCCTACGAGTGATCATGTTCTACGCGCTTATGATTGCCGAAATATCTGGCTACAGTAATGTGCTATTGATCTGGCAAATCATACGTAGTATATAATAGTACTATAAATCTTAATTAAGCAAAGGTTCCGAATGAATAAAATGTGCAGTAAACATTTATGGAGGCCATTTAAATTAAATTTAAGGTCTAGATTTACACAAAGCTGAAACCAGCAGACGTATAGTGTATACTGTACACTGTACAGTATACGCGAAACGTACAGAAGTGACAATACCTACGCTAACGTTAACTAGTTTAAACATTCAGTATACGATTATTTTACAAGTGCCAGATCAAAGTCAGCTTACAATCAATTTAAACTACATCGCGACCGTATTTAAAGATTTCTTACTTTCCTAATTCTTCTTTCAAATCGTACTTTTTTGTAAATGACGTGCCTGAAGTTGATGTAGTTGACGATGACATCTTTGATCCCGCAAACAACGGAAGTGGTAACAGATTTTTATTCACTGCCAAACTGATCAGATACTGTACAGTACAATAAACAGATACCGTATTGTACACTGTACAGTGTACAGTACAATACACTCCATTGAATCAACCTTCACTTAACTTTGTAAGTAATGGTTCTGTTACTTCTGTACCTCACACTACAGTACTGTACCATCAATGATCTCTGATAGTCTGGTTAGCAATCGGCCACGGTCGACAGTATCAAATGAGAACCTTTTTGGCCTAATTTTATTTGTACAGTACTGTAAGTAATAGTTCTGTACCGCACACTACAGTACAGTACTGTACCATCAATGATCTCTGATACTGTAGTCTGGTTAGCAATCGGCCACGGTCGACAGTATCAAATGAGAACCTTTTGGCCTCATTTTGTTTGTACTGTACAGTACAGTATTTACGGAAAATACAATACAGTACTGTACAGTTTTAGTACTGTACTGTAGTCCATGACTGTACAGTACAGTGTGTACAGTGCACAGTACAGTACAGCACTGTACTGTACAGTACGCACAGCTGTTACTGTACAGTATGTACTGTACACTGCACCGTGCTGCTCCCGTCTTTTTCTTTCCTTCTTTTACTGTAATTTTACAGTACTGTACTGTACAGTAAAGGGTGATACTGAATACTGTACTGTACTGTACTGTACATAGATTACACATTCAGACTGCACTATGCAATTGGTGCATCTCTTTGCTTGTGTCGTGGTCTTTGTAACTTTAAAAACTGCCAACAGCTTCTGATAGTATTTTCTTGAGAATAACTTTATCTATCTACGACAAGGAATTTCGGTAAATCTAAAATATACCTGATATCATCTATTTATATTTTAGATATTAATTGTGCTGTATGAGATTTGAGTAACCGCTAGACCCCACTCAAAGTTTAAAGAACATTATTTGGTATGATATTTCAAGACTGTACAGCACATCGATTAATTTACCTGTAGGATAAAGTGAGCATTATTAAGAAATTGCCGTAAACTATATCTACGACTGTAGTATTCTGGTGAAAGATATTACAATAAGAATATACATTTAATTGCTGAATCCACAGGGAAGTAGATTACTATAAAGTGAGTGTACGTAAATCAAATTTTAACTTGGTTTAAAAAGGTCATAGTTTTACCCATGTTGTATCTGCTAATATTATGGCTACTACTGACATTTACTGTAATCGCTAGCAGAATAGAATCTGTTTTACTTGCACGCGTTTGAATTAGTACAAGTACTGTACATTTAGACATTTGAACTATTGATTTCGTTATTAGATTAAATCTTGTCCAGGAACCAAGTACTATAATCTAGTGCTTATGATAGAGGTAATATAGTACTCGTAGAAACGTACAAAGTAATGTAAGCTAATTGATATCACTCATATTCGTATGATACGGTATAGTAGATACTGCAGATACTGTACTGGGTTGTGAAGAATAAAGTAAAGATTAAAGGTTCTCCACAGCTTTGGTATAAACTAGTAAATTATAAATCATGGAACTACGGTATTTTGCTTTTTATGTGTTATAAATCTTGAGCTAAGAGTTAAGCTGAGTTAAAATTTTGTTTGATTTATAATCTGTTGCTTCGCCGACGATACAATTTATCTTAACTGTAGGTACTGTAGGTATCTTTGACCGATTATTAGGATAAACCCTAGTTTTTTCTTGACTTTTTAAGGTTAATTATGAGGATAAAAGACGTTCACAAGGCTGCTACGGTGGCGTGGAGCCCCACAAACATTTCTCCCATATATGTTGCTGCTGGTTCAACAGCTGGCCAAAACATTAGGCGAGATTTCTTATTGTCTAAATACTTGACTATAATAGACTATCGCGTGCACTTTATTAAGCATTTCTCATTTTGGACTGAATCTTTCTAGCGATGCAAGGTTAGAAATTCTGTCAGTGGAACCGGGTGATTCATCTTTAGATATGCCACAAGTAGGATACATCGCAACAGACTATAGGTAACAGCTCCCACATATTTGTACTGTTTTTAATGACTGAGAAATTTATAACTAAGGGATTTGTCAGTTTCAAGAAATTAGCGTGGAATAGTGCTCAGCAGAGAAATGACTTTGGTTTACTTGCTGGCAGTGCCACCGATGCTAAAATTTATCTCTACAGCGTTAAGAACATTATGAAGTGAGTTAAAGTAGTAACGTAAACTCTTCTTGTATAACTGTTATCTACCCGAATTTCAGAATAAGACTGTTACGTAAATATGTTTATGATTTTGGTAGGCATGAAGAAGAACATGCTGTTTTGTCCACATTAGAAAAGGTATATGTCTTACTAATTTGAAGACTTAAATTTTAATGTTTGTTCAAGTTCTTTACAATATTAGTATCTATAATCCTTAGCATAATTGAAGCAAATTAATGATCTTTAACAAATAATATTTTCAATATATATAAGCATTCCGAAGCTGCAAGCGATCTAGACTTTAACCCGTTCCAGGTGAATAAATTAATCTATATTTAAATTGTTTAATATTTCTGGCCTATCTAAACTGTATGCTTTCGTATATCTTAATATAACAAAGAAGTATTAAATTTTTGATTTTTAACATTATATCTTTCATCGTTTTCGGGAAAGAAAAATCTACTGGCTTCATCTGCGAAAGCTGGGGAATTATATATTTGGGATTTAAATCAAGTCGATAGGGATCCTCTAGTGATTGGTTCAAAATTTCAGGTTTTAAAGTGATCTAGAACACAGTTTCTTTACCATAACATGACCAATTCCATAATTAACAAGATATCTTCGTTACTCTTTACAGATTACTAATAATCTTGCTGATATGAGTTGTGTTACTTGGAATTTGCAAGTACGGATGCTCTTCTAGGATTATAACAATTATATTGTACGGTCAATGTTAATGCATATTTTTAACAGACTCTACAACATCTTGATAATTATGATATAATATAGGTACCACATATTATAGCTTCTTCTTCTTCTGTTGGCCATACCGTAGTTTGGGATATGAGAAAGACAGAAAAGCCAGTAATTACTCTCAATACCGGAAACGCTCTGGTAATTTAAGGCAAACTTATGTCGTCTTTGCGCTTAAGAGTAGGTTAATATTATATGTTGTATTTGACTATTTGGTTCTATGCTCTAGGTAAACTGCCATACAATGTCTTGGCATCCCCGCATTGCTACACAGCTAGTGCAGGCTAACTCAACGGAATCAGTGATACAGGGAATTTGTGCAGTCATTTAATTGTAAATTTATGTCTTAGTGTACTCTTGATTAATCATTTTTTCCTAAATTTAATCAACATAGATGTGGGATGTACGATATATGCAATATCCTATCAAAATATTTTCAGAACATAAAAGGTATAATTTTTACTGCAAATATTTTATGGTACCAGGTTCAAGGAAACATATATGTATCACAAATTGCAATTCATAGGGGTATTCATGCTGTAGCCTGGTGTAATCAGGATGCTGATATGCTTGCTAGTTGTGGAAAGGTTTGCTAATGAAATACTTCGCCATATTTCGTAGACTAGTTATGCTACAGTATTTTTACTTTAATAGGATAGTAAAGTATTGATCTGGAATCCTAATGGATCTGTATCAAATTCAGAAAGCAATATTCCAAGCGGCGAGGTACTTTAAATCATGAACTTTTGCAGTAAAGTGCAAAACTGATCAAGCGTTTATCACTAGCTCGTTTACGAAATACCGTGTAATTCTTGTATGGATGTACGGTGGTGTCCTCGAATGCCTATTTTGGTGTCTTTAATGACAGCTGATGATTATATTCAAATTTACTCCTTAATAAGTGGAAGTCAAAAGCAACAATCACAGTTTGCCGAACAGCAACATAAACAAGTAGTGAATGCTATGCAAATATAATGTGCGCTACAAACAGAGTCAAATTATTAATTGGTTAATCTTGTTATAGATTAGTGAGGCATTTGGCTCTGATTTCGCTAATATAGCTGATGTTCCAAATTCTCCAAAGCCGGAGTACACAGCTATGCCATTGTGTCCAAAATACCCTCCAAAATGTTTGAAAGTTTCAGCTGGCGCTTCATTTGCTGTGAGTTACGGTTTTGAAGGAAAAGATTATTTACGTACTTATGACGATGTAGTCCTTATAATGTTTATTAACCCGATAGTTTGGAGGGAAGCTGATTACTCTAAATCCTTCGAAAGATACCAATTCAACAGAAGTGAGCATTAATTAAACAAGATCTGTCCTATCATACGTAATTTATCGATTGGGTATCAGATGCTTACTTTTCATAATAGGTCGCTATAAGTCAGGTAGTAACCAATGAAGTGTTTATTGAGCGGGCGAAGAAACTTGACAATGCTATTGCAGATAATGGTAATCTAATTACGTTTTGCGATGAGAGACTTAAATCATCAGGAGACGACTATGAATCTCTTCAATGGGGCTTTTTGAAGGTGTATTTTGATAATTTTACTAATGAATACTGCAATGACCTCTTTTTCTAAAGCCTTTAAATTCTTACCAGGCAAATTTTTTGAAAGAACCACGCAAAAAGATCATCGAATTACTCGGTTGTCACCATTTTGATACGGATAAGGAACTACCGCAATTAAGTTCCGTTGATGAACAAGTGGCAATTCAAGATGAGAATGCTCTCCAGGTCTCTATAAAAGTTAATTATTGTCCATGCGATCTACAAATAGCACACCTAAAAGTTTGGGCTATTCTTTATGTAGGATGAAGAAATCAAACGTTTAGAGACATCAAGTGCCTCGATTATAGGCGATAACTATTTAAAGGATATGAAAACAATTGGTGAAATTAAGCCTGAATGCGAACCATCTATGAAGACAGATTCACGTTGTGATGAAAATTCTTCTGAGAAGGCTTTTACAATTTCATTTTCTGACGGTCAGCTATTACAAGTGTATTGAGCTTTAAATAATCATGGCTAGCATCTAACCGGCTATAACTTCGAATAGATTCCGAAAAGTTGTTAGGAAAATTATTATTAGTTGGTAATCTGACGGGCGCAGTAGAAGCATGTATAAATTCCGGTAAAATGGTAAGGTTTAATTGTGAATTTAACTTAAAATTTTTGAATCTAAATAGTCTTATTCTTGTAGGCAGAGGCGATCTTGCTTGCCATTGCTGCAGGACCAGAAACTTTAGAGAAAACTCGGTCTTCCTTCTTTTCAAAACGTATTGATAACTTATCACGGGTACTACTTACGACATTGAAGTATACATGAGAATCTTTAACTTTTTTTGTAGACAATATCTCTTAATTAAATTCTCATCCTATAGTTAATTTATGCCATAATTTCGCGTGATTGGTCAGATATCGTGAAAGCATGCAGTTTAAGCAATTGGCGTGAAATCTTGACTATTTTATTAACGTATGCTCGAGCTGACGAATTTTCGCAATATTGCTGTAAGTTACAATTAGTGCAATTTAAATCACGTCAGAAATAATAACGTGTTAACGGTAATATTGTTAGCTATACTTGGTGAACGTTTGGAATCTAGCGCTGATGCAGATCACCGAAAATATGCTGGGCTGTGTTACATTTGTGCTGGTAGAACACATGAATTTGCGTCGTGGTGGTAATTATCGCACAAAATTTTACACAGTGTAATGAAAAAGCGTAAATAATTAAAATTCTTATTAATTTAGGATGAGATTGGTCGATTTTACAAACTCGAAGCCTAATGAACTTCAGGTTTGACCCAACATACTATATAGCAGATGATTATTATTCCCATAGTTATTATAGCTATGATGTAATTTTTATAGTGTTTAATGGAGAAAATTGCCCTACTAAAGAAGTCTGTGGAGGTGGAAACTGGATCTATTCCAGGATTTTCTGCTAACTCAACATTAAAGATCTTTAGGTATTTGATGCTTATTACTTACTCATATTAAAGACATTTGAATTAAAATCATAGCACTGACATGATTAAATACATTTAGCCAATATGCAGGGTTGCTATGCGCTGAAGGACAACTACAGTTAGCCATGAATTATTTAGAGTCATTACCATCTGAACAGGTATAGGCACCGTTGATGGAAGATTTTAAATTTTTAGATTTTAAATTTTTAGAAATTCTTTACTAAGCGTATATATTCGTAGGATAAAGAATTTTCTTTGAAAGAAAGGCTATGCTACGCTCTTAATTTATCAGGTGTCTCGGAAAATCGGCACAAATCGAAACAAATTCAGGTACCGCTATAACGATCTTCATAATTTACCGATACTAATTGCAATTGCATGCAAGCATTCTACTATTGGCAGCAATACCTGAAATTTATGATAAATGATACCTTAATAAATTGTACTTTTTGGATGTTAGTATAGTAGCTGTTCTATGACACGTTCTTGATTTCAAGTTGCTTCGTTATTATACTGTATTAGCGAGCTGACAGTTCAAATCGAACCTTGCAAAATCAAAACGATGGAGCTTTCAAAAGTGGCGGATTGTCAAATAATGTAGTAAATAATGTTGCGACTGAGCCCACTTCTCGGCTTAACCTCTTCACTCCGTATTCTGCATCGATGGTACCATCCGGTAAGTAAACATGGTTGTCAGTCTTGCGAATTCAAAAAGGTTTCTAAATAATTATACTTTCAGCTCAAATTGGATCGCAAGGTGGCAGCAAATCTCTATCCTCTGATCCGAAACCTGGTTCGTTAATTCATGACGAAAATCAGCCTCGTGAAAAATGGAATCGTGTCTTACAGCCTTCGTCCGTACTTATGAATCAAGCTCCTACTGCTGCCGTCTGGAAAAACGGTATTTGCTGTAATATCCACTAGTGCAGACTTGTTTACGCGTAGTATCTAATTAAGAATTAATTCTTTTATGAAGAATCGAAAAGTCTAACTGCTTGGAATGACCCACCGATGCTATTGGAAAATGTAAGTAGCACGTTTGATCATACAGAGAATTGAATGATGGTTTATTATTGATAGGAGTCCATAATGTCCAATTTATGTACATCTTCGAAAACAGTTTCAGGCATAATTTTGTTTATACCTTACCTATATTTCAAAAATGTTTCTGTACAGGTCCAACAAGCACAAACCTGTATAGACAAAGAACCTATAAAACAACCTATACCAGGAAATGAAAATGAGGAAGTGTCTGGTTAGAATAAGCTTAGTGTATTCAAACTCGTATTGGTAGTTTAATGTACATAAATAATTACTGTAGCTAATGTAGGTAATGAAAGGCGAAATATGGTGTCTAGCCCTCAAATTGCGCCGCCAAAACTTTCGGCTTACCAATCTCCAACAAATAAACTCGTAAGTAGTAAGAAATATAATCTTTACTTCATGGATTATTTTGTACATTTATCATATACTGCTAATAACAAAGCTGCAGCTAGTTCCATTATATTGCTCGCCAATACAACAATGTATAATCTCTAACGCCTGAACGAGCAATGTTCCAGGTACCAATGGTAGAACTTAATTATAGATCTGTCTATTGACTTTGTTAGCAAATCACCTCTGAAAAATTACAAAAACCCATTCCTGCTTCTCACATGATCTTATACGAGATCTTTAACAATCAGATTGAGAAAGGAAAATCAAGATTAACTAATCCGGTATAGTAACTTACCTGTGTATTGTGAAGTATTTAGTATAGTGGTATTCAGCTAATAATTACGTTACTGTGATTGTTAGGTTATCAAACGGAAATTGGATGATATTGCTAAACGTTTAGCTACCTTGTATGAATTACTCCGAGAAGAAATTGTAAGAAAATATAAAATCATATTGTTCCAATACCGACCTTATTAATTTTATTGTTCCCGTAGTTGTCACCAGATATTTTGCAAGGTTTGCATGATATTGCACAAGGTAAGATTGACTCTATAGTTTTAATGCGATCCTACATCCTGAATAAGATTTATCCTGATGATTTCTGTATTTATTGTTACAATAGCTGTGAAGGCGGGTGATTATAATGGTGGAATTAAAATACATAAAGCCGTCGTCGCTAGAGGAAACTTCAGTCAGATAACTTCGTTCATGCCTGGTCTAAAAATGTTAATGCAGCTGTCGCTGCAATACAAAATTTGATCGCAGCTTAAAAGAAAGTCATTACAAATTATAGTCTGGTACACTGAGGGTTACTTGGCTATGATAACACGATTACCTTATGTTTTTGAAACACTAGTAATTTTTTCTGTAATAATTATTACAGTACAATCGTTAATTATTCACACTAAACCTGCGTTAGCTGCTCCGCATGTTTCAGTGCTGTTGATCGTAGCTATCATCAGTTGAAGATTAAAGGTGTTCGTATTGAACCACAGTAAAACTTCATGTGTAATAAAGTTGTCAATATTAAATTGATCTTATCGATTTCATTCTGATTTTTTGAAGATATATTTCACAATCAGTAAGAAAATAGGTAATTAGGAATGATTTTAAAATTGATGTTAGCTGAAAGGACATTTATTTTAGTTTGTACAGTACCTACATTGGAAAGACGAAAATTAAGACATTGATCAATTAGCATGAGTTCTCGGTTTGATACGATTGTGATGGACATGTGATCTGTTTGCAGTGGTATGTACTGTATGGTGTAATTATTATCAATCTAATATTGATATTCGTGAATGGGATGTGTTATCAGCTAAAACATTGAGGGATTGTACCATTGTAATAATTTCCCAATCATATTACCAAATCGTAAATTAGAAGAATCTACTATTTTACATTTGCGATGTGGTCGCTGCTACGCTTATCTTGCCTCTGATCTATTGAAATTTTAAAGTACTTTAATTGCAGAATTCAGAATAAGCTTACCAGCGCAATTGCAATGCGAGAACTTGTAGATAGCTACCTCACCCCCCCCCCCCCCTAGAAAAGTTGTAAGGTTACATGTTTACCCATACTATATCTGTGTACGTGATTGTAACTTTAGTTCTAATGATAAACTGGATATTTTGATTAATCATAGTTGTTAACGTTTTGATGCAATTTTAATTTAAGTGACTCAGCCGACGAGATGTTTGTTCGATCGAAGGGAGTTGATAGTGGAAGAGCGAATCTACCTGCTTTGTAACGTTAAATTAAGAGTTCAAATGTGCTGTACTTGAAAATTTTGAAGTGTCTATAGAGCGGCGCATTTCGCAAGATGGTGGACACGTTGAAGTATTACTCGTTTTAGCTAAAATATATGTTGTATTTCATATTTATTGAGTAGGTTAATAACAAATAGTGTATCGTTAAAAAACCAGTATAAGCATGACAGTTGAACATATGCACATTAATGATAAACGTTATCAGATAATTTATAATTGCAGTTGAAGGTACCCGTAATTAAGAACTCAGTAGTGCAAGGACAAACACAGAATAAAGACAGGTTACTTTAAAGACAGGTTACTGTACTGTACAATCAGCATCTTAAATACGAGAAAGAATATATTTGATTATATTTGTTAAATTTGCCTTTATGCCGTACAATTTGCATCTTTAATGCAGGAGAGAGATACAGAAATACTGTATTTGTTAAATATTATTTTAACATAAGGTAACGGTGGTATTATCAGTATCATCGTAACTTCGCAATTTAAGGCTTGAATGCTTCTGTACACTATATAGCTTTGGTACGGGAAAAAATTAGTTCGCGCGAAAGTGTGTTTCACTTGTTATTTAGAAGATAAGACTGCGAACTACCATCGTAAAGAGTGATGACAACCCTGTTTGAAAACAAAATTTTACTTTTTGCTAAAACAGATTTTGTCTTTATATTAATATTTTACTATGGATATTACGTAAAACCTAATCATATCTATATATTTAAAAAAAATCATTTCATACGCTAGATATCGGTATAAACTACCGTATTTGCACGTTAGTTTTAGTTACATTTTCCTTCGGTTAAAGACGCTGTACAATTGCACCAATTAAAATGTACAAGTACATACAGACTGTGTAATACTGTACATTATGTGAAGTATTATGAGCACGGGTCTACAGTACTAGTAACTTAGAATGTGCCAAGTGTTACTATATTGATACAAATCACGGATTATGACGTGCAAGCTAGATACAATTATTCCTTTCAGGCCACCAAAAACAAAAAACCTTTCACACATTAGTCATGTTTACTCTCTTAGTGTGTTCTGCATTGATCTGTAATAGCATATACGTGCACTGTACACTTACCGTGGGCCTGACGAATATAGTAAAACCTCAGAAATCATATAAATAATAAGATAATTTTACGAAGCATAATAAATCAGTTTCTGTATTAATTTACTTTCTTGATAGATTAGGCAATACAGTAATTGCAATCATAATAACTAATGAACGTATTTTAATAGACAAAAACGATGCAGCAATCTATACCAGACTGCACTATTACATGCTCAGTTTCTAAATCTTAGCAATCTAATGGCTCGTTTATTCAAGACAATCTCCTTGGAATACTTATTTAGAGTTACAGATTTAGCTAGGTAATGACAGCATTAGCATCTCTAATTTCGACAATGACATGTTTAGGTTAGAAAGTATCCAAATACCTAAAATTTAATAAGACTATATCACAACGCTAAATGATACTTATTTTCAATTTTAAACTGATTACTTACAAACTACTTACCAACTCTTATAAATAAGCTACAACAGTATTGTATACAATATTAAACCATAAATATAATATTGGGATCATTGGAATACCTGATAAGGTTATATCGATTGCAATTTACATAGGGAGCTAGTGCTTTCTACAGCAAGTCGATCAAAAATAGCAATTTCATGAGTTAATGTGTTAGCTAAAGTAGCAAATGCTTAGGAACTCTACGGCAATTATACTGTAGTTTAACATGCTAAATGATACTATGAAATTGCCACGTCTCCACTATTCGTGCTGGGAGATTCGTTATTCATGTACATTAACGTCTTCACGTAAGTGCTTTAAGGATTTCAATATAAGCCTGATAGCAGAATTCATACTGCTCCTAATACGTTTAGAAGTAAAGGATTTAAAGAGATCATACGATGTTAGGCACACATTCTATACAATTTCAACTGATTACGTAACTACAGATTTCTTAGATCAGTTTAATAACCTGGTACACTGCTGTATATTGTATTAGACTGCATCAAAATATCCTTAGCTAAACATCTATACCTTAGTCTGAACCATTCCTTGCCTCTGTTCTCGTAAGTTGTAAATTATGCTAAATATATCAATCTAGATATATATTAGAAATAAAGGGTTTGAAAATATACAAAAATTTTAGAAATTTTTCTATCAAAGAAATTTCTATCACCATCCAAAGCCTTACCTCATTATTATATTTTACTAATGATTCCATTACATCGATAGCAATTAGAACCCCAGTTCTTCCAACTCCAGCACTGTTATGTTTACACGTGCAATATTTAAAAAAATTTTATGGATATTAGTTACCGTACTCAACAATCTACGATAGGTATCCTAACTGTTAGGATAAATTCCGGTAAACAAGGAGTAACACTATATGTGAGGTGTCTGACCTGCAATGGGCAAGGATCATTCCATCATTTGCATATCGTTGTAGTTCATGAAGATAGCTCATAATTTCACTTGGCGACTTGCATTGGAAGTACAACATAAAATATTTAGTGAAATTAGTTCTAGTTAAGAGTGAAGGCAATTATAATGATGTAGTGATGCACCCATATTTGATTATACGGATAGCTATATTTGATATAGTTAGGTTACTTTGAATAGATATTATCGTGAAGCTAATATTAGATGATTGCTAACAATTATAATGAAAATTGTTGATGACTAATAGTAGCCAGTTGACTAATTATGGTACAAGATTTATGAAGCTAGAAACACTATAGTTGTTAAGATGCCCTTCGGAAAAAGGGGCTAGACGTTAATAGAAGAGTAGTAACATCTTAAGTAGAATGATTTAGATTGTAGAAAATAATGATGTACTATTATAGAAAAGTATTTTGTTTGATGACTCATGTCTGATTGTAGATTAATTAAGTTGTCATAAATGGATTTAACGAAATGCTTATAAGAAGTGCAGGGATGAGCTCGCTGAGGAGAAGAGACTTCACTTCGCTTTGAGCTCGGGATACTCTAGATTTTAGACTAGATTCTTGTAGTAATTAATTATAACTCTACTATTCCTAAAACCTTGTAATAAAAGCTATTAGAAAATATCACTTGACGAAGATAATTATAATTATTGTGAGACGCATTTATTGCAAACGAGTACTTAAAAAACTTACAACTGGAACGCCATGGTCAGGCCACATGATATACTGTAGCTGATATATTTGTCGTCCATCAGATTTTGACTAAAATATATAATATCAAAATTTTCAAATACTTCTGTTGATTGGAGTTCGCATTTTCTTCATCTTTGAAGGATTCGAAATACATTACTAACCGGTAATTGATTCATTTTAAACTCTCTAATAATGTAGCATCCCCTTTCTTCTTGCTTTACTAAATGAACTTCAAATCTAAGTGACACAATCAGAAGAGTTTAAAGCTGAATTCGTATTCGAATACATCGTAATTTTAGAAACTACGCTATCGATAACAAATGCTAGTTTACTTATTTTTAACATTTATAGGATTTGATGCTGATTCTGGCCAATAGCGATAGCATTTTTGCTGTTATTAATAAAAAAAGTTTCTTTCTTAATATTATTACATTGAAAAGGCGCGATTCTGTCTTAAACTTACGCGACCGTTCTCTGCGGTTTTTGTCGTCATGCCAATAGCAACCACGGCTTGTTCCCAGATCATTTGCCAAAAATCTTCTACCGTATCGCTTAGAGGGCCCTTCATAAGTAAAATAAACCCATTATAACAGTGGTTATATTGCTCTTTTCCCTTAATATTGTTAGCAGCTTACTTGAGATGCAATATATTTCCTGAATATGTTGGAATCAACTTCCGCCTACAAGGCAATAGATTATTTACAGTCATGCAATTATAAATGTTTTGCTATTTTTACAATATCTATTGTATATAACATTGACAGATTAACGAGTCAAATTCAATCTTTAATTGAAAGCGAAATACTTCAACTAGTGATGCGTTGATATAGTCAGATGTGCCTTCACTTTCGCTTATTTTAATTCTGTTTGAATCACCTACGATGATAACTCCTGTATATTAGTATATAAACAGTACAGTATATCTTTTAACTGAATATACTACAATTATTCACGACTCACAGGGTAGAATATTTCTAAACCTATTTTTATCCCGATTATCTGGATGCTTCCCAACTTCCGAAGTATCAAATGGTTTAACACCTTTTAAATCCTAATATTTTATTAAAAGTTTGACCGTAAATTTATATCAGTAGCTCGTACTTACGAAATAAACAGCAATGCAGATGATGGTATTTACCTTAAATTCCTCAGAAATTGCTCCTGAGTTCAATTTTTTAGAAATAGAGCTTGTAAGTTCGGTTAAAGCTTCTCCTGAATACTCTACCTTTTTCGTAAAGCTATAGTACAAAAACAGAATGCAAATTCGTGTAAACAATCAAAGAACAAACTAATGATCGTTCATTACTTCACTGTAGGTTTTTTCACATTGTCCGTGATCGGTTCCTTAGTTATTCCGTCGTCATTCGGCTTTTTTGCGCTCGCACTATTTTTACGTGAATTCGAAGCCTTATTAGACCAATCAGCGAGCATTTTCTTTAATTTATCAGGCAGAGGAGAAGATGGAGCCATTGAAGGTCGTTGTTCACATATCCTATCACTTTCGTCTTGAACTTTATTAGTATTAATGAAAGTAGACTGGGATGTAACCTTCAAGCCTTCAGGTAATTCAAGTTCCGACTCGTTCTCTACCCTATAAATATCAAATGTGATTAATTCAAGGTATACGGGTACCTGCAAAAATTAAAATACACGTACTTCGCTAAAGTAAGCTTAACCCTGCCCTTGGGAGCCTTTCTAACGATGTTAACAGCTTGACTATGAGTAACGTCCATTAAGCTTTCATTATTTACCTGAGTGACGTATTCGCAATTACGTAAGTGAGGGTTACTTTTAACTACCTCTAGTAACGCAATTATTGAATATACAGCAAATATCAACGTAGAGATAAAAACTTACTTTCAACAACTTATCACCTGCCTTCAACCTACCGTCCTTCGCTGCAACACTAAAAGGTGCAATTGTCTTTATAAAGATCCCACTGGTCTACAAAATTATGAATAATACGATATTACAATGAACAGAATTTAAGAACGTATGTATAGTACCTGATAATACACTTACGAATTTGGTCTTCCCATCGCCGCTCATTAAATTAAAACCTAAACCTGTTGCTCCCTTTTCTAATTCAACTTCAATTATATTGACCTATCAGATAAAGCATGTTACAGATTCAATTTGGTACATGCATATGAGAATTATGAATGACTGATACCGATATATAACGCACGTAAATATGCTTATGTAAATATTTCATATCAAACGCAAACTATACAAAAATTGCTAAGGAATTAAACGAACGAAAATAACTTTTTAATCATACAGGCGACGAAAGGCTTTGTTCATCTATATCTGATATATTTTCTATTATTTTGCTTTCTTCACTTGGGATTTCGCGTTTGCTGCTTTCCTTTGAAAGAACTGGCGAATTTTCTTCTTTCATGCTATTCGAGCTCTGTACACGCCTTAATTCAAATAAGATATTGTTACAAGACTAAGAAGAGATTCAGTTATTTTTTTTTTAATTAAAATTAATAGAAAATTGCTTGTACCACAACTACCTTTCTACAACGATTTTCAATTCTGGGTCTGTGGAGTCGATGTAATTACGTATCGAATTGACGGGCATTTTTGATACGTCAGTATTATTAAGCTATAGTGATAACAAAATTTACATTCATGCAAAGCTTTTCCGTAAGCAATTATTAAAGTACGATAGAAATGCAACAAGGCAATCAATAATTCGACCTGTATAATTCTGTCGCCAGATCGTAATGTTCCTTCACTTCGGTGCAGAAAGAATACCAATAAGAATGTGATCATAAATTCAGTAAAATAGCTGTAATTAATTATACTGTATATTTAGTCACGTACATTTCTGCGGGTTCTCCGTGAATGATCTGATTAATAATAGCACCAGGAATTTCAGGATCATCTACATTAATTGGTGATAAAGTAAATCCGGTAGTTCCATAACTACGATAAGATGCAGACTATTAGTCAAAAATCACTCTAAAACTGGAGATAATTGTAGTACAAGAAATAACTTCCATGCATTTCGTACTTATTTTTTGAGATTAAAGCTTCAATAGTGGTATAATCTGAGACAGAAACAACCGGAACGTCTACCTGCACAGCATTGGTACACAGTTAAAAGTCTGTAGCTAAAGTATTAAACTACATAAAAAAGGAGGGCTTACCATACAATTTAGGCGCTTAGCTCGTATCGTTACGGTTTTATCTGCAGAGCGCAGAAATTGAACAATTTCTCTTTGAGTCATCGATGATACATCTCTTCCGTTAACCTGTAAAGTTGGAGGATAATCACAGTTTCGAGTAAATAAAGTACGTAATTATAAATTTTTACAGTTTAGATAGAAGTTATAGAATTTTGTGTCATGCAGGTGCAAGTATCCTTCAACTGCACTAACTGTAGTAAGTAGATCTCCCTTCTGCAATCGGCCATCAGCCCTGGCTGGATCTCCAACAATCTCTTTCACTTGAGGCCCGTCTAGAATGAATGAATTTACGTTTTGATTCACCAGTAAAACTTAGATCAATGATCAGTAATTTCTAAATTACCATTTGTGGTTGTAATACTAAACCCTAACCCGGTCTTCCCTTTAGATAACGTCAATTCATACTAAAACACAGAAATGAGACAGTTTATACCGGTACTGCAGCCTTAAAAAGCTACTAATTATATAGCCTTATCTTAGGTAATTTACGGTTTCAAATTCGGCCTTCGATTTGTCTTGCTCATTGTCATGTTGATTTGCGGTAACTACAACTTCCGGAATGGATTTATCGTTTACTTTCGGCAGTAATACATCACTTCTTGAAAGTTCGGATCCTTTACGTATACCACTGTCGTGTTCTTCTGTTTTGTCAGCAGTTGATGGGTGATTTTCAGTTAAGGAAACGGTTTCATCTAAAGGTGAATCTACCCGATCGATACCATCTGAACGTTTAACAAGCAGTTCGACCGTTTGTGGTTGGTTTCTAAGTAGTGCTACAGCATCCTTTGATTTATGTAATTACAACACAGCTTAGACGAATTTGTTACGAAAGTATAATTTAATAGAAATACGCGCATGTTAGATCTACGCAGCCTTGTATATATGAAAATTTTACCGAACGCTTATAACCAATTACTGAGAGCCTGTTGACCTAAAAATTTTAATTCAAATTACATACAGTATGTGCCGTGAGCTTAGAAATGTATATAATGCGATATATAATATGTAGTAGCTCTTACCGCTAAAATGATATCTCTCTCTCTTAATTTATTAGAGAGTGCAGCTGGCTGCTGTGGAAATATTTTGTTGATCATAATATAATCTAAGGTAGTAATAACACGAAATACGTTATAAGAGATGCGATCCATACCATAACAAAACAATTAAAAAGATTGATAGTCCGACGTAATATGCGATGAGCTATTGTTCAACACCCACTAACCTTCCATTCCAAAATCTTTTCCATCAGCTATGCTAAATCCTAAACCTTGACGGCCCTTTTTTAGTAAGACACGGAATGTACTTTTTTCTTCAAAATCTTCGTCCTGTCTGTTTTCACTGGTTACTCCAGTAGTAGTTACGTGATTTCGGATATTACCTAAACAAGAGAAATAGGAGTTCAAGGGCAATATTTGTACTTACATAACCAGTACGATTTTAAAGGACTCACTTAAAGGTTCTGCACTAGTAGTGGCTAACTGTGGGCGTTCGTTTGTATTTATAGGCTCTTGCGCTAAGATTTTCTGTGGCTCCGCTTTGATATCCTCATTACTGCCTTGTTGCTTCTTTAACGCTGACACATTGCCTTCAGCTGCCAAAGCTTCGACAGTTTTATCATTTTTTCCAGGAAGTTCATCTTTCGAACTAACCAAAGGATCAGTAGGTACTATTGCTAAAGAGGAACATGAAATATATCAGCCGAAGTAACGATATAAGAATAAATCAATGAGATCAGAACTAGTAATAAGTAAATTTAATCCCTTCGTTACATTTTGCATCCGTTTCGGATTTTGGCTTTGATCCGGCGTCATTTAGTGACGGTATTTTCCGAAACTGCTTCTTGCTAACGTTTTCAGAGTTACCGTTGTTGACTGTGGCTGTGGAACCTTTATAATCATTGTCAAGCACATCGGAATTCGCTTGCCCAAACTTTGCCTTCTCCGTTGGAGTTTCAGTCCGGACACTCAGTTCTACATCATCCTTGGCGTTATTTACAGTTTCTTTGCTTTCTGATAACCCTTCATGATAAGGTTCAGCTACACTATGAATATCCGCTTTATTATGGGTTTCAGTAGGTATTTTTGGGGCCGATTCACCTCCACGATGACTGATTTCTTCAGATTCTTTTATATACAAATCCGGATGTAATTGCTCGTCTTCACACGCTCCAGACTCATCATGTTCGGAAACTCTTATCGATGTATTATTACTCGTGCATTCTTGTACCACAGAACCAGTTTTAGGTTTCTCGGCTGAAATTAAGTTCTTTCTTTTATTTTGTGGTTGTTCCACATTTTCTGAAAATTTAGCGCTATTTTTCTCTTCTTGGGAACTAACGTAATAAGCTTGAGCTCGAGGATGCTTATAAGAATCGAGTGAATCAGAATTTTGATCAGCACTAGAGGAAAGGCTAGGATTCTTCGTTGGCATTTCAACGTTAGCAGACATGTCTCTTTGGTAGGGAATTTCTTTGCTGGTTGTTTCATCGCTCTTAGATGATAAATACTCTGTTTCAGATCGGTCAATTATCAGTGTCACATTTTCCGGACATTTAATGATGGTTTCACGAGCCTGACGAAAGAACATAGCATTGGTAAACATGAAAAACTTAAGATTCTGTAGTGTATCAGATCCGATCAAGGAATTTACCACTTTATGAGTAACGCCTATCAAACTTATTCCATTTACAGCTAAAATTCTGTCTCCTATAAAATATACAATAAATGATACTTCGACAAATAACAGTGTAAGTAACTAACATTATATATGATATGGCAATTAATTTACCCAATTTTATCGTTCCTTCTTCGGCTGCAGCACTTGAAGGATCTAAGGCTTTAACGTAAATGCCTCCATCCCTTACACTAGTATTAACACCTCCCTAGATCATATAGAAGTATACTACTGTAGTTATAAAGAAATAATCATGGTGTGAATAGATGCACAAGGTTAAGATTTTTAGTTACGCGAATTCTTAAGCCTAGGCTGTCGTTCTTTTTTCTTAGCTTTACTTGAATAAGATTTGGCTATAATGCAGTTATAAGGAATGATATTCTTTTCATAAATTTATAATTAACTTTTATTAATTAATTGCCAAAGCTGCGGGCGTTCTTACAGAATAAGTGAAGTTTGAAAAAGATCGCGTTTTCATGTTAGGCTCTGGCACAAAAATTTCATCAATGCTATCATCTTGATGTTCTTCAATTTCACTGAAACCATCATTTTTCTGTTTTTTTCCAAGCTGATACTGGAAATCCGAGCTTTGATTCGTATCCGGTTCATCAGAGGCGTAAGATTTCGTTACAGTCGTTTCTTCTGCTTCTGCATTTGTTGCAACTGATCCGGAGACAGGCTCTCGCATTAGCTGCATTTTCCTTGGCCTGTCTGCGGGTGCTAATTATTCAAGTTTGTTCATAATAGCAAAATTGTTAAATAGATGCTACTTACTTAATTTAATAAACAGCATCAATATAATTCGTCTGAAGTTCCTGTGAGCTAATTTAAGGGCAATTTTTATAAATTAACACTAACTTACTACCATGGTTGAATTACCGTTTTCACTGGGTATATGATTTTTAACATCTTCTGTGCAGCATTGAATTTCAACATGATATTCTGCGTTGTTTAGCAACTGAGCTACAAAATCTGCTGAACTTCTCTCTACGGCAATTCCATTAACACTTACAATTTTGTCTCCTATTTAGTTGTAAAAAATTTTAATAAAATGATACATAAGTTAAGTAATATACGCATATTTTAACTCGCATTTAACACTTCAGATTCAATGACTATACAATATAATATAATATAGTAATTGATAGCAGTTTCATCCATACCAGGCTTTATTTTACTATTAACTTTAGCAATCCCATTAGATGCTAAAGAGTCTACGTACACTCCACGACCGAAACTTAAATCAGCATCGACCAAAGTTAGACCTAATTCAATAAAATAGCGCATTTACAACTCCAATAGATTCATAAAGGACAACGTAATATTGATATCGATTTTTATATCCTTTTATAAAAATTATTTCATGACAATGATGAACATTATTGTATGTATTTAGAATATACTGTATCTATATTCTACTCTTAAATATAGACATGTTGTATTGCTCATATATTTAGACATATCTATAGTCCGCTTACTTCACATTCATATATAGGCTACTGTATTTAGTTATTACAGTACTCGCTGTTTGCTACAATCATCAGCTATGTTGTAACCTGTTATGGTATATGTTGTATCTAATTCTACAATCCTATTCTCTGCATGTGCTCTATCTTTAAACTATAAAAAATACCGCCGTTTTCCACCTCGGAAATCGTTAGTTTTCCTGGTTAGTCTTCACACGTTACTCACAACAGCTTGCACGCTGGTCTACCGTAATTACCTCACTGTACTTACTTTACTTACTTTACTACTTAAAATAAAGTATAACTTTTATACAACTTTTGGTGTACTAATTGTAAATGGCAACTAAAACCACATTATCTGACTCTTCGAACCCTCCATCACAATTATTATTGAAAACATGATTAATCTCCTTTTGTATAAATATACATACCAATTTCTTGATTTCTTCGCTTATCTAAGACAATCGTAGCCAGTGTAGTACCATAATTTCCGCTTAAACTTCCTGTAGATTTTAAGTATAAACATTAAACGAGCTTTATAACGTGTAACTTATCTATTAGCTATATTCTCCAGAAACTGTCAGAATTCACAAGTATACAATAACATTGTATAAGTGAAAAAGGAACAATTCATATTTTAAGTTTCCATGATTTACCTTCCGAAGACGTTGCAAAATTTTGCTTGTTTACCGTAAATATGGTTGCAGTATCTATAATAGGTATTGCATAGTAAGAGGACGTTCACAAATGCACAACCACAAATATCATGATTATATTACCATGATAGGAGTTATCTTGAGATACTTCGTTTTCACTACTAATAGAAGATGAAATCGTTCTTGTTCGTTCTGATACACGCTTCTTTTGCTTTGAAACCGCTAAATTTAGATCAGTTATGCTGCTTGACGTGGATCTTTGATCTTGAACATCAATTTTTGATTCTGATAAATGATGTTGGCGATTTTTAATGAATGTTTTCGACGTCGACGACGAGCTCTGTAGTGAGCCAACCCTATCATTACTATCCATTACTCCGTCATTGTAAGCGTCTGCGAATAGCAATAGGGAGTACAACTATTACATTATAAATCTCGTTTCATTTGAATTACAAAGCCAATACGAACCTCTTTGTGATTCATACCGTTCTAACGCCTTCATTTTTGACCGTATCTGAATTTGAAATGCGTGAAAACTAGTACAGAGCTGCAACATATATCTTGACCTAAAATAAATGGTCATTGATAGTGTATAAGTAGGTTTACGAATGAGCCAAAATGGATATGTGACACGTTGATTAAAATTTACGTTAGGCTCGCAAAATAAATTGGTATTCAAATGACCTTTTAGGATGTTTAGTATTGAAAGTAAGTCTATTTGTGACCCCAGTTCCTTGTGGCTCGATGGTGAACTGCTTTTTCTATAATTATGGTAATCACATTAGCTCAATTCACTCCACAAAACGGTGATAAATGCTTAAATTTACGTTAAATGAAACTTGAGTAATCATATGCCAAGGGTGTCTGCTTATAGCAGCTTTTGCATCACCACGTTCCTATTTAACATTCAAAGATTGGAAATAGTTTACTTTATGAATCATGAACTGAACGATGAAAACGGCAGATCACCTCAAATAAAATTAACCCTCTTAAGCAAATACCGAGCCATAATGACGAGGTGGAATCTTTTTTAGTCTAAAAATGTAAATTATTTTAAGGGTATTCTTGATATGCTAGAAATGCAATGTTCCAACAAGGAGAATAGCACGCTTAAAGAATTTACCCTGTATAGGCGATAGAAATGAATGCCATAATACGGTAATTTTTGGGCTTCCTAGAAAAGCATTAGAAATTGGAGGTACAATACTATTTTAAAGTAGTTTTAATACCGTTAATGATTTTACCTTCAGAAATTCTACTTCTGCTTGAGATTCGCTTAACCCAGCATGCGCTGAATGCATACTAGATAGCTGTCGCTTCAATTCCATAGCTGGAGTTTTTTGAAGTACCTATGGCAGACAGGAACTGCATTATTTATAATAATGTATATAATTACTGCAATATAATTTCCGGTAAAGAAGAATACCTTCGCCGGTAGGTACTGTTCCAGAATATAATAGTTGTTGGCGTTACTAGGAACGTAGTCACCAGTTTCCGCTTGTAAGGCATAAGATGCAAGGAGTAATGCTGGTTCTTCGGAACAATGAAGAATACCCTCTAAGATATCTCTACGCAGCTGAAGATAATAAAAGTGCTGCGATAATCGACTCCTAACGAAAAAACGAGCTATTCTTAGATAAGCGAGCGGTTGTTACTGGTGTATGTATAAATCTGGCTTGCTAACTGTGTAGTTACTATAGTGCACATATATGCATACCGAAGAGTGCTAATATTTTCTACGTAATATTTAACTGCGAAGAAAAACGTGAAATTGGAATCGGGAGATTTTAGCTATAAAAAAATGTTTCAAGTTTAAGTTGTAGCAGACTTTGAACGATAAGTAAAATAAGCCTTAATATAGTAAACATAAAATTCTTTAATTACTCCTTCTCGCCAACCCTTAGGAGAATACTTAATAAGTTTTTTGTCGAGGTCCAGAAATTGCATTTCTCCATCTATAAATAAAAACAAAACAGAAATGCTTATTTTTGATTTCACTCCATAATTCAAGACTTTTGCTAGTTAGGTCTAACATGCAATATGTCCTAATCCAAAATATGAAAATTCATCTAATTCCAAGTATCTGATTATTCTTTCAAATAGATCTCTTCCAGTAGCATTAACCTAACAACAGAGAAAAATAGACATAGTGAGAATAAATGAATACTAAAATTATAAAAGATAAGATATAAAAGAGGCTAATAACCGATATATCCATCATGAGTCTTTGCCCATTTAAAAGAATAATTTGGATACGTTTTAAGCCGTCATGGTAAATTGAACTAACAGCAACCTAAAGCAATGGAAATCATTACCAATGATATGACTTAGGAATATATCGCAATGATAGCAATTATTATACTCAAAGAATCACACATTTTGTATTTCATTTGCAGGATAAATAATGCTGTCCTTCAATCGTATAAATTCTGGGCCCCCAAAGTTCTGTAATATTTATATTATAACAGTAAGAGTATGTGTTTTGTTCTTGATTAGGATGATATTAAGAAAACAAAATGTTCACACCCTCTGCTTCTCTTGATTATTAGAGTGAGTACTTGAGAAATCATTATTATTCTTTGACGATACTTGCTTCTTCTCTTCATTATAGATTACTGATGCGTCCACGAAATCTGATTGAAAATCACCTAAGTCTCGTAAATAGAACAGATAGATGATATTTTCTTGACTATTTAATCGACCCTTCTTTGCTATTTAACAACTATTCTACCATTGAGTTCATGTATGAACTTAAGTTAATTTTATCTATCAAACATAGAGGAATAGCGTTACATACCTTTTTGAGGTGTTTTCGATGCACTTGTACAGGGCTTTACATTAGCCCCTCCCACTTATTAGAAAATGAATTTAACAGTTTAGATACGATTGACATCAATTATGAGCCACATTAACATGCAGTAGCTTAATAGATTTCAACACACCGTTTCGAGTTGTTACTGGACTTTTTTTCTCTGCTTTCGGTGAATAATCAGATATGGATGTCAGCTGCAAGCCTTCGTGAAAGCTTAACTTTCTATAAGTGTTATCTCTATAAATAGCCAAGCTCCTAATTGCTTCTTCTTCCTTGTCGGGAATAAATTTTCCTTTCGACATTCTAGACTCAGATCTTTCGTCTTCTGATAAGTTCATTTCGGAGTCAGGTAATATACTGGTTTCACGTATTGCTTCATTACTTTTCTTATGCAACTCTTCATACCAATTTTGTGTTACAGTATCATCTTGTGATAAATTCCAAATAGTCCCAATCTCCGAAAAGTTTTCCAATTGCAGTTCAATATTTTCATTTTTTGTGTATGAGAGCGTAGGTTTATATTCTTTTTGAGTCATTTGAGGTAAAAGCTGTTGACTATGCATTTCTGAACTCCGTTCATCAGATCGCAAATACGCCTTATCGTCGTCATCTAGAGAGTAATTAATATCTGATTTCAGATTTTTAGAATATATTGGATTTCGTCTCTCTTGTATACCTATTCTAGAAGACTGCAGCTGCCAGTTTTTACCATGAGGAGTTGATTCTTCTTGTATAAAACTATTTGATATCATTGAAGATATCTTAGATTATTTGATTTGCATAACCCAGCATTAATAGCTAAGGTTATATAACTTCGTTAAACTAAATTTAAAAAGTTTCACACCTTACGTTACTTCTAAGTGAACCGGTAAAGGAACAGTATGATTCTGTGGCAGATAAAGTGTCTTCCACTAGAAGCTGTCAAAATGTATACAATATAGTTACTCAGTAAATAGCGTGCTACTGTATTAAAAATATATTTACAGTTAATTTAAGGCTACTATCGTGGATAGATCTTAAAAAATATTTCCTTACATTAATATTCAAATCTTCAAACGAATTTCTGACCAGAGACTGTATCAGAGTTGAGTTACAGCGGAATGGAACACTCCTGCTGCAAAGCTACGAAATCAGAAATTAAATTTCGATTTACTGGTGATGTAATAATATATAATATATATAATACTTCACATTATTTACTAGGAAGCTATAATAAAATCGTCAATGCTTCTTTATTTGGGGCGAAAAACAAAATGTACAGTATAATATATATAATTGAGTAAACGATAACAATATATTTTTTACAGTTTTGTACAAATCTTTCTGAATGATTATCCAATTGTGCAGTACCTCAATGACATCCAACAGATTTATTCGATATTCAGGACTTTCTTCACACATTGATAGTAAAAGATTCTGTAATTGTTTATCTGGGCTAGTATTCTAATTATCAAGATAGAGAAGTGATCCTCAGTATGATTATACAAGAATTCCAACTCAGAACGTAACAATTGAAGTGATTAATGAAGTAGGTATAACAATACTAACCTGTATCTCTAATCGGTACTCCATAGCAAAAAATAACGACATACCTAAGCTATAAACATACATCTGACAAAAATATCAAATAAAATTTCAATAAAGACTTGATTATAGATGTTAGGCACAAACTCATTCAATTTACTCAGTATGCAAGTACGAGATACTGTACCTATTTCAAGAGGATATTACAGTACGTTATAAATGTAAATATTGCATAACACTCAAAGCACAAAAAAGAGTCTACAGACGAGCAGCAATAGGACATGACGGGTGATTAAGAGAAGGATTACAGTTCTGTACATCTCATGATATACTGCACAAGTGCATATAATTTACTTTAATAATGTTAACTACGGCAAAGGAACCTTTTCAACAGCCAGTTCCGACATGTCGGCATAAGGTGAATAGATTTCTGGAGGGTTGTACGATGTCGAGGTCATGGGACCTATACGATAAGTAAATCACCGGCATATAACGTAAATGGGCGCCTGTAAGCTTTAAATTGAATATGTTAAGATATCTGCTGTCTCATTACTTCTATCACGAGCATCGAAACGAACTTTCCCGGTAGGAAGCAATAATATTGAATCTGGGCTAATAGTAAAGAGTGGCTTCGAAGACAGGGCCGTTGATTCTAAAAGAGGAATATTTTTCGTTTTAGATAATTGCATATGAACAAATACGCGCGTCAATGAATAAAAACATGCACAACAAAATCTACGTACTGTATGCACATGATAATTTTATTATCCAAACTATACTTGAATGTAGAGTAGATTGTCATAAGATGTATAATTTGGTCAAGGCTTATACAGTATCAGAAAATAGAATAACTAATGAATTGGTCTAATAATACTTGTATAATTAATAACGCTAAGGTACCACATCGATAGTGAATTGAAGCGAACTTCACTATCGATTTTGTCCTCAGCGTAAAATTCACACACTAGCAAATTACTAAAGTATGAATTGAAGAAGACTTTGCGCGTGTTTAATTCAAAATTAAGGGAATACGCACAATTGCAATTCAAATATAGCTGTAGACAGCAATGTTCTTTGAACTGGAATTATTATCATCTATTTTGGCTATTACAGTCCGAAGACGAATTTGGTGACTTAAATTGCTCTATATTTACCATTAAGGAATTTCCATAGTACAGTATGCACACAGTATTGTACAATGTACAGCATAGTCTTATTAAATACTACCGCTACAGTACTTTTCAGTAAAACTACAAAAACAGTTAAAACAACAACAAACCATGATTATAACGATTAAGGCAGTCACAGTGACTTACACAACCATAATTTCTATTACAACATAATTACTTATTATGATTACTCGTACTAATCCCTATTCGAAAAACGGGTACTTTTTAAGTTATTCAATTCACGATATAGAGTATTTGCACCGTGCTGCGGCATTGTTAAAGATTACTTTTACGTATTCCTACCCCTCACGAATAAGTCTTGCAGACACTCACAAGCCTGCCCCATAAGGTGCCAAATTTCAGCATCTTGTAAGGGACTACCTCTCAGCTCTAAGATTTCAAGTAGTGAGATTGTATCTCTTTGTATAACAGGCATTTTTTCCTTAAGGTAATGGATTTAAAAACATCTAGCTGACGTTACAGTTAACTAAATTTTTGAAGTTTTCAAACGAAACCAAACCGAAATACGTAAAAGCGATGAACACGGTCCAGTATTATTTACCGGAAACTTTTTTCTTTTACAGTACGGAATGCGCAGACAGCGTACAGTACCTTGTACTGTACACTACCCAAGATTTACCAAGAACCTGTACTGTACTGTACTGTACTGTATAGTACTGTACAGTACTGTAAAAGTTTTGTACAGTACAGTACAGTACGGTACAGTACAGTACAGTACGGTACAGTCCGTACTAGTCCATGGTAATTGAGTTCTAATTTACTCTGTAATTAATTAACAGTAAATTAAATTATTATTTTTTTTTAAATAATTGATGACTTGTGCGGTTGCGTGACCAGTTCCTTACCTGAAAATGCGGTACTGTACAATGTACTGTACTGTACATTAGGGCCAGCCGTTATACTGTAACCCCGAATGTCCCCGATTACTCAGATACTCAGCGTAAATAGCTTAAACGATGATACTGTACAGTACATTATTCTAGGAGTACAGTACAGTACTGTACATAGTTGATTACTGTACTGTACTGTACTGTACTGTACTGCACTGCTGCACTACAGTACCGTACTGTACAATACAGTACTGTACTGTACAGTAAACACCTATATCAAAAGGACTATGGTAGCGATTGTAATGGTAGCAGCGATGGTAGTGAAAGAGTAAAGTAAAAATTCGGGTGCAAAATACAGTAATTTTTTTCGAAAGATACATCGATCATTATGATTTATGAACTTCATATGCGTACACTGGATAATAGATCTGAGGACTTGATTTCATGGTGTGCTGTACAGTTTAATAATAACTTCATACCGATTTGTATACATGGATTATACTTATCAAAGAGAAGAACCTCTAGAAATGTATGCATACTAGTACAAGTTGTACCGACAGCCAAACCCGTTGACATTTTTAGTTTCATGACATATGTAACTTGCGGCAATTATTTACAAATAACTATGATTATATTACTGTGTCATATTGTTTACGATATGTTCGCGTCGCTAGTTTACGACAGACTCATTACTAATATTACGCGTATACTATTTTATTATTTTCTCTACAGACGTGGCGTGTCGCACTTCAGTTCTAGTAAACTGCAGTCATTCCCAAATGAAGTCAAGCCTTCTAAACATCTTCAACACCTAGATTCGATCGAGCCTGTAAAGGAAAGAGAATTTTTTGTTAATGATGCAACTGCGTGTAGTGTAACTGGAAGTTTTCGCAGTAGCATCTATTCAGTTGGATGGGGGAGCAATGTAAGTAAAAGATCTTCCTTACCAACATTTTTGTACGATCTTAATAATACTATGGCATTTCATTGCTTTAATAAGCGTGTGTAAAACTACGCTTTGTTTTATCATCTGTTTAGGAATATGAAAAAGACGCTGCTAGTGCCGTACAACAGCTATTCTCTGATTTTGAAAGTTCTTTATATGGAGAAGCAGCTTGTAAAGCAGGTGAGATTATGAATTATCAAGAGTTTAGTCCGAAACAGTGACATTTTCCTACTGGAATTTATTGCTTCCATGCAGCTAAACTTTAAATTCTTGGATACGTATAAGAGAAATTATTTAGTCGTGCTTTGCGAGGTTATAAGATTTTGCAATACTGTACAGCGTACATGCGAATGATTTTCTTGAAGGTAGTTAGTTTAAGTAGAAGAGAGTACTTTTAAAGGCTTAAATGAAAATTACTTATTCAATCGTGGTACAGTATTAAATATTACAGTAGTTGAGAACGTTAATCAGTCCCAATATCTGAATTTTCCTAAAAATTTTAAATTAAAAAAATACCGGAAGCAGACATTGTGAGTGAGGACTCAAGGAATGAATGCAAATCTTGGAAAACAGCATTTCCTCATATTAGGTAAGGAGTGCTTCAAACGTTATCTGCTTCTTGATAATTAATACGTGTAGGCGATAGATTATGGTATCATGTTTTAAATGTATTCGTGGTAGGGTGACAGGAAAACAAATAATGCCGACACTAATAGAAAGTTCAAGTAACAGTAATGTGAACGTTGTGGATAATGGGAAGGAGTTATTAACCGATGATAATTTAAATATAGATGTCGACCTTAATAAAATTAAGCTGCGAGATTTACATGTGCTTGGCCATCATGTCGATTTAGCATCTGGGGATGAGCAAATCAATATAAATTCCGGTGCAGGTAAGAACTTGTAGGAATGCAATATCTGCTGGTATGCTCAAGGTTGGAAATTCTATAAAATTTTACGAATAATAAATGCCTGTTAAAATCTAATCCTTTAATTTTCGAACGATGTTACTTTTTTCATTGAATCATTCAAGAGATATTTGCAAGTGATGGAGAAGTGCAAGAATACCTAGCCTATGATAGCTGGTATAACTACTACTACTACTAATAATAATAATAATAATATTAACAATTATGATTAAGATTTTAAACTATGATCGCTTATCATAGGCATAGTTTTAAATTCATATCTTGATTTTGTAGGGAAACTGATGCGAAAGAGTTACTACGTCGCAGTAGACATGGTATTCCTCCGGTAACGCCAGATGCTTGCGCACAAGATTCTATCATTAGCCATATCATGAATTGTATTTGGAGCGACATAGTAATTTGGTTAAGAGATCTTTTCAGTATACTACATGAACGTAGCAGCGAGAATGGTGGTTGTACACCTGTATCGCGTATCCATAGTTACTCATCTGTGAAAAGTATTGCAAATATTGTTTATAACATAAATGGTTCTATAGCGCTTTCCGCGTTAAATTCTAATTTCTTTCCTAGGGAAATTGGTAGCCACGGAAGGTATTGGGTACGAACCCGCGACACCAATGTTGAAAAGCTACAATCACGCTATGCATCAGGTATTGTTAAATTGCGTAACCTGTGCCTTGGGATAACATAAAAATTAAGATCTTTGAGTTTTTATACTAGGGCCGCCTAAGAACCGGAATTGCGATGTCATTAAGTAATAATTCTGTTTCTACTGATTACGAAACTCTACAAGGAGTGATGACTATACGATCTCTGGCACCTAGACGGCGTGCAACTACTGCATCTGCAGTGTAAGTATTTTGTAACGGTACACACACATTACCGAAATTGTCACCATTGTAATTGCAGTGCAAAATTAACAGAGCTAATAGCTAATCTATGGTATGTTTACTCTATAGAGCTTATGACGCAAGACTACGAACGCCTTTGCTTCAGGTACTCAATGCTTATGCTATACAGTAGCATTAATATCACATTCAATACAGTATTTTTATTTTTTTATGCAGCATCGTCCGGATTCAAGTCAATACAGTAATATATCTAATGGCAAGACCAAAACCGGTGTGGGTTATACACCTGTAACTGTCAGCAGACTAGCATCTGCAAAGCCTCCTAGAAAGTTATCCCCCATTGAACAAGCTAAAACCCCGCCAAATAACAGCAATGTCTTATCTAGTTCGGTATCAATCAGTGGTATTATTCGCGGTAATAAAGTAGGACAATATTATCATAATATAGGATCTGGTAGCCGCCACGTAGCAGTTCTTCCAAACAACTCCATTTCGAGCGTAGCCAATTCCAAAGATACAAACTCTACCGTATCTGCATTTTGGTATTCATTAATTACTTTTACAGTCCAGCAGATGTTATGAGGGTGCTAATTCGGTGGTATAATTACATATTCAGGAACCTGAAGTCAGTCGCTTTACCTCCAATTGAAAAAATTACTGAAAGAAATAATATTCCTACATCTAGTATCAAGCTAAATACAAAGAATTCTGATTTTGGAACTGTAAAATCCGAATCTACTGAAGAATTGAGAAAATCTTTTGTTTCCGGTAAGCATTTAGCCCACGATTCCAGGCCAAGTTCTACCCACAGTACTAAGGTAAATAAAGCATGATTTCTTATATTAGATAACTAAAATATGAGATGTATATTTCTGTATTAGCAATATGGAATACTGTATAGTGTGTAAATACTGTATATGTTCAATAAAATTAATTCAAGAAATGATAATTGTATTATTGCTATTGTTATCAGCCTTTCGGTGAGCTTAAGTCGCCCGGAACTAATAACAAGCGCTTGAGCTTAACACATCAAAAGCCTGTCATAAATGGTAAGGAATCCTAGGTTAAATTGATTTTTCAGAAAATAGTGTACATCACATGTGTTACGCATGTATATCCTATGCAGTATCATATATCTTATTGATCATTTTAAATTTTGCACTAGGAATTATAGGTACCAGTATGGGCATTAACCTGCTCTATCGTTTAGAACGTAAAGAATCAGCTGAAAGTGACGAACATAAATCCGATAATTTGTAGCAAATTCAAATGGATGGAGGACTAGAAGCTTGCGTATTTTAATGTTAAAGTGTCCAACTACCGGATGAATCCATAGGATTAAATAATTACAAGCCAATGTTTCTGATAGTTTTCGTAATGATGCAAGTGAATTTTGTACACTTTGGTGCTAAATTAACATGATGACCTTATTAGCAACCCTTCAAGATGAATCAAACTATTCCTTGTGAAGCAGTTATTGTGAAAATCTGATGAACAGCTGAAGTTATTTTTTGCCATATTATGATTGATCCATTAAAATAGACCAGTTAATCAACTAGAGTATGGGTCATGAAGTTTAATGTATACTATAGTACTATGTTTTTGATCAGAATATGCTTAAAATATTAGCATGCTGCAAAGAACATCAACTTTATATAATTATTATCTAGCCATTCAATGAGTATATTAATGCTTTAGCGATTAAATAATTAATTGTAACTGATCATCTACTTTAAATGGGCATCGAACATGGCTGTAATTGTAAGTTTGTTTTTATAAAATAGTACAGTTGCCTTTATTTATTAACGCATCAATTTTTAAAAATTAATTACAGATAATTTTGTACAGTATTGTGGAAACTATTATAATATAATATTCGGCACCATAAAAAATCCCATGATTTTGTAAATCTTGCGTAGCGCAGGCAGGTTTATGCTGCCATAATTCTTTTCTAGTGTAGTGAAATTTATGATGAATAAAAATAAATTTTGTTTATAATGATTACTTATCATAGGTGTCTAATTTGAAATCATGGACAGGTTAATTTTTTATTAAAGTTTTCTGCTAAATACAAATACGCGTATACTAGATCTGAAGAAACAGTGAACAAATTAGCAATCGATATTGGGGATACTTAACCAATTGTGCCGACCAAACTTGTGCGATTGTGGCGTTGGAATTTAACGAGATGCTATGGTAGCGATTGTAGGAATAGTTTAAATTTTATTATGGATGTATGGACAAAGGAATATATGGTGATTTTGTTTTAAACGAGCATGTTACTTAATATCTCTACTGTACGTTCACCGTAAATATTGTACAGTATAAGGTAGCGATAAGACAAATCATCGTTACGAATGGTATTGATCATCCGTAGTCAAATTACTGCAAATCACTTTGATTATAATTAGTGTCGTCTTAAGTCATCTAACGATAACAACGATGATAATAACGATCGCAATAACAATGAATAGTATTAGACCGCCATAAATATACAATCGATAATTTCGATGACATTCTCTCCGTTGGACGTGATGTGAAATCCGTTGAAACATTAGTGACTGAAAGAAGAGCAACAATTTAAAATGAATTCCTACCTTAAAATGATTTATTATTTATTTAATTTAAATTAAGACAAAATTATTTATTATAATGTAGGTGTACTAAATATTTGTTAATAATAGTTACATCATTAGCAAATTCTAATTTTGGTTCAAATATTTAAAATTGCGCAGTAATTCTTATACTGTTATAGCAAAATATCTTGATACAGTAATGCACTGTATATGTTTACGGCATAACAGATAAAGGAAAATACGAGTGTAGCATGAATCACTTTCTTAGTTTTAATCAGAAATTCAGAGGTAATAAGTTTAAACTGTATTCAGTCATGTAAGGGGCATATTTACTGAGGATTATGTACTTAATGGAGCTGACAACCTATTCATTCATACCGTTTGCACGTACTACACTACAATATAATTTGATACTTACATCCTGCTTTATACCATCTGCTCTAATCAAGAGCGCATCTAGACATTCTCCTCGCTCTAGAACTTTACCTAATTATGCGAATTTTAATAAATAGTTCCATATTAGTATCTACAGCGTAACGCTACCATTCCGAACGAGTCGCCATGCAGCGTGAAGGAAAGCAATTGATGGACAGATTAGCGTACCTACGTTTTCCGTCATAACGTCCTTTACCTCCTCAATTTTATCGAAGACCTCGTCGACATTATCTCCAGCCTCGTTTTTGTAAATTGCATTGTAATGACCCTACATTAAATCCGATAGTAAGTAGTTGGTAAAAAATATGTGTCAATCCTTTTAATTTTAACTGTAAAAATTTTCTTGCTAAATTAAATAATTTATTAATATGAAACACCTAACGCTATCTACTGAGTACAGGATAAAAGACTTCAATTAGTGTCATACTGTTATACTGTCTAAAATATGTCCAAACATATGTTTCATTCCATTTGGGCCTGCAGATAGTGCGCGTCTCCTAAAATGTTCAGGCTGAAATCTATTTCGAATCTATAAACAGAACACAGTAAACTGTTAAAGTATGAATATGAGCAAACGATATGCCGCTAACAGTACATTATCTACGTTAACATTAAGAAGTACGAATAGAAAAATCTGATGAATACCATTAACATGATACCGTTTTAATCAACTTTAAAAGATTTCCTCAATAAAGGTACAATAATTGCGGATTAGTTACCTCGTTTAGGAAATTATACGCAATACTTTGTGAAAGCATTTCAATGGCCAGGCATAGATATGTGAATTCATCATGAACCAAAACATGGAATGCCGTACTGTAAGTCAGGATAAAAAATTAAGATGATTCCATAAGCTGAAGTGTCTGGGCATATATGATTTGGAGACAAGAAATTGATATTTGACCGCCAGTAGCCGCTTTGTCGTAATGAATACTGTATTATGAATTTAAAATTCAGCAAGTGTAATCGACAATCATAAGAAGAAAACATTGACTAAAAAATTTGAGGATTTTACTTTCACCTATCAGCTTCAGCATTATAGCTATACTTTCCATTTTCCTTAGGAATATTTTTCAGAATACTCAAGATTACAGATTCAAAATCCCTACTTAGCCGCTTCTCTTCATTCTTATGACTTACAAGAATCGTGGAGCCTCTTGCAACAGAACTATACAGAATCGACATCATAAAGAAGACATTTATTATCTTATCGAAGTAAAATTGGCTGCAATGTATGGGTAATCCATTGAAATAGTCTGATTTAGTGATTGATACCAGATGATTTGATTATATTTATAACGGTAAGATAAACATATGGAGCCAGTCGCAATATGATGGTTGCTTAACCATTATTAGAATTTCATAGCTTATTTAAATATTTATTAAATTTCGGTATTTGAATACATGAGGTTATCTGGATTGTTATGATGACGTAATGGCAATGCTGATTGGCGGATTTCTGATACATTCTAGAGTTGTCATTCTATAGTGAATCGATTATACAGATCTGTAGCTAACGGCTTAAATTGAGGAAATTCAATTTTTAAAGGCTAGAATAGCTACTTTTCTTAGCTACAAGATAAAGCTGGCTTGAAACAACTTAGAAGATGTTTTAACTAATAAACTCTATATGATACGAAATGCCATTTATTGGTGACTGTAGTGATGTCAACTATCAGAATAAAAATGAACGGACAGTCAATCGTCAATAGGTAATGGCCGCTGTCATTACAATGTGAACGGTAATAAGATGTCAATACAGCCGTTTTAAAGAAAAGAACTGTTGAAAAGTGATAATGAGCACTATAAACTTTATAGTACTGTATTATGCGCGTAAAATAAAAATAAAAAATGGAGACCTATGACATGCGATTGACCGTTGATAGTAACTAGACTGCTAAATATGAGTTACTGATCCATTGATGGAGGCGTATTTCCTGCATTTATGTTATTAATAGTATTACTATACTACAGTAACAATGTGCGTGAAAATTTTATAGTCCATGCTTCTTCGTCAACCTGTCAGTAACTTAAATTCTTCCAAATTTTTACAGAACAGGTTGAGATAAAATTAGATAAATACGCTGTACATAATAACATGATTCTGTACGTAGACATAGACCAGTGTGGAACGGGAATGAATGAAATTAAATAAATTTGGATATATTATACGGGCAGATTAAAATTAGAATTTAGAATTTAATTAACTTTTTATTGTTTCAAGGAAGTGCACTAATATTGAAAGTACGAAATAATTAAGCATACACTGTATTACTGTACAGCAACTTATGAAGCAACTGCATATTGTGGGCTTTTTTGAGGGGAAAATCTTAGTTCAGCAGTTTTTTCACTATAAGGGAAAATTCTTAGTTACTAGCTTTTTTGGAGGGGAAATCTTAGTTGAATTGTCCATGCCTTTATCAGTATAAGGGAGAAATTTTTAGTTACCGGGCTTTTCGACCTAGGAAATCTTATTTGAGTAGTCCCAGGTAGTAGTAATTAATAATACTGTGTGTGTAGTGTACATTTATCTCAGTCTTTATCGCTGTGATAACCATCCAGTCTATGTCAGAAATCTATGAATTCTAGTATAAATTGTGGTATTATCCATTTATCTAGCATCAATATAACAGAATTCAGTTTGATTCAGATTTCAAGAAGAGCAGAAGAGAAGCAAAACTAGATTTTTAACGTTTTGGAACGTTACTGTCAATTGTAGTTACACACGGAATGATACTGCAAAGTTTTAACACGATCCGTAAGTTTGTTAAGATCATCAGCTTTTTTATTTTCTTAATCGTTAAGAAATAAATGCAAAAAGGGGTGAATATGTCAAAGTTTGGCAAACAATGACATGATTAATTACTTATCCGGACCTGATATAAGCCCTGCATTCATTACTAATATTAGATCTAAGATATAGAACTTAGCTTTGTTCTTAACATTTAAGAATTAACACGTTTCTCATAATAGCTGACTCAATTTAGTAAGCGATAATAGTTGATTATTCTCAGTAATGTCTGCAATGATCTAAATCTTCTATATTGGTAATGTTACATCACTTGACAAAAGAAAGTGCCAAGAAGTCCTACTCATAAAAAGTAAGGAGTGGTTATTCGGGCCGGGATTATTCGGCTTTCATCTGGAACCGCCCTAAACAATTTAGGTTGATAAGACGTAGCGTCGCTAAAAGTCAATATGGAAGCAATATTTCCGCATCTGTAGCAATAATTTGGAGCCGACCAGACTGTAACGAGTTTGTCGTCAAACATAAATTTGTAGCCTTCATGAACCAGTTGATGAGCGCGGCAAATGAGAGTTAGATTATTGAGATGGATGAACTAAGAAATACATAGACGCAAAAAATGTCAGCTAAGCAAAGCGTCTAAATCGATAAAATAACATACAGTAGTTACAAAAGCAAAGAATTTGAATTTACAATACATTTATAAGTATATATTCTACTAGATATTCCAAGCATCTAGTTGGAATAGTTTTGTAGTTTAAAATATTTAACAGTCAATCTCTATGACTTCAGACATACCTCATTAGTAACCTTGGCTCCGAAAAGCCATCCAGCGCCTCGAGGACTTACAGCCCAGGTATCAACTTCTTCAGGATCTGACCATACTAAATTTGCATAGAGTTAAGGAGGTCTGTAGAATATGGCATCAATGTAACAAAAGACTGAATTTCAGCTATACATAAGAGAGTTTTTAGAGTTCTGTCTTACTGTAGTACATCTCACACAAAAAGTTATTTAAAAGGATATCACAAAATGCTCCGCTGTGTGGTATTTCCATATTCCTGTCGATAGTTCTAATCTATAAGTTCAATAACTTTGTCAACTATATACTGTAAAACGCCACTGGTTATTGTTACTAAGGAACGCATCTTACTTGATCTAGAGTTTTAATGTCAGGGGATAATCCGCCATGAACACATAGAATTTGTTCATCGATTATCTAAGGAAAGTTTGGAAATATTATAGCTGATTGCAACTTCATTAATAATAGCAAATCGTGATGTCGCTCGTTTACTACGGTAACACTCTAATGTCGTTTATGTTATCTAGCCTTACCGCTGCAATTGTTAGCAAATCAAATACTCTAGTGCAATAACGCCAAGCGTTAACGTTTCCATACTTATTCTGGCATTCGTCTGCAACAGATTAGAAACTATAAGTGAGCAAGCTGTGCACTGGTAATCCTTAAAACTAGCTTTTTTACCATAGAATCCATACACTTGAGTTATTTGTCTACTTTCATGATTTCCGCGTAGAAGGGTAATCTTGTCCGGCCATCTTACGTAATTAATGTAAGTAATAAAAAAGACCAAGACAAAGATTAGATGACATTAGTTTATCATTTGCTCTTATTTCAATACTTTACGCTTATTACATTTTACATTAATTAGCAAGCATACACAAATGCTATAACATAATTTTAATTTTACTTCGCCTTCAGGGCCAAAAGTCGTGTAAACGTTTCCAGACTGTAGTATCCGCGATCTACAAAGTCGCCCTAAATTGTTTATTCGAATATTAAATAATCCGTAGCGGTAAGTTATAATCTGGTACTTGGAAAATTTTCTACATTTTAATAAATCGTTTAGACCAAAATAGTTTGTAATTCGTGTCAATCTTGCTGCAATTTTTGTAATTATAAATCACATGAGATAGTCTTTCTGAAAGTTACCATAAATATATAGCTTGTCTCTGGAATCTGACCTCCAGTTCGAAAAAGTTCTTCTAGATCGTAAAACTAATGGGAACAGTATTACAACAAATTTGAAGTAACTTGATAAACAACGAATGCGATATATACTTTTACACGAGCTTGAGAAATTACAGTTATCTACCTGTCCATGAATGTCACCACAAACTGTTACTGGTGTAGAAACAGGTTGCACATTTGACTCTTCCAATAACAGATCGCATACTAAATCGCACAATTTCTAAATCGACAATATAATTAATTCATTAATGAATAAGTAGACTTTACCGCATGTCATTTGACACCAGTGTATGCTATGGTGAATCAATACTTGAATGCTGCAGATAAAATCATATGCTACTAAGTATTCATGACAAAAATTCTTACAATTAGCAAATAAATAAGATAACAGTCTATTTCACTTCAGGTGACAATAATTAGTTAACCCGAACAAACTTAAAAGTACTGTACGTGTACACTGTATACTGTACAGTATGTCAGTGAGAGCATCAGCCGTTTAGAAGTTACCGATAAAGTTGCTAATGATAAGATATAAGTAAAAGTTCACTCACAAGTCATAACTGTAGTGATTCAATGATATTTGCGTGATCTGAGGATTTAGGACGTATTATACTCGTACTGCTTTTATTATTAAGGTGAGGCAACGCAATTTAAAAAAAAAAAATAAATGTACAGTACAGTACCGGGTATCATACAGTGTCCATAGTCTGTGACTGTACAGTACAGTACCTTTGTTACTAGCGTTTATTACAGTACGTGTAAATTATCGAAAATATTCCAACAAATTTTAATAAAGCAATAAAAGCTATGGGATCAAGTTGATCTAGATTATGATTGTACTGTAATTAATCAGTGATTTATTACCTTCAAATCATTTTCCGGGAGATATTTACAATCCCGCGAGATCTCGATCCATTTATCTATTTCTGTAGCCATCTTTTCGTACAGCTTTTCTAATGCAAAACCGGTACTGCACTGACTGCAGTCACTGCATACTGTACTGTACAGTACAGTACACTTACGGATTTCTAACAATTATTTATTTATCGTACAGTACAGTACAGTCAGCAGAGGATGATTTACGGTACTGTACACTGTACTGTACAGTACCGTACAGTAATGCAAGGTCAGCAAAATGTTAACTCAATTGTACTGTACAGTACTTTAGTGAAAGCTCTTTTAACGGGTCAACTCACAGTACAAAGTACTGTACTCTATCGACGCCAACATTTAATTGTTTAGCCATAGCGGTAAAAGAAACCCTCTTTACCTCTATGGTTTTAGCTAATACAGTACTGTACTATACTGTCAGGGACTTCTCGATGAAAATCAAAAAAAAATAAAATCAAAATATTGATTTTTATCGAGAACTCCCTTAATTTGTTTCTCTTACTTTCTTAGTACAGTATTTACTATGTACAGTAGTTTGTGTTATGTTTATAGATCTTCAAAACGGTTTAAAACTAACCTTATTTAGCTTTCTAGTGAGTTTCCGATGGGCTTACGATAATGATATGTTCATTGATAGAGACTCGCAAAACGTGAGTCGGTGAGTGCATTTTGTGAAATTGTATCAAAGAAGGATGTGTTTGTGTGAATGTACCTAATATTTTACTGATAGTTAATAGTACTGTATCTTAGTTGAAGTGAAAAGTCCTTGGATAAGAGAGCGTTCTTTTTATTTTAGGGGCAAAATTAGCGAATTTTTTTTTGAGAGGGGGGGGGGGGGGGGAGGGAGGAGGGGAGAAAGTAGGAGTACAGTAGTAACAGCACTTAATATGTAGTGCTGTACCGTAGATTTGTACAGCATACAGTACACGGTATAAAGTTATTGAACCTCTGACAGGTCTATCAAATGGTAATACTATCTGTTAAATGAGCACATTATCGTAAACCGTCAGCAAAGCGACGGGAGTTTGCACTAGTGTTATTTATTTACGGTAGCTTTGTACCACAGTAAGAATAAACGACAAGTTTACGTCCTCTACATTTTTGGGGCTTCTATTAGCAACCTTCGTCATCTCTCCACGGAATATGTATCTAGATTTCTTTTACGCTGGCGAAGCTCTCTCTGTCGTGAGAATAAAGAAACTTGCAACCTATCATGTGTGGACAAAAGAAAAACCATAATGTCTAGATCACTCGAGCAATTATACTGTATCTTCGATAATTTCAATTTTGCACAGACTAAATTTTATTTTTTAATTACTTATAAACAAGATATACAGCTGGTGAAGCTATGGCATAGCTTCAAGAATATGGATGCAGTCCTAAACTAATAATACGTCCAAGAAATTATACGAGGTACACCTGGTCGAAAAATTAGTTTCACGTAACAGCGTATTTTGTGTATGAAATATGATAATTCTTAAGAAGGTCTTCAGTTATGATGAGTAGTAAGAATCGATAGAAATACAATTTTAGATTTTTCGATTATTCCGAATTTTAAGTAGAGCGAAGATAAATATAGTATGTACGTATATACATATAATTGTGTAAAAGAAAAGGCTTTTACTTAATATTCTGGCCAATATTTACGAAAGCTGATGATAAGCATTATAAATTTATTAAAAAAACGAAATAAAGAGCTACAGCAAGATGCGAATTTCTAAAAAGACTGAGCTATCAATGCAGATTTTAGATTACACTGTACATCGTGGTGTAGAAGAGTTTCATGCTATCACATTTAGGGGTAGACACATTTTCAATTTAAAGTAAGGTTATGCAACCTGTTATGTAAACTTTGAAATTAACTATAAAGAATCAATTGTGAAATTGAGCCTTGAAGAAAGACTCACTCACATATAAACTACAGCAACTAAGTGTCTTCATGCCATCATACATATTTAAATATTTGCATTTTCATATGTACTGTATTCTTTTGACTAAATCTTAGGGAGTTTCGGGGCCGTAACTGTAGGATTCCTTTCTTCAAGAATTTTTCGTCCGTCAGATTTGTAATCAAAGGAGCAATTATGAACTTCTGCGTAACGATGACGCGAACAGAAGACACGACCACATCTAAATATTATATGTATTCAAAAGTAATATTAATCAAATATCTTCACTATCTATAAATAAATGGGATAGATATAATTCTTTTAAGAACTACCTGCAATCAAACGTATTAGATAATCCTAATTTCTTGTTACAAATCGAACATTTTGCCACATTCTTGTTCTGAATCATTGTTTATTAAGTTGATTAGAAGTCAAGAATGGGATCCAAAGTCCAAACAGTCGAAGAAAGCAATTTTACTAACATTGTCATGGGCACGAATATTGTACTGAGAATAATGAAAGGCATACGTACATTAAGAGTGACATCAGGTAGTCTTCTAATGTGTTCGAACTTTTCTATACTATTTCGTGGGTTAGGCAGCTCCGATGATTTGAAGGAATAATGGAAGGGTTTAGACTAGAAATTAAATTAAGTAATACAGTATTACTGGTACCGTCTACGAAATAAAATGTAACAAATGTTCATGGAAAGGTATTGCAGAATTAACTTGGATATCAAGAGAAGAACCTGTAGTCTTACCGAAATTACATTAGCTGTTAGCACTTTGCTATCAATTGCTCTATCGATATGACTGCTGCCACTGATTGATTGAGGTTTAGCATAAGATTCACGTAATATTTGGGTTCGATTTTTCTCATTCTTTTCCTGGGATTCTAAAAATTCATTATTATACTAATCTTCAGTGAGATCGCTTGTCTACTGCATGATCACATTCTGAATGCACTTTCACTTAATATATAGGAATCTTTTTTGTCATTTAGACATCGGTACCTTGTAATCCGATATCTTTGAGACCCCGAACAGTTTGAAGAATGACTTGATTTTCCCTAGCTATGCAGCGAGATTCCATTTTATTAGTTTTCCTATCCTTTTCCGTCCTTAGAACTGGTGGCAAGCTGGTAAATTTCGTTTGCTTGGTAAGAGAAAGCTCGTTTGAAAACGATCTAAAAGTAATTTATAAGTGATCACATAATTATTTTTGCTTTCACTCTAGAGTAGACCAGCATAATATTTCTTTAACATTCGTTAGACAAAAATTATCTCAATCCATTCACGAGTAACTGACTAAGACAAATACAATTTACTATTTTACTCGTATTTAATTGCGCAGAAAGCTGAGGTAAGGCTATTCATTAATAAGGACTTCTATTGCATATTCACATATGCTCAAATATATCACGTACAATGTTAATAGCAACTTACTTTCTATCATTATCAGCTACTTCATGTGAGACTTGGTGTTGTGTAGAAGTTATGTTATTACGATTTATTCGTGACGATAATTTTTCTTTTAATGCCTGCATCTTTTTCATAGTTTTTTCATTTTCGCTAACAGAATCCTAAGATATTTTCAGCAAAGCAGTTATTGACATTTATTGGTAACTTTCAAAATTCTTTTAATCAGTTTACCGTTACTGGAACGCTACCATGCTTGTTGCCAAGACCCTGGCCATGCGCCGATTTTTTGCTAAGAAAATTTAAAAACAGATGAATTGAACCAAACCTTCAACAGTGTTAATTTATATGAATACTAATGTCAGCAAATAACTAAATAAGTCATTATAACGGCCTTTTCGCCAAATCATTGGAGGCATCAACATACCTAAAAGTTTCATTGCTACTTGATTCATCACGAAATAATCGATATAGATTAAGCCTGTTGCCGTCTCTATTTCATTAGTAAAAGGTACGCCTTAGATATCATTCACGGTCGTATTGAGTACTGTCTCAGTATATTTATTACATTTTTAACTGTAATTAACAATATTATTACACACCTGAAAACTAAATATGTAACAGGCTTATCGGTTAAAGGTAACTTTTTTAATAGTGCGTCCTTACTATTAATATAATATAAAAGGTACCCAATGGTTAGTAATAGTCTGTGAAAACATAAAGACATAACTGATGATAATTGCTTTTCAGGGTAGTAAATATTTACTTATTCAGATCGATATATTCAGAAACTTCGGAAGAGCATTCCTCATGTGGCACTTAAAGTAATCAATTAAATTTAATTTACTTAAATTTAGTTCAATTCAATTGAATTGTTCACATAGTTACTGTTGAAATTTATGCACTGTATTTAATGCTAACGCTACGCCAATTTCCAATACAAAATGGCTATTCCTTATCCCTAAAGGTATGTGCTTAGTATATTTGTACCTCTTTTCGTATTAATTGGCCCACATCGCATAGATAATACTAACTGTAATGTACTCCCGTTGGTAATCCTAAATTGCATATACAGTAGCAATGAAAAGTATCTATTATATATTATATACATATATTTACAATATTTAAATTATTAGCATCCGCTCATATAATTATGAGTAGTCTTCAGTTACAACATACAAGCTGAACTTAGATATTGCAAGAATATTGTATAATATACTATAGTAATATAATGGTGTGATGCTGCTTATTCAAACCGAGTTTTTTAACAATCAAGTTCGAACCTGTAGTCTATCAAACAATAGTCATCTTCAAGCTCAATGGATTTCCATAACAGGTGCTGCTGTGATATAGGAATACCTAAAGTCGATCGTAAAGGGTATGAAATTCGCAATTAAATAGTTATCGAATCATTAAAAGGGACTCTATCATGATACAAACTAGTGTGCTATAAAATAAAATGCAGAGTACAGCACGGTATTTACTTAGTACTTAGGTACAGTGCATTTTTATACTTTATAATTTACATACAGTAGAGTAATAATATGTGCTGCCGATTCTATGACAGTGTATACCGCTTTAAAGTCTCTGCATCCTCATGAATACAGTATTGTATTATACTGTAGTGTATAGCTCTCATAAAATGTTACGACAGTTATTTTTCTCCAGTAAAACAGTGCATGTATAGTATTTAGGTAGCCCAACTACGGTAATTACTGCAGTCCAAGTACGCAACGTAGTTCTGATAATATTCGGATAACCATAATTATTACAATCATAATTTACGTAAAATCCTCTAATTGTAATAACTAAATTAGTAGTTCAGAGCACAGTAGATTACAGAGTTCTGTAATACTCTCTTACAGCGGCATAAAGGTGAGGTACAAGAAAAATCTTAATTTCTCCATCAGAAGTGTATCACGAGCGACTGCTGGAGTAGGTTCGGTTGGCAGTACTGTAATAGTTGTTGACTAGCGTAATAGAATATTTTAAAACGCTCACTCTTCCCAAGTCCTTCGGGTATCAAACTGTATACGAACTAGAAACTACTACGGTATACACTAACATCATGAACACTCTAATTTAACGCATCTTGTTTAGTCAAGTGTGTATTTTTAATGTGAGTGTAAAAGAAACCGCTCTGAAGATTTGATTCCCGATGCCTATTCTGTAAGTTTAACCATGATTTAGTCCACGTCAAAAATCAAAGGCTACCTCGTGATTACTGTAACGTCCATTTTTGAATAATAGCAATTACTATCTGAAAATAAATATCCCCTTGCAAACAAATTAGTTACTACAATATAACCTGCAGTAAAGCTTATATTTGTCAGTACGTTACCCATCATAATATAGTATGCAGTACCTACCATATGAGGATCAACTAAGACGCAACTATTATAATTACACATATTTTTGCGAGTGTTAATGTTTCATCAAAATCTATGCAGGTATTAGACATAAGATTATCAACACAGGTTAATAACCGAAAAGCTCATATAGTTCTCACCTTCAAATTTCTGAATTTTAGCTTTGACATCTATAATAGTTTCATACGGGCTGACCCGTAATTCAAATGCAATTCCAGTTAACGTTTCTACGTATAATTCCATAGCTCGTTTCCGCAACCATCCACGTTCGACCAAGGCACAAAGTAATCTGTGGCACTGACCGCATCAACTGCGATACAGTACTGTATACGAGTATATACAGTAGACGACGTAGAGGTATAACATATACAATATGTAGTAATTCAGTCTACTGGATAGTTTTATTCAGATCATCATAGTACAGTATACAAGTATACGCATTTGCAACTAAATCTGCTGAAGTTTCACTAGCATCATTATCATAGCACATGCACAGTACGAATAACTAACTGTTACAGTCCAATTAACTGACTTGGTGTTCAATTAAAATCATTAACATCATGAATTCATGACGTTTTATCAGATGAACTATGCGGGTACGTATACTACTGTCAAACAGCAATTATAAAGGACATCTCCCTCCATTCGAGAGACGGCAAAATGTATATCGTGATGAAACCATATTTTAGCACCTTTACAGCAATCTTATTAAATCATTATGTGCCATGACGTTTTATAGATAACTAACTGATTTTATGAATAGAGTAGCGCTATTTGTTTTAAAAGTACAATTTGGTAGACTTACCGCGCCGTCAAGCCAAACGGCCACACAACTTGCTTTTAAAATCGTCAGCCTTCCTAATTTAATGACCGGTAAACACACCACTGAATTACAGCGGTTTATTGTGACGCTTCAGTACTTTAATATTGCACATCAGACTAGATTATGCATAAAAATTTTCACAATATTGTACGTGTTCTTCTGCTTTGCGATGAACATTCAATGAATTTATTCAGAGTATGGGCCCACTAAAGGAAATGTTTCGTGAAAATATTATTACTAACAAATGCAATGACGATATTAGTGGTTCACTGACAGACGAGTGACTGGGCAGTATGTGGTACAAAACTTTATTGTTTGTGGATACTGTACTGTACAGTACTGTACAGTACAGTAGTTTATGGTCTGCGTATTTTTAGAACTACAGTACTGTACAGTACAGTATACTGTACGTACAGTGTACTGTACAGTGTACAGTACAGTATTCAAAGTTTTGACACGACCGTAACTGTACTGTACTGTACTTACTGTAGACCCGAGAAAGGTTCGGTTGTATAGTACTGTACAGTACAGTACATTTATTTATTTACAGTACTGTACAGTACAGTATTTATTTCTATGGAGAAACGAGTGCTCTCCTACTGTACAGTACAGTACAGTACAGTATAGTAAGTATACTGTACAGTACAGTACTGTACTGTGAATCAGTAGTCACTGTACTGTACTGTACAAAGTGTACATTATACAGTACATTATACTGTACATTTACAATAGAGATGCTATGTAGTCATGGCAATCATTTCAGAAAATCATCGGACGCTAGTCGGGCGGACAGGCCTTTTTTCTTTTGCATTCTTTTACCGGAGACCTCTAAAGAGGACAATTTAAAGAATTGGTCAGTTTTGAATGACTAAAAGAAATTGTGATGCTTACATACTATAATTTTCAAAATGAAATGATAATGTACAGTACTGTACAGTACAGTAATTCTATTTAGTCTTAAATCCTTTAGCGTATTTAAGCCATACCTTAACATTTATAGTAAGTAGGCTTTTTAAAAAAAGGAAGAAAAAGCCCCTGGAGAGGATTGAACTCTCGACCCCTGGTTTACAAGACCAGTGCTCTAACCACTGAGCTACAGAGGCCAACCTAAAGTATTAGGCTAATATTTCATATATAAAACGTGTGCAATCATGCTGCAGGTAGATCATAGATTGATTGATACAGAACGTTAACAGACATACAGTACCGTACTGTACAGTGTACAGTGTATAGTACAGCGTACTGTACTGTACAGTACAGTATAAAAGGAAAAAAGAGTTGTACAGTACTGTACAGTACAGTACCGTACAGGATATCCTGCTGTACAGTGTACAGTGTACAGTATACAGCATCAGTCCATCGTAAGTACTGTACTGTACATTGGTAACCTATTAACTTAAAGTACAGTACAGTATATCGTCTGTCACTTGCTTTTCACTTTTTCTTCCCCTCTCTTAACATCTTCAATTTACTGTTAGTGCACTGTAATTGGGAAAGTTAATTTAACGCTCTGGAGTAACGTATCGGAATTCAATGGAGAAAATTGAGGAACTATTTAGTTTATCGTTAGTACACATAATGTACTTACTGATTGTAGTCGAACTAGTATAATTTGTTAGCTATTACAGTACTCGTATTTTTCATTTTCACACAATGCTGTACAATGTTGATATTCTACATACGGTACTTGTTAATTCTTAATTCTAATGCTACAATTACGACATTCGAATAAAGTGAAGAAGACAGAGATAGCGATGTCGATTTTGAGAAGGTTAGCTGTACTCTGGGCTTGTAATGTAGTATGAGTCTTATTTTCCGTATTGTATGGGAAAGTTACCTATAGAATAAATCACTACGGGATAAATGTACCGTTGTGGTACCGCAGTAATTTTAAAAAGCAGATAAATGTTACTATCGTTACACGAATGCATAACCGGTACTGTAATATATAATATGTATAGGACATATCCGTACAGTAACAAGTTTCTAAAATCTTAATAGCGTTTTGTAAATTGATGCTCTTGTTACATAAACTTTTTTAGGTCAAGCTTTCCAGCTGTGAAGATGATGTTTGTAAGCATAAAATATGATAGGGGTAATACTCAGCACTTCATGCATATGCACGCGTACGTGCTAAGGTTTTTCCTGCACTTGTCCTCTATTAATTGTAGTGGAAGAACAGCTATTCGGCAATATCGATTCTGATACGTAAGTACCGTATTTAGGGAGTAATCGTTATTGGGGTAGTGTAAGTTAGCAATATTGTAGTTACTATTACCTTACTGTACTATCATTAACTTTGAATACAGTAATATGTAATAATAGTACTGTACTATATCCGTGTTACTTACTTCCATTTGTAGAGCCAGCTCAGAAGACGATTCCAAGGTTTTTATGAGGATGATACTCAATAGGATGAAATATACGTAGATATGCTCTATTTCGTGATTGGCGTGGTGGCTCGTTTGCACTACATCTATGGGTTATTGTATATCTAAAATGAAAGCTAAACATTTTATTCTATCTTATTTTATTTTGTTGGATCATATACGTTTGGTGGCCTGATGCGCGTACAAGAATGAGATACAAAGTAATTGTTATGTAAATATTAATATGCCGGAAAACCAAACGCGCCTGGGATCTGATCTGTTCATCATTAGACTTCCAAACTTTTTAAGTGTTGAACCTAAGTAAGATATTAGGCAGTACGTCAGCGTAACTGTGAAACCTTTCGAAGTTTATAGCTATGTTATGACTTCCGTAGAATAGTAAATGCTATGAGTTTAACCAATACTCTTGAATGTAGACCATTCAATTCTATCAATTACGAAGATGAATTCAGTGATGATGAAGTGCTTGATGAAGAAGGCCGCGCTCGTTTGAAATTACGGGTACTCTTAGTATTTACGGCTTGCATGAGCCTAATCAGGCAGTATTTTGAATCACTACAGCATCTTTACTCACAAGTGTGTGACAGCATTGTGGGCAATATGCTTTTTATCATGTACGGATAATCCTTCCGTGCTAAAACTTGTACTTAATGAGTCTACGAAAACCTTGTTATCGATGTCATCAATCACTATTAGTACGTAAATTACTATCAAATACAGTTGCGTAACGAATGATATTTTAACACTTAGATGGAAAATACTATCAGGTGGAGAAAATTAAATAAAGGTGATTTATTTGAGGAAGAGAGCAATGCGAAAATAGTAGAATGGTCTGATGGAAGGTATGGTTTATATGTCACTGCTGCTGTAAGGACTCTACATTTATGCAGCGCAGTGTTGTTGTAGTATGGCAAAAAAAGCAAATTGTGTGATTTGTTTTACATATCATCGCAATTTCCCCTCAAATATTGTGATGTCCATTTCAGTATGACGCTGCATTTGGGTTCAGAGATCTTTGACATTTTTCGATCGGATATCGATAACTGCAATCAGCATCTATTCACAAGAGAATGTAAGAAAATCGGTTATGGTTAGAAATTAATAAATTTTCTTGGATATGATACTACAGTATAATGTGCTATTCTCTTTACGAATAGTGAATGGATTACAAGGAAAAGTAGTACTGAAATCTAGGATATCTATAAGGTGAGTTCTGCAAGCTTTTAAATATACAATTCTACTGCACAACATTTGATATACTGCGCGTGTATGACGTTAGAATTATTATTTTTACTTTATAGGCCACATTCAACTGAGAGTCAAACTCATCGTAAAATGACTTTGTCTATTGCTGATAAATGTTCGAAAGCTCAAGTATGAACTACTCCTATTATAATCAAGTTTAATAGTCTTTTATTAACTCGGTGTTACGTTAATTAAAGAAAATTTGCATTCTCCCCGCTATTGAAAAAAATCCTGAATATCGCAGACATGAAATGATTAAGGTTAAATGTCATATTACAGCAACAGACTTCACTTTTGGCAAAAATTTATTAATGTTTTTAATTCAGAAAGAAGAAGAAAAGCTGAGAGCCTCTATAAGGCGAGAGAATCAGCAACGAAGAATTCGCGAACGTAGCCACACTAATTTAACTCCAAATTATCTAGAAATGATCAAGCAAAATGTAATTAAATCCGCCCTACAATTTTAATGATGTTAGTGAATAGATGCTATTGAATATATGTTTCTTCTCTTAAATTTCAGCAATATGTGGAACCCGGCTTTAATGGTAATTAGGCTTTAAAGCAGTAGTATACTAGCAGATTTTACGTGTAATAATTGCTAGAGTTTATGCCCATTTTAGATAGTGTAGACGATTTTGAAGTTAGTGAAGAGGAAACTAATGTGCTTTCTTCAAGGAGTGTAAGGAAATCGGTAAGTTATACTGGAAAGCATTTAAATGTATCATATCGTGGTCAATATTTGTAGATTTTCTAGTAGAGATAGCATTTGGACTAAAATATCTTTATAGGCTAGTTCGGAATCGGATGATGAATTTACTAAGAGGAAACAAGTTGAGACGGAACTGGGTTAGTTAGCTCAGTGAATAAAAATAAAAGTTTACTATTTGTAATGCTGTAATTGACAATTAATACTTGGATATATTTTAGTGAACAACAAGAAGCGCCGAATTCTCAGTCAAGCGGTAGTTCCTAGCGACGATGACGACAGCACTTAAACATTTTTTGTTATCATTAGAGTTGTGTATTTAAATTGGAAGAATACCACGCTACAATTTTACATACTATAATCAGAGTTGTAAAATTCCAATCAGTGAGATCTTTTGCTTTGGTTCATTAAAAATTAGATATTGAAACTTACCGCGTATGTAATACACTAAAACGTTGCCTTTGATTTAAGTCAGCCGCCTGATAGTATAATGGGAGATTTGTATGATAATTATGTCTTCGTACTTGCGTAATAGGAAAATCTTTTGTACAACTACTTAAGTATTAAGGATATTGTCAGCTTTGTATAGCAAGCCACGTTGTAACTTTGCTCTCATGAAGCTTAGCTTGCGTCGTTCGTTAAACACTGACATTGTGAAATTCTGAGCTTCTAGACGGATACTGTAACAATTTAAGTGTAATTTTATATAGAGGGGATATATTGGAATAGGTGGTATTTAACCACGTTTACAATTGATCTCTAAAGGGCCTTAACATTAAGACTGTTCTTTAGCTTTCATTAGCGATATTGTATTAATCCCCGTTTTTAAAGTAATGTACATAAAGAATTAATGCTTGGAATCTTTTCAATGAATGCCTTGTTTCCGATTTACTGAGATATGTATGCTTGATAGTAACTGTTTGAATAAACGAATAAAGTAGAAATAGCGGTAGATTTGTATATATACCTGTACACTCGATCATAAGTGGGCTATACACAATTATAGTTTATTGTATGTATTCTAAGTGTTACCTACAATTTTGACACTGAAATTAGATCATGAAATCCGAGTAGAAGGGGAATATACCTGTGTTTGTCCTCACTTAATTGAACGGTAATTCTAACACCGGGTAATGCTAGTTTCAAGGCAGCAAAATGAATTTTTTATTTGTGCATAACTATACCTGTTTGAAACGATTATATCGAACTTTTAGCAATATATATATAACTATTTCTTATCGCACGCTAATACTAATACTATCGGAATTACCGTTTTCCTTAAAGAGATTCGAAGAATTTAGTGTTAGTAGTTATCAATTTTTAAGATTAACCTTCCAATTCTAATTTTTACTATTAATCCTATGTGTTGTATTTCCTGTAATATGATAGACTCGACAAAGCTATAACTTATCATAAGTGATAGAAATCTACAGTACGAAATACGTTACGGATGTCTTAGATCCAACCAACATATACGAGCGCGTATATATAGGAACCATCTGTCTTGTAATAGATTAATGCTGTACCTACTCTTTAAAATATTATGCTCTACATGCGAAGAATCATAAAGAAAGAATTAGCAGTAGTCTGTATTACACCATTATTCATAATTAAAAATTAATCATATAGCCGATTACGTAATTATGTATGTACGAGTATACTGTACGCGTACATGCCAGATCAATAGAGATCTAAATTTTTCGACGTTCACGTATATATATATGTATATACATATACATGCCTTTATACTGTATTTGCATACTTCATATTTGCAACTACTGGGTATGCGTGCATTTTGTGCCTAATTGCAAGTTCTGGTCATACGCGTATTTATCAAGGACATGACATTACCAAAAAGTTTATTTTCAAGCTTTAACGGATTACTCATTAGCTAAACTTGGAGCGATTCCATTACTGGTATGATACAAGACTATTATCGTCAAACTAGTACCATGATTAACTTCCAATAGTAACCATAATTATATATATAATTAGACATTTATCATGTCTAACAATGGCTAACCCATAATTATGCTACACACTACCTTATCAATTTTAACTTACATTAGTTGTATATCCGATTTAATTCATTATATTATAAACAAGACGTTATATACGAATGATTACATTCTACGATTAGAAATATTAGGTTCGCATGAGGTTGCGTTAAATAATTATCCAATTACTTAACTCAGAGCAGAGAAGCTAACTTGGACAAATACAGTAAAACTAGAAAAATTAAAGAGCTAGAAGGTCTATTGAAGTCGGCTTCTTATCGTTACTAAGCCAGTAATCCTATATTATAATATATATAGACCTATGGTAAAAAGTTCTTAACGTTCGTTCGTGTACTGAAATCTTACCAAAATAGTAACTTATGTAACCCTTGATTTTATACAAAGCACTACTATAAACGTAAGCTTAAAGGGCATGAATAAACAGTAATACATATTCGAAATTAGTAGAAATGTACCATGGAATTTAGTATAAGGAATTTAGAGATAATATAACGTGAATGACGAATTTGCTGCTATAAATACTGCAGATAGGCATCAATTAATACATCTGCGTTGAAATGAGACATCCATGGTACAATCGGGCTTATTCACTTATTCATTTGACGTTGAATATCGTTTATGAGACGGAAAGAACACATAATAGCCAGTAGCTGAAAATGGCAATAGAACGGAATGATTACTGATGTATTATTTTAATATAATTACTAATTTTAAAGTTTACTACTATTTATATACGTCACCTGCGTTACACCGATTCCAATAGCAACTCCAGCAACAACATAAAGGTTGTCTTTCAGGAATGCCACGACGTTATCAACACACCCTGTAGTATAAATGCGATCTATGACAGAGTTGCTTGCCTATAAACAATATTAAAACATAAAATCAAAGAAGTAAGATCTAGAATTTACAGTTAAGAAGACAATCACAGCCAATACCAAAAACATACCCCCTGACTGCGCACATCGTAACCACATTGAGTGTTGATGGTTGACTAGTGAAGGAATTACATTTATGAAAAATCATCACATATGAAATACTGCCCATAACAAATATTGACATTGCTTTAAAACTGATGATCCTAACGTACATTTCTGCAACAAGAAAATGGTACTCCACAAGCTTCGCGACTAGGATTGCTTTTTGTGCAATTAAAGTAAATATTAGCGTCCCAGTCTTTGTATCCCACCACACCGCAACATCGAAACTAGAATTTTAAATTTACAAAATGTAGGAGCATTAAATGAGTTATTCTAAAAGGCAGAAGACACGATAAATTTACCTGACGTTGAATAAAATCAATCAGGTTCTGTAGATCAACATCATCTCGATATTTTTTAATTGCACCTCGTAACTGATCTTCGACAAAAGCCTTAACCTTAAAATTCGGTTATATTACATTGAAAACGTGTCTTAGTACTTAGTTGTTACACTTCTTACAGGTAATTAATATATTTCAGATTTTTGGAATATAAAACCATATGAAATAGCCAAATCGATACGCAAATGAAAACAATGGCACTGTTGTATTAGTGGACACCTAGGGAATAAATTTTACTTCTCCTGCAAACCTGCGCTTGGTAGACAAATATCAACACAGCAACCGTACCCTCTGCAAGTAGGATCAGGCCCAAAAAGATTCCAAACTTATATTTAAAGTACGAGTGAATGCGGTTAATTTAAGACCTAATCATTTAAATCTCTGATTGCAATGATCAAATGTATGTTTAAAAAATCAGTGTCATAAACTTACGAATCGAAGGAGACAGGTATTTTCTCTTAAGGCTCCAACGCATCCAGAAAAGCCCAAAATGAAAATTACGACACCAACAACTAACAAGATCATAACAGGATCATATGCTAAACTAGCAAAACCGTCTTGAAATCCTTTTTCAGTTCTGGCATAGATGCTGACACCAACTATAAAACATCCAATCAGCTAAGATATAAATATGATTGTAATTAGCTTCCACTTAGTACAAGACAGACAGCAGGTGTGGTAATAAATAATCTAGCTTTTTCTAAGGGTAGTAGCCATTTGACGAAGGCAAATCATCAAAGACGAAGAGCTCCGTCAGGAGCTATTGTACTGTGGTAGAGCGTTTTATCAAGATTGTTGTACAGTAGAATCAAACCTAGAGAAAATCTAAGATTTAGCTATTAACTTCCGATAGCGAACATGCGATCAAATTCATTTCACAAGTAGTTTATATTCACACGTATATTCGAATACAGTCTCCCATAAAAATACATGCAAGGATTCTCTTGTATAAAATACGGGGATTTTATAGTTAATACAACTGTGCGGCAATTAGGTGATCGGTGTTGAATAATATTAACTCACGGTAATACAAAAATTAGGGAAAACTCACCCAAAATATTATATTAAAGAAGAATAACGTATATTTCACACACAGTGAAACTTCTGAATCGGAATCGCGACTACCTTTACCCATTGCCACTTACTTGACTGTAAAAGTCGTCGTTGAAAAAAAACAAAAAATAACAAATACTGTTACAAGTACTCACGACCTACGACAATAATAAATACTGTACACAGTACAGTATTCATATTAATAAATAATAATACATAATGTATACCGTACTGTACTATACTGTACACTGTACAGTACAGTACCGTACTGTACGGTACTGTACAGTACTGTACACGTTATCAATATTAATAATACTGTAAAATGTACAATGTACTGTACAGTGTACAGTATCCCGACCACCCCACCCTTTTAAACGAGCAGCGAGGGGGTGTTTGACATAAGAATGCCCGAATCCTTACATTGACTGTGACAATATACTACTGTTAGATGAATGTGATTATGGGTTTATTTCAATAGGTCTGTATAAGATTTTTACAGTACTTTTTACCTAAAGATTTCTTCATGTAAAACGAATAGCTCTAAGGTAGCAATTTCTGCAGAGTATTGATTTTTAAAATAGTATTCGTTATATCGCTAAGGGTGGCCACTGGGCCTTTAAATTTTGATTTGATGTAATACTCTGATAAAAATTGAATAAACATAGAATCTTTATAGAGTTTTCTACATAGCCATTTTGATTGTTACATTTTCTTATAACGATTGTCATCGACAGAACAAGCTTTGCTTGCATACGCAAGCGATCCTTAGACACATTATAATGATTGGTATAGAATTGACCACAGTACTAAGGACATTGTACCGCACTGTACTGTAGATATTGTACAATGTACAGTACAGTACAGTACCGTACTGTACGCTACTGTACCAGTACCTGCTAATCTTAACTTGGTACTGTAAGTCCATCACCGTACTGTACAGTACAGTACAGTACAGTACATTAGTTGTCATAATGTGTTTTGGACCATTAACCAATCTTAATATAGCATTTCATAGCATTTCATCCGTGAATGCATTATTGAAAAGTAGTATTCTAGAAGCATAGCTATCAATATAGTAGTGCCTGGCTATTACCGGGATATATATAATGTCGAATGGTAATACTATCTATTAATTATTAACAAATGGGTACATATCGTAAACCGTCAGCAAAGCGACGTGAGTTCGTACTAGTGTTTATTAAAATATACATCGTACCGAAGGGTTTTCTATCCCAACCGCAGGCAAATTACAGTACAGCACTGTAAGTACCAACACTAAGTACTATACGTACAGTACAGTAAGTCTTAAACTAAGCTACTGTACCAGTGTACTGTACTGTACTAACAGTAAGTCCACAGTACTAAAAAGATCGAAGAAAAGGGATATGCTGTACTAAATCTGAGCTTTTTTATTGAACTGTGACTGCAAATCTAGCAGATACAGTAGATGCAAGTGACTAAATTTATGACTTTGACTGATAAATAAGTGATAGCCCAACGTTCACATATAGTACTGTACGGTATACAATAGTAATAATACTATACAATACTTCATATTAACTTAACTTTACAACTTCAGTTTCCCCGCTGGAGCTGCAGCAATTGCCGAAACTGGTGTACACGAATACTGTACTGTACAGTACAATAGCGTACATACAGTACACGTGATGTTCTTAGGGTTTAAGCTTGTTACGCAGAACTGCACGTAGTACTTACTGTACTACATACTATTATACTAGTAGTACGGTTTACTGTATACCGCAAGTTCAATAGCTTGCGTGATTTAAAGAGTACCATAATCATAAAACCATAACTGAGTAAATTTTTGATATGATGTATTTATTTACTTATTGTATTCCGGTTTGTAGTTGAATGCCCGTATAACTAGCTGCCTGGACTGTATATATGTTTATATATACGTGTAATATGTATAATCAACTACATACAAAAAGGAGAAACATCATTTCTCTCATATTGCCTTTGTCAGGGATTTATAAGACAATAGCAGCAATAGCTAACAAGTGTACAGTATGTCTATCGGCTGAATCCACTTGATTACGTTAATTAATTATTATTTCTACTGATTTCGGAGTGAGACCATAGCATTTTCACAGATCTTTACTGTACAGTACACTCGCTGTAATATGAGCATATGAACAAGGGATTTCTTTGCAAGCCTGACCAGGCGCGGGAGAAGGTGGCGGGGCAGACTCATTATATTATTGTCAATATCGATCGATATAGCTTTTAACTAAGATATTTACGGAGTACTGTATCTATAAAAATATTGTAGCTGTAATTTCAATGTAGCTTATCAGTGTGCCCTATAAATTACTTGTGCATGTTATTACAAAGACATTGAGCATTTCATAGATACGAGAGGTATAAGAGCAAGAGAAATGAATGAGAGAATTACTCGAATCATTCACAATAGTTGTATAGGAACGACAAATTGTAAAAAATGATTATTTATTACCGAAATTGACTACTGAACAGGGAATGAGTCACCGCATGAATCAATACGGGATGAATACCTTGATCAATCAGAAAGTACCACACCGCCATCTAATAAAGTATGCAATAAGTTTTCCTACCATAGATTCTGGCGGAATAACTATGATTACCTTCTTTATTATTATTATCAACAGAAGAGGAATACATCATTCTAATATTTATGGCAATTTTTACTTAAGACCACCATTTATGGAAAATACTGTGTAATTATGGTATGAGAAAAACTAGTAATGCACCATATGTTCCGCTAGCATCAGAGTAATAGTTGAAATAACACCCTTGACACCTTATCTTTTATTGTATTGGTTACATGAGCGGTAGTTATTAGTCTCCGTAAGCTCGAGTACTGATTGACTACTTTCTATAAATCATTATGGCCGATAACGAAAATGAAGAAGTACCGCCTGGCTGTGTGCCTAAAACCTTAGCATGTATATTACGTTATTTTACAACAGTTACGAGAATACTGGGTATAATATTTTTCCTGGGTGTGTAAGATAAAACAATTTCTATAAAGTATTTATGTCTTTTCTTACTCACTACATTCAAGTCACTGCATGGAAGTACAGATTTGTAACTTAAATTCATTGCTTTATCTTTACTTTCTATTGTTACTTTAAACTAGTAACTTCCTGTAATTTGATGCTAACAAGTTTCAGTACTGATCGTTTAGTTGTTGCTGAGAAGTCACAATCCTCAAATTTATTAAATGACCAAGACCATGTTAATTTACGATTAATTGTTTAATCGTCAATTTATAGCACATCGATCGATCTTCTATGTTTCCCTGAATGTTTTGCGCACTTTCTACATCTATAATTTATTTGCCATGCACTTGGTGAATTACAGCATTTCTTTATAAGTCAAAATGATTTAAATAATCGATAGTTTTAAATTAGTTGCCGTAATAGATCTATCAATCGCCTTTTGACAAAAGAGTTTAATCAAAAATTATAGTTTTATGCAATATCGGTATTGATGATTTATACTCTTAAGCTGTAGTATCGCTATTTTACAGTAACGTAATAATAGAGATTTATATAAGACTATATTATACCGAGGGTTTCATCTGAGACCACACATTCAGCTTCATTCATTCATGAGATATAAATAGTCTAATCAAGAGTCCGAGAAGCAAAGCTGTGTTTGCATTTTCAAGGCCATGCGTTGCAGTAGTGAAATGTCAACCATTCATTTAAAGAACTAAATTCGAACTGCTAAGGAACAATATTTTGAAATATTGGGACTACTATAGAGGTTTCTAGGTAACGAACTTAATTTTTTGTTTAGTTATGTGGGGAATAGCTGTCAAGGTCGTAACTATGAAATCTCAGGTTCCCTTCGGTGTCGGATTAATGTAAGTGTTAGTATGTTTTCAGTGCATACAGTACGAGCAAGTACGCTGAAAATTACTTGTAGCATATATGAATATGTACGAGCAAAGATACATTCATAACTGAAACATACTTACTATATTTAGATATCTATTACAGTAATTAATAAAATATTCGATAATCGCATCTAATTGATACTTAATAGAATAATAACGTCATTTGTAACATTTCTGGAAGTTACATGGATCATTAACAAATGCTGCTGCTTTAGGTGAGTTTAGCACTTGAAGATTTTCAATCTGCGTTTATGTTTACGGTTAAGTGCACATTTAGTAAACTTTCAGAAAATGGTTAAATCTTAGCCATTGCATTTACTTTTAAGAGAGGATAGCTGTCCTACAAAGTTCTGGAATGGTATAATGTGGATCCAGAATTGGAGAAGATCAATAATATATCTGCCATTATCAGTAGTTTGCTTCATTCATCCTAAAGCTGTTCCGATAGCGATAGCAAGTGGAGTGTTGTTGATTATTTTAGCCATTTTGTACCTAATAAGGTTCAATTAATTATTTACACATTAGGAATTTCGATCAAAATAACATGATTTTATGAATTACTGTAATACTCTTCTTCGCTTATTTTTTCTTTACCGAAATCAGAGGTTGCATTGACGAGGAAGCAGATCCTCAGAGGCCCTATTTCACCAAATCAAGAAAAAAGAAGAAACAATTTAAGTATGGCAAACTTGAATCACAAGAGAAATCAAATACCGACAGCGAAAAAGCTGAAGAAAATTTACCGGCTTCCAAAATATCTGGAGATAAGCACGGTATGATTCTGTATAGTTTTTCAAAATGTGCTATATACAATCCTCTTATATAGTCTCTTTCTGCTATGATATAAATAGGCAACGATGAGTCTACAGCGGAAGATACAGAAGGAAAAGATACGGGAGAAGTATATGGTTCAAATTACTAGTTAGATAAGCAGGTTTTGGGATTCATCTTGTCATATGTCAGCGGCTTTTAGATACCTAAATGCGTATAACAATTTTTAAATAAACTCTTCACGTGTTAATTTCTTTGATAATATAGTGAATAAATAAATTTTATATTTATACATTTTTAATTAGAACGCAGATCAGCCATATGCTTGATTGATTGCAATTGTAGAAAGTGATGCGGCCATGTAGTAATATTAGCATAGTAGCGTGTTAGTATTACTATCATAAGAGATACTCTTATTACCTGCTGTATCTAAGTAAGTAAAAGATACTTAATTTAAAGGTATATGCGAATAAGCTTTGCTAGGCAGTGAACGATAAGATGTAAGAATTGGGTCATACGCGATAGACCAGACTAAGTAGTGGCTTCTAGCGCGCAAAACACAAAATAAATAACGTTACAGCTAGTCGTTTTATGCATGTCTGTTGACATCTAAAGTTTTAATGGGAATGAGCCTTAGAGGAGTACGCCGCCATTAGTATGAGAACGTTATGTTTTTGAAACAGATGTATTCAGATTAAAATCTAGTTCAATGGCCGGATACATATCTGTTACAATAACCTTTCGCTAGAGTCTAATAAATGAACTGCTACTGATTGAGTAGGCTAAATATTTCCTTATTGATATGTATAGACAGATGATTCTATGACTTATCAGACAAGCAGGTTGCTTTTGTTAATGCATAGTATTTCATGATTTATGCATAATTCTTTCTGTCTTAAAAATACATCATTATAGTATTTTCATCTTTGGCTGATTATATGGACTCTGCAATTTACTATTTTATGTCTTTTATTGAAGTTGTTGCGTGCATACGCTTACAGCAATATGATTATCATAAAGTATCTCCTTCCATGCAGTACTTTCTTTGCTTGACTTGCATTTATCACTACCAAAAGATCGCATTAAAATCACATCAGGGACGTTAATAATTCTCCTAAATTAGTTAATTTACTATAAAATTTCTGCTAAGTTGACACTCTAAATTAATATCCAATACAAGTTCGTGTATTAGGTGTTTACGAGGATAAGAATGTTGCGTACATATCTTGCTTGGGCGAATCATTGAATATTTATTGTTCTTAAAAAAAATTAGAAAGCAAACAATTCCTTACTTATGCAGGTTATCATTGCCTTCTAAGTTAAGACTTTGCATACTGTACTTTAATAGCTTTTAATTTAATTTATAGATATTTATAACAGCAGGAAATCATATAAAAATTTCTAAAATATTTTCAAAAATTGTTCTACAAAATTTTATTTGCGTTTGAATAGCATTACTGATCTATCGGTACAGTTTGAATTTTACAATCGAGTGTTTATACATGTATTGCAATACATGCTATAATTAGTCCAGCTGTAATTACGCTTCATACATAGTAAGCTAATTGAATTTATTTCTGAATTATCGGAGTAGATTTCGCTGCGGTTGTGTGAGACTAGTAGCTTAAATAATGGTAAATTTATTTCTTTATTATACTTTAATCTGGTTACGCAAATAATTATATGATTATCTGAAATCAGAGATCAAAATTAATAGGCAACGTGATACATACTGTATACTGGTCGAATCTGCCAAGTGCGCTTATTTTGTGTAATCTTCTAGCTATAATGCGTACATTAGTACATACTGATATATACTAATGAGCGATCGCTTTGCTGGTTGTCAACTCAGTGAATATTTCAGCCGTCAAAGTACTTGTGGGCATCGAATTTAATAATATAATATCGTAGTATATGTATACTTATAAAATAAAGAATTCTGCTTAATACAATAAAGAATGCAACCAAATTGAAATAATGCCGTGAGTTTATAGTTGGAACATTGAGATTGATTCCTGTTTAGCATCAAAAATACTACCATAATCTACATTAGATCCGTATACAGGATTTAAGTTTATCATATAAGTTAATTCGTAGGGTCCACAAAACATCTAAATAGCTGGATTAATAAAATCGAATTGGACTTTACTATAACAAACTAGCATTGTGCCTGTCGTTTTAATGGTCACTTACTGGTTTCATACACAGAGTATTTACAACTAGATATAAATCGCTGTAATATAAGGGGTTTAGTAGGATCATAAAGGTATGATAGCTAGATAGGCTTTCATTGAAATCAATGAGATGCACTTAAATCTTAGAAGGTAGAACTTATTTATTGGGACTGAAAAGCGACCACGAAGAAGACCGGCTAGGAGATAATGAATAAATATCCAGTTATGAAAATACATTGTACCGTTACTTAACGTCAGGAATTTCTAAGTCTTTCAATTACAATACTATGAACTCTACAAGATATATGGTGGTTAGTCTTGCAGAATGCAAAAAAACAATCTAGCAATTCTGACACCGTACAATACTAGTATCTGTAAACTCGTATATATATATTTTTAATAAAAGAACATATATCACTTTTGCAATATTCACAGCCAGCTTAAAGCTCATAAGAAAATAATTCCGAAGTTACAGTATACTGTATTTACAGTAAGTAACATTGCAACTAGTAACTCTGCACCGAAGTAGCAGTTTATTTAACTTTCATACGCTGGCAGGTACTGTACTGTATGACACTGTTACTGTATTGCGCTATTGCTCCGTGCCTAAAGCCCTAAACAGATTATTTGTTGGGCCGTTATCACTTTTAGGAGTGTCATGGCATGGATATCATAATTTATCCTCCTTATCCTTACATAAAGTATATAAAAATAAAAGTCTGTTTGTTTGTCCGCGATCGAAACGAAGGTTAAGCAAAGCACAGTACATAGTGCTAAGCACGTTTAAGTCCGGTAACGTTTCGCCGGAAAACTAATGTTGCAGTGTAAATCTGAGAAAAATACCGTTTTAGGTACTACGAGTAAAATTTAATAAAACGTCTTGTGTATAATCGTACACTGCAGCCATCATGAAAAATTACACCGTGGTTTGTGCACACTCGATAAGTCTTTACCAACTCCTGGCTCTCCGACGGATTGTACGATTGAGTATCTATGCACAATCTGACACTTTGAAAGATACCGACGCCTTTACCTATAATTAATTTCCACATCCTTTCATAGTTAACACTGCATGCTTACAATTATAATAATAATAATAATTTAGTGGTTGCAAGGTCTCCATGTCGCAGATGTAGTGCATTGCACAGTTTGGGATGCCGTACAAGCTGTTGTATTGTACTTTACATTATGCTTTCGTATGTAGCATGTATGATGCTAATGCGCGCTAGAACACGGGCTTAGCTGTTTTACCGTAATTTAACGTAAAGTACAATACACTACAGTATACTGTACAATAGCGAAAGATACCGACGCCTTTACATACAGCCGCACTCTAGATTTTCCAGAAAGTAATCTTCAGTGCAAATTTAATAATTAACATTTTGAAAGATTCGCACGCCCGTATTTGGCGTTATACTATACCGGTATAGTGTATATTACTCCTTTTCATAGTTAAATGCCAACTAATAAAAGCATCGAAGAGTAGTGTAAATACCGCAGCGCTGCTCATTAGAAGGGAAGGTGGGTGGAATTACATGTTCTTGGACATACTGTTCCTCTAACTAGTCACAAAACTGTTTCTAAAATGAGATCACTTGAACTTCCTATTCCTAGTTCATAGTTCTCCGCCAATTTCCGTAGGTCCATTTTACAGTATAATTTTATTTCTACTCGCCTGAGAGCAGTTTACCCCTTAATAGCTGTACGCGTCTTTTTATCAGTGTGCTTCGGAATAAGAAGTCTGGCCTTTAAAGTTTCCTTTAGCTCGTCATAAGTGTAAATAGTTAGTGCTTTGTCCGGTATGGCCGTCGTTAATGGTTCGATGGTTGCTGGTGGTAAAGCGCGGAGCAAGATGAGTACCATTATCTCCTCCTTAACTACTTCATTAAATTCAAAATCAAATGATACAAAGCGTAAGGCTTTCAATATTGGGGTCCAATTTGGGTTACAGTGTTTTGTCATTGACATCCTACCGACTGCCCAATTTTTTTATATATGCGATTCCCACAAGTGTTAATCGAAGAGATCTCTATCCTTTATCCTTTTATTTCATTTAAGCATTTCGATAGAACATCTCATCAACGTCGTTACAGCAGTTTATAAGTATCGTCACAGAATCTACTGCTGCAGGCGTGCACGATGCCGACTAGAGCATACTGTACTTAATTATTTACAGACGTCGTACAATTGCCAGTACAGTACTGAGCACTGAGTCAGACAATGTCCCAATTTCTGATACGACTGTTTATTCCATTCGTACGCGTACTGAGAATCTCAGTAAATATTTAAGATGACGGTATTGGGTAATTGCCTATATCATACGGCACATTACAGTACATTACAGTCAGGAACTGCTATAATTATGATAGAGATTGGTTAGAAATCATGTTGTGAATGGGAAATTAGAGTGGTATATTTTAAAATGACTGTTTTCTTACTTGAATGCGAGAAAGTATGATTAGTTGTTAATTGTTGAACTGAATAGCTAGTAAAATGAATAACAGGATG